AAAAAACAACAACAACAACAACAAACAAAACAGACGCATGCACTCACCGATATGGCAGTGGAAAGGCCACATGCCCGGGTTGTCCTGCTCAATCTGGACGACGATATACGTGGGATTCTCGTCGCTCCCGGGCTGCAAGAGATGCACGTCTCGGCGCTGCGGGTTGTCTGGGTTCGTGACCGTGCCGTCCCATTGCCCCTGTCCTTCGGCTAGCACCCACATGTTGTGTCCGTGCATGTGCATGGGGTGCGGCGCCGGGAAGCGGTTGTAGATGACGAAGCGGACGGAGCTGTTGGAGCCAAAGTTGAAGACGTTGGATTGCTCTGTGTAGGACAGGTTGCCGCCGACTGTTTGGACCAGGAGAGCTTCGTTGTAGTTCGCGCGGTAGGATTGCTGAGGTTACGGCGTGTTAGCGGGTCGGGTTTTAGTAAATGTGGAGGGGTGCTTACGCCGCCAAAGTACCAGAGGTTGTGCGTGCCGTTGTTGAGCTGCTGGATTTGCAGCTCGGCAGTGATCTCTGGATTGTCGTCTGGTCTGATTGGGTAGAGCGGAGTTGTGTCTTTGAGTGGGTCGTTGCCGCAGTATGTCAGGGCAGCATCTGGGTTAGGCGAGGATGTGGGCTGAACGGATGTGTCTGCGTCTTCATAAAAGACTATTGCAACGGCCTCTTGCCTTTTAGGATCGTTACCACTGCAGCCGCCGTTGGTAATTCCTGGTCCCACGTTCGCACGCATCCAGACAGCATCAGTGGAGTGACTGTTCGCTTCTACAATCACATCTGTTCTTTGACCTACCGCCAGAGTTACGGAATCAGTTTGGTATGGGTTAATTGGGATGAAGTCATTGGCAATGACGGTCAATGTATGCCCGTCGATGGAAAACTTCTGCAGTGCTTCGGCGCCAGTGTTCACCAACCGCAGACGATACTTTTTCCCCGATTGGAATCGGAAAACTGCCGCGTTGAACCCCGAATCACAAGGTAATGTTGTGTCTGCGCAATCAAAGATGCCAAATCCGTTGATAAGATTGTTATTGGATTGTGGCGGCAGCAATGGCTCGACAGAGGGTGTCATTACTTTTTCCACGAGGACATAGTATTCGTCGTGGAACCAGTCAGAGAGTAGAATGGGACCGAGGTCGAAGTCATAGTCTGCCGTGGGTGGCCCGTAAATAACCATCGGCCCGGCAGCTCCTCCAGCATACTGAGAAGAGTAATGTGAATGGTACCACTGCCAGTGTGTCAGTTCACAAGTTTCTTCCGATGGCTATAATAGCTTACCGAAGTTCCGTACATATCGGCTCGGAACATGTAAACAAATGTCTCTCCAGGTGGAATGGGGCATGAATCAACGCCGGGTACACCATCCATCCATTCAGTCTGGTATTGGAGAAGTCCGTGCCAGTGCAGCGTTGTCCCTTCATCGCCATCACCGAGATTGTTGTGTACGGTAACTTGGATCCAATCTCCCCAGTTTGCTTCTATTAGAGGCCCAGGATATTGGCCGTTGATCACGATGCCATGTTTGTGTACGCCATCTGGGGCGATGTCTGCATAGGATACACTGAAGTCGTACTTCCGGATCACACCCGTGTTGGGCATTGTACTGACATCCCTCGAATGGATGCCATCCCAGGGTGCATCCCCTATGTGAGTAGGAAGATGCGGAGCGTCAAACGTGCCGAGATGAGAGCTCCCTATTCTTGTAAGCCATAGCCAGGAAGACTAAGGAGTATTTAGATCTTACCATTTCTCCGTATCTGTTGAAATGGAACTGAAATATGGGCATCGCCCTGTGGGATCCCATTCGAACTCTGCTCTCCTCCCCACAAGGAAGAGGCTGCCAGGCCGCTAACTAAAGATTTTGCAGTGAAGGACATGAGCATGAAAGGATGAAAAAGAAAAGAGCTGTATGAACGAGTGGTTCTGAAACGACTCCGATGACTTTTGTCAAAGAGAAGGAATGAGCAGGTTTACATCCGTACGCGGCTACAGACTGCCAATATATCAAAGGTGTCCACGGAGTCGTAAGGCTGGTCCCATCCGCTCTTACGGCACCATAACCCCGAAAACTCTGCATGGCGGGTTGGCGCCATGGCTTTGAGTGAGTTCCGTTATCATGTTTGATGCAGTGGGGAACAGCATCAAAGGAAACAGTGCATCAACTTGAGTCAAGCAACAACAAGAACGGAAAATAGTGACTTCATTTGGTGGATGAAAGTATGTCTCTCGGTGTTTCAGTTCGCTGTTCGTGGTAGAGTCCCATACATGTCGGGCACGTTGTGAGAACCTCGTGCAAAGTATAAACAGACAAGCGGCTCTAAGTGGAGAGCCGAGCACCAATTGGTGCTGGGGATTTTCTTCCCGTGTCCAACTTGGGATAGGTCGCGGTGTGTGGCTAGACAATAAGAGAAAGCATATCTTCATGGGTACAAGGCCGTCCGGTCTAGCCCTCGGAACAAAGCAACGGCAGGCAGCCATTGCAGTGACGTTCAAATTCAGTGGATGGTCGATGACCCTGGTTCAGGGACAATTCAGATTCGCATTGAATTTAAACAACCGGAGAACCCTGGGATTCAGAAGTTAGTATCAGTAGTTGCCCAGGAACACATTTATCCGTCCACTCAGCAATTGCTTAGGCCTGAGCCGCGCAAGTGAGGTGGTTCGTTTAGTAACCTGTTGGCTTGGATCAAAATTGCCACGGAGATAATCAAAATCCTGGCTCCGAGACAGCTGGAAGGTGTTATGCTTGAAGAACAGGGTTTATTTCCAGGGCGAAGATTGTCGTGCAACAGTAGATGCAGGCTGACCTGCATGACGCAGGTTTAGCCAAATGCGGGAACGGTGGAGATGCAATGAGGACAGGCTGATGCGACTTGGCTTTGGGCAGTTGTGCCATCAGCCACAGAGATGTAGATGAAGTTGGGATTATCAATCCATTTGTCTCTGTCGTTGGTAAGGTTTGGAATGAAGTGAGGGAGCGGCCCGACGGAGAGCCGAACAGACCCCTGACTACGGGTCTTGACATCACCCATCCGACTTCATCTCAACACCACCTTCACCACGTTTCCGTTGATCATCCAACGCACGCGCTGTAGTGCCGGATAGTCGTTTTATCGGCCTCGCCGACACTTGTACCTTTGCGGTTTCTAGTGTAGGCTTTCTTACACCACACAGCCAGCTTTCACTCCTCCATCTCGGGACAAGCGGGACCCAGCATTCGCATGCCAGTCCATCTCTCACGGCCTTGCCTGGCTGCAGTAGGGGCGGTTCCAAGCTGCGACGAATTCTGCCGTAATATGCAGTCAGGAAGACACCTAAGTGATGCCAATTGAATATCGAGTCATCGACTAAATGTATCAAGTACACTGCGCCACTCTGACCCTGTAGCGCAAGCCATCCAAGGGCTGTCAGGCTATGGTAACGTGTCAATCCAAGTGGCCTTGGGCTCGTGGCCATCCGTGAAGCGTGTAAAGCGGCCACGTTCCGAAGCGACACGATGGTGGTCAGGCTAGGATGTCATGTTTACACCAAAACGCCGTGCTGCCGCATCCGGCGATTAGTGCGTATGCGAGTGTGGACTGCGTCTTTTCTTGGACGCACATGCCTTTGGCTTGTGGCGATTCGATAGTCATGCCATTGCGATTATCCGTAGGCATAGTCCGATTATTCCGAAATATGGAGGCAGTAAAAAAAAAGTTTGTGCATACGGCTCATTGCAAGACTGGGCCCATGACCCATGTTGGCAACCCAAAGGATCGTACCACGCGGTAGAGGGCTAAGCTTTGAAGCACAACGCAACGCGTGGCACCATGGCTCGTAGGTTTACATCCGGAATACCCGGTACCGTGGTTGACGATTACTTGATGCCTCATGACACCCAAGTCCTTGCTCGGCACCTACATATTCCGTGCACTTGTGATCATGCGATCGAAACAGGTGCGAGCAAGTTGGCTTTGTCTTTAACCACTAGACTACCTAATCAAACGCAATGACGTTTACTGGATTCCCCCGAACCCATATGAGGATTCAATGAACCATAGGCCTCAATGGCTGGCCTGATTAGTAGCCAAACAATCAGTGCTGTAAAGTTCTACAGCCAGCCTCAATCCAAGTCTTAAATCCACGTCACCATCATAAGCTTCTGGTAAGCAGTGAAAAGAAAGCACTGAGTCGCTGCTAAAGTTGCAGTGAAAAGAGAAAAGAACCAGCAACCGAAGGACTAATATTCGTTGTTGACGGCGTATAAAACTCCATGAAAACACGGCCTGCAAACGATTCCCCCACCGGCGCATTCATTGTGACGCAGGGGATTGAGGTATTCCAAGAGTCGAAGTTGCAGAGCCGAGCGAACGGCGAACCAGGAGGTGAGTGTTGAGTAAACCTCCAGAAAAGGCTTTCGGACGGCAAAAGAAGATAGCAACTACTGAGTGCGACCTAGCGTTCTGTGAGCCGACAAGGATCTACGAACCTCAGCAGAACAAAAAAAGAACGTATGCATACTTCGGCAACGGCGCAGCTAAGCATGCCATCATATTTGGAAATCAAGTCTCCAGTTGGTGTTCAGATAATTCCACAGCTTCAAATATGTGGGATTCTCCTTCATGCAAAAGAATCTCTTTGCGCCCTGGAACCATGGCTTAGGATCCTGGTCAAGCTGATAGCCATCCAGGAACATGGTGAAGTGGGCCACGTCCTGAAGACTCTCTCGTGCTTGGGGTTGCGAATCCGGTTCAGAGCGAATGATGACACGCCTCACGGTCTTGCCATCCGGGTGAGGAGGGATGCGAATGATCAAATCATATAAGCGCCTCAAGATGGCAGTATGCTCGAATCCCCGGGTGAAGTTGCGGAAGTTGAAGATCATCCAGCCCAGACGTTGTGGGATGATAACGACGTTGTCTGCCCAGGTGAGCTCTGAGCCCTCCCAAGCCAACTGCACGCTGAGTTTTCCCACGATCATGGGGAGTGGTACATCGACATCCCAAATGGAACAGTTGTCATGGTTGGCGTTCCGCAAGTGGGAATGGAGTTGAGACATCTGCGTCCCACAGTCTATGGTCCTTGAAAACTTCGGCTCCATGCCATCGTTGACACCTGACACTAGCACCCAGGGCTCCCGGTGCACCCCATGGCGACATATTCGACCAACTTTTCGCGATTTGAGACCGTACGGTCTGCCATGTGATCTTAACAGTGTGCCGGATGGGTCCGGGCTGCAATGGAAGATTGTGCGGCTTCAAACGCACGGCAATCTCTCGTGAGATGTAGTCGTGCTCAAGTAATCGGATTTTGTTGTGAATCAACCACTTCTCGGGGTCCGGGAATGGATGAATGAGCGTACTTTCCATGAGGCATTTTTCAGGTGTCTTGCTCCTGAAGCGGAAGACCGAAAGTAGTTCGTATTTGAAATCAAAGCCCCAGATGATGTTTGGGAGGATGTACTTCTGGGCCAGGAGACGGAACTTGCGGCACACTGAGAAGATGGCGATGGAGGTTTCCGCTTCTCGGCGCTGGTTCATGATGAGCCAGCGGTGAGCGGAGTAGCCGATGCAATACTCCATGATCATGAGCAAGAGCTCACCGGGCAAGCGGTAGAGTGGCCCGGGGTTAAACACCTGGTTCTGGACTTTTAGCATTGTTGGAACACTGTGGCGGATGAAGCGGTGCTCTATTGTGCGACGGATGATGGCATTTGAAATTTCGAGGTTGCCGTGTTCTGGTGTAGGTGCCTGGTCGTAGTGCGTGTTTAAAAATGGCAAGCGCGATCTCATCCAGAGCCTCTTGTTTTGACCTAGACTTGCCGACATCATGGTTATCGACGCAAGTCTCAGCCAAGTTGCCCAAGATATTGCCCTCCCGTGACTCCATATGGCCCATGCTAAGGCTGCTGTAAGCAAATGCCAAATTTAATGCAGCCTGCGTAGCTTATGATTTTGGGTGTTGGTGATTTAACAAGGCATCGACAGGTGTTAAGTACCAGCTCTGGTTGAAAGCACCCTGTTCACAGCAAGACCCAGGGTCTGGTTACCCTGAACCATCACTTGTCCAAATGAGGGATTAAGAGGTATTTTTCTAAAGCTGGTTGTCCTTTTTCCGCTATAGGTACTTAGACACGTTGCCTAGGCGACATTTGAAACCAAAAATACACAACGTCTACTTAGAATTCAATAAATCCTTATAGGGCCGCGGTATATCCATAAGCAACATACATGGAAGTCATCAACCATCCGCTAAAGAGATCCCACCTTGATATGGAAGTATCAACCATGGCGCCTCCAGACACCAGTGTCTGATGATTAGCGCGCACTGACTACAGATCTGTCAGTCATTGGTTGGGCCCATAAATTTAACCCTAAGCAAGGTTGCGCGATGGAATTTCAATATATACGGCAATGAAATATTGAACGCCCTAAGAACTATCCAACCTCCCCCGAGACCCGCACCTGAGATTTGCGATACCGCAGACACTTCTTCCGCATATTTATATAATATGCCACCTCTTATCCTCATATGATGTCTCTCCAATGCCATCAGCAATTAGTAACTGCCAGTGTTTCCAGACAAGCGTTCGAGAGTCGAAGAGGCAAACCGACCGGTTACAACTGCTCAGACCTAGACAATCCCTCGCCCAAGAACGAATCCCAAGCTCTTATTTTCCTTGACTGCGTCGACTCATCAAAAGCGCAACTTCACGACAGGATTCCAGGAAGGACTTAAAAAAAGAAACAGACACCGAGGTTCCCAACGAAGCCAACAACCTACTCTAGCGCACTCCATTACTGTGGGAAACCGATGGAAATCGGAAACAAGGAGCAAACACCCGTTTCAAACCACAGCTCTGCCAGTAGGCCGTGTCTGCTTTCCAACAATGAGGTGGGAAAACCGACGATTAACAACAAAGCACAAACACGAACCCCATCATCAATGAATAAAACTGCAGCACATCAGTACCCCACGAGGATGGCGTTCAAGTTGAAACGCAACTCACAAGTATTACGAAGAACCACAACGCCGAGCGAGACACTCATGTAAGTTCATGCCGTGATTAGTGGAGCCCCGAGCAAGTTCGAGATAGGCTCTCCAAAGTACCTACGTTTGCCAACACACGCCGGCATTTCTCTGTGTGGGCATTCCATCTTGCGCTTCAGTGAGCTTTTAATGTCTGGGACCGTGAGCATAGGAGCTGTTTTTGTGCACGAAAGCGCGAGGACGGCGCTACAAGACGCGAGAAACCGGCTTGGTCTTGGTATCTACGAAGGACTGCAAAAGACACGCCAGCAAGCGCTAGAGCGTGTATAAGAAATCGGGCCTGGGCACACCAAGTCAGCACAGCAATTCCCAAGACAAAAAAAGGGCGCACAAACCTCTTATCCCCCAGCAGTTCGACCTCCTTCCTGCCCCTCCCCTCAACCCAATCATCGCGCTCCCCACGCCTCCTCAACCTATTCTCCCTCCGCAGCGCCAAATGCGTGCAAACGCTGCCACCGAGCAAAAACAGCGTCAAATATGCCAGTACGACGCCATGGCCGACGAAAAACCGGGGCTTGTCCTCCTGGCGATAGATGTTGGAGCTGACGACGCCGTTGAGGTTGCCCCACCCGATGACAAACCCGATGGTGACCCCGCGCTTGTAGACGCCCTCGACGTTGTTGCTGGCCCAGGAGATCGTGTTTGAGATGGTCGGGTAGATGCCCAGCGCGCCTAGGAACGTGCCTGCGTATTGCACACCCGGCGTCGCGCTGCCGATCAGCATTGCGAAGCCCGCAATCCCGATTAGCGAGGTTCCGATGTTGCAGTATCCGCGCTTCCCTGTGCGGTCTGCTACGAAGCCGATGATTATGGTCAGGATCGCTGCTGCGGCGTAGGGGGGCACGGAGAGCAGGTTCGCTTTTGTGCTGGTGTAGCCCTGGTGTGGCCTGTCAGTGAACTATTCTAATTGCTCCAATGAGACGAATACGATTATGTCTTACCATTTGGCTGATGATAGTCGGCAGGAACAGACTGAAGGCGTAGAGCGGAGCGTCGGCACCCATGTAAATGACTGCATAGGCCCACGTCTTCCAGTCCTTGACACTGGCCCAGAAGTAGCTCATTTGGAACTCCTCATGCGCGGCGCTGCTCTGTTTGTCGGCTGCCAAGCGGCGAAGAACTCTAGCCTTGTCCTCGGGGCTCAAAAACTTGGCCTCGGCCGGGAAGTCGTGCACCATCCAATAGCTAGCAATGCCAACAATAATGGTGGCGAGCCCCTCGAGGATAAAAATCCACGCCCATCCAGGCTTGCCGCCGATGCCGTTCATCTTAGCGATAGCGGCAGCCAAAAGACCACCAAAGGAGCCTGCCACCGCCGCAGCGGAGAAAAATATCGCCGCACGAGCCCCGAACTCTGAGCGCCGATAATATGTCGAAAGGTAATAGTTAATGCCTGGGAATAAGCCTGCCTCAGCCAGGCCAAGGAAGAAGCGCGTGGCGTAGAGGCCTGCTGCGTTGTGGACCAAACCCATGCATGTCATGCAGATCCCCCAGGCGAACATGATGAGGGGGAGGAAAATGTTGGGGCGCATGCGCTTAAGCAAGACATTCGTAAGCGGCTCGAAGACGGAGTACGAGATAAAGAAGATGGTCAACGCGATGTTGTATTGATCATTCGTCATGTGTAGGTCTTCTTGGAGGCCGTCGATCTTGGCGTTGCCGATGTTGGTACGATCAAGGAAAGATATCAGATAGAGCAAACAGAGCTAGTGGAACAAGGTTAGCCATGCGCAAGGCTCTGTAAACATGGCAAACGTACCCATGGGATGAGCTTCAAGTCCAATTTCCATAGTACTTGGCGGTCCTGTGGCGCGTTTATGTCAGCATGCCATATCTTGGAGAGTCCTTTCACGAATTGGAGTTATACAAGCTTCGCCCGCTCTTCATCGCTGAGTCCAACATCAGGGTCCGGAGGCAAATGCTCTAAGTCCACGTTCTCGAGCTCGCCATGCTCAACCGAGGTCTCTTCATCTGACGGGAAAAGAGGCGGCTTCCCGCTATCAAAGCGTCCAGACGACATGCTTGGAGGAGAGCGACAATCCAACTGCAGTGTTCTGAGCTATGCGACAAAGCCAGCAAGGTAAAGAAGCATGCGCGGGACAAGAAGAAGGCTGCGCGACGTGGGACTGCAGCGATCAAATATTCGTAATGACCAGCCGGTGACCAGCCGGTGACGCACAACCGTAGCCGCTTCCCTATTTCCGAAAGGTGCAAGTCGGTCGATGAGGCGTTCAGGCGCTGCTCCTTCGGCCGTTTGCCCTCTCAAGGTGTCCAATCCGCGTCCGCGACCTCGATGATATCAGCACCAGTCGGGTAGTGAACGGCGGGGCACGTGCGCGGGGAAAGGGAAGACAGCGGGTCGTGCGCGCTGAATCTGGGGTTGTCGAGTGCGGGGGAGGCGCTACGGCGCGCTCGGCGACCGGCGGCGGCATTGGGGCCCGGCGTTTTGCTTGCGCTGTGCTTGGCGGAAATGTTGTTGATCAGCCGTGGTGTTGGGGGCCTGAAGAGACTTCATCACAGTGGATACATGGATAGGTAGTGGAGTCCGGAGATAGAGGCTCGCCGATCGCCCAAATGCCGGACAACTGTGCCTTGAGCAATCGTGAAAAATGCGTCCTCCTGCAGCCCAACGCCGCAGGCAAAAGCCTGCTTCCAGCTCACCACTTATCCAGCTCGGCTCCGGTGCAATAGCCCCCGAGTGAGCCCAGCATCGCGGGCCACAAAATCTCACACGATCGCTGACTTGGCGCATCGACGACGCTGATAAAGACTGGCGACGTGGTATGCATGATCCCTAATCCTAATGCTTGCCCAGGCCAGGGCTCGCCCAGCCCCCTTATAAAGGCTGATGCACCTCGCTCCCTCTCTCTTCTCAACATTGTGCGACTCGCGTTTGGACGGTGACACTCAGTGGTGATCACTGGGATCAACTCGAAACAGTTATGCAGGGAGACAGGCAGGGGTTTCAATTTTCAGACCTCTCATGGCTGATCAAGAGAAATTGCGTGGCAGGCTTCGTTTCGATTGCTGGCTGTTTCGCTCTAACTAACAATGCGACGAGTGTATGACAGACCTCTCTAACCAAGCACCGCGACCATCTGGAAATTCCCAGGAACCAAATATATGCCATCGATTTTTCTCCTGGACAAGATGCTGACGACCCATCTTTTTTCTAGGGTATCTTGGGCGCCAGGCATTCGCCCTCCCCACTGCCCGAGCCGTTTAGTCCTTAGGCTCGATGAGCTCGGGGATCTCCTCGGGCTTCGTCTTGCCCTCGAGGATGTCTAGCGCATGTTGTCAGCTCCAGAATCATATGCGCGGTGAAAAGAGCGAGGGAAACTTACTGTAAACCGCCGTGAAGAGAGGGAACTCGTGCTCCATTCCCTGGCCCTTCAGGTACGAGTGCACCTCGTAGGCCGTGCTCGTACCCTGCAGCTTCTGGCCATTCAGCTCCTGCTGCTCGACTTCTTCGATCTTCATTCCGCGCTCAACAGCCATCTTCGCACAGCGGAAGTTGCGGCCGCCCATGCAACTCGTCACCACGTCGGCCATACCGCACGACTCCTCGGTAAAGGTCTGAGCCCGGCAGCTTGCCGAGAAGAAGTGCTTGCCGAACTTGACCATCTCGAGTAAGCCGACGCGCATGACGGCCGCTTTGGCGTTGTCGCCCCAGCCAAGACCATCCATGAAGCCGGCGGCCAGGGCGACGACGTTCTTCAGCGCACCACCAAGAGAGACACCAGCGACATCCGAGACCATGCGAACGTGGAAGTAGGGTCTGTGGAAGAGCTTCTTCACGTTCTCGTGGCTCAGAGCCGGGTACTCGATGGGCAACGGCTTCAGCACCGCCTTGTGCTTGCTCTCTTCTGCGTTGGGCGCGACGAGGTCGACCTGAGACTGCGAAGGAGAGTGCGCAGGGGAAGGCTGTCTCGAGTCGACGGGAGGAGGGTCGTAAGCAACAGTCGTCTCCGAGTACTTCTCCTGCGCAATCTCAGTCGCGATGTTAGCACCAGACAGAGCACCGCAGTAGATGCCCAGGCGAGCACCGATTGACTCGGAGAACAGCTGAATGCCCTTGTCAGAGACGTCGACACCCTTGGTGCAAGAAATACCGCGCGCATATGGCAGAATGTTGCCCTGGAGCGTGTCGCAGATGCGCGAGATGAACTGGTGCGGGATGACGAACACGAGGAGCGTCGCATCGCGCGCAGCATCCACCAGCGATGGGTTCGCGATGACATTCTTCGGGAGCGTAATGCCAGGGAGGTACTTTATGTTCTCGTGGATCTCGTTGAAGAGAGCGGACAGCTTCTGAGGACCCTGGCACAGCGGGCTGTTGGGGTCGTAGTGGCGGCTCTTTTCATCGATCGTGACCTCCTCCTCGTACACCCACATCTGGACTTCCTCCTCGAAGAGCGCAGGGTGAGCCTTGACGTTCTCGGCGACGATCTTGGCCATCGTCGTGCCCCTGTGCAGTACGTCATAGACGTGTTAGCCAGCTGCAGCTGACGCTCAGCGAGATGCGGGTGTGGCAGGCTACCCACCAATTGCCTGACCCCACAATGGTCACCTTGTGCTTCTTCGTTGCGCTGCCCAGAGTCGCCATGGCTCGAGTGTTTTGTGGAGGTGAGGGTAGGTGTTTTGAGATGGACTGGAGGCGACCGAGAGCAGTGTTGCGCGCCACGCCGGAAGCGTTTGTGGTCAGGGAACGAGCGAGCGGGCGGAGTGCAGTAGTCATGGGCAGTCGCGTGTCACAAGCAACCTTGGAATCTGTTGGTGGTTGGGCTGCCGAGCGATGAGGGACCGTCAAGGATGTGGTTATCGATATCGGCATCTGGAGAAATTAGTCGCACGTGAAAATCTATTCTGCAAATCGCGAGCGGTGAGATGTAAATCCGCTGCAGGGGAGCCGCAATTCGAGTCAGGATCATCGGACAGCTATCGGGGCGGGAGCAGCCATGATTTGCGCCCCCAATGATAAGATGGACTGGGAAATTGAAATGGGGTCGTTGCCCTGTCGCCGCCAATCTTGGGTCGCTGCTCAACATCACAGTGCAGCTCAACGAGGATTTGTTGAAAAAGAAACGCTTCAATTATCGCATTCGTTCAGACTCATTAAGTAGTGTCGCTTTGGAACAATAACAAAGAAAGCATCCGACTAATCACCATCCCAATCGCGTTTGTAACCCTCCTACAGGGCAAAACCGAAAAGCGCAAAGCCGCCAGCGACCAGAGCGCTAGAGCCGTAGTTCATGGCGAGGTTGACGGCAGCGTTGCCGCTCTCCGTGGCAGAAGCAGAGGCAGAAGAAGCAGAAGCCGTGTTGGAGCTGCTGGAGGATCCCGAGGTCGTGGACGAAGCGGCGGCACTGCTGCTGCTCGCCTGGGCCTGAGAGGAGACCTTCTTGTTGCCACAGGTGACGGACTGGCAGACCTTCTGGCCGTCGGCATCGTCGGGGTGGTCGGTGACGCACTGAGCCTTGGCGAACTCGCACTCGAGAGAAGGCAGCGTCTGCTGAAAGTCCGAAACGTTGAGCTTGGGAACGTTGTTGCAAGTGCAGTTGTACTCAAGAGTTTCCTGTAGCCAGTTAGAATCATCGCTCATAGGTAGCAGGTGCCAAGTGGCGCAGTGTGCGCCACGGATCAACGTACCGAGTTGCAGGTGTTGGAAACCATGTCACCACCGCACAGCTGGGGGCAGGTCTGCTGCTGGGTGCGGCACCAAGTGGCCCTAGTGGCGTCGGGAACGCTGCTGGCGGGGACGGTCGTCTGAGGACTAGCAGAGCCAGTGGAAGTCTGGGCGGCAGCAAGGCCGGCGAAGGCGACAGCGAAAATGGTAGAGAAGCGCATGTTGGCGATTGCTAGAGTTGTCGAGGGGCGTCCGACTTGAAAAAAAGGACGGGCAGCGAGTAAACTATGTCTGGTCGCGTCGTCAGCAAGCAAGGTTTTTGGCGAGGGCGCTGGCGTGGAATGTCTCACCTGCGAAGTGAAGATGCTCGGGGACGACTGCAAGCAAGGCCGGAAGATTGTGGACAGAGAAGAAAACGGTCGAGCGGACGGGGGAAGCGGTTTATATGTGTTTCGGAGATGTGAAGGGTAGCAATTGCCCGAGTTAACTGTACAAGCAGGCATGCCTCGCATCGCAGCAGGGCCAGAAGGAGCTAGGCGCGGCGCGGCTTGGCTATCGAGGAAAGCGGCAAGCGATTGCTTTTGCAATGCGCACCAGCCGCCCCGGTTGCCGGAAACATTTGCCCATGCACTGCGACGGCTCCAGTCACGGCCCTCGTCTGTGCCTCAATGCGTGAGTGCGAGTCCGCCACCTCTTCCTTTCACCGTCATCGCCAATCCCAGCAGCAGCGACGACACGGCTCGGCTCGAGTGTCGGATGCACAAGCGTGGGAGGCCGAAAACGCCGCTTCCTGCCTATACCTTATCACATGAGGTCGTGCCCACCGCCCGTTGACCGACTGACTTCATCGATCGAGGTCACCGCTGCAATCGCGCCCTCTGCTCCCTGCCCCCGCCTTCCCATTTCCTCGCTCATGCCATTCTCCGTCTTCCAGCCGGCGCTAGTCCTGCCAACACGCAAACCCGAAGTACTCCCGTCTCCCGATTTGCCGGTCCAACGTGCACGCCTGGTGGGTCCTAGCCTTTGCCCGTCCGAACGAACTATCGACCCTCGGCCACCAAGCTTTTGCTGCCAACCGCGTCCGAGGGCGCAATCACATCACGACACCTATCCTTCGTCCCCGCGTTGCAGGGGGGGCCCGCGCGCTCGCTCTAACCCCCGCTCCTGCCCGGTGAACTGTCCCCGACCACTTCCACAATGGATCGCGAATTCCATTACCAGACGGGTCCCTACGACGGCCCGCGCATCAGAGCCAGACGTGAGTTTGCATGCCCTCGCCCTCGTCTATCACCAAGCTTCCTCACTGACACTGCTGTCGCCCAGGTGCTGCCACCGACTATGGCTCGACAATGGTACAATGGCAACGCCACCGGCGCCCGCGATACAAAGGCCTCCCGCCCACCGAGATGGAGAGGCCCAGCATCAGCTACATCGTCGATGTATGCCTCCGCTGCTGCGTTCATATTCCTGCTGCCCGCATACCTGACCCGCCATAGATGCTTCCGCCACTCGCCAGGTTGACCAACGCCGCCGAAACAATTCCCGCCAAGCACCTACACGCGTCTTTGAACAAAGTCAAACACCCCATCAACGTGGTGCGATGGACCCCCGAGGGCCGCCGACTGTTGACGGGCTCGACCAGCGGCGAGTTTACTCTTTGGAACGGCATGGGCTTCAACTTCGAGACCATTATGCAGGCACACGACTCAGCAATCCGCGCCGCGTCGTACTCGCACAGTGACGACTGGCTCGTCTCGGCCGATCAGGACGGCGTGGTCAAGTACTGGCAGACTAACTTCAACAACGTCAAAGCACTGCAAGCGCATAACGAGCCCATCCGTGATCTTGCATTCGCGCCTACCGACTCCAAGTTCGTCACCGCGTCCGATGACGCAACGTTGAAGATTTTCGACTTTGCCGGCGGTATTGAAGAGTCGACCTTGACCGGCCACGGCTGGGAGGCAAAGTCAGTTGACTGGCATCCTACAAAGGGCCTGCTCGTGTCCGGCTCGAAAGATCATCAGGTTAAGCTATGGGATCCTCGGACGGGCCGCTGCTTAACTACCTTGCACGGACATAAGAACACCATATCGAGGACTTCGTTCGAGCGCACTCAGGGCCAATTGCTCGCGACATGCGCGCGAGACCACACGGCCCGTGTCTTCGATCTTCGAATGATGCGCGACGTGCTCCTCCTCAGAGGCCACGAAAAGGACATCACGACCCTGGCGTGGCATCCGATCCATCGTAATTTGCTGTCGACCGGCGACTCGAACGGCGCTCTCTACCACTACTTACTCGATGAACAAAATGCGCCACCGGGCGCGGATGTCACCATGTCCCCCTACGATAGCCCCGACCCGTCCAACGCGCCCGCGCAAACCATACATCCCGCTCATAAGATCGACCACGCACACGACTATGCCATCTGGACGCTCGACTGGCACCCGCTCGGACATATCATGGCATCAGGCTCCAACGATCGCATCACGCGCTTTTGGACGCGACCACGTCCGGGTGAGACGCACTGCTTTAACGATCGCTACCACATCGGGCAGGACGCGGCCGAGGCGCGTGGTATCTTCGACCGACGCGACGCGCGGCGGCAGCAGCGTGAGGAGGAAGAGCAGGAGGCTGAGGACGAAGCTGATGGTCTCGTCGACCAGAAGATGCCAGCGAAGTTGCCCATGTTACCAGGTCTGCCCGGTCTCGGCTCCGCGGCCGACGGCTCCAGCACCGGCGGTGCGCAGCTGCCAGGCTTGGGCGGAGGCGCGCCACTCCCGCCTATGCCACCCTTTATGTCGGGAGTTCCACCGCCGCCACCAGGGATGCCAGGGATGCCGGGAATGCCACCACAACTGCCGCCGGGTATGGACCTGGGCAAACTGGCCGAGATGTTTAAGAATGGCGGAGTGCCGATGCCGCCGCCTGGGCACGGGGTACAGCCCGGGCAACCTGGGTTCGGTGCGCCACCGCCGCCACCGATGCCGCCGGGGTTCCCAGGGTTCCAGCTCCCTCCTGGGGCCGTGCCACCGGTGCCGCCACCAGGATTCCAGCTCCCGCCAGGATTCCCGGGCGTGGTTGCGGGAGTGCCACCACCGCAGGTACCGCAGGGGCAGGGGGGTGGGCAGCAGGCTGCGGATGCGGCGGCGGTGAAGCGGAGGGCACCGTTGCCGAGTCAGAAGGAGAGCTTGCAAGAGGAAATGAGGAGGGGGAAGTATACAAGGGCAAGGTGAGGGATGATGGTGGTTATGGTGATTGGTCACGGGTGATATTGGGTTGTGTGCTGCTACTTCTTGTCTGCCGCCCCCCATCCTGCTTGCTTGCATGTGTACTGGCGTTGTTTTTGGTGGATAATGGAAGGATGGATGCATGGATAAACGGGCGTGAGGTTCAGACAGTAGAGCGCCAGAGTTTGGGTGTGGGGGCGTTCGTGTAATGCTTGCAAGAGCCAGTGGCTATACGCTGCGGGAGGCGTCACAGAGCACTCTATTCGAAGCGGGGACGGCTGGCTGACGGGCATCCTTGGCGCATGCAAGTATAACCGGGATCAAGCCACCAGAAACAGCCCTCTTCAACGCCAAACACGTTTCGCACAGGTTACCTGCATCAAGACGATAGGCGACGCCGTCAGCGCGCCCCTGGTCCCTGAGGCGATCGGCTCGGCCGGCGCCGCACGTGCAATCTCACCGGATATAAGAAGTGAGGAGGAGGAGCAAGATGGTGGCCCAAGCCAAATAGTACAAAAGCGGCAAGATCAAGAACGAAAGAGAGACAAAAAAAAAAAAAGGGCCGCGAGCATTAAGCATTGTTCAAAGGTTCCATTCAGGGGGGTCTTCGGTGCTCCGGAACTCTGAACACACGGGTCTGGCGAGGCGGTGCTAGAGAGCCCCGAGCACTCGGCGTCCCCACCCCACCACCGCCCGTCCGGACGCCGCGTTTCAAAGACAGCAGTGTATCAGAGCTTTGGCAAAAACAACTAGACCCCTGTTCCACTTCTCCGTTGCCATGGGGCCGATACGGACCCTGCCGCCCTTAATTGTAGAGAGTATAGGAGGATGCGGTGTCGCTGCGCTGGGCTGGCCTACAAGACTACTACTCGGTGAACAGGACAATCTCGCCCCTATCGTTCTTGCGCAGGCGGATGCTCTTCCACAGCTCCTTCTCGTCGTCGGGCTTGCTGAGGTCGTCGAGGCCGCGCTCGTGCCGCTCGCGATGGTACTTCTTGAGGGCCTTGTGGAAGCTGACGCCGTGCTCCGAGGCGGCGTCTTTGGCCAGGTAGGTCAAGAGCAGCTCTGCGCGCGAGGCGGGCCGCTTATGCAGGACCAGCGCACCGGCGTCGCCGTTCTCTGCGCGGTATCCGATGCTCTTGAGCGGCTTGGACGACTTGCGCTCGCGCTCGTGCGAGTCGGTCGACGACGACCGCCGCCTCCGAATCTTGACCAGCTCGCGCGAGCGCTTCTTCTCCTTCTCGGCGTCCTTTTCGCCTCGCGCCTTGCGCTCTTTGCTGCTCTTCTTCTCCTCCTTCTTGCTGCTGCTCTTGGATTGCTTCGTCCGCTTCGCCGGCCCGCTCGGCGACCCCTCCACACCGCCTTCGGCATACTCTTGTCCCGGCGGGAGCAGCTTGTCCACGCCGTCGGTAAGGCCCGAATGCAGCACTGGTGGCGCATCCACCATCATCGCGTCCTGCTCCTCCTGCGCCTTGGCAGCCGCTGGCCCATCGACATCCTCCACTTGCTGCCTCTTGCGCTTCTTGTCCGACTTCTTGCCCGACGCGTCCTTGTCCTTCTTGCCTTCCTTCGATGCCGGAGTGGTTGGGTCGGCCGCTTGTGCTTCCGCCACCGATATCTTGGATGCGTTAGGCGTGTCTTCCGTTACTAGGAAGTCGAAGACGTTGACCGGAGCTGGCGGGGTCGGAGCGCGCGGCGGCACGTCTACGACGGCGACGGCGACGGCGCCCGTGTCCGTGTCTTGCGCTGCATCGTTCCGCGGAACGAGAGCTTGCGAGTTATTGTTGTTGTTCTTCCTTTGCTGCTGTTGCTGCTGGCCCTTCGGCTTCTTCTCCCGGTACAGTGCGCCTTGGTACTTCTGCGCCTCGCTCATACAGCTCTGCGCGAATAGTGTTAGCATGGTTGGACGGGTCCAGCAGTTTCCTTGCAAGTGTGTTGACCAAACACAGGTTGGCCGGTGATGGTCAACACAGAAGTGTGACCTCTGCTCGTGCTGCAAGGGAGAGGGCAGCTAGGCGACGTACGGTATGCGATCTGTAATCCGTCCCTTGGAAGTGTACCATGCAGTCAATGCAGGTGTAGGAAGCGCCCCAGCATTGGTTCCGGTGAGGGTCGAGCTTCTTCTTGGTGAGGATATCACCGCAGCCCTACAAGAAGCCGTCAGTGGTGGTGCGCGGGCATGAGAGAGGTGAGCGCGCTCGCGCAGTCCGGCGTACCTCGCACGAGAATGAGACCATGTTGACAGGTAAACAAGGCGCGGTTTAGCGTGGTACAGTCGGCCAAGGGCAAGGAATGGGCTACGACGAGAGGCGAGTAGGGTCAGAGGCAGCTCCAAGGGCAGAAGCGGTATCGATTGCAGCGCGCGGAGGAGATTCTATCGAGGGCGAGGAAAAAGTCGTCAGAGGGCGAGTTTATTGCGGGTCCCGAGATGGAGCCTTTCCCGCCGGCGCGCACTAGCTCAGCCGAACGCCAGCCAGGGTCCTGCATGTGTACAAGTACATACATCACGCGCCAACCATTGCGTCTCTACCGCCCCTCGTCATGAGCGCGCTTGGTGGTGTACAGACTTCAGTTGTGACTTTTGGCTGTGCCGCTGCCGTTTCTTCGGTTCGCTGTGGTTTGGGGCCATCAGATGCGCATGAGACTGTCCGAGTGTGATCGACGTCCGGACCCTGTGTGTCACATACATGGTACAGCACTGTATCCGGAGAGGCACTCTCGATCGCCTATCATTCTCCATATTATCGATGGCTACTCTGGCCTCAGATGTTCTCACTGGCTAGTAGTCCTGCCAAATCCATACCTACATACCTATATCATCGGAAGCGCCGGTATCCAGATGTCCGCCTAAATCTCTCCAGCCCTTCTCCTATAGGTGATCCAAATCAGGTGGGTATATTTTTCTATTCTCTAGTCTCCAGATTGAAGAACGCCGTGTACCGTCAGACAACCGGTCCCAATTTCCGTACGCCGATCAACTTCAGATGTTTCTACAAATCCGGTCGACTGCAGCAGTTTCGCTGGGTCACATGTAAGACTAAGACATGGCTGCATTATAATAGCCACCTCAACCGCCGTTGGTCCATCTGTTGGCCCCACGTGCCGTAGTTAGTCGTAGTCCACAGCGCTGTGCACCACATTCGGAGGCGCGCACTTACCCCGGTTCCTTCTCAAGCGTCAAAGGCTCGTCTCCATTATGGTCGACCTTAGGCTGCCTTCCGTTGTCTCCGCTTAGCTTCCCTTCCTTTCCTGCGGACGTCTTAGGCTGCTCGTTGGTGCTCACTGTACTGGCCTTCTTCTCCCCGCTGGCCGTTTCCTCGCCATCGGCGCATCCGCAATCGTAGAAATCGCCAATCTTGGAGCAGTCGAATAGCTCCTTGTGGAGACGCTTGTTGACTACATTGTGAACGTGACAACCCCACGCCGCTGCCGCTGACCTTGATGAGACCTGCGGCGGGTATTTTTCAAGAACCAAACTGAAATGTTCTGCGCATTCGCCGCTGTGCATTAAAAGTTAGCACCGCTGTTGCTCGTCCCCCCAAGAATGCGGCTGTTACCATGGGTATAAACGTTGGAACAAGTGGATGTAAGACTGGAGCGCAGTCTTCTCATCTTGCGTCGGCTCATCCGGGAAACGCGCAAAGGTGGTGTGCAGGACTTTCCATGCCGCGCGTCCTAGTTCGGCCCTGTGTAGAATTCCCCAATCAGCCAACCTTTTCCTCCTTCCCGTGTGGCCCGTCCGGCTGATCCACACTCCCTGTCACGTACTTGATCGTCTCGTTTCCAAGCCTCGGTGCAATAACATGCCCCTTCAAGGTGTCGCTGCTAATGTCGTTATGGTGTGCTGTCGCTGGGCTTACAACGCTGCCAGGTTGTTGTGTCCCTTGTGGCTGGGCGCGGAAGGTCGAGATGAATAGTATGGAGGCGAGTCCGCAACCGAGTATGAGGAGGAGGAAAAAGCGGCGGCCTGCACCAGCTGGTGGCATTTTGAGATTCGGGCGTGAACACTCTCGAACGGCGAGAGAATTCAGTGGATGTGAAAACTGCGCGGGACGAGTGAGTGAATGAGTGAGTGAGAAGACTACTATAGCGCGCAAATACGCAACATCTCCTTGAATCGCAAGAGATGGGGCGAGTTATTGACGGCGCGATCCAGGCGTGAGCGGCGGGCCAGATATGACGAGACAAGGGGCGCCAAGCTGGGGCCTTCTCGTTGCGGCCAACGATCACCTCACGTTAACCCCGCTAAATCCGCCATCCCACTACCGTTCACCTCATCACACTCATCGTGCCATTTTCCAATTGTCCCTTCAATCTCAAACGCAACACCATCATCATCACGTTTCTTCGTACCCAAAACTAAGCTAACCCAAGATGGCCTCGACCTTCCCCCCGCCGCCCGTCAACACAATTGGTTAGCTTCCGCAGACAACTAGTGTGCGGCTGAACGTTGCTGATGTTCGGGATATGCAGACTGGAGCAATGTCGGCTTCAAGGTTCGGGAAGGTAAATGGGACCCCTCACCCCGCCAAGACAGCTCGAATTGACATGATTGGTAGTGAACGGTCACATTGAGGCTACCTACAGCAAGACAACCGGCCAATGGACGGAGCCCGAGTTCGTCGCGGATCCTTTTTTACGCATCCACGGCATGGCTCCAGGCCTTAACTATGGTTTGACACCCGCTCTATCGTGACAATACCCATCTAACACGGCATTAGGACAGCAATGCTACGAGGGTATGAAGGCTTTCCGCGGTCCGGGCGACAAGGACATCTTCATCTTCCGCCCCACGATGAATGCCGAGCGTATGCAGCACTCCGCGTCTTACATCTCTATCCCCGAGGTGCCCAAGGATCTTTTCATCAAGGCCTGTCGTTTGGCAGTGTCGCTCAATGCTGGCTATGTCCCCCCGCATGAGACCGGCTCCGCTATGTACATCCGCCCGCTCCTCTTCGGCTCAAGTGCCCAATTGGGATTGCAACCTCCTGAGGAGTACACCTTCTGTGTGTTTGTCATGCCGACTGGAGTTTACCACGGTGTGCACCCCGTGGATTGCCTGATCCTTGAGGACTTTGATCGGGCCGCTCCCGAAGGTACTGGTTCGGCAAAGGTCGGCGGAAACTACGCACCGGTCCTCAGGCACAGCGACAAGGCACGGGCCGAGGGTTTTGGTATTACTCTGCACCTTGACAGCAAGACCCGGACTGAGATTGACGAGTTCTCAACGTCGGGTTTCATTGGTGTTAAGAAGAACGGGGATGACATCACCATGGTTGTGCCTGACAGCAAGAACGTCATCAAAAGTGTTACCTCCGACAGCGTACAACAAATCGCCAAGTCTTTTGGTTGGAAGGTCGAAGTCCGACCGGTAAGTTGGGTGCAGGACCGCTCCACTGGGACGGTAGTGGCTGATATCTGATTGGCAGGTCAAATACGAGGAGTTGCCTAGTTTCACCGAAGTCATGGCAGCTGGTACAGCCGCAGCGCTTGTCCCCATCAAGTCCATCACGATGAGGTCTAAGGGCGACAAGATTGAATATATCAAGGATGACGAGCCAGGTCTGATTTGTATCAAGCTGATCGAAACGCTTCAAGGCATCCAGCGTGGCAAGATCGAAGATTCTTTTGGTTGGCTCGACAAGATCGAGGAGGCAAAGGGCTACAAGGTAAGGGGCGGAAGCAACACCACCAGCGGCACGGAGGACAACGTCGACAAGCTGCCATGAGCGTAGTTTTCCTCGAACCGGCAAACCCATATAGATCCGGAAAGATCTCGAACGACTTTAGACAAAAATATCTTAAGGTTCAGCCTCCGGAGGGTCTGCTGATCGCCCACGTTGCATATGCATGGTCTGCAAATGCGCGCTTCATTCTGAGTTTGCTTGTCAGCAGTGATGAACAGTCTCATGGTTCCATTTTTGCACAAGTTCTTTTCCTTTGCCAACGGGAAGATGAAAAAATGTCAGGCCTCCTGACAAGGCACCATGATACAAAAGTAATCGTTACTAGTATACGCTCCGGTGCGTTAACCTAGGAGAGCAAACAAAACCACTTCGAATCTGTTCGGGTTTCTCAGACATGGCGCACCTTTCCGTGGATTTGAGGGCTTGTGGAGCCGATGGCGTAACCTACGTCCGCATACCTGGAAGAACATGCCAACACACAGCTTCTGCCTGTTGCTGCTAAGGAGTGTCGTGCAATAGTAGTCCTACGATATGCAGCCTCGAACACCACATGGCACAAGCCAAATTGTTGGTTTGCGATAATCAGAGTCAGCAGCGTCAGCGGCGATAGGAAGTAAGTGAGGCTAGCATCCTAAGACCGAGCAAGCATATGTGAATACCGGTAAGCTATGGAAGCTTCTGGGCTTTTACACTGGCGCAACCGCTATTCTACAGAAGTTGCTGCGTTTGGCCGCGAATATTTGTCCGTTTGGTGGTGCGTTAGTGCGTCTCCGCTCCCGAGCCCGCCAGCACGTTTGCGCCCACGCTGACTGGCGATTGGTTAACACGTTTCAGCTCATGCTACGTCGTTTCGTGGCGCAATTTGCTGACATCCTTCTCTTTCCTTTTGCACTTTGACTTTTGTTTTCCTACCACTGGACTCCTCTAGTGGCTGAAGTTATGAGTCTTTGACGGGGCCCAGCTCACCGGTACCACTGCCCGAAAACGGCCAGCGTCCAATCCGGGGTGAATCCCTTTGCGATCGGCCATGCGGTCATCTTGTTGTCTCTCAGGTGCGAACCAATCGTTAACAAGGTCGAAACTCCTACTAAATGGGGGCCCTTCCGTTCTAGCCCTATGGCTTTCGCCTTGCCCGTCTCGCGTAAGCACCGTTACCTCTCAAGCCTCTTTGCGCAATACATCGTCCCTAACTTCGGAAAGTTGCTTGGGTACTTGACCGACCCTTTTGTTGCTGTCACCATTAATTGCCAAGGTGATGACGCTGACAGAAGACATCGGACGAAAGGCCTATGTCGGGGCCAGAATGATTAATGTTAAAGGGTGATGGTATATATGTGGGCGTAGAGCTGCGTTGTTGGTCCCTGCTTCACCAGCTAGCTCGCATATCAACCCTGCGACAAGAGCCCCCCTCAGGACCTTTTTCTTCCCTGTGCCTCGGAGGCCTGATATCGAGACAGCAGACCTAGCATCACTTCAGGTCACACCTTTTCCAGCACCATGGCGGACATCAAAGGAAAGCGAACCGACCATAACCTGAAGGCACCACCCCATAGCCCTAGGGGGGCCCAAACACCGTCGAACAAGAGTCGTCTTACCCTCGACGATAACAAGGATAGCGTTTTTGAAGATGAGAAGGTAAGATCGTCAATCGATATCGAGACCGCGCCCACGGGCAAGACCCAGGAGCCTGAGCCTCTCGAAGCTGTGGAGTATCCCAGGGGAATGAAGTTGTTCTTCATTCTCATTGCGGTCATCTTGAGCATCTTCCTGGTATGTTTATATGAGCTTGACCCACGAATTCCGAAACAGCAAACTGACCTTCTACTTAGGTGGCATTGGACATGACCATAGTGGCCACTGCCATACCTCGGTAAGCTAGTTACCAACTGTCTCACCTACTTTGCTAACACGGCAGCTAGTATCACGGATGAATTCAAGAGTCTCGATCAGGTCGGTTGGTACGGCAGTGCGTTCTTTCTCACTGTTGCGGCTTTCCAGTCAACTTGGGGAAAAGCGTACAAGTACTTTCCTCTCAAGACGGCCTTCCTCTGTTCCATTGCTGTATTCGAGTTGGGTAGCTTGATTTGCGGTAGGTAAAATCCGCAAAAAAATTGTTTGGTTTTAAGCTGACATAAACATAGCCGTCGCGAAGAACAGCACAGCTCTCATCGTTGGCAGGGCCATCGCGGGTGCTGGTGGTGCAGGCATTGCCGCTGGCGCATATACCATCATTGCATTCACCGCACCACCTGGCCAGGCTGCCGCGTTTACGGGTATTCTCGGTGCTGTTTACAGTATCGCTAGTGTCGTCGGTCCCTTACTTGGAGGAGCATTCACTGATAATGTATCATGGAGGTGGTGGTAAGTGAAGCCCTCCCACGTGATGTTCAGCACAATACTCACAAGGCATGCAGCTTCTACATCAACCTGCCCATCGGTGGTGTCTCTGCCGCCATCGTGTTTTTCTGGTTCCATACTCCAAGCACCGCAAAGCCCGTCGAGGCTCCACTCAAGGAGAAGATCCTCCAGATGGACCCGGTTGGCACCGGCGTTCTCATTGCAGCCTTCACATGCCTGATCCTCGCCCTTCAGTGGGGAGGCACGACAAAGCCCTGGGACTCTGCTGACGTGATCGGTGTGCTCGTCGGTTTCGGCGTCATCATCATCGCGTTCGTGGTGTTCGAGTGGTGGCTTGACGACCGAGCGCTCATGGTCCCCAGGCTCCTGAAGCAAAAGACCATCATGCTGCTCAGCGCATTCCAGTTCTTCAACTCTGGTCTCTTCATGTTGCTGCTGTACTACCTCCCCATCTACTTCCAGGTTGTGTCGGACGTCTCGGCCGCACAGTCAGGCATCCGCAACCTGCCATTCATCCTCGGCATCGGTACGTCAACCCGCTCCTTACTCTTGTACTCTAGCACACGCAGCTAACAAGACCCTATAGCGCTTCTGACAATCGCTTCCGGTGGCATCATCACAGTAACAGGGCACTATCTCCCGCTCATCCTCCTCGGCAGCATCCTCGGCACCGTCGGCGCCGGCCTCATCTACACCCTCGGCCTGCACAGCCCGTCCTCGGAGTGGATCGGGTACCAAGCACTCGCCGGCATCGGCAGCGGTCTAGGAATCCAAGTCCCGATCATCGTGGGGCAGGGCATCGTGGACCCGATCGACGTGAGCAGTATCACGGCCATCATCATCTTCTGGCAGACGGTGGCGGGCGCCATTTTCGTCAGCGTCGGGCAGAGCCTGTTTGCGAACGAGCTGATTTCCTCCGTCAAAAAGAACTTGCCGGGTGTTAACCCTGGGCTGGTTGTTTCGACGGGCGCGACGGAGCTACGACATGTCTTCGGGCCCGACCAGCTGCCGGCCGTGATCAGGAGTTATATGGACGGGCTGAAGAATGCTTATGTGCTTGGGATTGCGCTAGAGGGTGTTGCCGTGCTGATTGTTTTCATTATGCTGGTTGTTGATCGCAGGGTCCTGAAGAAGGGCCATGTTGGCGGTGCGGCGTAGGGAGGCTGTGGGGATGCACGCGTGGTGTTGAGTGGTTATGGGTTATGATTGGCTCGGCTTAGTTTGGTAATGATTCCCCCTTTTGTTTTTCTTTTTTGGACATGGGCTTGGGATCGGGATAGTCAGGCATACTCCTAGCGGGCTGGCGAGGCGCACTTAATGCGATTGATTATTGGTGGGAGGGACATAAAAGTCAGTCATTTTCTTCATGTACGGCCTTCGCTCTGTACACCATTTTCTACTCTTGGACAAGGGAGGCCACGAGCTGGGCTTGCTCCCCCAAGCGCGTGGTCAGATTAGCGTGAGCGCGTGCACGCGGCTCGCTACGTCTATGCCGTGTATGCATATGTACGACCCGTCAGGGATCGGGAAACGTGGCGGCCTGGCTGTTCTGATGTCAGATTATTCCTCCTGTCGGTGGAGCCGGGGCGCGGGTAGGGCGATCAATCATTATGCGGCTTACGTACTAATTCCGGACGACTTTCAGCGCCCGGCAGCCTGGCTGCTAGCGTGTGATCGGTTTTCTGGCTTGCTCTGTGTGTGTTGGGTGCGTTTTGGGGTGTGAGCTTTGAACTAATTGCTCTTGGTTGGTTTGGTGCGTGAATATTCTGCTCTGACTTCGACCTTAAGCAGTTCTTTTTGACATATGCCTTCTGTCACTAGTAACGACTCAACAGTTGGTCAGGGGAATGAGGCGCGGCCATGTATATATTCTGCTCACTGTTGGTATTCAGAGCCAAACACGCCACCACAACCACCAAGCAGTTTTGAGTCAATCGGCAAACCGGTGGATCTTTCCTACACACAATTCCACATTAGTAATAGGAGATTTCATCTCAACAGGCAGCACTGATATTTTCCTTGCCTCATAACTCAACGCCACTCACCATGCTTCTGTATTTGAGACGAGTATTGGTTCCGGAAAATAAAGGACATCATCACATTCAATAGATGATTGTTGTGAATACGTAACCCCGCAGGCAACTTATTGGTAACTGTCCAGCCTTTAAACGCTGAAGAGTGCCCGAACCCGATAGTACCCATTGACAACATGATAGTACCCATTGATACGTACCAGAATAGCTGTACGCCTAGCTTCCTCGGTAATCTAGTTCAAGGATGAGAGCGGTGTTGTCAGTTTCGACAGTGTCGGCTCTTATGTGTAAGACCCGGATATTTAGCCCCCGTCCTTCGTCACCCATCTAGTTCAGTAACGTCTAGCGGAAAAGAAGAAACGAGTTAGTCGCTGCGGTGAAATGCAGTCAATCATACAGAGGGTAAAAAATAAACACGCCCACATTACTGTGGACTGTCTCGCGCGATGTAATGAGAGTACCATAACCCACACCTTCAACTGTATAGGGGATGTGCGATATGGGATATTTCAAGATGTTCAGATTCGGTATCGCTTGATGTAGACGAAATAATATAAGTCATCATCAAGTGAGTTCCACTATTTGAAAGGTAACGATGCTCATACTAAGTTGAAACAAAACTAGTCAAGGAAGTTGTTGTATATATGTGTTTGAAACCCTTCTCGCTCGTATCCAAGACTCAGACTTGTAGCTAGACAAGGAGTATCACTGATTCTATAAGGACTACTCACATCGTCTCTATCTCACTAAATGCTGAGGCTCTCGACGGCGAGGGACGTTGTCGACTAGAGAAGTATATTATTTCGCGCTAAAATTTATCTACCACTACTATCACACAGCAAAACCCGTTCTAGGGAAAGAGACATAACCAATACAGAGTCAGTCGTTATGTGTAGGGTCCCACCTATCAATAACCGTCTTACGTGCGGGTGTTGTAATATCAATAATTGGATACTAATCTCCATGACTTCAAAAGCGTTCAATCATGCTTATATGATGGCGATTAGTATCAGGTCCAGCAAGTTTCGGGAACCACCATCATTTAAGAGTCGACAAAGTCAGTGAAAAAGACTACATGATTGACTGGGTATAGCGTGAAAGGAGCCGTACAGTGAAGGCGTAATTTACGAGCCGTATCGGCAGCTGCAGTAACAGTAGAGGTCGGAATTGTTCAGTCTCTTAATGTTTCGCCGGTCAGCATTGCTCACTATATATAGGTAGGAAGATTCGGGGCGATGAACGGCCCTTCGATGCCAATACACTAATACATTAATTTCCGGGCCAAAACTAATACATGACGCAGTTATCGACTTCAGTGATTGGTGGTAAGCCCCGAGACTGCAGAATAAGCGGCGCTTATAATTTGCGACCCCACAAGCACCACGCCCGTACAGTGAAGTAGGTCAGCGGTCGTGAATATGCATATCCCGAAACAATTAAAGAGCAGCACAAACCACTACATTGCTAACGGTCCCAAAGGAGTATCCTAGTTGTTATACAAGCTACCTTCCCGAATAATAGCGTTAAACTAACCAAAATAACAAAGTTATTCAGGAGCTAGTCATTTCCGAGCACGAAGTGAATAAATATAGACAAAGTGCACACTCACTGATTAAAGTCTCAGTGAAAAACCAGAACATAAACATCAACAAAGAGGCTAATACGGCACGAAAGCACTATCTACACCAACACCTCCCTCTCTGTAGGTACCTCTACCTTTTCCGACAAGCCCAAAACAAAAAGCAACCCTCTCAATCAAGCCCCTATACATCAAATTTACTCTAGACGCGCTATACCCCACACCCACAAGAAAGTAAAAGACAGCACAATACACACTATAATAGTGCCCCTTCCCTCCAGAATCCAGCAGTTCAGCTTTACCCGCTTTCCTCCAGTATCGCCTGCGGAAAAAAAGCCGAGTGAACCAGCTAGCCAGGCGTGCGCCGGCACCACTACATCGACGACAGCCCCAGCGACTTGAGGGAAATGGCATTTATGCGACAGCGATTATTGATGATTAGCACTACTAGAAGATGGTTATCACTACTAGAAAATGGAGGATGGCGTCAGTATTAGAGGGTGCTGATGATGTTTTGTGTTGTAGAGTGGATAGAGCTTATGGGCATGGCACAGAGGCCGAATCTCTCTACCGGTGCAATTCTGCCGTACAGCGACATGATGTAGTTGCTTGAACCGTGATCGAGATGCTCTCTATTCTCTCATCGAGCTTTATCACCCATCTGAGATATTGAAGCGAGTGCTCTAGAGGTTTGTTCGTGTGATTTCTTGTCAGTATAAGCTGTTGAACGCTTATCAAGTGCTCTGATTTCGGCATCTTACTTTAGATTACGTACATACACTTTTCATCAAGACCTCTCCCAAGTCTCTTCCCAGTCCCTAAACGCCAGAGATATAACTATCAAGCATTATCAAATTACCACGTTTCCCAATGCCATCCCAATTCATACCACATCAACACTGTCACCACCCATCCACGCACCTACAACCCCCCACTCCCCAGCCCCCACATCCAATCCTGATCGATATCCATTCCCAGACCACCCCAGCCCGGCGCTCCCATACCCATTCCCATGCCCATGCCCATCCCCACCCCAACACCTACCCCCAACCCCAACCCATCCCCAGCATCCGTCCCACCGCCAAAGCTCCCATCGTCGGGCACGCCGCTGGCACTGCCACCGAAGCTCGAGCCCGTGCTCGCAGCGTTCGAGTTTGCGCCCGCCTCGAACCCTCCGCCGTGCATACCGTACATGTACAGCCCGTCAAAAGCGACTAAGGGATCAGTGGCGCCGGAGCCGGAGGCAGGGGCAGCGGCCGAGGAGGAGGAAGAGGTAGAGGAGGCGTGGTTCGAGGCAGGCGGGCTGTAGTAGCTGTTGTAGCAGGCGCAGGAGGCGTCGGAGTCGGCCGTGCCGGCCGTGCATGTGTTTCCAGTGCTTGTGGCAGTACAGTTGGCACTGCCGACGCTAGGAGAAGGCCTTGAAAGACCTGCCGAGGTAGCAGCAGGTGCCCGTGGAGGCGCAGGCGCCGCCGCTGGAGCAGCACTGGCCGCTGTATCCGCAGCAGCGTTGCCACTGCTACTGGCGCTGCCACGATTACCCGCCAAACACCTGAACCGTCTTCCCCGCCTCACGGTGATGGTCCCGAAGTACGGAATCACGGTCCTGCTCATGCACCCCTGTGGCCCTTCGCCTACAATGTCATAGTCCGAGTCTCTCACACTGCACAGCTGTTGCAGGACGCGCAGGCTCTGCGCCGCGACTGTCCCGCCCTTCTCCGTGCTCGCGTGTGCGAATATCGCCATTGTCGCCTCGACGAGGCGCCAGTCGCGGACGTCGTCTTCAGCTTGTGCGGCGTTGGTGGTGGTGTTGTTGCTGGTGTTTTCGAGGCGCCCGTAGCCGAGGAGGCCGAGCATCAGGAGGACGGCGGCGGTGAAGCCAACAAAGTCGACGACTTTGCATTCGTAGAGGGGTTTTTCGGGCTCGGTGGATGAATCGGCGGCGGGGTTGTTACTGTAGCTGGCTGCGCTGCCGCGTAGGATGTGGTATAAGCCAAGCAGCTGGCGGGCAGCGCGGAAGCAGGCCGTGCAGGAGTAGGCGAACTTGGGGTCCGTGGCGCTACGCAGCATGAAAGGCAGGTGGAGGTAAACGCGCAGCTGGTGGAAAAAAATCTGCGCGAGGATGCGGCTGCGGAAAAGGAAATTTTTGGGCGAGTTGGTGTGGTTGTCGATGGAGCTATGGATGTCCCACCATTCGCTGCCCATTTCGGCCACGAGGCTGTCGAGCTGCGCGTCCAGATCGAGCGCAGGGGCGTACGAGACGCTCTCGATGTTGCCTTGTGTACGGTCGATGACGGCGGCGGCGAGTCGTGAGAGCCTGATCATGAATTGGAAGGGGGGCTGGCTTGTTGTGTTGGAGCTGGGTTGGTAGACGGAAAAATCGCAGTGCGAGTCTGCGATGCCGTAGGGGAGGCCGAGCAGAAGAGACAGGAAGCGGTCGTGGTTGAACATTGTCCACCATATGCTGTCCCACGCCTGGTTTTTGGCATGGTTGCGATGAAGGCCCTATCAAACAGTCAGCACGTTTCGTGTGGTTGATGATGAACCTGGTACGTTTCACTTCCGCATTAACATGTCACTCACCGTAAGTTGTGCAAACGTCAAACACCGCCGCACTGTCAACCACCCTCTCCGGGGCTGTCCAATCTCGGCATAGCATTTTGCCTGCAACAACGCACACTCCAGGCCATCAATCCCGGTCATGTAGTCATCATCCGAGACAATGGTAGCGTGTACGAGAGCAAGGTAGCGGCTGAGATCTTCCATTTCACCAGCAACGCCTACGGCCAAGAGCAGGAGGGCCACTTGGGCAGGCGTGCCGTCAGTGATGGCTTTCACAGCAAACTGCTGTAGATTCATGTTGCCGGCCGTCCCGGGCATTGTGGTACGCCAGAACCCCCACCATTCACTAGCAATGATGATCGACCTCTGAAGCGTTTCATTTGATGGGAGGGCATCGAGAAGAATCGCGCGAGTGCGCTTTTCCTTTGATTTCTTAAACTTGTTCACTTCTTCGTTAGTATCGAGCTGATTGTCTGTACAGTTAAAGTGGAGGTCATAGGACCTCGCTTGCATAGCCTCGCTCGACTGGGCTGGTGAGTGCTTCTGAAATTGCTCTGGGCCTTGAGAAGCTGCGGTAGCGGGCTGTGACTGGGGATCGGCTCGGCTTATCTACTATCGTGAGTTTGGCTCTAGAAGGGTTGGCATAGTCATACCACTTCATTATCGAACATTGTCATGAATGGCACCGATCCATTATGGCCCGGTATGTTGTTGGACGAACACTCGGGCGAACAAGGCGTCGGCGGCAAGACATCGGCGGCCAGGTTCCTCAGTGTCTCCGCAGCACCCCTATCGGTTCTGTCTTCCAATAGAGACTCGACCAAGGATTCAAGACGGGCGACTCTCTCACGAAGATTTTTTCGGTTGTCGACAACGGTGTCATTATCTGCGTGTTCTTGGTCCACGCAGCGGGAGCCGCGGGCAAAGCATTCAGTGCACGAACCTGCATGCTCTGTGGAGAAGATGCAGCGGATCTTCCGGCGACGGCCTGCATTGGTTAGCGGGCGCCCTGGCCATGCAATCGTCCGGATCGAGGAAGAAGCAAGCAACCAACGTGCCCTAAGCAACCCGAGCGTCATCCGTTACTCGAGCGGGCCTCAGATGGCTGACTTTGCTCCCTGACTCAACCCAGGACTATAAAGATGCCTGACAAAGAAAATGAACTGTCCGTACATTCAAAACAGCTGTGCGTGCCTTTGCGCATCTTCTTCCGGACGCCGCCGTCAGGAAAGCCGGCTTCGGACAAAGAGCGGGACATTTTGGACGAGTGGTGGATCCACGGGTCACCACTGAGATCAACGCGCCACGTCGCTGGGTGTGATAGAGATCAGATGACTTTGGAGTTTGAAAGGGACAGCTAGCAGGAGGAGTTGATGGAGGTAAGATGGGGAAACCGAAGGATGCGGTTGAGGGAGATTTCGTCCGGCTTTGGTCCGAGGAGTTTGGTCCGGGCCGTGTGACTGAATGTCCACTGACATGACGGATTACATCAGCTGTCGCGAGTCAGAACACTGGAGCCTGACAGACAGGCTGACTCGGGCTTTTCACCTTGGCACAGGGGTGAATTGGGAAGGTGCCAAGGTGTCCACCCGTGCCACCTTCGCACCTTCCCTACCTATCGATCGGGAAGCCGAGAGGGAACGGTCTTGTCGGCCCGATGATGTCAGACTGTCAGACCGTCATGCCGCGCGGATAATAATAGCACCACAGCCACGCTTTGCCAGCACAAAGCCATACGAGCTGCTTTCCATTCCTCCCGCCTCGCCGCGTTTCTCCGTACCTTCAGCGCCATGCCACACTCACGAGATCCCAGCGTTCAAAGCATGTCGCCACCAACTTCACCCCCAAAGAACCGCAAGCGGAAGCATGATCCCTTCCTCGAGCTGGCAAAAACCCCCATCTCCACGCCTCTCCCCTCTCCCGACTCGGGTCGCTCGGAATTCATAGGGGATGACGAGAAAGAGCCATTGCTGAAGAAGGCACAACCTCCCTGGCAAGAACAGTGGTCCTAAGGGTTAGCCATGCTGACATGTGTTACGTAGATCTTCCTCACGCCTCTGATCGTCACCTCCTTCATTCTCTCGCTCTTCATCGTCAATCGTCGTCAACGTGCCTGGCGTCTCGCTGAGCATCCTCCTCTCCAGGGCACAAGGGCGTGGCTGTCGCAATGGTCGCCCTGGAAATGGCTGGATCCAGAACCTTACCAAGACCCAAACGACTCGACGTGGCAAAATGCTAATGCCAGCAGCACGGCGACGGGCGACGGTGGCATACCGGGGGTGGACGGACAGGCGATGGCACAGAAGTACAAGCCGGGGCAGGGACAAGGCTGGCATCGGAGAAAGAAGCACCGGAAGATGGCCAAGCTGGAATTTAGTGAGGCATTCGACATGCAGTGGCAGGTTTTGATGACGCTGGCCGTGGCCTGGGCCTTAGTGGTCGTGATCTTCTTCTGGGGAGCGAAGAAGGTCATCTCGTCGGCATGGTGAAGGACGGTTCCAGGTTCCAGGGAAAACGACACATTTGACGTCGAGGGTGAGGCGGCGCACGTGCCTACGCGACCTATGACGCGGAGTGCTGTCAAGATCGTCATGCGCTTCTAATGATTAATGGATTTAAGCTCAGCGTCGGTCCCGCTGGTGCCGTAACTACTCCTAGCTGCGGACACCAAAATGGCCCAACCAACAGAGACCTATCGTCGTGCCTTTGTCGATTGTGACCACCCACACATCAGCTACGGCCTTTCCTTTTCCGATGCTTGTGCTAAGCATGTCGAGGCCACTTTCAAAGCTTCCAAAATCTACATTTTCGCGTCCAAGTCGCTGGCCAACAACACTGATGCGGTGAAGAAGCTCGAGGGAGCGCTGGGCGACAAGGTCGTGGGCGTGAGGGAAGGAATGAAACCACATACCCTCTGGTCCGAGTGCATTGAAGTAGCCAAAGACGCCCAGGAGAAAGGTGCAGGCCTGCTCGTGACAATAGGCAGCGGCAGTCTGACCGACGCCGCCAAAATGATCATTCTGGTACGTACATATACCACACACATACCCATCCATTCATCAAACCGTCCACAAACAACACCCACTAACCCGCCCTCCCAGATCCTCACAAACAACGCCTTCTCCCACTCCGCCATCAGTGCCTGGGGCACCTCATACAACAGCCGCACCGACCTCTCCCCACCCACCGTCCCCATCATCAGCATCCCAACTTCGCTCGCCGGCGGCGAATACAGCGACTTCGTGGGCAGCACCAACGATACCACGCAGCACAAGCACAACTTCGGGCCCAAACCGCCCATGGGCCCTTCTCTCATCATCCTAGACGCACACCTCAGCGCCTCCACGCCCGCAAGCCTATGGCTCAGCACAGGCGTGCGCGCAGTCGACCACTGCGTCGAGACGTACACATCAGCACACGCAGACGCGGCCGCCTTTTCCGACGCCGCGAAAGCCGGGCTTGCGAAACTGGTCCCAGGCCTCTTGCGCAGCTGCGCTGACCCGGAAGACGCGGAGGCAAGGTTTGCTTGCATGCTCGGCGTCCGCGACGCCATGGCCGCGGTCAAGAATAACGTCCCGCTCGGCGCGAGCCATGGGATCGGGCACCAGCTGGGCCCGCTGGGCGTGGGGCACGGTGAGACGAGCTGCATTCTGCTGCCCGCTGTGTGTCGGTGGAACGCGGCGCATGCGGGCGAAGCGGAGAAAGGGGCAGAGTTTGTGGTGGGCAGACAGCGGGAGCTTGTAGAGGTGCTGTGGGGGGAGAAAGAAGTGGCAAAGGTGCTGGAGCAACGTGGGTTGAAGCGAGAAGATGTGGGCTTGGGCGACGTGCTTGAAGCTGTTGTGGGGGCGTTGGGGCTGCCGGGGAGGCTGCGTGAGAGGGGTGTGCCGAGGGAGAAGTTCGAGGAGTTGGCGAGTAGCGCGGTCAAGGATAAGTGGTGTCAGACTAGTGTTGTCCCTGTGACGAGGGAGGAGCAGGTTGTGGAGATTTTGGAGCTGGCGAGGTGATTTGGCTTCGTCTTACTCCTGCCGTAAACTACATTGTACATTCAATGCACCTACCTATACGTCTAAACATCGTTATCACTGTAGATCGAGAGCTACATAGTAACCGAAAATCCGCAAGCCATCCTCATCAAGCCGGCACTCCTTTAAAAGACCACATAATTTATAAAAGCGCCTTCAATCGGCATACCTAGGCCTGTTGCCCGAGTTTGTTTCCACGGTGGAGGAATTGCCAGACAAATGGCGAAGTTAAAAGGGTTCTGGGGGCTGATGCTTAAATTTTTTCAAGTTTAGGGAATCATAGTTTCTTCGACCACACCCTTCTTTTACACGCAACCCAACCCGCACACTCAACAATCACTATCTTCTAACAATAGCAGTCCTCTCCATTTCCCTAAACTGACACTCGTCACCAGCACCACGCAGTAGTATCCTTCCTGTCATCTCATTCACTAAATCCAGGAGAAATCCCTTCAGCGACGACAGAGGACAAATGGTGTGAATCTGCCTTCACGTCGGAATCGTCGCTGTTCCTGCATTGGTCATGTCTTGGCTTTCCCAGAGGTACTTTAGCAGGGTGAGGATGTTGCGCTTGAATTCCATGAACGCCGGCTCGGGTTCCTATATATATATGTGTGTGTGGCGGTGTGTTGTTCTCTGTGATGTGCTACGCCCGCTCCGTTATCCGCTGCTGGTCGCTGGTGCGTGGATGCTTGACTTGATTGATTAGAGTTGCCGGAGCCCAGAAGGCGTAAGTGTTGTGAGAGTTGCGATGTTGGAGTTGTTGTGTGTGTAGGTTTGGGGTTAAGGTTACAACAGATTAAGGCAGTGAGTGATGCATCAAATTGCAGAAAACGTGTAAGAGATTGTGCGTGTATATATACACTATATATCTTCTCATAAATAATATGCCCAGACATTCATCACTCTTCCCATCCGTGGGATCCAGGCACAGCTCGCCTCGCCCTGTACCGAATATGCGAATACCACACGACTTACTATCCTCTGAACAGCCTGATCCAAATATCTTCAGTGAGCGGTGATGGCGGTACTCATGTTCTGGAATTGGTGCTGGGCGTTAACGTGGATCTATGGTGAGAGTAAAATCTGGAAGAGGAAAGGGAGGGGAGTTGGCTGCAGTATGTACGTATGCTAATGTTTATACCTGAGAAACTACAGTGTTCGGTCACGGACATGTCTGTCGTGTGTGTTCAGTGCGGCTCGAGGCACGCCGGATGGACCGCTTGGAGTGGTAAGAGAATGCTTCGTCTTGCCTTCTGGGGAGGGTGAAGGGAATGGCTTGGGACAAGGCCAAGGTCTACTTGTTGAGATAATACGCTACCCCTATGAGCATATCAGCCTTCTTGCCAGATCTGCTTACAACCGAGCCTCGTGCTTGCAATTCCCAACCTACTTCGCTCACACTGTCTCGTCTCTTACCCTTAAGTTTATCCGCACACATCGTTACTACTGCTATGATAGCTATACCATGTCTATAGCGCAGCTCGAGAGAAAACACATGTTTTACAGCACCGAACGCCCGTACCCAGCAACCCCCATCCCCATAGCAAGCAACAGCAAGCACTTCCCCTCTCCCTCCTTTCTTCGACACACACAACGCTACAACATCTCGACGCCCTCAACCCAGCCCTCCAAATCCAGCTCCCCCTCCCCAGAACCCTCAGCAATCAGCCTCTCCAACCCCGCCACCACACCACCCACCCTTCTCCTCCGCATCGTCTCCTCCAGCTCCCTGCTCTTCACAGCCGCGACATCAAGAACAGCCCCAGGCACCTGCGCCAGCCTCGCGACATTAAGTCCATAGCTGCGATGCGCGACGCCGGGCGCGACTTCATAGAGGAACGTGACCTCGTCCCCCTCCGTCTCCTCAAACCGCATATGAACGTTCCTCAGCTCGGCAGCCGCAAACCCGTCCGCCAAGCGCGCCAGACTCTGGTAGTGCGTGATAAACAGGGTCAGGGCACCCAGCTCGCGGACGACGTAGTCGAGCACGGCATGCGCGATCGCGACGCCGTCATGCGTGCTCGTGCCGCGGCCCAACTCATCCAGAATCACCAGACTCCGTGGCGTCGCCTGCTTCAGCACGTCCGCCGTTTCCGAAAGCTCCACCATGAACGTCGACTCGCCTGCGAGCATGTTGTCGAAGGCGCCCATGCGCGTGAACACCGCGTCTAGCATGCCTAGCTTTGCTGATGCGGCCGGCACGTAGCTCCCTACTTGGCCCATGATCCCGATGAGGGCGACTTTCCGCACGTAACTTGACTTGCCGCCCATGTTGGGCCCTGTGATGAGGAGCGCGCGCGTCCCCCCCTCGCCCTGCAACGACACGTCGTTCGGGACGTACGACTCTAGCAACAGCTGCTCAACCATGGGGTGTCGGCCCTCCGAGACCTCGATGCAGACCTCGTCGGTATAGGTCGGCTTGACGTAGCCGGGCTGGCGTGACACCTCCGCGAGCGAGAGCAGGCAGTCCAGCGTCGCGAGGCTTTGGATGCTGTCGCGGAAGGTCTGGTACTTGGCGGCGATCTCGGCGAGCAGCGCCTTGAATGCCGTTTCACACGCCGCGGCAAGCGCTTCTTTATGCTGGTCGCGCTCGCGCAGCAGGCTGATTACCGCCGGCGTGTGGAAGCGCGACACCTGCTTCGTGCCACTGATCTTGGCCCAGGAGGCGGGCACGTTTTTGATCTGCGAGTTGGGGACTTCGATTAGGAACTCAATGCCTGCTTTTGTGACGTAGTCGACCTTGGACTTCCTGAGTTTCTCAGCCGCTTCTTTCTTGTGCTCGTTGAGGTCATGCTCGACCGACACAATGCCCATCTTGTGGTCGGTAATCTCCTCGGTCTCGTACTCCTCCCGGAAGAATCCGTACTTATCATCCTCCTTGGCTGCTTGAAGGTTGATCCGCTCGAGGAAACTGACAACGTCCTCGGATATCAGCGGTAAGCTTGCAACAGCTTCCTGCAGCAATGGCGAAGAAAACCCCGCCTTGTCAGGGGACGTCACATGCGTGTACTCGCTAGCAATCCGTTGCAAGGTCTGGAGAGCCCCAAGCAGTTCTGGACGCGAGCATTTCTGGAAATAGATCCGGATGAGGGATTTCTCAAGGTCAGTCCTGATCTGAGAAACCAAGTGCTTGAGCTTTTCAGCAGATGCCGTCTGTTCACTACTTCTAAGCTCCTCGACAGCAGAAATTCGCGCCTCCAGCTGCGTCTTGTTTATGAGCGGCCGCCCGACCCACTTGCGCAGCAAACGTTGCCCAAAACGAGTCTTCGTGCGATCAAGTGTCCAGAACAAACTTCCCTTGGTCGTGTGGTCTGTCGAATTCTGGTATATCTCCAGGCTGCTTAGTGTGTTGCCGTTGAGCAGCATGTGCGATCGAGCACTGAATGGCTGGAAGTTTTTTGTCAGATCAAAGACATGCTCCAGGCCATACTCCGTCAAGTGCGTGATCATTGCAGATAAGCAGATGGTGACGGGCTCCGAGAGCTGATGGACTTTGTCCAGCACCGTGTTCGCCGTCTCCGAACTGCTGTCGGCCTCCTTCATCTTATCGGCATAGAAGTTGGAGATATGGCTGTACGCCTGCGCAGCCATTGTCTTCGGTTTCTCCACGCGTTCCACGCGTGCTTGGTCTCCAAACACATTGCTCTTGCTCCTTGACAGATGCTGTACCAACTTTTCGGTGGCTTTCGAGACATCGCCGACGATGACAAACTCGCATGGCGCAACGTGGAGCAATCGCGTCTCAATCTCGCTGCGCATGAAGCCGTCGTCGAAAGTATCATAGATGACATCGCCAGTGGCCGGCTGTACAGCTACAATGCCCACATGGACGTTCTCGTCCGTTCCCGACCCTCCAGCGTTCTTTTCCGTGAGACAGAGCAGGTATCCGGTAGCAGGAGTGCTAATTTGACCAGCGTTTACACCATCCAAACCCTCGATATCGTCAATGTAGGTTCCTTTCGTGTACAAGTTTGTGAGCTTTCTCACGAACGGCGCGTTCCTGTTGTCTCCCGCAGCCTTGAGCGCTGCAGTCTCCAGCTGCCTGACCACGCCCACCTTGTGGCCTGCCTGAACGAGTCGCTTGACGTGTATGTGCAGCCGATGTGTGGGGAAGCTCGCGCCGGCGAAGCGATCCAGATGCGCCTCGGAAGGATGGTTGTCGAACCGCATCTTGCCAGGGATACACACGATGCCCAACTCTCGTGCGGCCACGCGGGCATCCTCGCCGAAAAAGCGAAATTTGTATCCCACTTCCACCACCAGCAGCGTATCCGGGTGTTTCTGCTTGAGTTCTATGATCTGCTTCTCCATGGGCGTCAACTTCACGCCGCCTTTTCCCTTCGGCGCAGCTTTGCCCTTGGCTTTGGACTTTGGCGCGGGTTCCTCGTCCTCGGGCTCGTCCTGCTCTTCTCCCTCGCCTTCTGCCTCTTCCGCAATGGTATGGTTTCTTCTCTTTATCTCGGCGATGCTGTCGGGCCTACCCAGCTTCTTCACGAACTTGTGATGCAACCGTTCCTTCTCCTTGCGTGTCTTCTCGGGCTCTTCTTGGTTCTCGGGCTGCACCGGCGAGCTAGAAAACATGAATTTGGACGTCCGGTTCGTGGCCTTCGAGCGAGGCTTGCTGTTTAGATCTGCATCGCTCATCCGTCCCAACGACTGTCGCGCGTCTGGTGTAGGCTCAATGGAAGCCTCTCGTTCCTCTTTATCCGGGGCAAAGTCGCCGTCGTTGTCGTCGTCGTCATCATCATCATCGTCAACTACGACGCTCTTCCGCTGCCTCTTCGGTTTCGGAGCCGCGGCGGCAGTATCATCGCTCTCAGCCGTCTGCGCCCGCTTCAATGCGCTCGAGAACTTCCTCCTGCCCACAGCAGGCTCATCGTCTTCGCTTTCGGGTGCCGCATCGGGAAGGTCTTCGTCAGAGGCATTGGAGGGTTCGGGCGGCGAAGTCGCCTTAGGCGGAGGAGCTGCCTTGGGCGGAGGAGCAGACTTAGGCAAATTGCGAACAGGAACAGCCTTCTGCGTTGGAGCCGCCGGCGCCTTGGGAGTAAAAAAGCGCGAAATCGTCTGCTGCTTCTTAGCCTGCGACGAGGGCGGCTGGGATGAGGGCGCCATAGCGAGAGGGCGATGCGGTCGTGGCTGTGGGTAGCTCACGACGTCAAGCTTGGAGCTCGGTCGGTCAGTGACGCGAGACGCGTCGCGTCTCGCGCGCTCCGTTCGCACGTGAACGGCGGTTTAGAGCTGCGAATTTTGTTTTTTGGACGCTGCGGATGTGCGAGTTTCTGTTCGATAAAGATTTGAGCTGGAATCTGTTTAATGTTTAATTTGTATTTATTTATATGTATATATAATATGTATGTGCAGCTGTTAAAACACCAAACCCTAATCCCAACCCTAACCCGAATGCTATCCCTAACTCTAACCCTAAGTGGTCTGTGCAAAGTTATCGAATAAAATATCCCACGTTCGAAGATGGTTGAAGCCAAGACTTCCTCTTTCGTCTAGCAGCATGCGGCCAAACCACAACGTGGTCAAAGCGAGGCAGCACTGAATCCATCCGGCATCAAGAAGCACGTAACCAAGAAGGATAGACGGAGGACTAAAGGAAGTTCGAGCAATGCGGCTGGCTAGGTATTTAGAGCCGCAGCTCCGCTAGGGAGAAAAGGTATCATCATCCACTCTAATCCACGCCCTCACCCTCAACGGTGGCAGGCTCTCCACTTGCAACAGTAGTATCAACACCTGCATCAGCATCAGCATCAGCATCAGCATCAACCGCCGCACCATCCACATCCCCCTGCCCAGCAGCAGAAGCCAACACACCCTCGTCCTCGCTCACAACTCCACTATTCACCCCGCTAGCCTCCCCGCTCGCCTCCCCACTGGCCACCTTCTCCTTTTCTTCCTCCTCCAGCTCCGCCGTCTCCCAATCATCCACCACATCCTCAGCCCTCTTCTTCTCCTCTTTCTTCTTCTTGCTGCTCAAGCTCAGCACCGTAAAGCTATTCGACGGCTTGCCAGCGCGTGTGCCCGGCGCAGGCCTCTTCGCTGGCGCTGCCGCCTTGGCCGCGACCTGGGACCAGCCGCCGTTGGCGACGGAGTCGGTCTCGCGTCGCAGGACGTTGAGGCTCGAGTCGAAGCGGCTGAGCTGGATGCTACCGAGCGAGTACGAGCGCACCTCTTTCGCTAGCGACATCTTGGTATTCTTGAGCGAGGTTTCTAGGTCGCGTTCGGCGAGGCTTGAGTTGGCTTTGAGGACTACCTCGTCGCTGGGCAGGAACGAAATATCAAACTGCACGCCCGCAATGGCGTCGAGGACGTGGCGGACCGCTGCGCGTAGCTCCTCAATGGTAAGGCCGAAGCGCGGGTTTGACAGAAGGAAGCCGTTGTAAGGATCACCGACCACATTGCTGGCCTTGAGCTTCTTGGGCTCCGCTGCAGCTGTGGCGGTGGTGGTAATGGCCCGCTGGTTGTAGCGAATACGTACACATTCACCCACAGTTTTACTAGGGGCAGCTACGAAGCGAGGCGTCTTGTAGATGACAACGTGTCGGTGAGGCTCGGGATCCATGCTTTCTGAGTCGAGACCAAAGTCCTCTGCCAGTGCATGAAGGAAGGCTCGTTGGTGAGATGGCATTGGCTTAAAGCGTAGTCTCTTCTCCTCGGGGCTGGTGGCAAAGACTCGGAACTCTCTTTCTTGTGTCTGCGCCCACTGGACGTTTTGCTGGAATAACGAGAGGGTCTCCGCAGAATACGGGATATGGTCGTCCTTGTGCGCTTCGGGGTCGACGTTGAGGGCCAAGGCAAGCTTGCGGTTTCTTTCAAGCCTGGCGCACTCATCATCACATTTGAGTGTCTTTTCGAGGTTACCTTTGCTGTCTTTCATAGCAAGGCATTTGGCCTCTTGCTTGTTGTGCTGACACGGGCAGGTGATGAGAACCTTGTACTGACAAGGCTTGCTCTCATCACAAGCGTACGGTGAGTGGCAGGTGTTGGAACAAGGGTGACCACACGTCTTTTCCTTGCCACAAGCTTGTTGGCAGCTCGTTCCGGCATCCTCGCACTCTCCGGGCTTGTGACAAGGCTTCCTGCAGCGATGAGCACCGCACTTCAATTTCCTGCCGCAAATCTCTCCGCATCTCGCGTCTGCTAGCCAACAAGGCTGGTTCTTAAGAATGTTCTTCCCGCACATGCAAGGCTTAACAGTGAGGAAAGGACACTTGGGGCAACTCTCATCATCTTGATGACAGTTGTGAACAACTTGCGGGTGGCCACAAGCCTTAGGCCGCCCGCACTGAAAGCGGCAAGGCGGAGGCTTGGTGCCACAAGGCAGCGGAGGCTGCAAGACTGTTCTGCCACAGTCGCAGCTGATTTCATCGAATATAGCTTCACGGCAGCTGCCACATGGGCCCTTATGGCAAAGCTCTTGACAGCTGTGGTTACCACATTTCAGCAAGCGACCGCAAGGCCGTGTGCAGATGTGTTCAGCCTCCCAACCATCATCCACGGGACGTGTGGCTGCTTCGTCGAGACGGCGTGGCTTCCGGCGGTTGGCTGCGCGCTGAGCCGCTTTCTTCTCGCCCGGACAACAGTGCTCGCCGCATTCGTGACGACCACAGTTGAGGGTGACACGGCAAGTACGCATGCACTGAGGGGATTCCTCGACTCCCTGGTGGCACACTGTCGACAGTTCTGTCCTCCCACATCGGCAACGAATCGGGACGATCCTCAAGCAGGGTAGACAGTCTCCAGAGTGACAGACCTGAGGACAAGAGTGACCGCAAGCCAAAGGCTTATCACAGGGCTTGCTGCAGTTTGGTATGCGGTCTTCGCAGGAAGTCCTGGCTTTGTCGGTGATGTGCTTGAGCTCAGTCTTGCCACAAGGACAATGGCTGACAACATCGGGAGAACGGGGACAATGGCTTGGTTCGGCTCCTTGCGGATGGCAATGCTGCTCACATTGGTGCTTACCACAGTCGAAATATCTCTTGCAGAGATTTCCGCACTCGAACAGGCCGACCCATTGCTCTGTGATGTTCTCATCGGCTTCCGACTTGTGGATCCGGCTACTCTGCTTCTCGTCATTTTTATCGCAGCACAAAATAGCCTTCTCCATCTGTCCGCAGTAGCAGCGTGCGTCCACTCGAACCTCGCAAGCTCCGCAAAGGCCCTCGTGACAAGGGCGCTCGCAGAAGTGCTCCCCGCAAGGCATCAACTCTCCACAAACTTGGCCGCAGCTCCAACCGTTTTCGTAGTCCGTGTCCAGGCATCTCTTAGTGGAGGTCTCCTTGCCGCAGAAACACATTTGAGTAGGCCCCATCTGGGTGCATGGCGGGCAAGGTCCAGCATGACAGATCTCGGGGCAAGGATGGGGGCACTTCTTCGGCATTATCCGATCTCTGGAACATGTCTGTCCGCAGGAGAATGGTGGTAGTCCAGCGAGCGGCTTCGGGTCGAATTCCTTCTCACACCAGCAGGTGAATGAATTTGGCAGGGTATCCTTTGGCAGATTGCAACCGGGACATCTCCATTGGCGAGGAGGAGGCATCTCTCCATTTTGTTCTTGTTGCCGGGAAGCCGCAGAACCCTCGTTCTTCGACCACTTCTTGATGCAACTAAGGTGGAAGACAGTCCAACACGTTCTGCAGGACCACATCTTCGAATTCCTCATGACCTCGTTCGTGCAAATCGGGCACTCGTATTGTCCGTTGTCAACATCTTCGTGTATGCGGGTGGCGATATCGGGAGCAGTCGACTTGGAGGCTCTGCGCTTTCGTGGCTGCGGTGCTTTGGAGGCTCTCGCTACTGCCGGCTGGCCCGGCTCGAACGATGGTGCATCTGGCTGAAGCTGCGAATCGTCCGTGTCCGCCGTCAGTTGCCCTCCAAATTGCCTGCCCTGGAAAGTCCTGGACGTGTTCACGTTCTGTCCACCACGACCCCGCGCGCCACCGCCGCCACCACCACCACGCCGCCGGCGACCACCCCGAGACACATTGTTCTCGACACCACTGTTCTCGGTGCTGGGTGTCGGGCCTGTCGACACATTTCCTGGAAGAGGAGCGCTCGAGTCCGGGCCCAGCGTGGTGAGCGCATCTCTTGCAGGTTGCGCCCGGCCGCCTCTACCGCCTCTACCGCCTCTCCCACCTCTCCCGCCTCTACCTCCACGAGCGGCATTCTGCTGTTGTGGTTGCGCATTGCTCGAAGGCTCGCCTGCCTCCATGTTGCCGCCTGGCTGCGGTCTTCTTCTGGGGCGGTGGCGTCGGGGCGCGTCGTTTGCGGACTGCGACTGAGGCGCCGGTTGCGCGGAAACAGCAGCAGACATGGTCGCGGGAGCCGCCGAAGGTGAGAGAACCGAGTGTCCCGCGGATTCCAGGATTGCGAAGGAAAAACCGGTTGGAAAGTGAGTGGAGAGCAGGCTGAGGGATGTTGAGAGCTGCTGTGGCGCAAAAGAAAGTGTTTTTTGTAGGCTTCAAAAAAAAAGTAGCCTACCTAGAATGGGGAAACAAACAACAAACGCCGGTCGGGTAGCAGCAGTGGCCGGAGGGAACCGAAGCAAAAGTGGCGATTGTCTTTATATCGGGTGAAGCTCTTGGGGATTTGACCAGACGCAGCTCCACTGCAGCCTATGACGACAGGGGACGTGAGTCAGCGATTTCCCCTAGCGTGGCGATGCTTTCACAGATCGCTCAGTATGAGTAACCCTTGTTGCACTGCCTGCACCCTAATACTCCGGCGCGTCCGGCCAAGTGACTGCAGCTTTCCATCAGCCCATCGCGATTCACCTGCGCACTATTTGTTTGCGTCCTGCCTTGCTCGCACGTCAGGCTGGCACCCAGGCTGGCGCGAGTCATGGGCCAGAGAAATGTGTGGTCACACCAATCGCGTTGACATTCTAAGCTTCGACAACACCACGCCTCGTGTTACTTACCATTCTTCTCTTCCTCACGATGTCTGTCACCGCCAAGCGAGACGTCACCGTCTAGCGGGATAGGGAAGGATTCAAGCAATTCTTACGAAATACTTCTTGCCTAACTGCATGCTTGAGTCCTGGATGTGGGTAAAAAGTGGTTCCATATTCTATTCATCACGACCGGCCAGCAACGATGATCCCACAGACTTTTTAATATTAAAGGTACAGAAAAGCAAATATAATGGCTGGAAACGTAACCAGTACTGAGCCAGTTAAGTATAAGAAGGTCAACTTTCTCAGGTACGTAAGACACCAGAGGTTAACTCTCGAGTTTGCTGCCTTTTATCCGTCGAATGCCTGCGCTGGAGGCCAGGGACACAGTAATAATGTACTGGTAGAAAACCAGGGGAACGAACATATCCCAATTCTCCAGGATTGAAAGACGCAGTGTAACCTCAACTAGACGAAGCGAATCTCGAGACATCCAACATGCGCCAGCGCCTCAAGGAAACTCGAATCACACATAAAAACCATGCAAACAAGCCTAGAGGCTTGTATAAAAGTGTACAAGGACGAGAAAGTGATTATATACCAAGTCTACTCCATCACAATTGAAACCGACCTACGGAAAGGACTACCTCGCGAGCAGGAAGGCGATCGAGCCTGGCTTGTCCCACAAAATACTCAACCTGAGCTTCTTGGGCGAGGATGCCATGGTAGGCGTTAAGCGGAGACTAGCAGCCGATCGAGCAGACCATGATCTGACCCAAGGCAGATAGTGTTTCGCAATAAAGGTCGGCAACGCCAAAATTATGTCCTCCGCCACGCGAGGTAGGAGGTTGTCTTTATAGGGAGCGATGACTGTGTTAGTCGGCCTTACACCTCTCAAAGTGAGGTACGACAAGAACTTAAATATTGTCTGGCTCTTCTTTGGCTTCGGCAACATGGCCATTCCTTACAAAGGTGATCCCGAGAACAACTCCATCGACAAGTATGCGAGTGCATACTACGCAAAGGAACTGGAGACTGTAATGGCTGCTAACATTCCAGCTATATTCGCCGACAGTTCTGCCAAAAGCTTCACTATCAGGGCAGTACCCAGAGCACTGATGCTCGGCATCCCCAAGAGACGGTATCGAGCACTACAGACATTGTGTCTTGCTGCTGGGCAACAGCATAGATACATGACGTCCGCGTCGTCGAAGCTGTCGTCGTTAACTGATCATCGACCTTGTTTTCGAAGACTTCGTCCCTTCCTCTTCTTCTCTGCCCTCGTCGCCGATTCGCGGACAAACTTCTTCCGTACTTTAGGTTGGCCATTGTGTGATTCTGACCTTTTGCCGATGGCTCTCACAACTCTTATATGCCTGGCTGCTAATTACATATGCGGACGGCTTGGCTAAACGTCTTTTAAATGGCTAGGCGGACGGTATGCGGGACTATGGGTGTTGAGAATGACACGTCCATGCTCCCAGAAGCTATAAGCCCATTCCATCTTTTCATTCACGGATAAGAACTACTCCAATTAACTGGGTAAACGGTAGTATATAAGAACGGAGCAATATTAACGTCCGTCGCTGTAAACCGAGATCCACCGTCTAGCGAGACAGGGGACGCTATAAGCGGTCCCTACAGAGTACTCCTTGCCTGGCTCCCAGCCCAAGTCCTGGCTATAGGTGAAAAGGTCTTAGAGCACATAGGGCCTCTACATGACTTAACTGAGTATCTTCTTCCAGTCCGTACAGGCATCACCATCTCACTTCACGGTGACGGACGTTACTCTATCGTGCGTGGTATTGAGATTCCTGCTGATGTGCCTATCAGCAATGCTACCATGTCTTCCGTAGAGTTCAATTACAAGTCAAGCTATGGTATCATGTCATTCGATATATGGCTCGTAAATATCGTGCTATTATTCGTTGCATCTAACAGACGTATAGTCCGACTAGAACCATCTTGCTATACCCAGGGCTTTTCGAAAGAAACCCATTCCATCAAGATACATTATATTAGTTATCCACAGCCATGACAAGGGCGCCCTTGCCGCCCTCATCAAGCGCATCCAGCGTCTCCATGTCCTTTGCCTCGATCTCAAAGTCGTACAAGTCAGCATTCGCCTCAATGCGGCTCGGGGTGTCGCTCTTAGGCAACGGCACCCAGTCCTTCTGCAAGCAGTAGCGGACAAGGATCTGCGCCGTCGACTTGTTGTACTTCTTCGCGACCGAGTTGAGCGTCTCGTCGTCGGCCTTCCGGTTCCGGACGAGGGGGCAGTAGGCTTCCACGACAATGCCTTGCGACTGGCAGTAGGACACGGCCTCGCGTTGCTGGTTCCAGGGGTGGAGCTGCGATGTGGATTAGTTTTGCTTGGAAAGGACATCCTTGTGGGGTTTGCGTACCTCGATCTGGTTAACCGCGGGCGGCCAGACCTTCGCGTAGCTCTTCATGCCTTCGATGTGCTTCTTTCCCGCGTTGCTGACACCGATGTCCTTGATCTTGCCTTCTTCCTTCGCCTTCTCCAGCGCCTGCCACATGAGCTTCGTCCTGTCTGCGGAGCTGGAAGCGTTGTGGATCAGGAAGAGATCCACGTAGCCATCGGGGCGGTCGTCCATCTTCTTTACGCTCTCGACAATGCTCTTGTACGTCTCGTCTGCATCGCTGCCGGCTGAGAGGATCTTCGTGGTAAGGTAGAGCTCTGAGCGGGGAATGCCCGATTCCTTGACTGCGCGACCGACTTGCTCTTCATTGGCGTAGTATTGCGCCGTGTCAATATGGCGGTAACCGGCCTTGAAGGATGTGAGACACGACTGGACGCAGACGTTGGCGGGCGACTTGTAGACGCCAAAGCCGAGGCGGGGGATCTTGGCGGCGCTGTTCGGGAGAGACAGGGTGGAGGAGAGAGAGAGCTTGGAGGCCATTGTGGCTAGAAAATTATGGAAAGGCGCAGATGAGGCAATAGAAAGTGAAAGAGGTGTTTGATGGACGCAGAAGATTGCTGACTTCCATAATTTATACCTACATGTCGCCCCACGAGGCAGCTGCCATATTCATCGATCATGACGTTGTGATGCTCGCGGACCTCCGTCCTCCGCGGGAGAGCCCCACATGTCCATGCGCGGCGGATCGCGAGCGGAGGACAAAAAAGTTCGCCGCGGCCATGGTGCCCCGCACGACACCCAACACGCATAGTTAACGACTCACAATGGTGCTGCAGGCGATCAAGTACAAGCGCGGCGAGCTTCAGATCCTGGACCAGCTCAAGCTGCCGCACGCCGAGGTGTACGACGACATCCACACCTCGACCGATGCCTGGCACGCCATCAAGGAAATGCGCACGCGCGGCGCCCCCGCCATCGCTATTGTCGCGGCCCTTGCCCTGGCCGTCGAGGTCGAGACGATCGCCCGCAAGAACGAACTCTCCTCCGTCGCCGAGGAGGTCAAGGTCTTCATCGTCGAGAAGCTGGACTATCTCGTCACTAGCCGCCCGACGGCTGTCAACCTTGCCGACGCCGCGAGGAAGCTCAAGAAGACCGTCGAGACTGTGGCGGCTAAGGACGGCGCTTCTGGCGCCAGCGTGAAGGATGCTTACGTGGAGGCGGCGGAGAAGATGCTTGTCGATGATGTTTCGGACAATGAAGCCATTGGCAAGCACGGTGCTGACTGGATCGTCAGCAACACGGAGGCGGGCAAGATTGGTCCAGTCAGCGTGCTCACGCACTGTAACACTGGGTATAACATTTCCTGTGAACGTTTTGTCAAGCGCGTTTTCTGATCGTACTAGTTCCCTTGCGACTGCAGGCTACGGCACCGCCCTTGGTGTCATTCGCTCCGTTCACGCTAATGGCGCATTGAAGCATGCCTTCTGCACGGAAACCCGTCCCTACAACCAAGGTTCTCGTCTGACGGCCTTCGAGCTGGTGCACGACAACATCCCGGCCACTATGGTCACGGACTCTATGGCTGCTGCGCTGTTGCGCCTAAGGGGCAAGTCTGACAACATCGCCGCCATCGTCGTCGGCGCGGACAGAGTGGCCGCCAACGGTGATACTGCGAACAAGATTGGCACATACTCCCTTGCGATCAACGCCCGCCAGCACGGAGTTAAGTTCCTTGTTGCGGCGCCGAGGACTACGATTGACCTGCACACGAAGACGGGTGCGGATATTGTGATCGAGGAGCGTCCCGGCAAGGAGGTCACGTTGGTCAAAGGCCCCCGTCACGATGGCCAGTCTCTGGACCTGAATGTTGTTGAGACTGTCAGCATCGCTGCGAATGGCATCAACGTTTGGAACCCTGCGTTCGATGTCACGCCTGCAGAGCTGATTGACGGCATCATCACCGAGGTCGGCGTTGTGGAAAAGGATGCCGATGGCGTGTTCCGGATGGAGAAGGTTTTTGACGAGGATGTTTTCAAAGGCAAGGCCACTACGATCGGAGGTCTTTAAACGCAATACCCATAACGATTTCTGTTAGAGAATGTATAGCCTTTTTTGTTGTATTTTGCAATGCGCGGGTGATTCTCCTTTTCGCTTCAGGGAGCCGGCAGTTTAGGAAGGACGAGTGTCTTCCTAGACGAGCGATCAAGGACCATTTTGCCTGGCCCTGACTCTATCTTGTCCAGTGCGCAGGGGACGTTCGTCCCCAGACTCGTACCCCTCATCCTGACTGGGAAGCCATCCCGCAGGCTCCCAGAGGGAGCGTTGTTTTGCGCCGAATGTTTCGTGAAGAGCAAAGATGGCAGTTCTGTCAAGCGCTGCTCGAATCCTTCCCTCCATTGCCTTCGGCGGTCCCCTCCTTGCGCTCTGACGACGCCTCTTCCGGAGCTTTTTGGTCCGCGCTTTCTGCGTTTGCGTTGGCTTGGGCCAGCATTTCGTCGATTTTGCGCTCGAGGGCGGTCAGATGGTCTTCCATGGCAGAAGCGGTGCGCTCGCCTCGAGCGAGGTCTTTGAAGGCCTGCGGTGAGTGGGGTGAGTAATGCTGGGCGGCGGGAGGCTTAGAAGCTCAGTTACCTGAGCGAGGTCGGCGCCATCGCCAGCGGAGAAGTCGGAGTCGCGATCTTGCGATGCAGCCATGGGTGCGATGTGCAGAGTGAGATGGCTGGAGGTGCAATGGCCGATGACGAAGCACGGGGGACAAGCTCCGCCCAACCGCCGCCCTTGTCGACCCCGGGCTCTAGCCCACTTCTTGCTCTCTCACTTTACCACAGCCCGGGCGCTGCCTCCTTCCCTTTCCTCCATCCCCCTGTTTTTCTCACTCCTCCACTCCTTAAGCCCCTGCCCACCCGTCAATTCCGCCGGCTGTTTCGCCCGCCGCAGTCGCGATGTTCTCCGGATCCAGTTCGTTTTTAGGGGGCGCGAACAGCTTGAGAGGAAATCCCGCGCAACAGCAACAACAACAGCAGCAGCAGTATGGCCAGCCCATGGGCGGATTCGGCGGCCTGCAACCTCAGCCCACGGGCTTTGGAGCTGGCCCTATGCAGCCCCAGCCTACGGGCTTCCAGCAGCCGCAACCCACCGGCTTCCAACCGCAACCTACCGGTTTCCAGCCACAACCCACAGGCTTCCAGCCGCAGCCCACAGGCTTCCAACCGCAACAGACCGGATTCCAACCGCAGCCCACGGGCCTCCAACCGCAACCTACTGGCTTCCAGCAGCAGCAGCAGCCACAGCTGCAGCCACAATTCACTGGCTACCCTGGGCAAAGCTCGCAGCAGTTCCAGCAACCGCAGCAGCAACAGCCTTTCCAGACGGGCCAGTCGAGCTTCCAACAGCAGCCGGCGCAGCCCCAGATGCCTCAGCCTACGGGCATGACCTCGTCGCAGATGGCCGACTCCTTCAGATCAACCGCCGCGCCACCCCCAGCCCCAAAGTCCGCGGGAGGAGCAAACATACCGAAAATTAGGCTGAGCTTCATAACTGCGCAGGATCAGGCCAAGTTCGAGCAGCTCTTCAAGTCTGCTGTGGGAAGCGACCAAGCGCTTTCGGGCGAGAAGGCAAAGGACCTCCTGATGAGGTCCAAGTTATCTGGCGATGCCCTTGCTCAGATTTGGTAGGATCGTCCTGTCAATTGTAAATCACCCACTGACCTTTTTAGGACGTTGTCGGATACTACTAAGTCTGGGCAGCTCCTCTTCCCCGAATTCGCCCTTTCCATGTACCTTTGCAACCTGAAGATTGTCGGCAAAGATCTCCCCAACCAGCTTCCCGAAACGATACGGAATGAGGTCTCAAGCATGGTGGATATCATCTCATTTGGCATTCCTGATGCAGGTGGGCCCCCGCGGACAAATGCTCCCAACTTCGACGAGCCTTTGAACCAGAGCTCGCAAAACATGCCTATGATCCAGCAGCCGCAGCCGCAGCCTTCAAACTCCCAATTGCTGTCTTCGCTGGCACCACAGCCCACTGGTATGGCTCCGCAAATGACCGGATTCGGTGGTCAATCGGGTTTCCAACCTCAGCAGACGGGCCTGCAGCCGCAGCCCACAGGATTTGGCATGCAACCCCAGGCAACCGGACTTAGGCCAATGCAGACTGGTTTGCAACCGCAACCCACTGGATTCGGGATGGCTGCGCCCTTGAATGCGCAGCCCACTGGTATGCCCGGCCAATGGGGATTGGTTAACACTCCCGCGACTGGACTTCCCAACATCCAGAGCCTGCAGCAGCAGATGATGCCTCAACCCGGTAGAGAGGCTGGTTTCAGTGCCGCTGGTCTTCGCGGTAACGCCACGGTGCCATGGGCCGTCACTAAGGATGAAAAGAAGATCTATGACGACCTCTTCAAGGCTTGGGACGGCTTCGGTAAGGGCTTCGTCACTGGAGAGCAAGCCATTGAGATTTTCGGACAGAGTGGCCTTGAGAAGACCGATCTTGAGAAAATCTGGACCCTTTCGGACCCTCACAACAGAGGCCGTCTCAACCTGGATGAATTTGCCGTTGCTATGCATTTGATCTACCGGAGATTGAACGGTTACCCTGTGCCAAACAAGCTGCCCCCCGAGCTTGTTCCACCTTCGACCAGGAACTTCAGTGACTCCATTAGTACGATGAAGAACATGATTCACCGCGATGCCGAGGAAAGGAAGAGTTCCGGAAGTTTCCTGCAGCCGCAGAACACTGGAGTCAGTTATCTCAAGACCCACTCTTTCCGTGGTGGAAGCCCCGTCAGTTCCGGCCGCAAGGATGCTACTGTCTACAAAAATAACGATGACGATGTCGGCTACAGGTCTAGCGCGCGCCGCAGGATTGGTGGTGGCAGCACTCGCTCCCCGTCTCCTGCGCAGTCAACCGATTCGCAAAGGCCTAATGATGAGATGTCAATTGACCAGCTCAAGAAGCTAATCAAGGAGAAGCAAGTTCTTCTGGATGCCATGGATTTCCGCGACGAAAACCAAGCCGAGCAGGATGATGTTCTGGACCGCAAGGACCGCAAGGATGCTGAGGACCTTTACCGCCGGATTAGACGCCTTCAAGAGGACATTGACCACCACCCCAGCGCTGGCAACATCTCCATGGGTGGCTCCGATGCTGAGCGTAGGACGCTCCAGCGCGAGCTGCAACGCTTGACGGACCGTCTGCCAGAACTCGCTACTCACGTCCGCAAGACTGAGCGTGCGATTGCTGATGCTCAGCTGGAACTTTTCAGACTGAAGGATGCCAAGGCTCACCCTGGCTCTGGATCTGCAATTGTGGGCACCGGTCCAGGTGGTGCTGTTACCGAGTCTGACAGGCTGAAGGCGCGCGCCAAGGCCATGATGCAAGCTCGTTCGGCCGCTTTGACCGGCAAGCCTGCGCCTGCTATTGAGGATGACAATGGTGATGCAGCTAAGCGTTTGGAGGAGGAGCAGCAGCGTGTGCGCACCGAAAAGGAGAACAACGAGCGTATGGTTCGGGATGTCGAGGAGAGTGTCACTGATTTCAGCAAGTCAATCGAGGCCAGTCTCAAGGATGGTACCCAGGGCGATTCAAGCGAGCATGAGCGCCGCAGGTGGGAAGACGGTCTTGGCGTTGAGGATGAGGTCAAGGACTTCATCTTCGATTTGCAAAGGCAGAGCCGGGCGGCCAGGATCCGAAAGGAAGACACTTCGAGAGACCGCTACCTTTCTCCGCGTCGTGAGGAGCCTGCGCGCCCCAGCAGCGCGAGAGGCCTTGAGCCTCCTGCCCGTACCGAGTCCCCAGTGGGACGTCCTTCCTCTAGCAGCGGGTCTACCTACTCTTCGTACAAGACTGCCGAGGAGCGTGCCGCTTTCATTAAGCAGCAGGCTGAGCAGCGCATGGCGGAACGTCTTGCTGCTCTCGGTCTCCGCGCGCCTGTCAAGACTGGCGAAACGCCGCAGCAGCGCGCCGAGCGTGAGAAGAAGGAGCGCGAAGACCGCCTTCGCCAGGCCGAGGAGGAGGATGCGCGTCGTGAAGAGGAACGGCAGCGTAGACTTCAACAGGAGCAAGGCGTTCCGCCACCTGCTCCCCCCAAGGCTGGCAAGAAGCCTCCGCCACCGCCGGTTCGGAAGAGCAAGGCGGAAAGCGCGCAGAATGCCGAAATGGAGGCCAAGAAGGCTGAACAGGAGGCTGCTGAGAGGGCGTTGCGTGAGCAGCAGGAGGCTCAAGAGGCCGAAACGCGGGAGATGGAGTAAGTTTCAATCTTGATCTAATTCAGATAACCGGCTAACCTGCTATACAGGGATGAGGAGAGGAGACAAGAAGAAGAGCTTGCTAAGGAGCGTGAGGCGGCTGATGAGCGCCTGCGGGTTCTTCAGGAGCAGGTCGCTGCCGGCAAGCTCAAGAAGGAAGAAGAGAAGCGGAAGAAGCAGGCGGCTCAGCGCGAGGCCAAGGAGAAGGAGGCTCGCCTGACCGCTCAGCGTGCGGAGCTTGAAGCTGCTAGGGAGCGTGAAAGGCAACTTCAGCTCCAGCTCGAGGGTCTTGGTGATGATGAATCTTCGTCGTCGGACGAGGAAGGTCCCAGTGAGATCACCCCTCAGGAGACGACGCCTACCGCCAGCCAGGAACTTCCGGGCGCTGGTGAGCCTGCGTTGCCTCCACCAACCGCGCCACCGGCGGCACCGGTCCCGGCTCCTGCAATGAACGAACCCGTTCCGGCCGCATCACCGCCATCCTCTGTAACTAGCCCCCAGGCTTCCGCTGTCACCAGCCCCGGCGCGTCTATGAACTTTGAGGAGACCAAGAACCCCTTCCTCAAGAAGATGGCCCAATCAGCCGAGAACACCGGAGGCTCCGTCCCCGCCATCTCGACCCCTGCTCCTAACACCGAGGTCTCGACCAACCCCTTCCACCGCCTTACGCAGCAAGACGCGCAGAAGAACGTACAGCTGCCGGACCCGGCGCCCGCGGGCCCCAGCCGCCGCACGATGAAGCAAGACGAGGACGACTGGAGCGTCGTCGACTCGGACGATGAGAGCTCCGACTCGGACGACGACCGTCCGGGCGGAGGCTCGGCCAAGCAGCTCGCCTCGATCCTGTTCGGCACCATGGGCCCGCCGCGCCCGCTCTCGTCGATGGGCAACGACCCCAACGACACGCCGCGCACCGAGTCGCCGGCCGTGGGCTCGCCAGCGGCGCCGCCTCCGCCACCTCCCATGCCCGGTGCAGGCGGTCCTGGTGCTCCGCCCCCGCCCCCGCCGCCTATGCCTGGCCAGGGCGCTCCGGGCGGCCCGCCCCCTCCTCCGCCGATGCCCGGTTCGGCTGGTGGGCCTCCCCCGCCGCCGCCGATGCCTCCGATGGGCGCCTCGGCGGGTGCGGGCGATAGGGGCGCTTTGCTCGGACAGATCCAGGCGGGTAAGGGGCTGAGGAAGGTGCAGACGAAGGATCGGAGCACGGCGAACACGGCGGGACGCGTGTTGTAAGCAAGCGGATGAATGAATGGGTTTAGGTTGGGTTGGTGGATGGATGGATGGAGGGGTGTAGCTAGATTAGTTGTTGTACTTTTCGCGGTTAGTTAGATGCTCGTTTTTTAATCGTGTTGCTTTTGCTTTGCTTTGCTTCGCTTTGCTTTGGTTGTCCGGCTTGCTTGTTTGCTTGCTTGCTGTTGAGTGTGTCTGGCCGAGTCGGGTCGAGTCTGTTGCGTGCGCTAGCGGAGAGCCAGTTTGGCGTTGGGGGGGTGCGGATGCTGTCTGCTGCTGCTGCTGCGGGACTGGCTGCGAGATCTGTTGCTGTCGTATTGGCTGTGTCTTTGTTCTTCTTCTTCTTCCTCTTCTTCCGAGATTGGTTATTGCTTGATGAGTTAGTTGGGTTCGGTTGGGTTGGGTTCGGGGCTGTGGCACTGCTGGCTGCTGCTGTTGATACTGCGTTCCATGGCTCGGGTCTGTGGTGCTTTCATTATCAGATAGGTATAGGTAGGTATACACGCGTTCTCCTCTGCTCTATTATACACTGCTCTACTCTGCACTGCTCTACTCGTCTTCCGATGGCTCTCTTTTGAGACTGGATAGATAGGTGCCCTACGTAGGTCGGCGATTGGTGGGTGTGTAGGTGTTAGGTACCTAGGTAGTAGCATTAAGGTCTTAGGTAGTAAAGAGCTAGATTGGTTTCTTTGCTCGGGGTGTTTTGTGTGTCTGTTTGTGAGTTAGTGCTGGCTACCTCGTGACTCGCATGGACGTCCTTAACTACTTCTTCACAGGCTAGTCGGCAGAGAAAATGAGAGAAAACGAAGGAGGGGAGGAGACAGTGACTGGGCGCACGGCCAAAAGCAACAACATGGAAGACACATGACCAGGGCTACTAGTAAAAAAGCCCGACATGGCTTTCTGCTGCGTCAGGCAAAGTACACTAGAGCATGGTTTCACTGCAGAACGAGAAGAGCAAAGAGGCGGAAATCAGGAAGCTTTTGGAGTTTTTGAAAAGGGGTATCTAGCAACAGCAGAAGAAGAAGAAGAAGAACTCGCTCAGATAGCCGCTTTTCCGACCCGTTCCTTCTTTCCTCTAGCTGTATAACCAGCTCGCCCCAGCAAATGCACTCAACGGCTAAGAACGTTCAGCTCGCTCGCCAAGCAGGCAGGCAGGCAGGCAAGCAAGTATCCAGCCACGGCCCCCGCACCACAAGGCCGCAAACCCACAAGCACGCATCCCCCGCCATCACAATCACACATCCCCAGCACCAATCCCCCTAAACCTCCCCCACCGTCTCCTCATCCCGCACCCACTGTTCGACAATCTCGACAAACGCGCTCAAATACGCCTCCCGTCCCTCTCTCGCACCCAGCACATCGCCAGGCTTGAACGGCGCGCTCGGGCTCAGTGCGTCCGCCTTGCGCTGCACGCGGCGCAGCATGTCGGCCTGGAAGGCGGGCGCCGTGGTCGAGGTCGCGATGCGCGTCGCTGTGGCTTCGAGGGTGGACTTTTCGGAGGGGGAAAGTTGGCGCAGGGTGAGCAAGTGCACGGTTAGTGTCTCCAGGGTGAGTGGGGTGGACGTGGGCGTGGGTGCTGCTGGGGGTGTTAGTGGGGGTTGGTTGTGGGTGTGCGGGTGAAGGGGTGAGGGCGCACCTTCTGGTGATGTGGGAAGGCGCGATGCGGCGCTTGTGGTGGCGGTGGAGACCATGGTGTGGTCGAGGGATTGTGGGGTATTGTTGGCACAGTAGTTCTGTAGTTGGTGGTTTGTTATTTGTTATTTGGTGGTTGAAGACCTGGAGGAGGTCTTGTGTGTTTTTGTGTGCGTTCTGGTCCTTCGCGGAGCGGAGTTGTGGAGTTGTGCTGGGAGCTGGAGGGGTGGAGGGGTGGGGGGGGGGCTTTATATGCGAAAGAAGGAAGGAAGCGTTGCTCTTGTGACTGTGTGGGGTGTGACCTGTTTACCACGGTGCAGTTACCAAGGTTCTCTTCGCCTTCACTCACTCCCTACCGTGTGTTGCGGGGTCACGTCAGATTTGAACCGCGGTACGCATTAGGACACGCGAAGATGCCTTTTGACTGGTGATCATATTGAGTGATTGCCTAATTGGGAAACTATAATGACTGCCCTGGTGTGAATGGTGACCTTGCGCATGGCATGCGAGCCACGTTTATCTAAGCGACGGTGCCTGAAGCGTTCTTAACACACTCGAGTCCAACAGTGTCCGTGAGCTACAGTGAGGCCGGGAGACCGGTCCGGTTAATGATTCGATCCAAGCGGTGATTGAACTGCTCATCGTGCCTGATGGCGGCCTCAGACAGCTTGTCAACTTCTGAAAGCAAATAACCGATGACCCTAGAATCCCGCTCGACACATTCGATCCACTTGATCCGCTCGTCTTGTCTCTCCCCTTCGGCATGAGTGGACAAGAACTTGATGGAGTCTGTTAAGCGATGGACCATCCCCTCCACATGGTCGAAAATCTGGGTAACTTGCTCGGAATGCTCGACCAGTGCCGAGGAAAATTCCAGAGCCATTCCATGGATTATGAGGACCTCATCAGAGTTGCATAGAAATCTGCCTTCGCTGTCCATTCCGAACAAGACGGCTTGCTCCTTTTCGGACCACTCATTCTGGATCATAGCGATCATATCGGAGAGGGTCCTAATCTTGGCGAGGATAATGGATATCGCTGTGAGGTAAGCGGCGATCCATTCTTCGGGTGTTTGTTCAACAGCTGTATACAATAATCAGCTACCACCTGCTAAGTAACGAGACAAAAATTCAAAACCCAGCTCACTTACCAGTCGACATTGTGAGTGAAGGGTATCTTATTTATACTGGTCCGTAATTAATGGGTTGCGCAAAAATTGATGTGATGTGAATTGGTAGTTAAAGCGGATGGTATCAATGATTATACGATATTCGCATTGGGAGTGCTTGATGGCGTTGCGGTGGAGGGGGAAAGTTGGTGGATATGGGGATTGAATGGCTCATGCCCAGGGCTTGATGATCACGGTTTCCCAAAAGAATAGGCGGAAGTCACGCTTCACTGGTACAGCCGCTTAATGGGCAGCTATGTCAAACGGTGAGAAGCATTTAGTCAGTGATTAATTGAAGATGCGAGAGTCTCCTGGACGCTATGACTTAGTCGCATGCTATTTCTGAAGAAAACGTTCACTTGCGGGTGGCGCGTACAATGTGTTAGAGATTTATTACCGATTAATGGACTACATAGAAGCCTTTTCCTTTTAAAGGTTTGTCGTATGAATCTGTATGAGCACATAGCCGGACACCCCTGGATCACTTTTAAAAATTGCTCTTGGACCTGAACATAGACCAGTAATCCCGCTTCCTCTGGGTAACGAAAGCCATGCATTCTAACTCTGTTTTTCCACATGGCTACCAAGCGATACACCATCCATGACCTTGCCGTCAGTGTGAAAGACTTGAAACTCCTTTGACAGTGGCGACGACGGCAACGTCGACGACGACTCGAAAACCTACCCTCGGATCAACAAGCCCAATGTTTCCAGAGCAAAGGAATTGAATCATATGCGTTTCGCGTTCAGCAACTCTTTTTCGGCGGCAGAGCTTACACCCCACAGATGAGCACTGACGTCACCGCCGAGCTTCTCGCGGTCCTTGAGGATCCTGTGGTACTTGATGTAGAGGCTTTTCAAGACGGCGAAACTGTCCTTCACGTCGGCGTCGATCTCGGATATCATGGCGACGGTGACCCCCATGATGAGGTTTTCATAGGGAGTGATTGCATGGCGGCCCTGGAGCATGGCGTCTACTTGTCCTCTGACCCTTAGGACTAGTGTAAGATATCAGTAGGTCTGAGTTCGCTATAGGGGCTCTGTATATGAGCACTTACGGGGTGGGGGAATGGGGCCAAGTCTGAGCTTCTTGGTGGGCATTTCGTCGGAGTCCATCGTTGATGAAGGCGGGCTGATAGGAAAGGGTGAGAACGGAAGAGAACTTTGGCAAAAGAGAAAGTGAGGTGGCATGTTTATAAATGGTTAGCACATTGCCTTTCACATTAGGTGGCGTCTAAATGTGTGAATGTACATTAACATCTGGGTAACACTAGGTAGGTACAGGACCGTGATTGCCTGAGGCAACAACGCGCGGGGCGGCAAGTGATACACAATGCAGAGCCTATAGGCTCTACAGATACTGAGCAACCGCAACGATGGAGATAATTAGCTATGGATTTGGATGATGTCCGGTGATGTCGTTGGCGGGAGTGAGCTCCAGCGGGCTTAGCTCTACGTATGCCGTGACATCACCGGCCTGCCGGTCGGACATGGAAACAGTGCGAAACGAGCTTGCGAGCCACAAAAAGGAAGACAACGGCAGCTTGGGAGTACGAGTAGATACCTAGGTTGACTGTTGACCGTGGGGGCTTGGACTGGACTGTCCTGTCAGGCTGTACTTTCCATGAGCTTCGGCCCGCAGCTACCCAGCTACCATCACCCATTGCCATGGCCCAGCAGATTGCCGGCATCACCGCGACAAAGTTTGAAAAGGACATTCTGATCCTGCTGGCCCACAGCTACTTCATCCGCGAGGCCGTCCGCAACCTGAGAGAAACGCGCCGCCGCCACCAAGCCGACTGCTCACGCTTCCGCCTGCTCGACGTCCTGCACTTTACCATCATCGGCGTCTCATCCATCAGCGTCCTGCGCGCGGCATGTCGTCTCACGTCGTCGTTATAGACGCCAGCGCCCGCCGGGCCACGGTCAAGACGACGCCCGGCAAGCACCTCAGCGACGTCCTGCACGAGGCCTGCACCAAGCTAGGCGTCGACGCCAACCAGCACACGTTGAAGTACTATCAACACCAGCTCCTAAGCCCCGCCGTGCTAACCCCGCTCCAGGTTCAACAACAAACCCCTCGATCTCTCCCGCACCATCCGCATTGCCGCCCTGCCCCAAGGCGCCAAGCTCGACCTCATCCAAGCCTCCCGCTCCCCCTCCGTCGTCAACGTCGCCCTCGCCGTCGACGGCCAGCGCTACACGCACAAGTTCCCCAGCAACAAGTCGCTGTGGCAGATCCTGCGCACCTTCGAGGAGGTCGTCGACGCCAAGCCCAAGCTCAACTTCACGCAGCGCGCCGTGCCCATCATGGCCGAGGGCAGCTCGGGCGCCGGCCGCATGAACTATGAACTGCCCGTCATCAACGTCGAGTCACGGGAATTTGGCGAGTTCACCGAGCTGCAGAAGACGCTGGGGCAGCTGGGCTACGGCGGCGGAAGCATCCTTATGCGTATGAGGTTCAAGGACAGCGGCAGGCCGGTTCACGAGGCCATGGCGGACATTTCGGGATACTTTGAGGCGGTGGACCCGCCCGCGCCGGCACAGACAACGGACGCACATGGCGCCCATGCCGGCGGTGCTGGCGAGAGCCAATCCGCACCAGACCCCGTGGCGGCGGCACCAGCTGGAGATGTTGCTGGGGAAGCGAATCCGTCGGAGCCAACAACCAGCGCCATGGAAGACGTCGTGCCCACCACCTCGGCAGACACCACACCCGCACCAGAAGCGCCGCCAGCAGCAGAAGCTCCACCGGCAACAGAGGCCGCGCCCACGAGCGCCGCCGCCGCCGCCGCCGACCCAGAAGCGCCACCGCCCGGCACGCTGACGGGCCCAGACCAGCGCCCCATGCGCATCTTCTACCCATCCAGCAGCGCGCCCGCAACACGTAACGCGTACAACGAAGCCGACTACGTGCCGACAGTAGACCACGCGAAATCGCACCAAGCGGCGCTCCAAACCGCCAGCCGCAACAAGCGGCTCGCGTCGGACGCGGAGCTAGCCGCGCAAGCGCAAGCCAAAGCGGACAAGCTTGCAGCAGTCAAGTCGGTGACGATCCGCGTGCGCCTCCCGGACGCCACGCACCTCGAGGCCGAGTTCAGCAGTGTCGAGACGGCGGCGCAGCTGCACGCGCTGGTGCGCAGCGTGCTCACGCACCCGGACCAGCCGTTTGCGCTCAAGTACCCCAACACCAAGGGCGGGCTGGGTATGGCGACGCTGGCGGCGGGGCCGGCCCGCCTGGTCTCGGATCTGGGGTTTCAGGGCCGCGTGCTGGTGAATTTTGTGTGGGAGCCGGGCGCGGCGGTGACGGCGAAGCGCGAGCCCGTGTTGGCGCCTGAGTGGCGCGATAAGGGACAGGAGCTGCGGGCGCAGGAGCCGGTGGCCGAGCCGGTGGAGGAGAGGGAGGAGAAGGTGGTGAGGAGGGAGGAGAAGAAGGCCCCGGTGGATAAGGAGGCCAGGCTGAAGAGTATTCTGGGGAAGGGTCTGTTTAAGAAGAAGTGAGTGCTGTGTCGGGGGGGTTGGGATGCGGGTGGTGGTAGTGGTAGTGATGGTGGTGGTGGGGGGTTTTGATAGAGGATACCAATTTTACGAGTGCATTGTTCTTGAGGGTTGGGTGGAGTAGTGGGTGCGTGTGCTAGGAGTGTTGAGAGTGCTTAATTGGCATCGTGCTAGGCGAGGAGTGAGGGTAGAGGCTAGCTAGGCAGATAGCTTGTCGGGCGAAGAATGGCACGGCTACATACATTATTTGAAGCGTTAGTGCACGGTAAGGAGGGAGCAAGAGTCACTGGGGCCTCAGTATGAGCGAGGACGTATCAACAGACACAACGCAGCATGGGCATAGTACGAAAGCAAATGCGTCAGACTCTTCGATTATCATCAAGGAACCAACGTCAAGCCGGAAATGCAGATCTAACCCGGCAACGCAGCACACCAAGCACCATAGCCGCAAGAAGCCCGCACGCTTAATCCTTCTTCAGCTCGCGGAACGTCTCCTGGATGCCGTCCTTTGTGATAATGAGCATCTGCAACCCATCACCAACCTCGATATGCCGCTCGACGGCGCTAGTGAAAGCGTCCTGAACCAGCTCCTCGACGTCCTTGCGGGGCAGCGGCTCGCGGGGGCGCTCCTCGAGGGCGTGGCCGACGCCAGAGCCGGGGACGTACTGGTTCTTGAAGTTGACCTGGTTATCGAGGAAAGGCATGATGAGGGAGGAGGCAGCGCCAGCGGCGCGGCACTGCTCGCGCTCGTAGCTGCCGACCGGGTCGTACGAGTACAGGGCGCCGTGGCCGTGCTCGTCCAGCCCGCCCAGGATCGCGTGCACGTAGTAGGGGAAGAAGCGCTTGTTGTAGAGGATGTGCGAGAGGCGCTGGGCGCACGCCGCCACGCTCATGGGCTTGCCGTGCTGGTACTTGTACATCTTGACGATGGTGTCGAGGCGCTCTTTGAGCGCGGCCCCGTCGGCCGAGAAACCCACTACTGAGAGCACGATCGTCGCGCCTTCGTTGTTCGGGCCCTCGCCCCCGATCTTGAACAGCTTCGGCGCGTACCGCGTGTTGATGTTGTAGCCTGACGTGCTGCGCGTGTCGCCGGCGAGGATGGTGAAGTCGGCGCCCGAGATGCCCAGCGTCGAGCCGCCGTTGTCCGTGTAGCTGTGGATGCGCGTTAGCACCGTTGAAGAGGGATGTGGGGAGGGCCAGGGCGCGGGGTCCTACGGGTTGAAGGCGTGTTGCCTTATGCCGGATGCCTCTGCTGCGGTCATGGGCGTCTGTCTGAAGGAGTAGCCCGGGCCGCCAGCCGGTGGCGCGGCAGAGAAGAGGGAGGCCATTCTAGCTGTTTGGCGGGCGGGGAGGAGAGATGTCTTTGGCAGCGGGGGGATGATGCGGAGGCGGAGGAAGGAGGCGACGTTGTTGTTGTTGTTGTTGTTGTTGGCGGCTGGCGGAGCTCTGGAGGTGAAGCTCACCACGACCGACGACGCAGCTCGAGCTGCCTGGCCCGCCGCGCCAAGACGCCATTCTCTGGCCAATAGGTATCAAATACCTACATCACCGCTTTGCTGCGCGTCCGCTTCCTCTCGCCGCCACCAATCTTGTCCGGGTTGCCAGTATGCTTGGGCTGGACGATTACGGAAGCAGCGACGACGACGACGTCCAGGTAAGAGCTTGCATTGGCCCTGCACTCAGTCACTGGGCGGATGGCTACTAATGAGGAATATATTAGACGAGCAACCCGACACCTCCCCCGCCGCCTGCAAAACCTGAGGGTGAGCCTCTAATCCGCTGCGCTAGAAATGTTTGTTTAACCGCAAAGATAGCAAGTTCGGAGCCGCAACCTGCTCCCGCGAAGCCCAGTGAAGAACCACCACAAGCAGCTCCCGAGCCGCCTGCCCAAGATCAGCAAGAAGAACCCGCTCCAGGGCCAGCACTCCCGCCCGTAGAGAATGATGCGCCCGTCGCCGGACCAGCAGCTGGACCAGCTCCAGGGCCGTCAGCACTTCCCGCAGCAGCAGCAGCAGAAGAAGAAGAAGAAGCCGGAGACGAAGCAGCCTCCGCGCCACTGTCGCCCTACTCCACCAATCGCGCCCTAATTCGCACGCTCACGATGCCTCGCGCCCCCAATTTCGACATCCCGCCCTCGCCGCCCGGCTCGCCGCCCCGCGACGCCAGCAAGAAGTTCAGCCACTTCCTGAAGCTGAAAGAGCAGGGCCAGCACTTCAACAAGCGGCTGGAAGACTCGTCGGCGCTGCGCAACCCGAGCCTGCTGAAGAAGCTGCTGGGCTTCGCGGGCATCAGCGACGAGGCGCAGTACGCGAGCACGTTGCCGGACGAGGTCGCCGTGCCCACGCGTTTTCTGCCAGAGGCCTACGCGGACCAATTGGCGAAGACACAGCAGGAGATCACCCGCAAGCGGGAGGAGGAGCAGCGCAAGACGCAGCGGGAGGCCGTCGAGTTTGTTTCTGAGGGCGCGCCTCGCGCTGCGCCGGGTGGGGTGAGTATGGCGGAGAGGGTTAGGGCTGGTTTGAGCAGAGACGGTTCGGCCTCGTCTAGTGGGCCGGAGGGCAGGGCTCGTGATGGTGAGAGGAGGGGTGAGAAGCGGAAGAGCAGGTTCGATGAGAGGGAGCGCTCGCCGCGGCGCAGATGAGTGTGTAGGTAGAAAACGATACCCGGTGGTGAGCGGCGGGCTGTTGCAGCGCTATGGACCGTCTTGAATATGTACAATATAACAGTATCATGCAACATGTGAAGCGGCGTGATTGGCGGGCCAGACGCGACCGACGCAAGAGCTTCGGTGTTACTGCGCGTCCCGACGGCAACCTAGCTCGCCCAAGCTGGAGCTTCATCATCACCGCCATCACCACCGCACCCAACTCCATCCCTCAAGGCCACCCCAACTCCTCTCGACGCCCACCCATCGCATCCTTCCAACCTCGCCGTCTGCTCTCCCCACCATGAACCACCTCCCTCACGCCTGGGGCCGTGTAAGCTATACCCTGCCCACCTGGCCAGCAGCCCGCACTAACGCTATCCGCAACAGCCCAGAGACGACGTCTACGGCGCCTACGACCACTCCTACCTCCAGAACAGCGGCCCCATCCAGCACACCCAACAACCCATCGTGACGGGTACCAGCGTCGTGGCGGTTAAGTACAAGGATGGCGTCGTCATTGCGGCGGATAACCTGGGTACGTTTGTTCGACGAGGGCAGCAGCAACCCTAGCCCGTCTCCTCTACAGACAAGCAGTCTGGTGGGGGGTTGTCGGCTCACCCACCGCACACGCACACGCTCTCTCCCCGCAGACCAAGCAGCGCTAACGCCAGCACCCACAGCATCATATGGTTCGCTCGCGCGCTTCACCGACGTCAAGCGTCTGCGCAAGTTCAACGAGCGCGCCGTCATCGGCTTCGGCGGCGACGTCTCGGACATGCAATACCTGGACCGGCTGCTGACGTCCGTGTCAATCCGGGAAGACTACAACGCCGCGCAAGGGTCGAGCGACGCCACGGAGGGCGAGGACGCATCGACGGAGACCAACAACACGCCGACGCTGCACGCCAAGAACCTGCACACGTACCTCAGCAAGGTGCTGTACAAGCGGCGCTCCGACTTCAACCCGCTCTGGAACCACGTGCTGGTGGCCGGCCTGGACGGCGAGGCGCGCCCCTTCCTCGCGAGCGCCGACCTGCTGGGCACGACGTTCAGCGCGCCCGCCCTGGCCACGGGCTTTGGCGCGCACCTGGCCGTGCCCGTCCTGCGCCGCGTCGTGCCGGACGAAAAGGCCGCGGAGCAGCTGACGCGCGAGCAGGCTATCCAGACTGTCAAGGACTGCATGAAGGTGCTGTTTTACCGCGACGCGCGCAGCTTGGACAAGTACAGCATTGCGGTTGTCGAGGCCGCCGGCGTCGAGCTCAAGGAGAACGAGAAGCTCGAGAACCAGAGCTGGGAGTTTGCCGAGCGTATTCGTGGCTACGGCACCCAGGTCAACTAAGCCTTGCGTTCGCTGGACTGTTGGCTTTTGCTTGAGCGGGGGAGCGTGCTGCGCTATGCGTCTGCCGCTGGAATGGATGCAGGGAGGGTTGTAGAAAGACGACGACGAACGACGAACGACGATGCCCGCCGAGGGGCTGTCCAGTCCGAAAAGAACTGAGCGCCTCATCGGACGGGAGCTGGGGACGGCTACGTGATGGTTTGCACGCCTCTTTTCTCGTTACGGAAAAGAGACTATACTAGGAAAGACAGGTCACGATTGATTACTTGCAGCCCAATTTTTCTAAGCTCCCTACGTGCTGTGCTGTGCCGCCAGGTACCATGTATTGTACTGTCATCACCGTGCACAATGCAGCTTTTCATATCCTACCAACCCGTGAACCGCACGTCCCATTGGAGTATGTACCACGGTACTGCTGCGGCTGCAAGGGAGAGCAGCCTGGTCCTTCCACCCTGTGCGGCTTTGACCTCCCTTGCAGTCGTATAAATAGATAGACGCACAATGACCCACGCACGGAAACAGAATCCTCAGCCCCGCTACCGGGGTGTGTGTGTGTGGGGAGGTGCAGCACATGCCGAAATAGACAAGGCAAGGCATGTCATATCATATCACATCAAACAGCACGAGGCTCGGGCAACGGGGGCCCACCCTAGCTGGTAGGCTGTTGCCTGTGCGTGCGCGGTTGCGTACGAGTACAGTACGAGTCGAGTTGTTTGGATCTTGGAGGCTGAGCGTCGTGTGACGTTGCTGCTGCTGCCTCGGCCGGGCCTTGGGGCTTTGGTGTGGTTGCTGTGGTTGTGCCCTTGTACCTTTGTAGAGAAGCCGCTGAGGAGATCATGTAGCTACCTAGGTAGGTGGGTAACGGCTAGGATCGCGCGGCGTGTCTAGCACTATACACGCATGCCGCAGTAAAAAAAAAAAAAAAAAAAAAAAAAAAAAAAAAAAAAAAAAAAAAAGCCTAAAGCAACAAGAACCCCTCCTCTCTGTTCTTGCTTAGGTAGACAGCCAGCTATAGCATGAAGAACGTGACAATGTTCACAAGGAAGCCATGGATCAGGCCTAACGCGGACTAGTCCAGCCCAGCCCTTATGTAATAACGTCATCCCGCGAAAGATATAATATGCAGCGTTGTCTATCTATCTAACTTAACCTACTCTACTCTATCTAACCTAACCACCTTGTTTATTAAAAAGAAAAAACTAAACGCCGGATTGGTCTACGACGGAACGCCCTTCTAGAAAGCGAAGCAAAGCAAACGCGAGGAAAAGCAAAAAAGCAAGCAGGCAAAAACAAAGTCAGAGTCAAACAAAAGCAAAGACAAAGCCAAAAAGTCAGACACCATGCCGTCGCAACAACAACAAGTCATACCGCACCCCAGCCAAGAAGGCAGCAGCAACAACAACAACAACAACAACACCATCATCACCCGCGCCGCCGCCCTCGCCCGCTGGCCGCACAGCGCCGACCAAATCAGCGTAACCGGACTCAAGACCACCGCCCCCGCCGGCCGCGACCTCTGGGGCCGCAAAAAGCCGCAGCCGCTCGAAGTCTCCGTCACGGTAGCGGTCGCGCGCCCCTTCGACACGGCCGCGCAGGCCGACGCCGTGGATGCCAGCACCGTGCACTATGGCCTGCTGAGCAAGAGCGTGCTGGGCAACATTGCGGCGGCGGCGCAAGCGCAAACACAAGCGCAAGCACAAGGCCAAGAGCGTGAGACATGGCTTAGCACGATCGCCGTCGCGCACGCTGCCAGCAAGGCCATCCTCGCGAATGCGCCGCTGGCGAATCTCGCCGCCGCGGAGGTCAAGGTGCGGTATCCGAAAGCGAGCACGCAGGGCGAGGGCGCCGGCGCCGTCTTCACGCTGTTCTATAACCGCGAAGAGCAGGAGCAGGAGCAGGGCCGTCTCGCTGCGCTCTCGCAGGTCCTCTATCTCGAAAATGTGCGCATCCCCACGCTCATTGGTGTCAACCCGAATGAGCGCTTGAAGAAACAGCTCGTTGTTGCCAGCCTTTGGATCGATAAGCTCGCGGCCGGCGCTGCGGACTGCTATGTTGAGGTCGAGGACTTGCTTGTCTCGGTGCGTTTGTCTTGCTTTTCTCCCTCCCTCTATCCTAACTTCCCTATCAAACAATCGCCTAGATAGAGTAGCTAACCCCGCCGCCGCGCGCGCGCGCCTACTAGACCATCGAGTCCACGACCTTCGAGACGCTCGAGGCCCTCGCTGAGACAGTGTCGCGCCGCCTCTTTGCCGACTTCATTTCCCGCGAGTCGCCGGGCTCGGGCTTGTTCCTTCGATTGGAGAAGCCGTCCGCGGTGCCGTTTGCTGATGCACCCGCCATCCAGGTCTACCGTACGCAGTAGGTGGTGTGGAGCAGCAGCAGTAGAAGAGGCGAATAAGCCCCGGCTCGAGCTCCAAAAGGCGGGTACATGGGGCCGTGTGCAGAAAGATTAGGCGCCGGGACTATCCCCACTCTGATCCAAAGCTCGCCTGTCTGAATAATTTGGTCCTGCGGCTGCACCGGCAACATCGAAGAATCAAATGTGGCGCTGACGAGGTATTGTTGATTGCTGGCTGATTCGAGGAGAGTCGGGCAGGCATATAGTTGAAGGCAACGAAGCCGACATGCGGCACGATGCACGTGTTTGGCGCCTACGCAGAAATTGAAGTGAAACAGAAAAAAGTAAAAAGGTCGTCATGCCATTAAAGGTGGATAGTTCGTTATGTACAGCCATGGTATTATGTACGTATGATACGGTATAAGTTTAGTATGTGGAGACTGTGTCGTAGCGTCCGGTAAAAAAGCTCCGCGTGGCGCGCGCTTAAAAGTTGCTGGTGAGGGGGACGCGCCCGTTAGCCGGCTTGAGAGCGTCGGGGTGGCCGTCGGCATAGTACGTGTTGCCATTGATACCGCGGGTGTTGGGGTGGGCAGCGAAGCCGTTGGGCTGGTAGCGGTTGGGGTCCTGGTTGGTGAAGGCGTTGGAGGTAGGGTAGACGTTTGCGCCGGCGCCATCGGGGTAGAGGCCGGTTTCGCTGGTGGTCTCGGGGCCCTCCATGGCCATCTCGACCTCGGTTTCCCGGCTCTGGTGGTTCTTGGTCCGCACGGCCGGGATGAAGTCGACGAAGAAAGAGAGCACGTAGAAGGTGAAGACGAGCGCGACGATCCATTCCAGGATCGCGGCTGTGTTCCAGTGGTCTGTTTGCCGCATTACGCCGAATCCGATTGCGAGCGCGAGTTCTACGATAATGAAGGTGACCTTCATCCAGAAGGAGATCTGGATGATTGTGTGCTCGCGGTGGTGGACGCCCAGACGCTGGTACTCGAGGCAGATGAAAATCGCGGAGATGACATAACCACCACTTGAACCGTGTTAGACTTGGTAGGAAGACATGGATGCGACATATAAGCTTACATGAAGAGACCGAGGAAGACGTCGTGCAGGCGCGGATGCCTCCAAGTGTCGAAAATGGAGAGCAGGATAATGCCAGCCGCGCCGACAATGGCAGCGATGATAGATAGGATGGAGTAACTCTTTTGCCACCACGAGGTGTTCCGGGCCAAGCGTCCGGAATGCCTGAGCCAGCGCTCGGAAAGGAAGGCAATGTCAAGAGAAACGACACTCACCGCCGACATGGCAATGAACAGCGGCTTGAGTCTTTGCGCACCGACATCTGAGATGAATCTACGGAACTTCAGCGTGCTGTCGATCCAGGGTTCAAGGCATGTCTACTTACGCTATGTCCTGCGTAGGGCCCATGGACGGGTAGTGAGGTTTGCCGTCGGTTATCCAGCTAAGGATCATGGCAAGAAGCATTGCGAGCCATACTACGCTGGAGAAAAGCGGTATTGCCCAGTATGAAATCCCCCACATGATTGTTGATGGATGTTGGTGAGGACTGAGAGCGTGAAAAATTCAGACGGCACTCAAGAAAGGAGATGATGTGTGGAGAGATGATGGGGGCCGTATGGTGGGTATCTTCGCGCGCACTGGAAAAGGCGAAACGGTCAAAACGCGGAGAGCGGGCCGGCGACAGGCGACAGGCGGGCTTTGTAGCGTCAAGAGGGCTCACACGAGGTGGCAGTGTCGAGTAAAGGGATTGCGTATGTAGTCCTGATTATGGCCTCTCGACACCTTAATCTCAGACGTTGCGCTATACGTCATCGTCCAGCCTGATGATCGTGCAAGACGCCGCGGCCCAGCCATAGCGAGCCCATCGGAGCAAGGAGGAGGAGCCCTTATGCCCGTCGATTGCCGTCGGGGGCCATTCTTCCGCGATCCGGCGATATTGGCGCAAGAACGAACAAAAGAAGAATTTGTCGTTGCGTTCCATTGTTGTGTCGCGTGCCCCAGCCGCTGAAGGCTGCCGCGTTTGTGGCTTGCTTACCCGCCGGCAGCCGGCCGGCAGATCCTGTGAACCCAATCGGCGCGCCGCGGAAAGGCTGTGAGAACAAGGTGCAACCTTCAGACGCTGATCACAGTGCTAAAAGACGAGAGCAATCACTCTTGGCGGTGAGGCTGGGTGCATTGAACCGATAGGTATGCCTGTACAATAATAACTAACGCCTGGACAAAAATATCACGGCCGATCAGGGATGCGGGCGGCTTCACGTGGCCCGCTGAGCCTCCTGCAGCCAGTGTCGCAAGGAAGCGGTGGGCTGTCGAGCCAGGTGTACCTACCGTGTACCGTACCGTTGGATGCCTGAGTGTGCCTGGATGCCTTGCTTGGCGCCTGACTCTCGGGCGGTGGGCGCGTCTGGGGCCGGCGCCGGATCAACCTCGCTCCGTCGTTTGCGCGCCAAGCCCACAACTCGCCCAAACCCAAGCGACTTTTCAGTTTCGCGAACTCCAGTTGCGACACCACGACGACGACTAACCACCAGCAACCATGCCGAAGGAAGTCAAGCAGAGGTCTGGCCTCATCAGGGGCCTGAACGCCGGCCACGTATGTCACGACCTCCTCTGCGTCGTCGCGCTCGCCGTGCATGGCTAACCAGAATCCCGCCTACAGAAAGTCACTCCCCGCCAGCCGGCTACCCGCATCTCCAGGACCAAGGGCCACCTCAGCAAGCGCACCGCTTTCGTTCGTGAGGTTGTGAAGGAGGTTTCTGGGTATGTGGATCCCTCGGAGCACGTGCGGTGGACAAATCCGACATGACGAGGAAGATGCAATCGGCCATTATACTGGAGGAGCCACCGGGCAATTGGAAGAACTCTGGCTGACTTTGCTTGTCCTATAGTCTCGCCCCCTACGAGCGTCGTGTCATCGAACTTCTCCGCAACTCCAAGGACAAGCGCGCCAGGAAGCTCGCCAAGAAGAGGGTACGTCGGAAATGGCTCTGGGCATCACCAGCCTACTCCAACCGATTGTTGTCAAATCGGAATGATACTGACAGCATTGCAGCTCGGTACCTTCGGCCGTGCCAAGAGAAAGGTCGAGGAGATGACCCGCGTCATTGCGGAGGCCAGGAGGGCAGGCCACTAAGCGGAGCAATCTCGAATGTTTCCTTGCTTTGCTTAATCGGCTCTGGTCATGAAAATGCTGCGGTCAATGGATGGTGTTCTTTGAACGAGACGGGACTACTCGACAACCCGGGTGGAGTCTTCAATGATAGTCTCTATTGCACGAAAATCCAAAAGCGGCAATTGCCCAATTTCACGCTTCGAAAGGTCTCGAATGCCACGGTTTCCCGCGTTCGTGTTCTACCAATTACCACAGGCTCTACTCGATCGAATCATACGAACGTTATCCCCAGACTACGATCCACTCCCACTTCCGCATCCGTACCTACAGAACAACGAACATTTCGAATACGATTTCGGACGGCGCATATACAGGACCAATTCATTCCAGCCCAGTGTCCAAGCAACTTTTCTGTCCCAAATTGCGTTGGCTTGTCCATACTTTGACTTGCATTTATTGAAACTCATAAAAATAGCTCATGTTTCCTTGCGCCATTTGGCAAGACTTTCGAACTAATAAACCAGCTCCACTTCTACTTTAGCTAACAATACCAACCAGCATAAAGCTGTTAATAGTGCGGTATTGATTGGATAGATTCCAACACTTCCACGACATACCTCCGACGAGCCACCACCTTCACCATAGGCGTCACCATGTTCAGTCCAATTCCTGAATAGCTATCAAGCTTGCATCAAAATCCCTCGCCCCGCCCCGCCCCGCTCCTCTGCCCTTTCATCTCTACTCTTACCACTGCATCCTCAGCCCCCAATCCAAACCCCAACATCTATCTCCGCGGACGCTTACATCGCTCTCTGGGCTTACTCACCCACTAAACACATCCAAGCCACTCCTTCGAGTCCCTTCTCCGCATAACTGCCTATCTACACCAAAACAGTCGATCCAGCGCACCCACCTGGCACATCTACATAGAAGCGAGTCGTTAGATTCACTAACACAGGCCTGGACCTATCTATAGGTCTCTATCGCGTGGGACTATCACTTATAGTGCGTACAGACAACGACTGGATCGCGTGCCTAGGCTGGAAATGGGATTCCTTCTTGGGGTGCTGAAATACTTCAAACATCCTACTTGCCTGACTCTTGTTCGAATGTTGGATGAGCTCGACATACATGAGAAATGGGTGGCATAGAATACGCTAACCATATACATAAAAGCAGACAGAAATAGCATGCCATACTGCCATGCGTTCCACAAGGACCCGCAGCAGTCAGCACACTGTGCTGATATACCAGAAGAGAGGGGCCGGATTGCCTATGCAGCTGGTTTCCGCACAGTTGTGGGATGCTGGGGCGTACGCCGGACTCCGCACACCGCCCGGCTTTTCGAGGTGTCTTTTATACGTATCGACGATAGTCTTCTGGACGACGACGGTGCCTGATACCGAGAATCAGTGATAGTGTTGGCCTCCAACACAGAAGACCAGCCGTCCGAGCCTTCGGTGTGGCCCCGTCACGCAGATACATGAGGACAAATACAAGACATGTATAAAATGCAGCGCTATGTCACCAAGCGAGGGTGGGTAAATTGTCCAAGGCTAACTTTTTGCGTCCGGATAAATAGCTTTCTATGGAGCTGGAGATGTCGGTTTCGTGACTGTATGACTGCTTTTTGGTGATGGTGCTGACTTAGGTTATCGAAGAGCTTAGAGGGGTGTTTGGTTGTTTGTTGTTGGATACTTCGTGCAGTGTTGGCTTGTGGTCCGAATGTATGAATGTGTGCTCGAGCTGTCTGTACGGGTGTGTTTGCGTGCATATGCTCGCGCACCCAGACAAGTCATACATAAGGCGTCGTAGCCATCTATTTTGTTCTTATTGTAGGAGTGACGAAGCACTTCTTACCCAGCTGTGTAGAGGTTACGAATATAGCCTGGCGCGGAGTTTGGGAACTCGGTCATAAGCGAAGTAAAGCTATATGGATTGCTTCGCATATTTCTACTAACATCTTTCGGTTGACTGAATCACAGGTTTCGTATCCTAATGTTAATTAAATATTAATCCCATCAGCATTTGGCGCTAGTTGTGACGGAGGTGAATGCTTCTATGGCTACGCGCTTCAAACATGTGCGAGTGAGCCGAACAAGACCGCAAGATAAATACGGAAGAAGCGAGATGAAATAGCTGTCCAGTTCTATTTACTTCAAAAGTATATAAATCCTCCCGCTCTTTATCTCTCCAACAAGCCAGAAGAAGATTGATCTATAATTATCAAACAGTTCCTGTCATACCCCTCACCGCCGCTGTAGTCTAGCGCTGAAACTTTTTTTTTTACGTCAGATCGACCCCTCTCCACCCCTTTTCTTTCGCATCGTTCACTTGCGCTCTTCCCATCAAGCGATACATATTACAAGTCCTCACTTTCGTAAACTATCTCTAATATTTACACAATATATTTTAAATAAACCAAATCCACTTCAACAACAGCCAGCAATGGCATCGGGTTTGTGGTCTAGTGGTATGATACTCCCTTAGCACTATCATCACACCTTGTGATCGTCCTAACTGGGAGTGGTCCCGGGTTCAATTCCCGGCGAATCCAACTGTGCCAGGTTTAATTCCTGGATCATTCTACTTTTTTTTTTTTCGTGTTTCTCGGCTGTCGTATGTATGGGCGGGCAACTTGGCCTCTTTCTTCTTTCTTTTTTCTTTTTTTCAGTTGTGTGGTTGCGCGCGGTCTGTGCGCATCGGGACCGTCAACCACCCGTGCCACCATGGTGAGTTGAGCATGGCAAGTTGTCCATAGAACCAAGACTTTTTTTTCTGGCCCGCCGCCCGGCAATAATAGCAGCACTATGGTGAGCCAGCTTCCTGCATCGTAAATACTGTCTCAGCATCTTCTTGCTCACAGGGATATTGAAATATGCTCAATCTGGCAATTCTTCATCCCGCGAATGAGATTTGAAATATCACGGCATCTAGCAATGATAATTTGTGTCTCATGCATCAAGCGAGTTATTATAGTCTGATTATTTCAGTGACTGCAAATATACAGGGCCAAGGTAAGCGGTCTTTAGCGGAGGCATGTTTTTGCGCTTCTTACCGTCCCGGCTGGATATATTCTACGGCAGCGGCGGATATACGAGGACTTGAAGCCAAGCCTTGGGGCTCATATCTTAGATTCGAGTTCGACTGCGTGGTCCTCGATAGCTGCTCGTGCCGTAGGTAATGGCTGGCTTTTGTAGTTACAACGTGGATGCTGGGCTGGCCGCAAACTAAAGCTTTGCGCTTTTTCGGTGCCTTTGATGCGGAGGAACACCTGTCTATAATTGTAGCTCTGTCTTCGATTGCCAAGTCTTTCCATATATTCCTGTTCGTGTGCTGTGGACGTAAAGTTTTTGGTACTGATTTGGCGTTGGTGCGGGTGGAGTGTGTGCCTGTGAGTGTGTCTGTGATTGCTGATGTGTTCATGACTGCTGGTATGTATATTCGTTCGTTGCTGGAGGATCGTTGGCGCGTAGTAGAGTGGAGGGAGGAAGAGCTGGGTTAGGGATGCTGTGTTGTGATAGCGATAATCGACCTAAGAGGTTAGAGACAACTTTGGTGACATTGAATGGCCACAAGGTGACATTTTGCTGCCGTTTCAAACCTTCCCTTCGCTGAGACAGAAAACACTTTTGACAGAAGAAATGATCGGGATGGGTATCTCTCTAGATGATGCGGGCGGGATGGCCTGCTTTGTAGCCTATATTTGATGTGCATGGCGGCGTGGACTGTGCCGGAGTGAACAATTGGATACTGGTGCAGTGGTCCGGAAGAAAGGGTGGGGGACGAGGTGATTTGCCGCGGTGACTGCTGGACGGCGTAGCATGCGGAAGATAGCATTGATGAGTGCGGCATGTGAGAGACAGCTTTTGACAAAGAAATGTACAGTTGATTTGCGTGGCTTCATTTCGGACCTATTCAAGGACGGGGTCTTGGGAGTAATGTTAGTAACTGGTTTAGATCCCAAAGATGGTATGCAAAATACAAGTGACTTACATCTTATACATCTTGAATGATTTGCGGACAGGCTCGAACTGGACATTAAGGCAATGCGTCTTCAAGTATGAGTATGCCTCCCAGTGTGAAGCCATCTTACATGTTTCGACTCAGTTCATATCTCATAAATGCATACTCTTCTCAGACCTTATTTCAACACCTTAGCGGTAAAATGTGCTGCACAAGACTCATCTGGCGACAAAGCGGACATTCCGGCTTCTCACGACACCAGTCCACAATGCAAGACCAGCAAAAGACATGACCACAAGTCGTCACACTCGGATCCTTCATCTCCTCCAGACACAGCGTGCACTTGCGCTGCTGAGCAGCCGGCATCCACGCCATGGCGTCCTCCTCGCGGAGATCGAAGCGCGGTCCCCGCGTCAACGGCGTATGCGTCGTCCTAGCGACGCGCTGGCTCTGACCATCCCCCACAGCCGGCGCCGCCGTATCGAACAGCAGCGCGTTGTTGCTGGCGTAGTCTTGGGCGTTCAGGCTGACCTCGACGCCATGCTGTAGGATGGCGGAGCCGCCCATGGCGCTGCCCGCATTCGCCACCACGGCGTGTCCGTGCCCCGCGCCGCTATCTCGCACCGTGCTGTTGACGTGCAGCCAGGCCTGCACGCCCAGCTGCAGCACCAGCAGCACGCCTAGCACCTCGTACCCCACGCGCTGCTCCGACGGGTCGGGCCGCCGCGTGAAGATGTAGCGCAGCCCTGCTGCGCGCTTGCCGAGCTCGTAGTACGCCCCGCTGAAGTAGAATGTCGCGAGCGACACGGCGTAGAGCGGCGCAGGTGACGTGATCGTGTCCAGGTTGGTCAGAAGATATGCTTGGAACCGGTGTGTTTTGCTCGGAGCCTGCTGCTTGCGCGCTCGCCGCCGTAGATTCGATTCCAGCTTTGCGCGTACACGGCGCCGTAGCGCCGGCAGTACTTTGTTCAATCCGTATGGCACCAGGATGCTCGTGAGGATGTAGCCGCTCCGGCGCGCGATCGTCGGTAGTCGCAGCGTGTCGTCCTCCACCTGCACGATATCGCAGTACTCTTCTCCCAGTGTCCGGTTGCCAATGAACGTCGTCAGGCCCAGGTATAGGAGGTCGGCGACGGTGCGCGCTTCCGTCGTGTAAGTGTGGGCGAAGCGGGCGCCGTAGAGCTTGCGGAGGATGGCTGAGAGCTGCTCCAGCAGGACACCCTCAAAGTAGGCATCTTTCTGGTGCGAGCGAATTATGTCTGGTGCAGCGGCAAACGGATATCGGTAAGAGGAAGCCATCTCGGCGCGTGGTGACTGGCAAGAAGCGTGTGGTAGGTGTGGATGTTGTAAAGCTCGGTGGTGAGCTCCGACTGCAGGACCTCGGCATCTGCAGCTCATCTGCCATGCGTCACGCAATCATATGTCTGTGCCGACAAGCTCCCAAGGTTGTATGTTCAATCGCAAAATATAATTACCAAGAAGGCAAGGTATTATTATTATAGCTTCTAAGTGTTGTCCAAATCGGACACATTCAATCATCTATGCAATCTACAATGCTTTCTATGCAGATGCAGCTCATAACGAAATAGTCAATCGTTCAAACCTGGATTGATCAAGCGATCAAACCCACCATTTAAATCTTTTCCCTGCGCTCCCACTCGACGGTAGCCGGCCTCAAGGGCTGCGAGAAAAGCGACGAAAAGTCCGTGTCAACGACCTTTTTGGAGCCATCCACGTTCCTGAACTTGAACTCCCTGATCATGTTGCCCAGAATGGTTTGCAGCTGCAAGTAGGCAAACTGCTCGCCAATGCACCTGTGACGGCCCGCACCGAAAGGCAGGTAGGGAGAGTTCGTTCCCTTAGAAACCAAGCCGTAGCCATAGTCGATTTGCTCCTCGTCATCCTTGGAAGCAGCCGGGGCCTCGCCATCCCAGCGGTGGGGCTCCCATTGATCGGGGTTGGGGAAGTGCTCACTAGAAGTGGCGGAGACACCGGGAGAAGACATGAGAGTGTGAGAGGTGGGAATCGTGTACTGCTTGCCATTGCTGGACTCGATGACCATAGGAGACTTGACCTTGCGCATGATGGAGTGGATCGGGGCGTGAATGCGCAGAGTCTCCTTGACAACCTGAGCATGCAGGGGCAGCTTCGACAGGTCCTCGTACTGGAGAGGAGGCAGGTCGGCGCCCAGAACGTTCTTCTGCTCCTCGAGCAGTTCCTCAGCGATGTCGGGGCGGGAAGCGAGACGAAGCAGAATCCAAGAGATGGTAGAAGACGAAGAGTGCTGGCCGGCCATGAGAAGGGCAATCATAATGCAGGCAATCTCCCTGTCGGGCAGAGGAGTGCCGTCCTTGTAGGTAGAAGCCATCAAGTTCCACACCATATCCTCGGAGTCCTTTTGAACCTTGCCTGCTCTCCTGTTGCGGATAATCTCAGAGTAGACCTCGACCATCTTGTTGTGCGCGGCATCGCGGCGACGGTTGTGCGGAAGAGGAGCCCAGGGAAGCATGAAGTTGATCGGAGTGAAGCCCATGTCGAGGTCGTGGTAAAGATCGGCGAACGAGGAGTCAAACTTGTCGCGGACCTCCTTGCCCTGAAGAGAACGAGAAGCAGTGAAGATTGTGACCTCGGCCATCGTCTTAGGAACATCGAATGTGCCGGAGTGGCCCTTAAAGACAGGTGTGCGCTTGACGTAGTCCTGGACTTCGGCGGTGATGAGCCCGACGTAAGAGCGGAGAGCTTCGGAGGTAAGGCCAAACTTGACGAACTGCTAGGGTCAGCATACAGTACTCAATTTTATCCATTGTAGCGCGTACCTTCTTCTGCTCCATCAGCTTGGAGTTGGGGCAGTCGTAAACAACGCCCTTGCCGAAGACAGGAGTCGTGAGAGGGCTGTAGATCTCCTCGGCATTGACATCCTTCAGTTTGCCGTTCAAGATGAAGTCGTTACCCTTAGTGCCAAGGCAGACGGTGGTCGGCTTGCCCAGCAGGATAAAGGTGAAGACATCGCCATACTAGATATTCGATTAGCCTGGTGTTTGCGCCGAGCTCATCATTCGTCTTACCTTTTCACGGTTGCTGAAGAAGAACTTGTACGGCTCCATGCCATACGTGACGGTGCTGCCAATGAAAGGGATCCAGTGGAAGACCACCGGAGGCTTGGTGGTGTCCTTGCATAGGACCTGCTTCAGGACGTTGACGACGATGGAGAGGACGACGAAGGCGGACAAGGCTGCGGAGACCTGGACGAAGACCGAGGAACCGGCAAGCTTGTCGGCCAGAGGACCCGCGAGAGTCGCGAGAAGACCCATGGTGGCGGAGGAGGGGGGTTGGTGATTGTCGGGTCGAATTGACGATGTGTTGTCCTAGGGGAACGGAATTATTTGAAGTGATAGTGATCTAGGTACAGATCTCTGGGCGGTGAAAGGGGGAGGCTAGTTCTGGCAAGATCCCGGCGCCGTTACGGCCTGTTCCTCACGCCACGACAACCTGACGACAGAAAGATTTTAAAATTGCTAGACCGTCCGAGGGAAATGGTGGACAGTCAAGTGCGGAGCTACCGTGTTTTCGTGGTTGTGGTAGCAACAGTTGCGGAGACGCTGTCTTCTTAAGGCGTGGGACGAATGAGAGCACGACCATTCTAATGACTATCTACGCAATAAACTCGTACGGCTTTTTTGTAGCCCGGCTCTGCGCAAGCCCGAACTCCGTGGGGTCAAAAGTTGGGTTCAGGGTCCTCGGCTCCCGGTCAGGCGGTACCACAGTGGTGGTACGCGTACCTACTACTACAGAGAGAAAGGTTTTGTTGCTTTCATCTATTGTCACTGCTCAAACAGCTCAGCATCTTTCGCATGACCAACGATTCTTACTCTTAGACAATCGCAGTAGTCAGCAATGGCTGAGGTCAGTCAGGATTTTCACCGGTCAAGCGGACTACACAGCGCTGGACTCGTACCACTTTACAGGCAGCGGCATTTCGCCATCCGGTGTTGATCCAACCCCATCCTCTCTGGGCGTTGGCGCGGCTCCGCCACGCAGCCCCATGCGCGGAGAACCACGCAACTCTCCGCTGGCGCGGAAGTCTCTCCGCCAGCTGGATGCTTCTTAGTCACTAGTACCACCACAAAATTGCCTGTGCTTTGCTCTGATAACCCAAGCTTATCAACCTCACCTGTTTCTGGCCTCAGTCGACATTGGAAACTCATCTTAAACATGCCATGGCATTCCATTATTTCCACGGAATTTGCCGTAGTCGCTAGCCACTTGTACTCCATTACGCCTTAGGGCCTACCAGTATTTATGATATAAAAATATGATCACCATCTCCAATTTGCAACAGCGTTGCCGCCATAGCTTTTTGAGAAAAACCTGGGGCGCCCGGCATTCGAAGACAAACCCCCAAAAGCGCGCCGACTTGTACAAGCTCACACTGGTTAGCGAATAGAAATAGAAGAATAACGGTAGAAACAAGAACGTCAGGAACCACTTCTCCTTGCCCTTTGACCCGTAGAACTGCAAAAACGCGTGACCCATATATTTTCGCCATTACCCCCCGCCCAGTCCAGTCTGTCCGGGTTTTGTCTGATTGTAATTGGCACTACTCTTAGCTGGCCAATCGGTCTCGTCATCGGTGCTCTGGCGTCAGCTCGTTCAAGCCGGGTCGCCAGGGTATATACTTCTATTGTCATTTCCGAACAGTGGCTGATCACCCTTCCCGCCCATATTAATGAATTCTTCGGGGTCTCGGTTTTCCGCGGGGACGTCTTCTTTCTTGCCCTTGGGAGTGCCTGCCTTAGCTTTGGCTTTCTGGGGGCTGGCAGTCTTGCCATCGGCGTGGGCTCCATTGGCTCGTGGGTTCTTCTCGTACACCTTCACCGGCGGGACCTCGTGCGGCAGTTCAATGATCCGGCTGACTCTGACATCGTTGATTTCACTTAACATCGTCCGCTCCCTGTGCGGCTTGCGCTTCGAGAAGTCCAGGCCTCCCAGTGCTCCAGTCAAGCCATCTGTAGAGTCGTAGCTAGTTATCAGTGGGGTGTTGACAGCGTTGCGCGTCCATGGATGTTCCAAGCATTCGTCGATGGTAGCACGCTTGTCGACGTCTACAGTCAACATCCGATCGATCAGGTCCAGTGCCGGATCGCCGACAGAATCCCAATACGGACTTGGGTAGTCGAAGCGTCCCATTTTGATCTGCTGCGAAAGACTGTAAGGGTTCTCTGGAGAGAACAGCTCATCCGAAAAAGGCGGGAATCCGCAGAGACAGATGTAAAGGACAACACCTAGCGACCAGACATCCACGGCGCGCGTGTAGCGGCGGTGGTTACCAGATTCAAGAATTTCGGGAGCGACGTAACTAGGGGTTCCACAGAGGGTTGTGGTGAAAGACTCCTCTCCGATAATTTTGGCGAGACCAAAGTCCGCCAACTTGACGTGGAGTTCCTTGTCTGTCAAAAGAATGTTCTCTGGCTTGATGTCACGGTGGACGATGTTACGTTCATGCTGTTTTATAACTGTCAGATAATGGCCGCTGTGCAACACTGTGAGCGAACTCTTACCAAATATTTGACAGCCTGAAATAGCTGCACGAACACTTTCCTAGTCTCTGCTTCAGACAGCTTCTGCTTCATGACAATCCAGTTAAACAGTTCGCCTTCTGGCGCAAGTTCCAAGACAAGGTAGACTCCATCGGCTTCATCGAAAGTATCCTTTAGACACAGTAGTGACGGATGGCTGACACCCATGAGAACAGCAATTTCCTGTTGCAAGCCCTCGACCCTCGAGCGCTCATGAGCTCCGGTGCGTTTCTCGAATTTCTTGCAAGCAAACCGTATGCCAGTGCTTTTCTCAACGCAGAGATAGACCGAGGCAAAATGCCCCTTGCCAAGCTGCTCCTGTATGGTGTACTGGTGTCTGAACCCATGCGTACTTTTATCACCGCGAGGATAGCGGAACACACAACGGGCCTCGTCGACGATGGAAATCTCATCCCCTTCTTTCAATTCGCGACGTTTGTTCCGGCCGATGACGGAGTTGTTGATGAATGTTCCATTGGCCGAGAGATCCTCAGCGACGGCCACAATCTCACCATCTTTGTTCTCAGAAAAGAGAAGGCAATGCCGATTGGAGATTGTCGGGGCATGGATGATGCGATCTTTAAAATATTTAGTCAGGTTGAACGGTCACGATTGAACTGGTAAGCAAACTAGACGTACCGCACTCTGGATGCCTGCCAATTAAGTATCCTCCAGCCGGCACAGCATCTCCCTGCTGCTTCTTCTTCTCATACTCCTCCTCTTGGTTTTTAAGACCTTTCCGCGGTACGCTCTGCTTGCCGCTCGGCAGAGCTGTGGGTCCAGGTATAGGGCAGGCACTCCGCTTGCGCAGCACCAATGAATCTCCAAAAATATTGTCCACCGGTACTAGATAACCCCAGACACCCTCGCCCTCCTCATCTTCTACCTCGTACGAAGGGCCTGGGGGATACACGAATTGCGAGTACGGCTGGGTGTCCTCGGGGGGGGACGTGATTCCATTGCGGGCTGGAGAGCTGGCGGTTGCGCCACCAGATGTAGTCGAGAGTTGACCCTGGCTAGGAGGGGTTGGGATGCCACACTTGGATAGGTTATCGGCTGTGGTGGTGGTGTCCTTGTGGGTAAGAGGTGACGGGAAAGCAGCGTTGGTCGTTTTCAGCGGAGTCGAGGGGTGTACCTGGTCCGTCTGCTGATCATCGGCGCGGCGCTGCTTTTTGCTCTCGGTGACTTCCTCTCCGGCGGAATGCTGTCGCTGATTAGCAGCTACAAGCAGCAGCACGACGCTTTGGGCATACGAGAGCGCGCTTCAATTGGCTCTTTTCCGGCTGTGGAGCCATGGTGGGAAGTGGTGACTGCCCTATTGGGACGTGCGACGGGATGGAGGAGGATTGAGGGCGCGCTTTGCCACGAAACGATGCGGTAGGAGACAGGCAACGAGCGGGAAGCAAGGTAATAGCGGCTAGGCGATAGCGCGTGGGTAGATGTCAAGGTTATGTCTCAGGTGAAGGTGGACGGGAAGGCGTCGACCATTCTTGGCGCGAGATCTCGAGGGCTCTGACTCGCCGCGCGCGGCCAGTGACGTCCATCGAGCGCCGCGACACATGGACAGGGTCCACATCGATCCATTCATGAACCATGGACTTTCCCTTCATGTCCGACGACCGCTTCCGCGTGGCTGGCGATGCCCTAGTGCGCCTGTTCGAGCGGTACGGCCATGAACAGCGCGATTGGTGCCATGTTGCCCTCGCGGCAGCTGTGCGTACGCCCACACTGTCACTGCGCCGCCTCACCCTCACACATGACCTTTACAGGCCGGCGACCAAGCATGGCTGCAAATAAGGCGACGCCTCGCATGCACCTCACTGCCATCAGCACCCCAGACGGAAACGGATGAATGGTGCGACCTGGCTGAGGAAAGCGACGAGGCAAGTTGCAGCTATGGATTCGAAATGGCCGAGCAATTGCTCATTTTGACAGGAGGCGCTACCCCACGAACCCCGCACTGAGCAATCGACTTGTGTAGAGTACAGTGTCCTCCTCTCTCCCACCTATCGTGTACCGGTGCTATACCTGATGCCGCAAGGCATGGTTGCCAGTAGTCACATGTCCATAGATGACTTGCAACGGCTGGTTGTGGCACCGCAATTCAGAGCCCAAGTGGAGAATGTAGGAGTTATGGGAGGCATAAGCATGACCGTAAGTGGGGAAAAATCGCACGAAGATATAGCAAAGCGCCGTCCTGACCACATGGAGCAGAACCACCCTGTGACAGATATGCCGGCGCTGTTTGTGCATCCATGCAACACAGCCTCGGCCTTGCAGGAAGCCACGCCCAGTCAGGAGCTGACACCGCTGCAGTACCTGCAGCTGTGGCTTGGGATAATAGGCGGATGCGTCGGTTTGCAAATGCCAGTAGCTCTCGCTTCACAGATAGATATACCCTCCCCTTGACGTGAGAGTCGCTGCCGGGCTCGCAAGCCTGTGTTGAATTAGACTTTTGGGTATAGAAAATGACAAAAGACCTCGTGAACTACCTTGGTGGGATGATCGCAAGTGGTATCTCTGCCACCCGCCCTGCATATATGTCAGAGCGCCGACAGGTCTTGGATCAAGGCATTTAGTCTTCGTCCGAAACATCCATCTCCTGGTCTTCATCTTCGTCCTCCTCCATCGGCTTCTCCTCGGTATCGCTCTCGTCATCGCGCTTCCTTTTCGCGCCCGCAGCATCACCGTTCTGGACCGGCGCAGGGGGCGGCACGTTGGTGGAAGTGGTCAGCGGTGGAAGGGCCTCCTGCGCGGCAAACTGACCGGGCCTGGGGGGACCGGTGCCTTCCAGCTTGCTGATGATCACGGATTTGCCTCTGGCGTAGTCGATGGCCTGCGCGCCGCGGGTCAGCCATGAGTCCTTGCGACTGAGACTTATTTTGGACTTACCATGTTCTTGCCAAAGAAGTCAAATCCTTGCAGGGAGCGCATGGCCTGGGTCGCGTGCATGATGTCCTTGAAGACGATGTGCGCCTGGCCGCGCATCTTCATGGTCTTGAGGGCGACGACATCAAGCACAGTGCCATATGTCGAGAAAAGAAGGTACAAGGAGCGACGAAGGTCCTGTTTCTGGAGCTTGTCCGGGAGATTGGAGACGTAGAGGCTGGTTCCAGACAGGTTAGTTGGCCGGACGACACGCATGGCATCTTCTGATTGCAACGTACGTCTGATTCGGGGGGTTCTTCGCGCCAGAGTTGGCCTTGACAGCTCCGTCATTCTTGACAACAGGCGCCATTGTGGATCGGGGTGGGAGCTGGAAAGCGCTGGAGGTGTTTGTGGTTTGCGGGCAACTGGCGCGACGAGCTTGCAGATGTTCTGCTAAACCTTATATTTCAGGCTCACAACGGCCCGGCCCAGGTAACCTCCGCGTCATTCCCCGCGGCCCCTCTCCACCCAACAACCTGCAACTCACCAACCACCAGCAATAGTCGAGTGCTCGCCCCTCCTGTTGCTACAATGGCTCCCTCCGAAGTTCACCAGCTTTTCCACCACCCCATCGCCGACCACTCCTTCTCTGCCGACCGCCAGAGCTTGGCCGTCGCCCGCGAGAATAACGTCGAGCTCTACACCCGTGCAGGAGGCTCCAAGTTCCAGCTCAGCGATGAGCTGACCGGCCACGACAAGACCGTCACCGGTGTCGACATTGCCCCCAACAGCGGCAAGATTGTCACTTGCTCCCAGGGTACATCTTCCCCAAACTCCCCTGGGTGTTGCTCCTAAGGAGCTGAGCTCCTGCCCTGACATATCTCCGAGCCCAACCACCACGCTACCTAGTGATGAGATAGCGACACCGAGATACTCGCCCGCATATCCAAAGGCTAACGCATCGCCACAGACCGCAATGCCTACGTGTGGGAGCCCACGGCCAACGGCTGGAAGCCCACCCTCGTGCTGCTGCGCATCAACCGCGCCGCGACGTGCGTGCGCTGGTCGCCGAACGAGAACAAGTTCGCGGTGGGCAGCGGAGCACGCGTCATCGCTGTGTGCTACTTCGAAGAGGAGAACGACTGGTGGGTGTCGAAGCACCTGAAGAAGCCGATCCGCAGCACCATCACCTCCGTCTCCTGGCACCCCAACAGCGTGCTCTTGGCGGCCGGTTCCGCGGACGGCCACGCCCGCGTCTTCAGCTCCTTCATCAAGGGCGTGGACCAGAAGCCCGAGCCCAGCGCATGGGGCGAGCGCCTGCCCTTCAACACCGTGTGTGGCGAGTTCCTGAACAACACGGCGGGCTGGGTGCACAGCTGCGCCTTCTCGCCGTCTGGCAACGCCCTTGCGTTTGCTGCCCACGACTCCAGCATCACGGTTGTCTACCCCAGCGCGCCGGACCAGCCGCCCGCGGCTGTCATCAGCGTCACCACGCAGCTGCTGCCCTTCATGTCGGTCGTGTGGACCTCGGAGGCCGAGATCATCGCCGCCGGCTACGACTGCGCGGCCTACCGCTTCCAGGGCAACGAGGGCGGCTGGGTCCTCGCTGGCGCGCTTGAGGCCAAGGCTGGCGCCGGCGCTGCTGACGACAAGGAGGAGAGCGCCCTCAACATGTTCAAGCAAATGGATCTTAAGGGCAAGACCAAGGATGACACTAAGCTGCACACGACGCACCAGAACACGGTTCTCATGCTCAGGGGCTACCAGGACGGAAAGATATCCTCCAGCGGCGTTGATGGCCGCGTCGTTGTTTGGGACGTGTAGAATTGAATCGGGTACTACAACCCAGATATAGTAGAGATGAGCCAATAGAACAAACTGCACCACATGCTGCTTTCCAAACCAACATCAGTGGACGCGCATGTATACAGTGAATCAAATCAAATCAAGTCATACCACGTGCTCGGATTTCTCGTAACTACAAGTTAAAACGCAGCGCCTGACGCGCCGCGAACGCCTCAGCACACGCACACAGCGTGAACCTCGGGCCTCTAAACTGCCTAGCCCAGTCTCCTCCCCCGCTCTTGGCTCAATACCGCACCGTACCGTCGCAAGACGAACGAGGCAGCGAGAACCAGGAGTCATTGAGAGGACCCAAGCGACGGAACAACACCCTTAGACGGCGTGCTTTTGGACGCCACCGTGATGCTGAAGCGAAACGAAACCAAACGAAAAATAAAATCAATCAAAAGCCGTGTGTATCTGCATGTGTGCGTGATCCCCCGCCTGTGAACCTGTGAACGCCGTCGCTCTAATGTACATTTACTTTTTTTACAGGCCCTGTCGCGCGGCGGTGGTGCGAGCGAGGGTTGTGATGGTGAGGAAGAGAGGGGGAGAGTAGGATAGTGAGGGCGGTGATGTCGATAGGGTTTGCGTAAAGGTAGATGAAGCATCCGTTCATGAACATGTATGCACGCGTTCCTTAAGCGATGTTGCCCGCAAGCCCAATGAACAGCGCCTGTGCCGCCAGCTGCAGCGTCCAGATGCCGACTTTCTTGAAGCGGCGCCGACGCGTCTGGTGGTCGTCGTGGATGTCGCGGGCAAAAGCCTCGTACATCTCGCGCGAAAGGTCGTCCATGAGCCCGCTGTCGTAGATGGTCCAGGAGCCGTCGAACTCGCTGGCGCGCTTCACGACGCGGCAGTTGACGGGAATGAACGTCCGCTTCGAGTTGATGTATGCCACGATGGGTCGGATCAGCGCGTTGTTCACGTACGAGATGTCATTGGTAAAAATTGGGACTGCGGCTCGCACGTCGTTCAGCTGCACCCGGATGTCCATGACGAGGAAGCGTTTGTCGTCTTCATTTTCATCGGCAGTGACGACTTCGGCGCCTGTCGAGTCGGTCCGCGGCGGCATGGGTGTGGGGTCGATGGGTTTTTGGAACTCTAGAACGCTGCGCGTGCCGTTGGAGGTGACGGTGGCTTCGACGCGGTCGTAGAAATCGGACATCACCTTTGCAATGCTCTCATCGTTGTCGGCTGGGAACATAATATCTGACACGATGTCAAGATTTCCTTCATGAATCCACCCAAATGGGCCATCCACGCCACGGTTTAGATGGTCGATGTTGAGACCGTCGATCCTTATCCGGGTATGCTTCTTCCATTGCGTGGGGCCCTCGTCTGCTGCCTCGCTCTGTGGAAGTGCTGCATAGTTGTGCGTCTGCTTAGGATGAATGGTGAAAAGAGAGTTATCGAATGAACCAGACATCATATTGGCGGACAAGAAATCGTAAAATAACCATTGCTTCCTCAATTGAGGGAGGTCGCAAGAGTATATGCTGACCGGGAATGGACGGAATCCGTTGGTCTGGTAGATGGTGACGAGCAAGTCTTCCATCTTGAACGAGTCGAGTTCAAAGTCGCCCGGATTGTGCTCGTGTTTGTAGGTCCTAGGATCAACATATTCCTCTGGAGCTTGGAGAGATCTACGATCGACGACGCCACGGATACCCTTGATCTCGACATCGCGGAGCAACCCTTTACCGTTGAACCACTTGGTGAATGACAGCGTCACGTTCACCGTATCAATAGATAGATCGAATTGCGTGTAGTTCGTGTCTTCTTCTTCGTCGGTGGCATGCCACTCTGGAGCGTCATGGGCCGCTGCGGCAGCAGCTGCGGCAGCCGCTGATTCTTGCTGCGATCCCTTGCTTACCTTGGCCTGACCTTGTCCTGGTCTTCTGGAGACGAAGACGTTCTTAAAGCTTATGACACCATCACCCCACTTAGGGACAATGGCGGACTCGAAGACGACTTTGACGCCAGACGATTTGGTCAGATAGTTTCCTACCCAGCGAGCCAAGGTTTCCTGCGCGATAACAGAGTTGACAAGGAAAATCAAAATGGAGAAGAACGTAGTCGTGCCAACAATGACCCACGCAATGTGTCCTAGGAGGATCCAAGAAAAGAAGGCGCTGATGTCGTCCATGTTGAATTTCCGCCCACTTTTGATGGAGAACCACTTGAAGTGCACCTTGAACCTCGACCAGGCCCCGGTTGCTGCGGCAAGCAGTTCCTCCTTTGTCGGGCGGTGCAAATGATGCAAGGACTCGTTTGCGCGGTCAAAGAGCGTTTTTCCAGTTCCTGCCTGGCCTGCAGCATTCGAAGTCTCTTTCAACTTCTCGGGCTGCTGCGGCTCCGGCTTTGGCGACAGCTCTGCCTTGGGAGCACCCCCAGTGGGAGTTGGTTGCGGTTTCGATCCATTACTGACGGAGCTCTTGTTCCGCCTCATCAAGACGCCGCTCCTCCGCTTCGGCGTGGTATGTACGGATCTTTTCCATGCGGTTTCCGCGAGCCGCGTCACCAAGCCATGGCGTGCTCGTGCCGCTGGTGTGACGCTGGGTCTAAGGCCCAGACCTAGAAATGATGTGGTGGTAAAAGCACTGGGACCGATCAATGCAGGCGAGGGTATCGATGAAGAAGAGAAGCGAGATAGTTGAGAAGAGAAGAATCTAGCAGCAGGCATGGAGCCAACGTGACTTGGGAAGATACGACGGGTGGCGCATGGCGGGAATGCGAAGCCCATGGGCAGGTCGACGATAGAGAGCAGTGTTCTTCCGCCGACCCGAGCGGCTACATGGCTCGTCATTATCGTGCGGGCTCGAGCATGACGGGAGTCTCGAGCGAGCGGGCAAGAGTGGGAGAGCGGGCGGGACGCGGGCGGACTGTAGAGTGCATGACGCTGGGCGCGGCGCGAGAGAAAAGTGACGATCGGCTCTGCGCCCAGACCAACGAATCAGCGCCCGCTTCGCCGAAAGATTTCACCCACCACGAACATCCACACAACCACCACCACGTCCACTCTCTTCCATATCCGCACACCATGCCTGCCCCAACCGCCCTCCAGCGCGCTCCCGAGCCGCTCGCCGAAGACCAGGCCATGACCCAGTTCCCCCAAGGTACTTTACCTTCGTCCCGCCATACATAGGTACACCGCCTAGATCAGCATCCTAACGCTCTTCGCAGAAGGAGGCGTCCCTCTGGACATCAACTCCGCCGCCGATCCTACGCCCCTGCCCGCTACGTCCGCGAACGAAGATAGCATGCAGGTCGACACCGAGGGCCGCCCGAGTTTCGCGCCCGCCGCCGACGTGCCGCTTGCGCTACGCGTCGAGACCCGCAAAGTGCCCATCCCGCCACACCGCATGACGCCGCTCAAGGCCAACTGGCCCAAGATCTACCCGCCTCTTGTCGAGCATCTCAAGCTGCAGGTGCGCATGAACATCAAGAGCAAGGCTGTCGAGCTCCGCACTTCGCGCCACACCACCGACACGGGCGCGCTGCAGAAGGGCGATGATTTTGTCCGTTCCTTCGCCCTCGGCTTCGATGTCGACGATGCGATTGCTCTGCTTAGACTCGACGACCTCTACATCCAGTCATTCCAAATCAAGGACGTGAAAACGCTGAACGGCGAGCACTTGGGTCGCGCTGTGGGTCGTATTGCTGGACAGAACGGCAAGACTAAATTCGCTATTGAGAATGCGTCGAGGACGAGAATCGTGCTGGCGGACCAGACGATTCACATTCTGGGAGGGTTCAAGAACATCCACATTGCCAGAGAGGCCGTTGTCTCGTTGATTCTGGGTGCGCCTCCCGGAAAGGTGTACGGCAACCTGCGCACCGTGGCGTCGAGGATGAAGGAGAGGTTTTAAGCAAACCGCTTGCTTGCTTATGATGGGCGCTTTATGAGCATTGGGCGGCGTTTTATATGATTTGGGGTCTCGCAGGGAAACGTTACCTTCTAAAAATTGGCGTTAATGGCTTTTTTCGGTAGATTCGGATACCACAAGAAGAAGCACGATCACGTTGTACTTCAGACATCAATTTGACGCCTTGAAATCATGCTCCGTCACAGAAGACGAACGTATGAGATTTTTCTACCTGCTTACATTATATCTACATTTTGTCAGTGACCGGCACCCCTTATCCTCCATTTGGAAGTAACGCTTCCCAATTCCTCATGTTTAGTTGGCCCTATCAAGTCAAGTTCACCTCAAACATAAAACAGGCATCTTTTGTTATCTGGACAAGATAAATTGTGCTTACACACGAGAAGCAAGTCGTACCCAACCATCATACAGCGGTCCTACAGACTATTGGCCTATTCATATTAGAGACGCCTCAACGTCCTCTCAGAGTAAAACCTGTACCATACAACAAGTCCTGCAAAGCTACCTCCCACCCTCTAGACCATTTTGGTTATTTGGGTGGTCTGCCCTCATAAAGCACTCACCAATGGCATCGCCCTCCTCTCTACAGCAGCGCCACTTCCCCATACCATCCTCTCTCGGCGCGATGCGCACGCCACGCCCACCACCGCCAACGATGATGTTTCCGGGGCGGTATTTCTCATCGTGGCGCATGCGCGCAAGGACGCTAGAATGCACGACAGCGTCAGCCGGCACATCGCGTACCTCGCCTTTAGGCAGCGGCCACGAGATGACGTGCCATTGGCCGTCTTTTTTGAGGTCAAGCCGGCGGAACGGCATCCATTCCATGATGTTCCAGGAGAGGACGCTCAGCGCGGGCGCGCCATTCTTCAGCTGCAGCACGTCATGGATCCTGCCGCGCGTGGCCGCGTGGTGGATGTGGTGGTGGTACGTGTTTGACGAGCTCGGCGGCTCGGGAGCGACGACGCTTGCTTCAGCACGTGTGTCTGCTGATGGCTCGCGCATGTCGACCGCGGGCGAGGGGAGCGGCGTTGGCGCCGGGTTGTTCAGTGCTGCGGGCCCTGGCGATGCGCTGCTGATATGGATCTCGGGCGCTGTGGCGCGGCGGAGGCCGTCAGTGGAGTTTTTGCCTTGGTCCACATCGCCGTCTTCCTCGCTCTCGTAGTCGTCTGGGCAGCAGTTCAAGTCACGCAGCTTGATGGGGTCGAACTGGAGGCCGGCGCTCTGCGCTTCCCGTACCATCCACACAAGCGGGACGTGGCTTAGGGGCGACTCTTCACCAGACTCAAGGGGCCAGCCTCCGCCAATGTCCTGTTATTGCGATGTTAGAGTGTGGATGCCTGCGGCGGAGTCAGTGGTAAACTTACTGCATGACATCCGGCGAACCAGACTTCCTTGATGTCTTGCTCCTCATCGTCCGAGTCGTCTGTGGGAGCACGGCGGCACTCGGAATGCGAACAACGAGAGGTTCCCGTGGCTCTGGACTGACGGCTTTCACGCCTTCCAGGCGAGCGGCCAGGGCTCAGAGAGCGGAGACCAGAAGTCTCCGAGCTGTCACGGAAAGCAGGAGGAGCCCTCAAGCCGCGATCGAAATTATTGGGGCGCTGAGATTTCGCCTGGTCACTGCCTGCCCTACCACGATCGGTGTCTTCGTGGTAACCGTTGCCGGCTTTGTTCACAGACTTTTTCCGCGACCGCTGCTTGTGGTGGTTCCGGAAGTGATTTGTCCCGTGGTGCCCCCTGCTCTGGGAGATGAGATCCTGCCGAAATTTGGCGCGTCGCTCGTCGATGGCGACGGCATGCCTGATAACCTTGGCGGTTGAACGCGCAGTATACGGAAACTTACTGCGCTGCATCCATGCATTTTCGAAATGAGGAACGCTATTAACTGTGTCAAAGAGTCCTAGGAATCGGATACGGCGAACAGGTCGGCTGAAGGTTTCCCGGAAGGCGAACATGAAGTCCAACAGGCGTTTCTTGTCTTTTTTCTCTTTATCATTGCGTTCTGTGCGAATCTGCCACTTCTGGAATGCCTTCCAGGCGAAACGAGCCATCTCTTCGTTACCAGCTGACAGCAGACCAACATGGTCGAGCATCTCGGCCAGGAAGCGGGCAGTGTATGCGCCCCTGGAAAAGCCAAACAGGTATATTTCATCTCCGGGCGAGTAGTAACGCATGAGGAACTGAACAACGTGTTAGATTCAACATCAAAGGCAACATTGAGCACCAGACCTTGTAACCGCCCATGACGTGTTCCGCAAATGATGTCCCTACGGCGGAGTCTTTCTGTCTCTGGTACCAGTTCTGCATGCGTGCCAATGTTGAGGTATGGCTGAGAGGTCCACCAGTGACATATGTCCCAATTCCAGGCTGATAATAATGGAATTGGTCCTCGCCAGTTCTGTCGAGCATACAATAGATCTTGAGAATGTTAGAGTCTGCTTCAGTCCCTGAGAACTTGTTTCCCGTGCCGTCGAAGCAAAGAATGAACTTTTTGCTTCGACGTCCCTGCGCCATCTCTGCCTCAATGGCAGCACCCTCTGCCTCGCCATTAGAGGTACCGCTTGGCCTGCGAGGTTCAAATGGGTCGCCTTCTTGGAAGTACGACATTTTGTTCAGAGAGTTGTTTGAGATAGATGAAAAAAAGGTTCACAATGCTCTCTCAATCCTTCATGATACAAGGCCTGTCACAGCATCCCTTAAGGTCAATAAATGGTTGGACGTATAGAGAGCCACGGGCTCATCACACGACTGGCGGGGTGGCTTCAAGACAAAAACTGTCAACCATGGGTCGGTTACCTCCCCGGGTACGCGGATCGTTACTCGAGGGTCATGCAGTGCTTACTGGATATACGAGATGCAGCATGCAGCGCAACCTCGCGTTCCCGCTGCAGGTAGCACGGCGCGTGCAGAGCGGGGAGGCATCAGTCCAAGGGACGAATGGCTGCACGTCCTCGCTTGTCCTACTCCTAAGTAGAATTCCGTACGATGATCGGCGCTTCTTTCTGCCGCCTTGATTAGTCGTCGCACTGCACTCTTTCCATGTCGGATCGACGAACCTCTTTCGCAAGGCTCGATGGTGGACGTCAGCCTTCAGCCAGCCCCGCTCTGTATTTCGTTCCGCAGCTGAATTGACAACTCATAATGCATTGCCATACATACTATCAGCAGCACATGGCTTGAGGCATTGTGGCCCATCCTACGCCAGCCCAATCATATCCGAGCCTTGCCGTTGCACAATTCTCGGCGGTAACACCTTGGCTCACGACGACCGACATCTACTATTTTATGAGGCTAGAAAGCCGTGCTCGGCATAGTACAGCATTTCTGCATCTGCATTTATTGGGGTTTTCATCTGCGGAGAATGCGGAGAACAGACGATCTCATGATCGGTCAGTTTTGAATTGACAGCCTCACTGATGAAAAGCAAAGCAAGTTGCTAAAACATCACTTATCCTGCCAGCCCTAGCTCATGGGTGTGGGGACAGTAGCCTTGCAATACGCACTACGACATTTCCAGTTGCGCAACTCGCTTATTTCAACGTTGAGTACGGTCTTGCGCTGATACACTGAGACTCGGTCCACTCAGCCAACGATCAACTATAGCATATGGAAGTAGCCATGGCATTGGAAACGGAAAACCACATCTGAGATTGGGCTCTGATGCATTTGCACGACACATGAGGGCACCAATGGAAAGAGACGGGTCACTGTTACGCCGATCAACAGGCGTGATCTTGTAAGATGGAAAGCTTCACTTTGATTCGTGCAGGGCGATCAACTATGTTTCGGCTAAGATATTCCATTTTCCAGGTTTCGTTGCATGCTGTGCCCCGAGTTTTTCTGGATAGCCATCGCCAATCATTGCTTTTGCATATGTCTTTCTGAGCTTCAGCCAGCCAAGAATACACCGTTGGAATCATTGGTTGCGTTGATGTCGCACAGCTTCCAATGCGGAGTCACGCATTGCGTCCACTATCACCCACAATTGTGAAGCTGTCGATCTTATACCCCTCTCGCATGTCGAAGGGAACCTGGCCGCTGCCATGTGATGAATGTCCTACGGCGTTTACTTTTACGGACCAGGCCGAGCCGAGTCCGCAGTCCAAGCGCGATAACAGAGGACCTAGACTTTTGAATCTGAACTCATCTGCTCCTACAACATGTCCTTCGCCATTGTACTTTCCCTCATCCTACTACTTCCTTCATACGCCATGCTCAGAAGACTCTCCACTGCGTTCAAGAGTCCAAAGAAGAAAGAAAACAGCCAGACCAATGGCAAAAGCACTTCTAAGGGCAGCACAGCACAGTCTGCTAAAGCCGATGATTCGGCCGACCATGCCGCTGATCAGGAGGAGGTGGGCAACGCATTCACACAGTTTGCTCAGCTCCTACATGCAGCAAGACGTCCATTGCCCACTCAAACTGGCGATGGGTCCTACATTGAGAAAGACCCCGAGGGAAGCCTCAAGGATGATTTGAAAGCCCTTGGTTTCCAAAACCTCGCGACTCTCAAGGAAGTGATTGCGAACAAGGCGAAGAAAGAGCACATTGATGACAAGACCTATCTCATGGAGCGAGTGATTCAGGTATGAATATTTCCGGCTTGAGATGATGGATCTCGCTCACAGAATTGCAGCTCGTTGCAGGCCTTCCACACGCGTCTCAAGCTCGTAAGGAGCTCACCAATGCCTTTGTCGATGAGCTCTGGGAAAACTTGCAGCACCCACCACTCTCGTATGTTCCCCATAAGTTATCCATGATTGAATTTTAATCTCTACAGGTATCTGGGAGACCAGTTCGTATACCGCCAGGCTGATGGCTCATTCAACGTATGTGGTTATATGACCCAAGATCTAGGAACATTGATTGACGTTTGACAGAATATCTCAGCTCCACATATAGGAGCCGGTAAATACACTTTCTCTGACAAAAAAGACGGTACTGACATGACTTATGTACAGCGAACACTCCATATGCTCGAAGTGTCCAGCCCAAGACTGTTCAACCAGGAGCTCTCCCTGACCCCGGTCTCGTTTTTGATGCGATATTCGCCCGTGAGGAGTTCAAAGAACACCCCAACAAAGTCTCGAGTATTATGTTCTATTGGGCTTCCCTCATCATCCATGATCTTTTCCAGACGGACCACAGAGACATGAACATCTCGAAGACGTCGTCCTACTTGGATCTTGCTTCCCTATATGGCGACAATCAAGATGACCAGAACCAAATCCGGACGTTTCAGGACGGAAAACTCAAACCAGACTGTTTCTCGGAACAGCGAATGCTCGGTTTCCCACCAGGATGTGGTGTTTTGCTCATCATGTTCAACAGGTTCCACAACTACGTAGTCGAACAGCTTGCCGCCATCAACGAGAATGGCCGATTCACCAAGCCTAACCCCAACCTTCAAGGAGACGTAGCTAGGGAGCAGTGGGTGAAATATGACAATGACCTTTTCCAAACGGGTAGGCTCATCACTTGCGGCTTGTACATCAACATTACGCTGCTAGATTACCTCCGCACCATCGTCAACCTCAACAGGAGCAACACGACCTGGACACTGGATCCACGTGTGGACATGGCAAAGGTGTATGGTACAGATGGCACTCCTCGTGGCGTCGGAAACCAAGTCTCTGCTGAATTCAATCTCGTGTACCGCTGGCACTCTTGCACTAGCCAAAGAGACGAACAGTGGACCGAGGAACTGTACCAGAACATGTTTGGCAAATCTGCTGCAGAGGTTCCGCTACAGGAGCTCCTTATGGGCCTTGCGAAGTGGGACAAGACTTTAGACAAGGACCCCCAAAAGCGTCCTTTCGCCAATCTGGAGCGTGGTACAGACGGCAAATTCAGCGACGATGACCTCGTGAAGATCATCTCAGACAGCATCGACGACTGCGCTGGTAAGCAACTTCGCACCTTATGCAGACACATAATCTCACCTATCAGGTTCGTTCGGTGCAAACAACGTCCCCAAGGCACTTCGAGCGGTCGAGATACTCGGCATGACACAAGCCCGGCAATGGGGGCTTGCTACCCTGAACGAATTCCGCAAGTTCTTTGGTCTCAAGGCCCATGATTCGTTCGAAAGCATCAACTCGGATCCTAAAGTCGCGGAGCAGCTTAAGCATCTCTATGATCATCCGGACTTTGTCGAGCTGTACCCAGGGCTTGTTACAGAGGAGGCCAAAGTCCCGATGGTTCCAGGAGTTGGAATTGCGCCGACCTTTACCATCTCGAAGGCCATTCTTTCTGATGCGGTCGTGCTTGTGCGCGGTGACAGATTCTACACTGTTGACTACCACGCAAAGAACCTGACCAAGTAAGCAAGTACCTCTTCGGCCCTGGGAATTGCTGTCTAACAGTGCTTACAGTTGGGGTTACAATGAAGCCGACTACGATCTGAACGTCGAACAGGGATGTGTCTTCTACAAGCTCTTCCTGCGTGCTTTCCCGAACCATTTCAAGTCCAACTCTATCTACGCTCACTATCCGGTATGTCCTTTATAGCGATGTGACTTGATGGCTCAGTATCTCATATTCCTCAGATGACTATCCCATCCGAAAACCGCAAGATCATGCGCAGTCTCGGTCGTGAGAGTCACTACTCTTACGATCGTCCTCAATACATTGCTCCTAGGATCAATATCGTCACGTACCCCGGCGCCAAGACTATCCTGGAAGACCAAGACACGTTCAAGGTGACCTGGGGCACCACGCTCCAGGAGCTTATGGGAAAGGGTGGTTCCCACTTCATGCTGTAAGTTCCGTGAAGAGCCATGAGCAGCCAGACACTGAAACTCGTTTAGGTCCGGCGATGCTCCTTTGCATGCCAATCAAAGACAGCTGATGGCGAAGTCGCTGTACCGAGAAAAGTGGCACGAAGATGTCAAGGCCTTTTATGAGCACATCACGCTGAAACTGTTGCACGAAAAGTCGTTCAAGATCGCCGGCATCAACCATGTCGATCTCACCAGAGAGTAAGACAGGCAGACTCCCCCCACAAGACAAACCTTGAACTGACAACCACTGCAGTGTCGGTAACCTCTCCCACGTCCATTTCGCAGCGAATATGTTCTCGCTGCCATTGAAGACGAAGAAGAACCCCAGGGGCGTCTTCTCGGAGCACGAGATGTACATGGCGCTCGCAGTCATCTTCACCTGCATCTTCTTCGACATGGACCCCGCCAAGTCGTTCCCACTGCACCGCGCCGCCAACGCCGTCAGCAAGAGCCTAGGCAAGATAATCGAAGCGAACGTCAAGTCCGTCAGCCTAACCGGCGTCATCTCCAATCTCGCCGACAGCTACCGCGAAAACGAGAGCTTCCTCAAGGACTACGGCGTGCACATGGTGCGGCGGCTGCTCGACGCCGGGCTCAGCGCCGAAGAAGTGACCTGGTCGCAGGTCTTCCCGACTGCATGCGCCATGGTGCCGAACCAAGCGCAAGTAGTAAGCCAGCAGCATCTCCCCTTGCCTTACCTACGGCTAACCACCCCGCAGTTCACGCAGATAATGGACTTCTACCTCTCGGAGCGCGGGGCGCAGCACCTCCCCGAAATTCGGCGGCAAGCACAGCTTAACACACCCGAAGCCGACACCACTCTCCTGCACTACTGCATGGAAGCGATTCGACTCAACGGCACCTTCGGCTCATATCGCGAAGCCGCGGCCGCGCGGGACGTCGTGGATGGAAAGAACAACATCCGCGTCCGCCCCGGCGACAGGGTCTTCGTGTCTTTCGTCGGTGCGGCCAAGGACCCCAACATCTTCCCTGACCCTGACAACGTCCACCTCGATCGCCCCCTAGACGCTTACCTCCACTACGGCGTCGGCCCGCATGAGTGCCTTGGTATGCGCGCGAGCCGTGTCGCGCTCACGGCTATGCTTAAGGTTGTTGGTGGGTTGGAGGGGCTGCGGAGGGCCCCGGGCCCGAAGGGCCAGCTGAAGAAGATCCCCAGGCCCGGTGGGTTCTATGTCTATATGCGCGAGGACCATGGGAGTTACTTCCCCTTCCCGCTGTGTAAGTTTCCCCCTTTCCTTGCTCTTTCGTGCGCTTGTTTGCCTGTTTGCTGTCGTGACGTGCTTGGTCTTCGTATCTGGACGTTGGCTGACTTCCCCTGAAGCGATGCAGGTTTGCTGGGATGGCGAGCTGCCGCCATTGACGAAGTAGGCGTGTGGCGAGTGCGTCATGAGGGGCATCTGTTTGATGCTGTCTTTGTCCCTGCCAGGAAAGTGTTCAGATAATAACTAACACGTGGTGTCGATGTCATCGGTGGATGATAAATTGTCAGAGGGGAGCGATCGTTTTCCTTATCAGTGCAAGTAGTCAGGAACATTAAAGTTCGGCCACCTCCTACGATCCAAATCACGATGGTCCAGTATATACTGCATCTGGCAAGTGTGAATCCCATGTGTGAGGTGGTGGATGTAAATTGCTTATTTAGCTAGCTCCAAGGAGGGGGCTGAGTTGATCCTCGGTGGCGCTTTTCCACGATTCATAATGTCAAGAGACATGCACAAATGAAAGAGCATGGATCAAGGTGTTGTCTTGGAGGAGAACTAGACCAGTAGGAGGAGAGGATATTTGTCTTGCGTAAGACTGCGCGGAAATGGCAAAAGACCGTTCTTCCGACAGATAGGAAGCCGGCGCCCTGCAGGGTCATTGCCAGTGTGCTTTGTCAGGCGAGCTGCTACAAGGGCGAACTGCTGCCGTACGTGGTAAAAGGCGCATGTGGCTTCCTTCAAACCCCACAAGCCCAGTTGCACCTGAAACGATAACGGGACCGTCTCCCCACTCGGCTCCACGAACACCCCCGTGTGATCCAGCTTGGTGTTTGTGTAGCTGGATGACTCGCCATCCATCCAATGAAGTGGGCCGCTAGAGAATTTTCTTTTCATGCAGGAGCGTTCTCCGCCGACGACATCGTCGGCCACGCTCAGCTAGCTAGCCAAGAGACATCGAATCCGCTTATACGAAGTACGAGGCGAGCCGAGGAGACGCAGGGACTTTCTATTCCCGGCTGCTTTGTGCCGGAAAATGTCGGATGTTCGCAGCCGTCCTCTATTTCGCGCAGCCATCCTGGTAGCCGTTTTCGGCTAGGTGAAAGCTTACCACATGCCCTCTACAAATAGCTGCAGAGTTTTCTCACAGGTTATGCAGGGCCGCGGCAGCCCCGAAAACCAAGGCGGAAGCCATGCAGGGTCTGGATCAGGGTCTTATCAACAAAGTGCCGAGCTGGAGTGGCTGAATGTGTGGGCGGCCAACAGTGGCTATCTAATCGTTAGTGTAGGCTTTGCATCCGAGGTTACTTGCGATCCTGCGATAAATTTTCGATCGTTTATAAGAGATCGATCGCCGGGTAAAAGCTATCCGGGTTATCCTGGGACAAACTGGAGCATTGGTATGCGGCTGGCCCGACAGGAGCGCGGCTGCAGCCGTCCATTAGTAGGATTTGGAGATGGCCAATTCTCTTGTGATTATCGTCTGAGCGATGGAGAGATCGACGTAATCGGCGGGGCATGGCGGGGCGCCCCAGACCAGGTCCGCGCCAGGTATATCCCTCGAGGGATCGTGGGATAGTGACAGTGCTCTACTGCCTTGGCAGTCCAACTCGTTGGCGGCCGCGGTGATGTGTCCGCAGAGTGTCCGTGGCACGATGGCACGTGTGACGCTTCGATAGGATAGATTTTGCTAGGTTGCTGGTGAAACGCGAATACAACCCCCGTGGATTGACGTAGGTGTGTGTGGTGTGTGCGGATCTTGCAGACTTGACAAAGAGTAAGTCCGTCCGAAGTTGTTGCCAAGGATCATTGTGATGTATGCCTGAAAGCCGACATGGAGTTTTGGCTTTGCCATGCCCTAAGGCTTGCTGGTTCTGACACCGGCGGCACCCTGTCAATCATACTGAGCCGCTGGTGCATACGGAATCCAGAACCGGACAGCCGGCTTCCTAACACGGCAATTCGCGGTAAGATCTCCCGCGAAGCTTTCTTCCTTGAGTAATGCCGAGCTGTAATAGGCTTTTATGCGTTCTCGCCGACTCGCTAACGTGGCTAGGTCCCGACAGCCACGGCGTGATGGTGTGATGACGGCTCATCCATGGTAGACCCAGGCGCGGCACCTACAGCCACAGAAGCAACCTTATATGCACCCCAGCCCGAGCTCTGCAGCTCTAGTGTGGGCGGATGAATTGTGCAGGAAAAGGCTGCGCGCCATCACGTGAAGAATCTGATGGTGTCTTCTAGCCCTTCTAGTGTACCATGGTATTAGAAACGACGGCGCAAGACACCTACTTCTGAAACAAGCCCTTGGGAGACGAACAAAAGTCATTCTTAGATGTGGAGAAATGGAACAACAAACGGAGGGGGCGAACAGCCACCGTGGAGATGGGTCGATTGGGTGTGTTCAGCCACAACTGACATCTCCGGCGAAATGAGATGCCACAACGGCTGCGGGGACGTCACGCAATAGAGTAGTCCCATGCCTGTGCACAACTGTGTCCATGCTCTTGTGTAGTTTTGGTGCCCTAGGTACTCAGTGACCGTGACTAGTGAATCCCACTTTTGTGAATTGAACGCTGCTGCTTAAGTTAACTGATTTCAAGAATGTGCCTCGCTGTGTGCTGTCTCGAACAACTAGGCACCCTGCGGTAGACGACCAGAACTTGGAAACTGCAGAGTTGCCTGTCAGGTCTGCTTGTTGTTCGACTCGGACCTTTGAGCCAGGTTGTTGCGATGTTGTAAAGCGGGAGAACTGCGGCGTTCAAACAAACCAAACAAACATGCGGGACCTGAGACGGCCCATGCTTACCTAGGTGTCCCGCAATCGCCTGAACGACAACACCAACCCCGCCTACCAGCCTCCTACCTACGGACACGCCTGCGCGACCGCAAAGATGTCCAAGACCGTCAACATCGAGTCGCCGACTCAGTTCTCGTCTCTTCTGTCCTCGTCCAGGATAGTGGTAGTCGACTGTAAGCCCCGCCGGTGGACTCTGTGGCAGCTTGGAGCTTTTTAACTGACACCGAGCGCGCAGTCTACGCGGACTGGTGTGGGCCATGCAAGGCCATCGCACCGCTCTACGAGCAGCTCTCTTCCCAGCTCTCTCGCCCTAACATCATCACCTTCACCAAGGTCAACACGGATACCCAGCAGCAGGTGGCGCAGTCCTACAACATTACGGCCATGCCTACCTTCATGATCTTCAAGAACAGTCGCGAGGTCTCCAGGATACGCGGCGCCGATGCTGCGAAGCTGTCGGAAGCTGTGAAGAAACTTGCTGCCGAAGCCGAGTCTGGCGGCGCGTCATCTGGCGGATTCGGGGAGGCGAGTTCCGGCTCGAGTGGCGGCTGGGTTGGCGCGGCTCTTCCCCGAGGCTACCACGACATCACTGAGCATGTGGACGTTCGCGGACTCGATCTGCTCAATGCCGACGTGGATACGGCTGGTGGGGCAAGAATGCTCTTCGACACGAGCAAGCCTTCCTCGGTGGACGGAACGAAGGGCAAGGGCAAGGCCGCCGAGGGCAGCAAGGCTGACTGGGTTGAGAGCGACACGGATGAGCAGCTCATGCTCTACATTCCTTTCCAGTCCACGATCAAGATCCACACGATCCATCTCACCTCACTGCCGCCGGCGGATGACGATGATGACGAAACTCCCATGCGACCGAAGACTATCAAGCTCTACACGAACAGGGCACACAACCTCGGTTTCGAGGAAGCAGATGACATCCCTGCTACGCAAGAGGTGACTATCAAACCGGAAGATTGGGACGAGAAAACCGGCACGGCGAAGCTGGAGCTGCGATTTGTCAAGTTCCAGAACATCACTTCGCTGATCATGTTTGTGGTGGACGGCGACGCCGATGGCGAAAAGACCCGCCTCGACAGGATCCGAATCATCGGCGAATCCGGTGAGAAGCGCGATATGGGCAAGTTGGAGAAGATTGGCGACGACTCTTAGTGCCCGACGTCAGAAGCCCGACGGTTGACGTACAGGATGTGCGACGAGTGTTTCGACTTAGGGTTGATGTTCGACGGCCTGACATCAACCACGGGCGAAGCGGAACAAGGCACGAGGGTTGGGCAGTGATGCGAAATGCTCATCCCGTTTACGTAGCGACATGATATCTCGGCCAAGAGCCCAAAATGCGAGACCAATCTTAAAGAATTCTATCATTGGCACAAGGGCGCCGTGCCCGCACGTGAAAAGGCGAAGCAACGATCCTTCGGGGTTCTGGAAGCGATGCGCGCGCAATCCTCTCGAGCTTCTCGAAAGCAATCACGAGCGCGAGGACACAGCCTCGACGCAGATTGGGATCTTCACGCGCTGCTGCTAAGCATAGCAGCAGCTGGATGGTCTGTCCAGCCATCACTACCAACGCCGGCGCCACTGGGCAGACGCCGCCGTAAAGTGTTTGATGGCTAGTGTGCAATATAGTTCTTCTGTGATGTGACTGACGCTTGTAATAGACCATGGGTAGAGAATCACCAAGCAACACGGAGATATCTGTCACATCGCCGCACGAAGAAGAAAAAGGAGCAGTGGCTGGCGGCGCGCGACGAGGTTTTCTACCCGCGCCGGCTGATCTCCGGCCGCCGCCGGGCGCCGGGTTGATCCGGCACGCACGTGGTCGCTTAGGGACCCTTTTTTGGGGTGTTCGCGCGCGCAAATTTGCTCGACTTCTTCATCAAAGGCCTGTGATGAACGATACGCAAGTATCACTGAATAATAGGAAGAGAATGACCCGGCATGCGCCGGGCATGACTTCAACAGACACCAATTCTGAGGCCTGCGATCCAGTCGTTCGCATGACATCCAAGGCTTGCTGCAAGCAGCTTGTGTTCCGTTCCTCGATGGAAAGCCGCTCCCGCGAAGGAGCAAGTCCTGTCGCACCTCTCAGCCTTCCCGCGTCCTCCAGACCCGTAAACCGGTTCTGGACCGCAGGGCGTGCGCGCAGTCAGCCGAGCTCGCGTTGAGTTCACCACACCCAATGTCTTGGTGCTCGGTTGCATGGTCTCGCGCTTCCAGATCGCCGCCCAGAAGATTCACAGAAGCCCCCGCGGGCAATCATGGCGAGACATGCCCTTTTCCAATAGTCCCTTTGCAAAGTCGCCACCCACCAGCGCGTGGTCGAGCTGCCGGTGATCTTTGCTGTGAATCGTCCGGATCACCAGCGCGAAGATTTGCCCCGCGCGAACAGCAGTTCTTTGGCTGCTAAAAACGGCGCTGCGTCCAATTTCCCCCATCAGAGCCTCATCTCAAAGCTCTGCGTCCATGTGGCGTATGTATGTACCCCGGACCTTAGGTCGTTCGACTATTGGCCCACTGGGAAGTGTGGTCTGTCTTCCGATTCGAGGGTTCCGACGAGATTGCTGTATTGATCTGCTCTATCCGAAACCTGCAGAACGTTTTCCGCAACACCAGTGCGGTCCGACTCTGAAACTCAAAATGCCACAAGTGCATCGTGCAATGCGGTAAGCGATGATGTAGCCTGGCAGCCCGGCTTGCGTCCCGCGACGACGAAACGACGACGATGGCGAAGAGGCTAACGACGACGTTTGCGCAGGCGCAGATTCACCCTCAGCGTCGACACCTCGTTCGCGTCACAAGCGAAATGCGCCTGAGTTATTTCCTCTGCGCGCAGCCGCCGCTCTCTTGTCAGTTCTCCCACGCGCATCTCGCCCGCGTCGCCCAAGCGCGCCTCGTGGAGTACTATGGGGTGTGGCAAGAGCGGACCGAACGGCGTCGAGAGAGTCGATACAAATCCAGATCCCGTGTCCATGAGCGCCGTGGCAGCCGTGCAGCCGCTCTGATCCGGCGATGATCCTCATTCTAGACGTCGGGAAGCATCGCGGAGACGCGCCAGGCCCGGGCCGGAGTTCCTACGCTTGAGGTCTTTGCGGTGTGTGCCAGAGCGTGGCAGGCGGGTGGACTTGGGACATCGCGGTCTGGCGGTGATGATGTCGAAGCCATCAAGTAGTCAGAGCAGCGGGCGGCATGAATCATGGAGCTTCGACGCGGCTTCGAAGGGTCCCGCCGGCGTGCGGGATCGACGGGTTTCAGCGGGCGTGGACGGCATCTAGCCAGTGGTTGACGGCCATCGGAAGGGTCTGACCATGTGGGGACAGGTGGGAGGTTTCTGACAGAGTAGATGGGGCGTTCGCCGTAAGGCCCGCGATACGTGGCTATGGAGGCGCAGGTCCACTAAATGGCATGAACTGTTCATTTCGCGCGGGCGCACGAGCGCGCTGTGGCGTGTTCCGGAGGAAGGGCGATGGAAGTTTGGGGCTCGTGACTTGGGCTCCCGTCGAAGGATGCGCGGAAGGGCAACGAACAACCCGACGCGGCGGAAGCTCAGCGACACGCTACGTAGTTGGAGGTACTACGGCCCCGGTTCATCGGTGAACAACACACACCAGCTCACCGGTGAGGGTGCATGGGAAATGCGGGACGCTTATCGTGCGATTACGCACGGCGAGTCAGGGCGTGGGGAGCGCTGAATCAGGCGCGGGCCGGCAGCGCGCTGCAGGGACGACCCATGGAAGCCCGCGTCGAAGCGATGGAATTCTACGCAATCTCGCCTGGCTGATAGGTAACGTCGATCTGGAGAAGTCGAATCCTGAGCCCGGCGAACCCAGCCAAGGGAGACCAGCACCAGTTCCCCGAAAGCTCAGGTGTTTGCATTTGCTGTCGGTCGGTCCGACCGCCCGTTGATGATATGTTATTCCTCTCCAGCTCGACTTCGTCCACTACCCTACGATCTGTGTTGAAACGTTCCTGCATCGTTCCTGCATTAGGCCTGCGTGTGACCAGTCTATGTCACCCGACGCCCGCGCCCCGAAATAGCAGCTGGGTGATATTGCATGATGTCGCACACGAATGACGGCGGATAGCTATCAACGATGCTATCTGTCACTCGCCCTTGAAACAATGCCCGTCTTCTCGTCGCACCACCGCCGGCCATGCTACCCCACAACAGGGTCTGCCAGCCATGCCCGCCGTCTCCCCCCCAACCAACACCCAAGGCCCCGTCACACGCGAGTGAACTTGTGCATTGATGGGCGCGTCGCAATCTCGCGGCGGGCGTGCATCGGCCAATCACTAGTGCATGGCATAAAAATAATGCCGCGCGTCGCCCCGGGGCGAGTCAGCGCGTCGCAGGGGCCCTGGGCGCATGCGCCGCTCCACGTCTCGTTGGATCCGCTGCTGCGCCGTCCCGGCTCCCCCTCCCATGGTGCCTGGTCATCTTTTCTTCTTCAGACTTAATCGCCTGTCTCGTCCTCTCGCTGATCGTCCACCTACTTATCCACACCTGGTCCCCATCGCTCGTTGTCGTTTCCTTGCTTCAGGGTTTATCAACCTCGTCATTCGCACTTCTGCCCATCGACGTTTATTGCTTCATTTGTCCCGATAGCTCATCTATCAGCCCTTCTTTTGGACCGACATCACTCAACACACACACCTACTTAGTAGACAGCCACTGCATATAGTCCACGCTGTTGTCCACACTCTTTCGAGAGCATACAACTCAAGATCATACCAATATCGGACCATCCACACACACCATCCAACCATCCAACCATCCAACCATCTAATCATCTCTCTCCTGTAACCACATCCACCATTACTTAATATTCAAGGTGCGTTGCCGTGCTTGTGCCGAGCCTGCTTCTTTGGAATGCCTAGCCCTAACCCATTCCATCAACAGGATACACACTACCACACACACCATGGAGAGCCCTTACGCAACACAGCCAGGCCAGATCATGGGCCAATCGCCTTTCTTCTACTACAACCCGGACCCTAGCCCCGAGAACCGCCAGCACGGTCACTTTACGCCTCATCCCCATGGCCAGCAGTCCTTCACCAGCCAACCCCAGCTAGGCTCGACGCCGGACATGATGTACACTTCCAACCCCTTCTACGGCCGGCCGTCTTCCTCGAGCTCGCAAGCGGGCTACACTTCGCAACCCTACCAGTCGCAAGCCATGTTGACGCCCCTCGCCTCGCCCCAGCCCATGCACCAGAAGCCCGCCATCCTCGTCCACCAGGACAACTTCCTCGCTCCCATTGAGACCGACTTTGACTTCCGCTTTGCCCCCGCGACGCCGCCTCTCTCTTCGTGCGGCAGCGCCATCAGCAGCCCGCCGTCCATGTGCGACTTCCTGCCTACGCCGGTCAACGGTAGCTTCATGGAGGGTATCGAGGGTGTCAAGCAGGGTTGTGAGGAGGAGGTGTTCTCGGAGATTCTCGCTGGTGGTGACTGGGCGCGGTCGGCATCGCCGCCCATGACGCCAGGTAAGTCGCTTTGCGATGCTTGGCATTGTTCTTCCGCCTGCCATTGTCTGTTGGACCCTGAAAAACTGACGCGGGGTTCAGTCTTCATCCAGCCGCCCACTTCGGCTGCGACCCAAACCCAAAACACTGCCGCCCCCTACCTTCTTTCCGCCACCTCGTGCCCCTCGCTTTCGCCCTCGCCGTCGCCTCTGCCGCGCACTCCCATCGAGAGCGAAGCCGACTTCTGCGACCCCCGCAACCTCACCGTCACTTCGGCGCCTTGCCTGCCCACTCTCTGCTCTGGTGACGACGAGGAGCACAAGCTGATGCTCCGCGGCGACGCATTCACTGCCAAGACCGAGCAAACGCCCACCCCTGTCGACTTCACCCAGCCGCACGGCCTCCCCACTTTCGAGCCTCTGTTCGAGCTCGACTCTGAGGACGACTTCACCGGCCTCGTTCAGTTCTCCGGCTCCGACAACGTCAACTACAACAACGGTAGCAACAAGCGCCAGCGCACTAACTTCCAGTCGCTCTCTCTCGACGAGGAGCACGCTTTCGACGAGGACAGCTTCAGCGACTTTGACGACGACTTCGCCGCCACCGGCCTCCTCACTCCCGACTCGGACGCTTCCTTTGCCGACGAGATGGCCGAGGGCCGGAGCAAGAGGCGCCAGACCAGGAAGAGGAGCGACGACTCCGACTCCGACTTTGTTCTCGGCAAGAGCCACAGCAGCCGCAGCGCCCAGAAGCAGGCCGCCTCTGGCCAGCACCAGTCTGCTGCCCAGGGTCAGGCCGAGGCCGCCGACTCCGTCATGGCCTCCAGCTCCGAGTCGAGCGCTCCCGTCAACGCTCCCGTCAGCCGCCGTGGCCGCAAGCAGTCTCTGACCGAGGACCCCTCCAAGACTTTCGTCTGCACTCTCTGCTCTCGTCGCTTCCGTCGCCAGGAGCACCTCAAGCGTCACTACCGCTCGCTCCACACGCACGAGAAGCCCTTTGAGTGCTCCGACTGCGGCAAGAAGTTCTCTCGCAGCGACAACCTGTCTCAGCACCAGCGCACTCACGGCACCAACACGGTCGTCATGAATGTCATGGACGAGGCGGAGCTGAGGAGGCAGAAGGAGGAGTCGTACGACAGCCAAGACACAGCGGCGCTCGGCGCCGCCCTGTACAGCGCCGTGGCGGCCGTCTCGAGCGGGTCTTCGACCGGCTCGTTGTCGGATCGCGACGACAAGAAGTCCAAGAACAAGAGGAAGCGGGACGAGTAAGGCCTTCGCCCTCGCGAAGGTCGGCCGCCACCATCGACGGCCTGAACGTCCGGCTTCCACCATCCCTTGCTGGCGTTTGTTACGAATGACATGAACAGCCTCCTCTTTTCCTTTCTCTCTCTCTCTAAACCTTAATGGTTATTAGGCGACAATAACTCGTCTACTTCATGACGTCATGCTGGGGCGGCATCTGGTAGACCGGCTGGGGACAAAATCAAAGGGCCCATTGGCAAATGGGGAAAACAAAAATCTTAAAATCAACCGGCGTGGGGAAACTCGGGGTGCACAAAGAGACACACCATTGCAAAAGTCACAGAAATTTCCTTTTTTTACTATCATCAACCATCAGCAAGAGCAACAATACCTCTTTTCTGCTACCTTCTTCTTTCTCTCTCTCTCTCTCTCTCTCTCTCTCTCTCCACAGCCGTCTTCACAACTGCGTTTGATTGATAGTGCATATTATCTTGCGTTATAGCGAGCCTTTGTAGTTGCTTTAACTCTCTCCTTGCCTTTTGATCTGGGCGGCGGGGGCTTGCTAGCGTCTCTCTTCATCAGGGGTTCTGGCTGGGACGGGATGGCACGGGGGGAACCGGGGGGAAATCATACCGGGGGTACTGGGGCGAAGGTGTTGATGGCATTTTGTTTTGGTTTTGCTTTGCTATTTTGCAGCTATTGCTGCTGCTTGTTTGAATCACACGCACATACACACACTCGCATTCGTCTTGTTTGTTGTTGTTGTTGTTGTTGTTGTCTGTTGTCACGTTCGCATTCGCACATTCGCGCATACACACACTTGCATTTGGCTTTGGGGTTTCGCATTTTGCTGCACATACACACCTAATGCGTTGCGTTGTTTGCGTTGCTTTGCGTTGCTTCTTTGGCTGCTGCATGCACATACATACCACCGTCTGCTTCTTGCGTTCGCTGTTCACACTTGCTTCTACACCGACACTTTGGTACATACCACCACCACCACCACTACATACCAACTACACGCAGCGAGATCGCCACGGGGCAGGGCAAGGCAGAGCAGAGCCAGCGCGGACGCAGAGGCATCGCTTCGCTGACGGGGCCGGCCGGCCTGCGTTCGCTACATACAAGTGTAGAGACTGGCCTGCCTGCTTATGCTCGGCCTTAGATAGGCACTTGCTATTCCAAGTAAACTACGACTGAATAACTATTTCTTTTTTCTTGCAATTGGATTGATTGATTGCGTGCTTTGATGCCATTACTTTGGTGCCGCTACTATAGCTGTTGCTATTACTATTCCTCCCTAGTATTGCGCGTGCGGCCGTTTCACCTACCTCGCCTCCTTAGCCTCACTATTCAGTCGTCGGTTAGCTGACAGCTACCTAGTGAAGTAGCCCCTACAAGCAGAGCAAAGCAGCGCAGCGTGCACGCCGACGTATTGTACGCAGTAGGTCGGTACGCAGTACGCAGAACCGACACACACACACACGCACGCAGGTGCCCCGCCGGGCTGGCCTCACTCTCAGTCCACCGGTTCGTCGCTTGTTGCCGCAGGCCCGCCGCAGATGGTGAGGCAAGTGCAGGAGCAGGAGCAGGCGCAGGTGCAGCTCACACACGCACGCGGCACGCCCACATCGTCACGCCTTCACGCTTACTACGTACCCACACCCACCCACGCACACGCTCACACACACGCATCTCACGCGTGCGCGTCGCCCGTCTCAGCGCCCGTCGCACCTCTCAAACAAGCGCCCCCCTCTCCCCACCTAAGGTAGCTACCTAGCTAGGCAATCCTAGGCAAGTAACGGGAGAAAGCAGCGCGACGCCCGAAACCTTAATCTCCCCTTCCCCACTGTTGCCCCGTAAGGGCCCTCGTAAGGGCCTCACGCAGAGGCCTTTGTAGGGGTCTTTGTAGGGGTCTTTCCTGTGAGGGGTCTTTGTGAGGGGTCTTTGTAGGGGTTGTTGGAGGGGGCTTTGTGAGGGGTCTTGGGGCTTGTACGTAGTAGGGGTAAGCTGTGGAGCCGCAACGCCCCTCCTCGTTACCGATTTGTCCCCGACGACGGACGACGACGCGTGCGTGCTGGGGCCCGGGACGGGACGGCGCGCTGCGCGGCGCTGTGCGGTACGGTGTTTGGTGGGGGGGTAGGGGTTTTTTTGGAGGTGGTGTGTTTGTAGGGCAGAGGGGTGGGTAGGGTAGCGTTTTGGTGCTGGTGGCGAGACTAGGTTGGGTGGCCGTTTGGGCCGCGCGAGCTGAGCGTGCAGCGTGCAGAGGGCAGAGGGCTGCGCGGCTTGCGAGGCTGTTGGCTGCTGGCTGCTGGTGCAGCGGCTTTGAAGAGAGTAAGAGAGTGAGAGTGGGTGAGTCGCGAACTACTGCGCTGTTGTTGTTGCTGCTGCTGCTGTTGCCGCTGCAGCTGCATCCACCACATCACGACAGGACAAACGGATGGAATCACAAGACATCTGCACGACAACGACGACGACGACGACGACGACGACGTCAACCCAATCATCGAATCTCGCGAACGACCACCCAGCCGACCGAAGCGTTCGAACGGACTGAACAGAACAGAACAGAACACCCCTCCACGCACGCACGCCGACAACGACGACGACGACGACAACGGCAGGGCTGCTAGCCCGTCACGCTCGTCTGCTGATGGCAGTAGGTAAGTTCAGGCCAAGCAGTGCCATGGCTTCACAAGGCGTAGCGCAGTGCAGCGCAGCGCAGTGTGCGAAGCTTCCTTCGACGCCCACGATCGAAGCATCGTGGATACTTCCTCTTCGAACAAGCGGCCGACGACAAGGCTGGCCGAGCGCAGCTAGCCTGCTACCGTATGGACAAGGGCAGCACGCACGTCGCACACAAGGCGAGCAGGCCAGAAGAAGAAGAGGTCAGTAGGTAATCCGTAGCTAGGCAGGCATGTACAATATTGTAGCCGACGGCGCAGCCGAGCGCGCAGCCGAGCAACGACAGCCACAGCCTGGCTCTTGCAGCGAGATGGCTCCAGTGACCTGTTTCTGGCTCTTGCAACAACCAAACGGGCCTGGCGGCCGTAGGGCGACGACAAAAAGAAAGGCGTCGTAATCAAGCGGTCCGCCCCGCTCGGCGGGTGGGGGTGGTGGTGCGTGGTCCGCGCAGCGGTGAGGGTGTCGTGTTGGTCGTGTCGGGGGTGGGTGGGCCTGGGCCTGGACCTAGACCTTTGCTGGTGTTGACTATTCATACCTGTTATTGTGAAGCATTCATTCATTGGGGGAAGAGGTGGGAGAGAGGTGCAAGAGGATTTGGGGGGCAGGCTGATGCGAGCGCTGCGGTGTTGGTTTGGGGGTGGTTTGGGGGATGGGACTGTGCGTGGGGGTTTGGTGATGGGCTGGGCTGGGCTGGGGTGAGAGCGCGTGGGTGGGTAGGTATGGAGGGGTGGTGGAGGGGAAGGAATGGACAAGTCCAGACCAGACCGGGCAGAAGACTCTGGGCCAGCAGCAGCGGTGGTGGTGGTCGAGTCGTCGAGGGTATGCATCACAGAGGTAAGCTTGTACAAGATTATACACAACCGCACGCACACAGCACAACAACATTATTCACAAAGCCAAGCTAACCTCACCACCCAGGCAAGTGGGGGCGTTCACTTCGCGTGTTGTTGTTGTTGTCATGGCCCAACTACGTACACCACGCCCGCACACGACCTTCTCCCCGTCACCGCCGCAAGCTTCCAGAACATGACGCAGGCAGACGCGGTGGAGCAGCAGCGAGCTAGCAGCCCTGCGCGCGTTGGCGCGTTGCGGGGCCGCGCAGCTGGCCCGTGATGGAAGCCGCTCACGAAGTGGGTGGGTGATGAAAGCGCGCGCGCCTGTGCCAAGAGAGCGATTCTTCACACCGTTGGTTTGACGAGGTAGGTTGTTCGGTGGGTATAGAGCTAGCTCGCAGGGAAGCCAGGCACTAGGCAGGGGAGTGCGAGTTTGCGGACATGGGTGCGACGGGTTGGGTTCGAGGTCGGTGGGGGCGCCGGCGTCCCCTTCGTTAGGCAATACGCACGGCGGTCCTACCACCTAACAAGGTTGTTCGATGGGTGGGTTGCTGGCCTTCTGGACGCCTTCTGGACTCCTGCTGGGGTGAGTGCTGGGTGCGAGTGGGGTTGTGGATGTTCTCTGAGGTTGCATTTTCCTATTCTCGGCTGGCCCGGGGGCGGGAATAACACGCCCGCTCTCTCTGTCTCTCTCGACCGAGCCCGCGATCACGTTGTTTGTGTGGGGTGGGGGCCAAGGGCCGTTGGGCTGATGAGAGAGATACGGTCGGTCGTGCTCCCAATGCCATCATCATCATCATCATCATCATCAGCTGCAGCCCGCCACCCGTTCGTGAATTGCGATGCCCGTCCGCTCGCTCGTGTATGTACATCGTACTGCCCGTATCGCATGTAGTTGGTGACACGCATGCATGGCTGCGGAAGAAATAACAGAGGGAAGAAAAGCCATTGGCTGCAACCCATCACAGCACGACAACGCGCCCGCCGTGCCATTCGCCAATGGCCGTCGCCAATGCCAACCAACGCCATGGGCGCGGTCGGGAATCGGGATCGATCTCGTATGGAAGCCCGTAACCGACGTTCAGCTGGGCGCAGCCAGCCGCCTTGCCTTGCCTTGCATGCCGTTGTTATTGTTGCCACCATTATTGCCGTCGAGTCGAGTGTATGTACCGTACACAAACTCTCGCACTCACTCGCACACGCGCGCACACAAACGCCAATATTGAGGTAGTCGCCAACTGCCAATGCATACGTACATCCACAGGCGATCGATTCCTGCATGCACACACGCACACATACATATGCACGCACGCATGCATGCAGCATGCAGTATGCAATTTCCGTCCCGCAAGCCCACGCCCATGACGCCGTTCCGCAGCAGCCAGCGGGCCTCCCGCGGCCTTCTCCAGCTACCCGCGCCCGCGCGCATGTGTGTGTGTGGGTGTGTCAAGGTCGGTGAGCAAACGACTCGCTGGCCAGGCAGCCCAATTTGCTGGCCAACTAATAGCCTGCCGTGCTCGCCAGTGGCCAATATTGCACAGTACAATATCGTTAGCTAGCTGGCTGGCTGGCTGGTTGGCCAATAGCCTGCGCACGCTGTACGCAGCACGCTGTATGTACGCTAAACGTTGTCCGCTAAACGCTGTACGCTGGCCTTCTCGTCAGTCGTGGAGAATCCACACTACCAGTCCACAGTCCACAGCCCACAGCCCACACACACATCCACATCCACCCGCCAGTGCCACGCCACGCACCAGCGCGTCGTCGTGGCATAGGCGGTGACGGCGACGGCGACGGGACGGGTGCAGCCGCGCGCCGTTAACGGGCGAGCAGACCCGCGGGCGCTGCCGTTGCGGCCATTGCGCTTGCCGCCGTCCGCTGTCAGGCATGACCCATGGAGGCAGAGGGAGGGTGCTTGGGTGGGAGGTCCAGGGCAAGGTCTGCCCGTGGTGCGTGGTGCGTGGTGCGTGGTGCGTAGTGTTGGTGACGTTGTCTGCGTGTGCGATCGTGGCGGCCCGTTACCGTTACCTACCTAGCCGCCGTTGTCGCTCTTGCAGTGTCGCTGTCGCCGTTGTTGGTTGCTGTCGCCGCCGCCACCGCCTCCGCCGCCGCCGCTGTCGCTGTCGCCGTCGCCGTCGCCGTCGCCGTTGCCGTTGCCACTGTTGTGCCACTGCTGTGCCACTGCTGTGCCACTGCTGCGTGCGTGATGAGTCGAGGGCACGTGGAGCGGGTGTACAGGGCGCTGTGGCGTGGCTGTGGCTGTGAGGCTGCGCCGGGTCGGTCTGCTGTGGTTCTACTCTAGACTCGAGCAGCGGCGCGGGGCGGCGCGGCGCGGAGATTTTTTTGGGCTAGGGTGGGTAGGTAGCGAGACGACGACTGCGAAGGTTGACGCGGAGCGGGATAGAGTTGCGCGCACGACGACTGACTCTGACGGACTGACGGACTGACGGCTGGCTTGGAGGTGGAAGAGTTTTCTTGTCGCTGCTACTGCTACTACTGCTGGTGTTTTCGTTGGTGTTGCTCGGTACCTATACAGCACGCCTCTTTTCCATCTACCTTATCAATTTCCTTTTCTGGACCGTCTCCATCTTCTACCGTCTGTCCAAAGTTCCCCGAAGAAAGAAGAAAAGAAAACAACGCCAAAATGGCGTCTCCCGACTACCACCGCGTCATAGCCCTTATCTCGGGCGGCAAAGACTCCCTCTTCTCCATCCTGCACTGCCTGCGCGCCGGACACGAGGTCGTCGCGCTCGCGAACATGCATCCAGCACCCGCGCCCGGCCAGGCCGCCACGGACGAGGGCCCCGACCTCGACAGCTTCATGTTCCAGACCGTGGGGCACAGCATCGTGCCGCTGTACGGGGAGGCGCTGCAGCTGCCGCTGTTCCGGCGCGCCATTGTCGGTGGCGCCGTGAATACTGATCGCGAGTACGCGGTGCCCGGGGCGCGAAAAGACGAAGGAGAAGGAGAAACGAAAGACGAGACCGAGTCCCTGACGCTGCTCCTCCGCGACGTCCTCGCCGCACACCCCACCGCCACAGCCGTCAGCACCGGCGCCATCCTCTCGACGTACCAGCGCACGCGCGTCGAGTCCGTCTGCGCGCGTCTCGGCCTCGTCTCCCTCGCGCCGCTATGGCAGTTCCCGTCGCTGCCGCCGCACCTCCCCACCGCCTTGCTCAGCGACATGCGCCGCGTGCGGCAAGACGCGCGCATCATCAAGGTCGCCAGCGCCGGTCTCGACGACTCGTTCCTCTGGGCCAACGTCGCGGATCCGCGCACCGTGGCCCGGGTTGGCCGCGCCCTGGCTAGGTTTGGCGATGTTGCGGACGGGGCGGCGCTGGGCGAGGGGGGCGAGTTCGAGACGTGCGCGGTGGATGGGCCGGCGGACGTGTGGTGCGGGGGGCGGATTGATGTGAGTGTTGCGGATGAGGGCGTGTTGGGCGAGGGCGGGAGTGCCGCGGTGCGCTTTCTAGGCGCGAAAGTGGTGGCGCGGGCGGAGGGCGAGGAGGCGACGGGCAAGCTGGCGGACCTGCGGGTGCCGGATCTGCTGGACGCAGAATTTGAGACGCTGTTGCAGGAGCTGCTTGCTTTGCCTGAGGCAGAGGCAGCGACAGCGACAGCGACAGCGACAGAGGCAGCGGAGGACGAAACTACATCACCCCCCTCCGCAGCGATGCAGACACTAAACCTAACCAACCCCCTGGACGCCCTCTTCCGCGCCCACTCCTCCCCCGCCCACCACTCCGACCCCTCGCGCCTCTCCATCTCCGGCTCCACGCTGCACATCACGAACCTGACGGCGCCAGCCTACGACACACCAGCACAGCAACTAGCATCGCTAACGCGGCGGCTCAGCGCGCTGCTCGACGCGTTCGGCCTCGCGCCCACCGCCCTCGCGCACTGCACGCTCCTCCTGCGCCGCATGGCCGACTTCGCGCCCTGCAACGCCGTCTACGCGCAGATGTTCGCCGAGCCCCTGCCCCCGAGCCGCGTCACTGTCGCGTGTGGCGACGCGCTGCCGGAAGGCGTCGACGTCGTGCTGAGCGCTGTTGCGGTGCTGGAGGAAGAAGAAGACGAGCACACGGCCGCAAAGAGGAAGAAGCAGGGCCTCCACGTCCAAAGCCGCAGCTACTGGGCCCCCGCAAACATAGGCCCGTACTCGCAAGCCATCAGCGTGCCCACCAGTACCAGCACCACCACATCAATAACATACACAGCCGGCCAAATCCCCCTCCTCCCTTGGACCATGACCCTGCCTTCTTCATCCTTCGCCCTCTCCACCACCCTCGCCCTCCAACACCTCACGCGCATCGCCCGCGCCACAAACACGTCCCTCTTCCCGTACGGCGTCGCGTTCATCACGGCCGCGTCCCCCGCCCAAGCAGCCACCCGCGCGCGCATCGCCCGCGCCGCTTGGCGCCGCTTGCACGCGGGCGCGTGGGCGCGCTGTGTGGCTGAGACTGCGGCGGCGGAGGAGGATGCGGCGGACGTCGATGTCTGGGATTTACGGAACAGAGGGTGGGGCGCGGGTGCGCTTGGGGGAGGGGCGGCGGAGAGGGAGAAGGATCCTAGGGCCAGGGTGCCGGACTGGGGGCGTGTGCGTGTGGGTAGGGGCGGGGGTGGTGAGGGGGCAGGTGAAGGTGAAGGAGTGGGAGAAGCCACCCCGCCCCTGCCGCCCTGCATAATTGTGCAAGTAGCGACCCTGCCCCGCGACGCGGACATCGAGTGGTCGGCCCCAGGCCTCAGTTTAGGGGCCGCAGGCGCAGACGCAGACGCGGGCGCGGGCGTTGTCAGCATTTCTTCTAAGCGCCAACACGGCCCCGGGGCCGACGAAGCAGCTGCCGTCCATCATGTCCACAGCACCTCTGCCCCCGGCGCGAGGTTCGCGGCTCTGGGCTTATCGCATGCAAGGGATCTGGGGGCGCTGGTGGAGGGCGCGTTGAGGTTGGGTTTAGGGTTGGGGCAAGCTGACGGTGGTTCTTCTGGCCCCGACGTCAAGGAGGGTGCTGATGGGGAGGGCGCTGCTACTGCTGCCGCTGATGCAGATAACGAAGACGACGAGCTGACGGCCCCGCAAACAACGCTCTACGTCTCGGCCTCGGCTTCTGCTTCTGCTTCCTTCGCGGCAGGGAGAGAGACAGAATCGCTGCTGGCCAAGTGGCGGCCGGCGCTGGTGCCGTGTTTGCGGGTGTGGGGGCCTGAGGGGACTGAGGTGGGGGCTGCGGTTGTGGGGGTGAGGGTTGGTGGGTGTTGAGGTGGGTGGGCGTTTGTAGATGCTGTGATAAGGTGGGAGTGGGAGGGGAGGGCAGAGGATGGGGTTACGTGTGGATGTACATGTGCTTGTGCTTGTGTATGGGCGTGGGTGAGGTGCGGGCATTGGCGGTGCGGTGGTAGCGTTGTGGAAGCGCTGGGTTGGTTGTTTTTTGTTTGCTTGTTTGTTTGTTTTCTGGGTGCTGGGATGGATTGAGATGGGCGCATAAATCGGTGGATGAACATGAACGGCGGGCGACAGTGTTGAGGTGGAGTGGGCGGTCAGCTACTCCTCTGTACCTAGTAAAAAAGTGAACACCTAGGGAAACATCGTCACCGAACTGCATCTCCAACCGCAACCACACTCGCAGCCGCAGCCACCCTCTCCCCACACGCGAAACAGCCACCGACCTCAAGCTTGCGCCACCGCGATCGTGGCGGCGGGGTCGCGCGATTAGCCAAAGCTTGGCAATCTTGTGCCGAGTATATAAGCGCAAATCGCGAAATATCCCGCTAACAAAAGTCCTGTGACGCAGTGGCTAGCGTGTCGTTCTTATATTCATTCCTAGGAATGGGTATGGCCCACTGAGGTTATGCGAAAGTCGAGGGTTCGACCCCCTCCAGGACTAGGACTTTACTTTTGCTTTTTTTTTTCGCTTTTTTTTGTTTTCATGGTTTTGGTCAAATGCTGCTTTGCACTGGTTAAAGTATGTTTTTGTGTGTGCGAGCGCTGTTGAGATACTCCTTGTAGGCCGAAAAGGTATATTTTATATGTTTTTACTAGGGGCTTGACTATAGGCCCGATAGCATTGCTTGCTGGCTGTTTAAAATGCTCTCTAACTCTCGCGCTTCGATTCTGTTTATAGTAAAATTTTGCTTACTTTATACTAATAAATGCTTTGCTGTGCGCGAAGGTTTATTACGTACCGTATCTTCTTATTTATACCGAGGATATAGATAATCATTTAGAGAAGGAATATTCTATGAGAACTGCTTGTATGCTTAGCCGTCTTGGTAGGCGATAGATCTCGGGTAAGGTAGCGGACGGTATAAGCCTTTCGTAACGGATGCGTGTAGCTGTATACAAACTCTAGATCTATGTAAGAAGTGATTTATAAGGAGCTTTCTAAACTACTTACAGGAGCATAGACGCGTAATTGTAGTGTCTTCATAGTACCTACATTCAGTGCGACTTGGCATGCTTTCGCTTCCACTATGCGATGTGTCGGTTACTATAGGGATATAAGCAACGGTATCTACTCCTCTGACAGTAATACATAGGTGCTAACAGTAGACACTGGTTGCATAATGCACGCCAAAAGTGCCGCGCGAGCGAGCTTGACACCCAACCGATTCAAACGCTCGCTCATTATACTGTGACGCATTGAGTTAACTACTGGGCGAAAGTCATTCATTGCCTCGTTGACTGGCGGACGGACAGGAAAGAAAACAAAATGAATTGAAAGAAAAAGCAAACGGTTCCAACCTCAGCAGAAAGTCAGGACACTTGTGAACTGGCCTAGCATACAAATGTGCTAGACGGGAAACCCAGCAGATTCGAACGGCCGCTCTTTACGATGCGGTGCGTTGGTTAACAACTGGGCCAAGCGGCCTGACTTGGGAATTAGAGTGGCGGAAGTGATATGTGTAGGTGGGGTGGGGTGTTAATGAGATTGCGCTTACTTAGTCGGGCATGTGTTACCCTGGGTGTGTGAAAGTGGAAACAACTGGTGGCATCGCACGCCTTCTTTTTGTTTCTAGGCGATAGCGCCTTCCACGTCCACCCTGCCCAAGGCAGTTCCGATCCTTTCTTCCTCCTCTCGCTCTTTCAACCTCACACTGTTCTCTCCTGTCACCACCACCCATTGCAAAACAACAACCGCATGTACCGCCCCGATGGAGCTCGGTTGGGCATTCAAGTCGCTGCGCTACAAGCTCCACCCGGATCTGCTTGAAAGTGTCGACAGGCTGGGGGTGAAGAACATGACCGCTGTCCAGCAGAAGATGCTCACCATGCCGACCTACACGGAGGACTGTCTTGTCAACACCGCAACTACCCGTGGCAGGGCCGCTGCCTACCTGCTCCCGGCGCTTCACACGCTTCTCGAGCGCAGGTCTGGCAGCGTGCCCCAGATCGAGATTGTGGTGCTGGCCTCCTCCGACCTTCGTGCCATGCACATTGAGGACATATGCAACTACCTCACCAGCGCCTGCAGGCAAAAGGTTACATGCTACCGAGTCGACAATCACGATAAATCTGGCATCCAGGCCAAGTTTGAGCAGGCCGGTGAAGCTGCCGACGTGGTGGTAGCGACTCCTGCTGGACTTCACGCTCTGTTCAGTGGACGCACCACAGCTCGCGTGCACTTCACCGGCCTACGCACGCTCATCCTTGAAGACATTGATGAGATGGTGATTGCGGGGATGACAGCCACAGTCGCTGACATTTTGCACGCGCTTCCCCCGAAATTCCTCGCCGGTTGGCAGACCATATGCTTGAGTAAGAGGATTGAACCGAGCTTGGAGGCATTTCTCGATCTCGTTCTCGCAAGGGAATGCCTCTGTCTTTCCCTCAGACCAGAAGACGAACCCTACATCAAGCAGCAATCTGTTCTGCTTAGACTGCCCGTCCAGACGAGACCTGTAATCCCATGCAGTCAGCCTCAGCCCATGGCTCTGGCAACTCTTGACCAGCCTCAGCCTATGGCACCGGGAACCCACAACAATCAGCAACTAGTTCGTAGCCAAATGTTCTCTCTCACAGAAAACCTGTCTGCGCAACAGGAGCCCGCAAACCCCGGCCTGGACACTGCTACCACTTCCGTCTGGCGGCCACTTGTGCAGACGTTTTCTGTGCTTGAGGACGTCGAGCTTGACGAGCCTAAGGTGAAGGCCATAGAAGAAGTCCTCGAGACGGTTCCAGCCGCAAGGGAGGACTGGGACCTTTTGCGCAGGCTGGTGAAGATAGCATCGTTGACTGAAATCCCGCACTTCAACATCACGGTGCCATACGTAGGCGACATGTTTGCTGCCCTCCGCAGTCTGATCACTGTGGAGAGCGAACGGGTTGGCAGAACCACCTTCAAGGCCCTCGTGATCAGCAGCATCACACCTCTCCTGTGGCACCTATTCTCAGGTCCTGAGAACGGAATGGGCACCAGGCTGGTTCAAGATCTTCCAATTTATCGGATCCACCCAGAGATGACGAAAGCTGCACGCGATGCCATGCGAAGGGGCTTTAGCGCTTGCAAGAAAGGCCTGCTCTTCGCAACAGATGTCCCGGAGGTGAGATACGTCGCGCTTGGGGTTCGGATCATTCTGCCATCAAGCAGGCAGCCGTACGCGCACATGGAGAGCATCGCAGGGCCCAACGTCAAGGCAGGCAAAGTTGTTCTCTTGACAGCGAGAACAAGCCGCGAGCCGAGCGGACGGGCCCAGCTGGAGCCGTCCTACAAAGAGTATCCGTAAGTGACGTGGCCAGCTCGTGTGATGTGTACAGAGTTTCTACTAAGACGTTGGTTTTGTCAGGCTCGCGCTGCTGGAGCGGCACATGCAGGAGTCGCGCCAGCTCCTGAACGACCGCTCGAAGAAACACCAGCAGGCTGTCAGGGACCAAGCTAGAGAGTTCTTGCTGAAGGAGACGAGAGCCCAGGTCATGAGCCTGCCGTGGGCGCGGTCGGTGAAGAGGAAGTGAGGTTCGCTCAAGGTGACTTTACGGCGAGTGCGCGCATGTAGTACCTTTACCTAGTTTCTACCTTTGTACCACTACGCGCTGGAGTAGTCGTAATCTCAGTATGAGGTAGTTGGAATATGCTAGGCTGATAGGTAGGTAGCCAAGTAGGTAATAGGATGAAGTTAAGCTTAATCGTCGCAAGATCGGTTGATACGTCCAATCTCCTATAGGTGGCGCGCGTTCGTGGGTAAGTAGAGCCAGGAGGAAGAGGCAATACAATACAAATACAATACAATACCTAGGTTTATTATATAGGTAGGTAGGCAGACAGGAAGTAGAGGGACTCTACAGCTCGTCCCTCTCCCTCCGCTGTTGCTTCTGCTCCTGCTGCTGCTGCCGCTGTTGCTCGTACCTCGCCCCCTCCACATCCTCCTCCCACATTCGCTTCTTCGCATTCCGCGGCTTGTCCGACTTGGACAGGGGCACGCCGTCGCCCCTCGTCTGCGCGTCTTCTCCCCTTTCCCTTTCCACTCCATCTATCGCCACCGCCTCCTCTTCCACAACTCCCTCCACCTCCCCCTTGTGCGCTTCCTGCGCGCGTTGCTGGTCTTGCTCGGCCATCTGTCCGACTTGCTGGCTTAGACTGGCGGTGGGGCTGGGGTCGTCGCCTTCGATAGAGCTTTGCTGTTGTTGGCTAGCGGTGCTGCTACTGCTGCTGCTTGATGTGATGAGGTGACTTGTTGGGGACTGTGTTGCTGCGAGGGAGGGAACTGATAGGGAGGCACCGCCGGCACTGCCAGCACCGCCAGACAGGCCTATAGCCGCAAGAACGGCGAAAAGCGCCCTATAAGCGAGTTTGAGGGGCAGCCAGAGGAACCACCACAGCGGGCCGTAGAGGAAGCGCCGGTACAGCAGCCAGGCGATGGTGGTGAGGAGGATGTAGAACGTCGTCTCAAGATACCAGGTATCGCTCTTCTGGGACCTAAGCAGCGAGGAAAGCAGGGTTTTTGAGCTGGCGAGCAGTGTGTTGAGGTCGGTGTAGCGCTCGCCGAGGTCCGCGAGCGCGGCCGTCGACTGGTCGAGGGTTTCTTGGGCGAAGCGCGAGCGCGACAGCTCGCTCGTCATGAGCTGGTGCGTTCGGCGCAGCGCGAGCGTCACGTCGCTGGAGGCTTGGCCGACGATCTCGTCTTGTGTTAGCTCTTTGTCTTGGCGGCGGCGTGCGCGGCTGCTGCTCGTCGGCGTGCTGTTGCCTTCTTGGATGCCGGCGAAGAGGAGTTCGCGCTCCTTCTGCTTGGCGGCTTCGGCGTTCTTTTTCGCGGAGAGTTGGGCGCGGCGGAAATGGCTGCGTGCGCTGCAGGGGCGAGACAGAGTGCTTGTCAGTTTTTGCGTTATGAGCTAGAGGGACGGAATTTGGCCAAACGCACTGCTTTAGGTCTTCCCCTAGGCGCGCAATCTGTATGTTCAGCCGGCTCTTCTCGCGCTCGCGCTCGCTGTTGTCCTTTCGCTTCACGCTCGAAGCCGTGAGCTCCTCGACTTCCTGGCGCAGAAACTCGAGCTCCTCATCCTGCTGCTTCAGGCCCTCGTGGATCTCTGAGCCGAGCTCCACTCGGACGTCCCCCTCGTCTTGGGCGTCGAGCGGCGTGGAGCCTGGCTGGAACTGGAGCTTCGCGAGCCGCTGGATGAGCTGCACCGTCTGCTTGTTGGCGTCGGAAAGCTGCGTCAGGCGCGTGGAAAGGGCTTGCGTCGTTATCATTTTGTCGAGAGCAGGGCGCGCGGATGCGCACTTGGATGGGTGTGGTGTTGTATGGCCAGGTCCGGTATTTCAGGCGCGCGATGTTAGGTGGGGTTTAGTATCCAATGCCCTAGTCGCGTGTTAGTTGTGAAGAGAGAGTCCTGGAGTCGGGGGGAGGCTGCATACCTTGGAAGAGTGGACGGCGGAGGTGTGAGGTTTGGCCGCGGGCGTGACGAACTTCTGGAGCTGCCAGCGTGCCCGCAATTGCGCGGGGCGGAAAGCCCGACGATCGATCTGCATCCATAGCAGGCACCCAAAGACTCACCACCAACTTTCGCGACTTGCAATCTTTCTGCTTCTCCAGCTCCTCCCTCAGTAAATCTGCCATTCTTCTGCGACGGGTTCGCGCTCTTCTGACCCCTCCTACCCACCCCCGCCTGTACTCTCAACACCAATCGTAGCCGCGCCGCGCAGGCGAGGACCCTTTGCAAGATGCTCAAGATTTGGTCTATGGTATGCCGCTCCTGAGCTTGTGGTACGCGGCACGCACCATGCTTTCGTACCATATGCGACATGCTTCCGTCATGGATCAGCGCTGACTGTCGGAAACAGAAGCAGAAGCAGCAGCAGGAGGAGAATGCCGCTGCAGGCCAGAAGAAGAAGAAGGTGACGGCTGCGCAGCTGCGTGTACAGAAAGGTACGTCTTGAGCATCCGACAGCTCCGCACAACGTTTTGAATGCGCGGCCATGTAGCTAACCTTTAGCTCCGTCTATCAGATCTCTCCGAGCTGTCACTCGGCTCCACGATGAAGACCGAATTCCCAAACGCCGACGACATTCTCAACTTCATCCTTACTATCGAGCCGGACGAGGGCATGTACAAAGGCGGCCTTTTCACCTTCAACTTTGCGATCAACCAGAACTTCCCCCACGACCCGCCCAAGGTCAAGTGCACGCAGAAGATCTACCACCCGAACATCGACCTGGAAGGCAACGTCTGCCTAAACATTCTGAGGGAGGATTGGAAGCCTGTTCTGAACCTGAACGCGGTCATTGTCGGTCTACAGGTGCGTCGGGTGGCGCTCATGTGAGAAGTGATATTCTGTTAACTAACGTATAACAGTTCCTCTTCCTCGAGCCAAACGCGTCGGATCCGCTCAACAAGGAGGCTGCGGAGGACCTGAAGGCCAACCGCGAGGGCTTTAAGCGCAACGTCCGCAACTCGATGGCCGGAGGTGCCGTGCGCGGCCAGACGTTCGATTGCGTCCAGAAATGATAATGGCACTTGGAGAAGCGGTCGCAGATAGCGAGCATTGGGACAAGGCGTACTTGGAGCTGGCTGGCGTCACGGCATGGGAAGGCGGATAGGTTGCGGGGATTTGTTGCGGCCTGATGGGCCGTTGGATCAAGTTTCGAGTTCTAGAGCAGACTGCCGCAGACCAGCAAATGTACCTTTCAATATACCGTAACCAATGGCGGGGCATCCTACTCTACATGTCCTTGATTCAAGTTGCTGGACAGGCTGCCGGCCGCTGACTCGACGAGCTTGAACGCTAGCCCGCATCAGGCAAGGCGTCTAGTGAACATCTCCAAAAGTTCTCGACCCGCGGCGAAAGTCTACACCTCGGACGAGCAACCCACCATGGTACGCTGCCCCTCGAGCGCTTCTCGCTCTCTCAACTAACAGACATGCTGCCAGAAAATCAAAACCCTCTCCCGTTCTACCAGCGACTACCTGGCGCCCGGCACCAATGTCGCCCGCGCGCCCAGGAACCTGGACCCGGCCATGCACCCGTTCGAACGGGCGCGTGAATACACGCGCGCGCTGACGGCGACCAAGATGGAGCGCATGTTTGCGCAGCCGTTCATCGGCCAGCTGGGCAAGGGCCACGTCGACGGCGTATACTCGATCGCCAAGGACCCAGAGTCGCTCGAGCACTTTGCAAGCGGCAGCGGCGACGGCATCGTCAAAGTGTGGGACCTGACGAGCCACGAGGAGCTTTGGCACGCGCAGGCCCACGAAAACATGGTCCGCGGCATGACGTGGAGCAGGGACCGCAAGCTGCTGAGCTGCGGCGCGGACAAGACGGTCAAGATGTACGATCCGTATAACACGCCTGCCGCCAGTGCGCCCGTAGCCACTTGGCTGGGGAACAACGCTTTCACGGGCATGTCGCACCACCGCTCCAACCCGGCCATTGCCGTGTCTTCGTCCAGCCAGATTTCCGTCTACGACACGTCGAGGCCCATGTCCAACCCCACGCAGACGCTCGCCTGGCCCACGGCCATTGACACAATCAGCACCGTAGCATTCAACCAGACAGAGACGTCGATCCTCGCATCGGCTGCTTCGGACCGCAGCATCGTGCTGTACGACCTACGCACGTCGTCGCCGCTCTCGCGCAACGTACTGACGCTCGCCTCCAACGCCATCGCCTGGAACCCCATGGAAGCATTCAACTTCGCCGTCGGCAACGAAGACCACAATATCTACATCTTCGACATGCGCAACATGAAGCGCGCGCTCAACGTCCTGAAAGACCACGTCGCGGCAGTCATGGACGTGGACTGGTCTCCGACGGGCGAAGAGCTGGTCTCGGCATCCTACGACCGCTCCATCCGGCTCTGGCAGCGCGGCGCGGGCCACAGCCGCGACATCTACCACACGAAGCGGATGCAGCGCGTGTTCAGCTGCGCGTGGACGCCCGACAACAACTACGTGCTCTCTGGGTCCGACGACGGCAACGTGCGGCTGTGGCGCGCCAAGGCGTCGAGCCGGCAGGGCGTCAAGTCGGCGCGCGAGCGGCAGAAGCTCGAGTACGACGACGCGCTCAAGGACCGCTACAAGCACATGCCCGAGATCCGCCGCATTGCGCGGCACCGGCACGTGCCGAAGCAGGTCAAGAAGGCGGGCGAGATCAAGTCGGAGGAGCTCAAGGCGATTAAGCGGCGCGAGGAGAATGAGCGCAGGCATACGCGCAAGGGCGAGACGCGTAGGCGGAGCGAGCGCGAGAAGATGGTGCTTGCGAACCAGGAGTGAGTGAGTGCAGAGGGAAAAGGAGTTTTTGTGCGTTGGATTTGTCTGGCTTGATTGCACAGCGATGGCGTTCTGGCGCGACGGGAAGAGGGGGGCTGGTGGGACGGTATCAGATAGGAAAAGTCAATGGACAAACGAAACCAGGAACGGGCTTCAGTTGGATTCGTGTCCTCGATGCTTTGTATTTGGCTGCTGGGCGTTAGCAGCTTTTGCTGGCCTGGAATGTACGAGGGCAAGTTCACTGCCATGTCAGAACTACGAAATTTCACTAGGGAGGCGAGTGAAGCAAGCAAGCAAGCAAGCAAGCAAGCAAGCAGCAGCCACCGAACCCGTCCATCTGTCCATCTGTCCATCTGTCCATTCGTTCGTTCGTCTGTCGTATCGTACCTATCGAATACAGCACCGCCTATCCACCTCAAGCACTCAGTCACTCCCCCCCATCACTCCCCCCCTCATCATCCATAGCCTCATCCTCATCATCCGCAACCACGTCATCTTCATCTTCATCCCCATCTCCCACCCCTCCCATACCCACACCCATACCCATATCCTCATCGCCCTCCCCCTCAATCTCGACCTCATCGTCGTCCCTATCATCAACCTCGACCTCGTCCTCATCTGCCGCCGACGCCGACGGCCGTGGAGGAAGCGACGCTCTGCCCACACCCACACCAACACCGCCACCGACACCGCCACCGAGCCCCATGCCCACGCCCTCAGGCTCGACGCTCGCCGCGCTCGCCGCACTCGCCGCGCTGGGCGTGTTCAGCCGCGACGCCGTCTGCTGCGCGTGTCCAAGCCCCAGTCCCAGCCCAAGCCCATGCCCATGCGCGTGCCCACCCTGCTGCTGCTGCTGCTGCGGCGCGTACTCCCTCCTGCCCGGCTTTTCCGCCTCGCCCGCACCAGCAGCGTAATGCGCCGCCAGCGCCTCCTGCGCGGTCCTGGCCCTGGGGCGACGGCCTCTCCCTCCACTACTACCACCACCACCTAAAACGCCCACGCCGGCAACGACGCCCTTTCGGCGCAGCTCCTCGGAGCCCGCGTGCACGCCGGCGGCCGCCGCCGCCGCTGTCCCCGCGTCTTCGCCCACCCACACCAGATCCTGCGCGCCGCTCGGGGTGCCCAGGGGATTATTGCCGGGAGCGGCGGCGCCGGCGCCGCGCTCGCGCCTGGCTCTGCGCCTCGACGACGACGACGACGACGGCTCAGGGGGCGGGAGCGGCTGGCCGCCGGGGCCGAAAGCGACGGCGCCATCAGCCATGTCGCCCACGCCACTACCTCCCTCCCAGCGCTCCATTCTTCGCCCTGTCCGCCGGAACACCTGCGCCCAGTGCGCCATCTCCTCGCCGCAGTCTTCCCCTTCTAGCCGGCCCGCCAAGGGCGTCAACCCCGCTAGCCTTGTCGCCTCTAGCCGAGCCACAGCTGCTGCTGCTGCCGCTCCCGCCCGCATCGGGCTCTCCGACCCTCCGAGGCTGGTCTCGGCCGCTGAGAGCGCGGCATGGTACTCCTCTTCGGAGTCGTACCCGTCGCCCATGAGCTTGAGACGCTTCCACGCACGGGCGAGGGCGCCCTCGCGCTGGCGCTTGCGGCTCGCCGCCTTGTGCGCGGTGCGCAGCTGCCGGTCCAGGATGTGGTCGACTTGCTGCTTGCGGTAGCGCTCCACGGCCACTTGGTGCGCCGTGGGAGGCCGCTTGCGGTTCGCGCTGGGATCCGCGCCGTTGAGCGGGAGGTAGAAGCCGTGTGGGCCGCTGGAGATGGGAACGGCTGGCGAGTCTTGCGCCGCCTTGAAGGGGTGCCGTGCTGTGCTGCCGCCGGCTGTCGACGGCGTGCCCTTGTTGCGCGGGCCCCAGTTGCCACGACCTGGGCCTCTCGGTGCCGACTGCGGTGTCGAAGGAGAGTCGTCGTTGAGAAGGTTGTTGATGCGCATGTTGGGGGTTATGCGTGGCGGGAAGGGCCCGCCGGCGACGCTGGGCGGGCTAGCAGAGCGAGTGCGGTCGGTGTCGGAGCCATAGTCTGCTTGAAGGGCCTTCAAAGGCGCCTTGCCGCGCCCGCTCGCCCTGAAGGAGCCCGGCGCGGGCGAGCCGTGATCGCGTCCGGGCGTCATGGAACCATCATCTGACGCGACGGAGAAGACTGGGTTGTTGTTGAAACCCTTCTTGAGCCCGCGCTTGGGGCCCGTCACGACGGGAGCCATGTCCGTAGCGAGAATTGCTATTCTCTCCTTGCGCTTTTCCTCTCCAAACTGCTTCTCTTCCTCAGTGTCAACGTTTTCGAAAGCGGCTTCTTCTTCGGTGAGGTGCTTGAATGGTGGTGTCTTGATCGGCAGGCCTTGAGTGGGGTCGCCCGCGAGACCCGGCTGGCCGGGTCCGAACGGGTTATTCATGGCGTCGTGTTCTGAGAAATCACTCTCCAAGTACCACCACATCAACCAGAGAAATGCCTTGGCTCTGCTGTCGGAGCTCAGTGCGCTGCGCATGACCAGGTCGAAAAAGTCGCGCGGAGGGAAGAAGTGCAGCTCCGATATCTTTGGCGCGTATTGCGCGAGGACGAAGATAAGGTTGACCGGGTTTGTACGCGGCACAGAAGCGGCCCTAATCTCTTCGATTGTGCTTGGCTGTTGCGTGTCTTCGGTGGCGCCCTTCAGAATCGACTTGAGCCGCGGCGCATCCTGCAATTGTTTGTACGCGTTCGGATCCTGGTGAGCCTGCAGCGACGGGATCGAGTGGTATGTCCGCAGCTGGGCGCGCATCTCTGGGAAAACTGCCATGAGTTAGCGCGCTCCATGTGCGCTTCGCACGCGCGCACTTACAGTTGAGGGTCGTGTTCATCCTGCCGACATTGACCAGCAGGCACACCATGGCCATGTTGATGGCAGCCGCCCGCTCGGTCAGCAGCTTGTCCTTCAGAATCTTGCTGCACTTGCTGCTCTTGGCCATGGCGTCGAGGTAAATGTCGGCAAACGTGTGGCCACCGGTGCCGTCCGAGACCTTGTGGAAGACACGCGTCTGGTCATCAAAGACGCATCGCAGAAAGTCGTACTGGATGTCCTTCCTCCACAGAGGCACGCCGTCCTCTTTCTTAAGATGACGTATCTTGTTGCCCGAATAGACGGACGAGACGCTGCCGTTGGCATTGCGCCGGGTTGTGGTGGTCGTCGACGTGTACATGGGCTCGTCGGGGTTGTGCGCCTTTGACTTGGTCGACGGGCGCTCGTCCTGGGTATCATTATCGTCGGTCGGTGGGGCGGCGGTGGTGCCAGCTTCGGACTTGACGGGCGGCGTGGGCGTGTCGTGCATGTCTGCGGCGGGCTCGAAGGACAGGACGTGGCGGAGGCTGTTTCTGGGGTCGGGCTCCTCAGACCTCGGGGCAGACGAGGGTGGTGGTTGTGACATGACGGCGAGCGAGCTTCCCTGAGCTCCCTCCTTGGTTCGGTAAAGTTGACGGTTTGGGCGTGGTCGTAGGGATCAGTCGTACAAATCACGAGATCATGGCGGGTTGAGGAATGAGCGCGATGGAGGACACAGCCCAGGCGACCTGGGAATGGACAGAAGGATTGCAGGGCGGAATCACACTTGCGGCGACCGTTTACCTTTCGAGCTTCCATGGTCCAGAGCTGCCCCGGATTATTGTTTCCCCGCATCGTTGCTTGCCCGATTCGGCCAGTCAATCAGTCGCTTTGCATTTGGAATCACTAGGTAAGCCTCCGTATTATGCCCCAGTGCATCAATCAATCCTCCCGCAACGCCAGACAACATAACACCCAATCATGCACCCGCTTTCCTGCATTGAACGCCTACAATACTCTGAACATGGTAATATCATGAGCTTGACGTCTCGCCCTGATCACTCGGTTGCGCCGGCTTGTCGGCCGCCTCGTCCTTCTTCTCGCCCGTCGGCTCGGCTGCTGTTGCTGCTGCTGCTGCTGCTGTCGCCGCCGCCTCGGCCGTAGGTTCCTCAGTGGCTTCAACAGGCTCAGCGGTTTCAGTCGTACTTTCGGCCGCTGTCGCCGTCGACGTAGATGCCGCCTCCGCATTCTCCGGCTCCGGGCTCTTCGGTGGCGTCACGGCGTTTCTGGTGCCAGGCAGAGGCTCTTCCGGCCGCGCATGCTCCAGCACCACAGCCGAAGTCTCGCTCGGACGGACCAAAACGCTGCCGCTGTCCGGCCCGTTGTTCGTGCCGCTCTGTTGCGTTTGCATCTGCGCCGGTAGCTCCTTGACATCATCCGCGGTCGGGGATTGGTGCTCCGCATCTCCCATTTCCTCGTCTTCGTCATCATCTTGGTCGGCCTTTGGAGCGGGCACGTGATGGTCCCTCTCGTCTTCGGCTTCGCTGTCGTAAAATTCGTTTTCGCGGTCAATCTGGATATTCTGCTGGAGGTCGGTCACGCGGGTGTCCATGTTTTCGTCCGCGTCAAGATCAGCGAGGATTTCGTCTTCCTCTTCGGTGGCGACTATGCTTTGACGCGGAACGTCTTGCATCTGAACCGAGGGCGCAAACGGCAGCGAACGTAAACGTTCCGCAATGGTCGTTCGTATTCTATCCAGATATTCCGGGGAGTTGTCGTTTGGCGCATTCGAGCGGGGCACATCCAGTAAATACTCAGGGGTATAGTACTGTCTTCGGTTAGCGTTCATGTGCATAGTTGATTAGAGTCCCATACCTCATAGTAGTCGCTGAAAGGTAAAATCTTGCTAACGGGCTCTCCGACCGCTTGTGAGGTCTCGAATGCCCAAGTGCGAGCCACATTGCGAATGCTGTACCCGCCTCCTCCCAGTACCATCATAGGGAGGCCGAATTTTTTAACAAACTTGATGCAGTTGGCGTGGCCTTCCATGCTCAGGTTGAAGCTGCCCAGACGGTCGCCGGAAAGACTGTCCGCACCACACTGGAGGACGACAGCTTCAGGCCTGAAGCAAGCCATAATGTCTGTGATGACGGCTTCGAAGATGCTCCTATAGGCCTCATCATTGATTCCGTCCCTCAGTGGCACATTGACCGCGTATTTCTTGCCCTTTCCAATTCCAATGTCTGAAAGGTGACCTGTTCCGGGATAGAACTCACCAAATTTATGGAAGGAACAGGTCATGACGCGGTCCGTAGTGTAAAATGCCTCCTCAACGCCATCTCCATGATGGATATCAATGTCGATGTAGAGAACGCGCTGGTATACCCGGAGAAGTTCGAGGATCGCAAGAACAATGTCTGCAAACATTAGCGGTCCATACCAGCCAAGAAACAATGTCGAAGCATGCCACACCATTCACGTAACAGAATCCGCCTGCTTGTCCCTTTTTCGCGTGATGCAGACCACCTGCCCAGTTGACCGCTATATCACACCTTCCGCGGTTAAGGCGCGCAGCTCCCTCCATCGATCCGCCAGCACTGATTGTGCAAAACTCGAAGAGGCCATCAAAGACTGGGCAATCTCCGCTGATGTCGTACTTGAGCGCTTCTTGCTGGCAGAAGCCAATGGTGTCGGGTGTGATGCGCTGAAGGAACTCGATATATTCATCTGTGTGGAATTGTGTCATCTCGAGAGCGGTGGCCGGCTTTGCGCGCTGCGGTAGAGCTCCATTAGCAGTTGCGCAAAGAGATGGATGCAAGGTAGTCTGGGGGGCATACATAAACTTCCATCTTGCGATATAAACCGTAAGACATGACAAGGTCATGGGTCATCCTAATACGGAAGGGCTTCATGCAATGGCCCGGCTCATAGTCGTAGCAGCCTATGTCGGGATCGTACATGTACGCAACCTTCACTTTTCTCCCGGATTCCGTCATGGTTGCGCGTCGGAGAGAACTTCAATGAGAACCACAGGCCAAAGGTCTAGAGCGTCTAAGCTTGGCTTTATAGCAGCCGTGGACAGCGGAAAGTACAGGGATGGCGGAAGAGCAGCCAGCTAGCGGGTTGGTGAAATGGAAGGTCGGTTGGTAGCTGTAGGTAGAGAACCTTAGTGCGGCGGAAGCTTTCCGCGTGGGGAGAGCTCTGGAGATGCAGGGTCGAGTTGATGTATGATGACTCGGCTGCTTGCAGCAGGGAAAGGGAAACCAGAGTGCGGCCCGCGCAATTGAAAATGGCCACAAGCTTGTCACTGTGAGAAGGTTTGGTCAGAGAGGGCACGGAGGATGAATTCGGTATGACGAGCGAGTCAGCCTCTCGACACTCGGCAGGCCGCCAGTCGGCGTGGCACAATCGCCGAATATTCGGATAGATCCCGGCACACTTGCGTAAGGAGCAGGGAAGACAAGGCAACATGCATCTGGTGATGAAACGGGCTGCAGGCCGGCATTCTTTCGTCGCAACAAATATTCTCGCAATGCTGTTCACATCAAGCTACCGACCCATCTATCGCCATGCCAAACGCCAAACCAAAGGGATATCATGACCATCGTATGCACATCCAACAGCAGTCCATCTCTCACGACGACACCGCATGCGCAAAAACCTTCGCCGCCAGATCCGTCAACAGCTTCGCCTTGTCGCCCTGCGGGAGTTCCTGGAAGACGGCATAGACGCTCTTGCCCCTCGTGTCGCGCACGGCGCCCAGCCGGTTTCCAGCCACCATGCCCGCAACGGCACCCGGGAAATTGGCGATGATAAAGCCCATTGCGCCGCCGCTGAGTCCGCCGACAAAGCTCCAGAACTTTCCTGTGGGCTGCGCTTCTTGACCCTCAGCCATGCCCTCCTCGCGCAGCATCTCCTCGAAGACACTGCCAAACTGCTCACTGTTGAACCGCTCGCGTTCGTTGTTTTGCGTTGCGCCGCCATCATTCGCTCCAAACCCGAATGCGGACCACGGGAACCCGCTTGGGAAACTCCATCCTCCTCCGCCGGTCTGTTGCTGCTGTTGCTGCTGCTGGTTGTCGGTAGGGATTTCTTCCTCGGGATCATCGAACCCGCCGGTCCAGTTATTGAAAGACCGCGCCGAGTCGTAGTCGCGCCGACGCGTCGGGTCTGAGAGGGTGTAATAGGCGTCATTGATCTGCTGGAAGCGCTTGGTGCGGGCGGCGCGCTCAGGTGAGTCAGCGGCCACGCGGTCGGGGTGGTGCTTCAGGGCGGCCTTTTTGTATGCATCGCGAATCTGCTGCTGGGTTGCTTTGGGCGCGATGTCGAGGATCTTGTAGTAGTCTGGAGCTAGGGGGATGTGTTAGTCTTGGTCAGGGTGGTGTTGAGGGGAAGCTAACCCGACATATTGACTGATGAGAGGTTTCAAGGGTAGGGATAGGAAGAGAGCAGTCCAGAAGAGGTGGTTCCAGAAAAGAGGCGATAAACGTAAAATCTGGCGTCCCTGAAAGCAAGCTCTCGCCCCGTGGCCTCGTCACGACGGGATGACGTCTCAGGCTGCCCCAGGCCGCGGCCGTTGGACTGTCACGTGGCGGGCCGATCCAGGATGGAGTGAACCATCCCTCTTTCGTCTCTCGTTCTCTCTCTCTCTCCCCGCTTCACGACTCGAGACCTGATGAGACGGTCGTCACCTCACCCTCGACTCATGTCCAACCGTTTCCCAGCCTGCCGCCCTTTTCTAGTGCGTCTTGGCCCGGTATGGCTGCCTCAATCGCCCATTCGCGGCCAGCGCGCTTCAAGCCTGCGCCTGCAGCTGCACGTCGCCAGGAGCACAAACAATCTCGAACGCCCTTCCATTCCTTGCAGTCGCGTTTTTTCCTCCACCACGCCCCTTTTGATCTGACCGGTCTCATTTGACCCTCTCTTTTTCTCCTTCTCTTTCATTGCTGCATCGACAGCGCTTCAAGCTAGCCCCCAACCCCCAACATCCAAGGCAAGCTCAGGCCCACCTCGTCCCGCGCAGAATCTGTGCTTCCCGTCGGGCCGTCTTCGCCCTCTCCAACTGCCGCCTCGTGCGCGTACAAAGACCCGCCAGGATCGCCCTCTGATCTTCTGATCTTCGTGGTCTCTTCGTCTTCCCAATTCCTTGGATGTGATCTTTCTACATCGTCATCATCACCATCGCCAACAGCGCGCGCGTAAAAACAACCCTCTCCTTTCTCTGTGACACTCCAGCGCGACCAATTACCCCGCCGAAAGCAAAACCCTACTACCTCTTCGGCCCCCACAACCACGAAGACTAACGATGGGCTTCTTCACGCCTTCGTCGCGCTCCCCTTACAACAATGCGCACCGGCCCAGCAGCTGGCACCCATCGTCCTCCTCGCGGCCCAGTAGCTGGCACTACCCGTCGCACTCGCGGCCTTCGAGCGGCCACTCGACTCCGCGCTCCTACCACTCGTCGTACTACAAGCGCAGCCCCCGCCCCAGCTACATCCAACAGCTGCTGCGCAAGCTGAAGCAGCTCTTGCGCGAGCTTTACGAGTACGCGCGCCGCCACCCGCTCAAGCTCGCGATGTCTGTCATCGTGCCGCTGCTGAGCACGGGCGTGTTCGCGGAAGCGGCGCACCGGTTTGGGCTCAGCTTGCCCGCGGTAGTGATGAGTGCGCTTGGCGGTCCGCCGGCGGGTGCGAGCAGGGTGCGTGGGGGCGGTGGATACTACGGGAGTAGGGGGTACGGGAGTGATGGAGGAGAGGGGCTGGACTTGAAGAGTTTCTTGAGTTTGGTGCGGATGTTCGCGTAGGGCGAGAGAGGTTTGATTCCTGATTTCTCCTCGTGGATCGCTCGCGCTGCTGCGTCTGTCTGCTCTCCACGACGCCGAAAGACATGTGCGCCGCGGATCTATCTACGCTTCGCCCAGCTCCATCCACATGGCTCCAATCAACGACCACCACAACCGCCAACGAAAATGATCACAACAACGACGACGATGATGACGGGCGATGACGATGACGAACGACGCATTTACGACCACACAACCACGACCTTAACGATCTACCTATACCAACTTACCCTGAACCCTTCCATCTCCCCAACAAATTCGACTTATCAACGCCTCCCAACAAGCACGCACACAGCTCGGTACCAACAACCACCCTAGCCACCACAGCAGCTAAGCATGAGAAAGAAGGCATCCTAAGCAAACAGTCTGGACCATCACGGCACGCTCGGAATTTTCCACTTGTGCTGCCGCAGCAACAGTAAAGTTGGCGTAGTTGTTTCTCGGCAGGAATAGAAGTGAAAGGAGTGGCGGGATGGGTGTGCATGGTTGGTGAGAGTAGGAAGATAATTGAGATGTTTGTATGTAGTAATGATATGGAGTTAGTTGGGGATACACGGTAGTACAGTGCAACTCGGTTATGAGTGTTAGTAAGTGATATGAAGAAGTGTACGCGTAGGTATGTTGTGCTTCTTATATGCCGGAATAAGTGCGTGGAGTACTTCATTGCTACTGCTAAGGTTAACCCATCGCTTGACCATCAGCAGCAGCTCGAGCCACCCTGCCATCCGATCCGCCAGGGTCTTCTTCGCCGAAGATTAGCCGACCAAAATTATTGACCGCCGCCCTCGAATGCGCCAACAGCAGCAGCAGCGGCAGCACGTCTCGTCTTCTCAGCTGGTCGACACGCTCCTCAGGCCCGCCTCATACAGCACACTGCCCACGCCACCGCAGCAGTTCTCCTCGCCGCGAAACGCACGCCCAGCGCCAAACCACCTTCTCCGCCCCGCACCAGGGCCTCCGACACACGATAAACAACACACGATAGACTTCGAGCGATGCCCAAGGCAAACAGGAACAAGGGCAATGCGGCGGCCAAGGGCAGCCCGTACGCGGCGGGGGCGGGCGCCGCGCCCACGAGCGCAAAGGCAAAGGCCGCGCATTCCATCTTCAAGATGAACACGGATCTGGGGCAGCACATTCTGAAGAACCCGGGCGTGGCGCAAGCGATCGTGGACAAGGCGGACCTGAAGCAGAGCGATGTAAGGCAGGCAAAAAAGACGCGCACGCACGTGGAATAGCCAAAGTACTGACCATCGACGGCAGGTGGTGCTTGAAGTCGGACCCGGAACTGGCAACCTGACGGTCAAGATCCTCGAAAAGGCAAAGAAGGTCATCGCGGTGGAGATGGACCCGCGCATGGCCGCCGAAGTCACCAAGCGCGTGCAAGGCACGCCGGCGCAGAAGCGGCTCGAAGTGCTGCTGGGCGACGTGATCAAGACGCCTTTGCCCTACTTCGACGTGTGCATCTCAAACACGCCGTACCAGATCTCGTCGCCACTAACCTTCAAGCTGCTCGCCACATCCCCCGCCCCGCGCGCGTGCATCCTCATGTTCCAGCGCGAGTTCGCGCTGCGCCTGTTCGCCAAGCCCGGCGACAAGCTGTACAGCCGGCTGAGCGTCAACTGCCAGATGTGGGCCAAGGTGGACCACATTCTGAAAGTCGGGCGCAACAACTTCAACCCGCCGCCCGCGGTCGAGAGCAGCGTCGTGCGCATCGTGCCCAAGACGCCGCGCCCATCCATCAGCTACGACGAGTGGGACGGCTTGCTGCGCGTGTGCTTCGTGCGCAAGAACAAGACGCTGCGCGCGAGCTTCTTCGGCACCGCCAGCGTCATGGAAATGCTCGAGGCCAACTACCGCACCTTCTGCGCCCAGAACGATATCCCGCTTGAGGACGGCCCCGCCGCGCAAGCGGATGCCCACGCCGACGTGGCTGCCGATGACGCCATGACGGACATCGACGCCCACCTGCACAGAGATAATGACGAGTGGAACCCGCTCGACGACGAGGAAATGGACATGGACGACGACGAGCTGCCCGCCTTCTTCAAGGAGCAGGCCGACGAAAAGGCCCGCGCGCTGCTGAGCAAAGGCGGGAAGCGCAAGAAGCGGGGCAAGGTGTTTGAGCTGGTACGCGAGAAGGTGCGCAAGGTGTTGGAGGATGAGACGGAGTTGGCGGAGAAGCGGGCGCGGATGTGCGAGGAGGGGGATTTTTTGAAGCTGCTTTATGCGTTTAATCAGGAGGGGATTCATTTTAATTAGGGTGGGAATGCGGCCAGGAGGGAGGGCCTGTGTGCTGCTGAGGGCTTATGGGTGGCGTTTGAGAGGGGTTTGGCGTTTTTGCGGGTGGACTGCTGTCTGCGGAAGTGGGTATATAGGTATTTTCTTGAGCTAGGCGGGTGGTTCAGCAATGGGAAAAGCAATGGGATGGACTGTATGCATACCTCCCACGCACACTTACACGAAAACAAACACTCCATACACAACTGATCCCAGTACGTGTAGCAGAATCTACTCTCATTGCCAAAGGTGTATCATATCACATCCATCTAAGCCCACTCCCCCCAAAAAAAGCCCAACAACGCCCACGCCAATGCCAACCCAAACACACCCACCCCTACACACTCATCTTCATCTTAATCCCCCCATGCGGCTCATACCCCACAATCTCAAAATCCTCCACTTTCCAGCCATCCACACTCCCCCCACTCGGGCGCTTAATCCTGAGTTCGGGGAACTCCCTCGGTTCGCGGCCCAGCTGCACCTTCAGCGCCTCGACATGATCCGCATACACATGCGCATCGCCCATGGTATGGACAAAAGTGCCGGGCGTCAAGTCTGCCGCATGGGCCAGCATATGCGTCAGCAGGGCATACGAGGCGATATTAAACGGGACACCGAGGCCCATATCGCAGGAGCGCTGGTAAAGCACGCAGTCGAGGCGGCCGCGGCCGCGGTGGCCGTCCGGCGGCTCCTGCCCGTCAACGCCGCGCTTGGCGGCCGGGTACGAGACGTAGAACTGGGCGAACATGTGGCAGGGCGGCAGGGCCATGTGGGGCAGGTCGGCGGGGTTCCAGGCGCTGAGCACGATGCGGCGGTCGAAGGGCTTGTGCTTGAGCTTGTGCAGCACCTCGGCGAGCTGGTCGACGCCCTGCCCCGCGTAGTCGGTGGCCGCGTCGACGTAGGCCGCGCCAAAGTGCCGCCACTGGAACCCGTACACCGGCCCCAGGTCGCCTTCCGCCCGGTGCCCCAGCCCCACGCTGTCCAGGTACGACCGTGACCCGTTGCCCTCCCAGATCTTGATCCCGGCGTCCGACAGAGGCTTGCTGGATGTGCTGCCCGCGATGAACCACAGCAGCTCCCCGATTACGGCGCGTACGAAGACGCGCTTCGTTGTGAGGAGTGGGAGGATCGGGATGGGGGGCTGCGAGGGGTCGGGAGAGGGCCGCGAGAGCGAGAAGCGTAGTTGAGGAGGTGCGAAGAGCGAGTAAGTCCCTGTGCCTGTGCGGTCCGGGCGGTGCTCGCCGTGCGAGAGGATCGAGCGGATTAGGTCGAGGTATTGGTGTTCTTCGTGGCGGGGCGTGGTGGTGGTGGAAGTGGATGCAGTGGATGCAGTGTCGGGTTTAGAAGGGTGGGCCTCCGGAGCAATGACAGTCTCGAGGGCGGCGGGAGGAGACATGATGAGCGTCGTCGTCGTCGTGGGTGGGGTGGGAAGGAAGACGGGTTGTTGCTTGCTGCTCTTTTTTAATGGCGGTCGACGCTCTGACGCGCACGAGGGAAGACGCGACGCGGCGCGACGCGACGGCGGCGGCTGGCGGCCGATCCCGAGCCTGAGCTCGACTTCATATTTTATACCGCCGCTCTAGGTACTCTTACTTGAGAGAAAATGAAAAAGACACGGATCGCATTCTACGTCGACTAACAACAACAGCAGCAGCAGCAGCACGCCGCATCTACAGCCCTACAGCCCCACAGCCCTAACAACCAGCCACAGCACCACAGGCACGATAACGTTGTCGTTGCCCCCCGTCAACACGGCCTCCATAGCGCTAGCCGCGCAGCCAGCAACAGTCGCCTTGGCCACATCACAGAGACCGGGCAACATCCAGCTCCACCCTGACCCTCCAGACGCCTCCCACCCCCCACCCCTCGCCCACACCTTCCCAGCACACAACCCGAGCACCACAGCGCCCGCAAACGCCGCCGAGCCCTCGAGGCTCTTGCCGCCGATCCACGGCCACTTCCTGCGGCCAAAGCGCCTGCCAACCAGACTAGCCGCCGCATCGCCCATACCGACGCACACGACGCCGGCAACCATGCTGGCGTCTCTGGCGTGCGTGTCCCAGCCCTTCCAAGGTGATGAAACGCCCTCGCGCACCCCGCCTCCTCCCGTGCGCGCCGTGCCCGCCAAGCTCAACCACAGCGGAATGGCGCAGCCGACGAGCAGGAAGATATGGCTGACGACGACGGGGCCGCGGAGGTCGCGCCCGTCGACATACGGCGTCAGGAAGGCGGCGATGGGCTTTGAGAGGGGCGGGAGCTGGGCGGCGCGGACGAGGTCGAGGAGGAGGAAGACGGCGAGGACGAGGGCGAGCGTCAGCGCGACGAAGCACGGGTCTATGTAGATGGTCGGGAGCAGCATCAGCACCATCATGCCGTGGAAGACTTTGCGCCGCGTGTCGACTTCGGCGACGCTGCTGAGGCGCAGCACGATGCAGAGCCCGATGGCGAGGATCCCCAGCCAGTAGCCTGTTAGTGCGAGCCGGGTTGTGGCTTCGCCGAGCACGGCGCGTCGGTATTGGTCGATGCGGCCGGAGGAGCCGAGCCGGATTGTCTCGCTGTCTTCTGGGAGCTCGGGCAGTGCGATCCACCCCGTGAGGTTCCAGTCGTGGATCCAGAAGCGGACGTCGCGGATGTTGCCGAAAAGGTAGCCGATGGCCCAGCCAAAGGGCTCGGCGCCATCGAGCGCGGCCCTCGCGATGTATTCCCGGATCGGGACGAGGATGATCAGAGCCATGGCCAGATATGCGTAGCCGGCGTAGAGCCATTTCCGGAGCGTTGCCTGGGCAGGAGTAAGAGCGAGGAACGATTGCGCGTATGAAGACCTGGTGCGCTTCCTGCGGGATCCTAGTTTGGTCGAGGTTACGCGAGGGGTTTTCATGTCCGGTAGGGTGCTGCTTCGCTGTCTTCCTCCACTCCGGAATCCATCAGCTTCCTTTGGTTGGAAGAAAGCGTCGCGCACAGCGCTCATGGCAGAAAGCGGCATGCTCGCAGTAGCCGCTGCCAGGTCCTGCATGGTGCTCGGGGCCGATTCGACAGGCTTCAGCCCCAAATCGTCGTCTTGGTGCTGGAGCAAGAGATCGTCCTCGTCGGCATCGCTGTCTGAGATCTCGTCTCTTCTCCTTGAAGGGGAGCTCGTTTTCCCCTTCAAACTCTGGTTCAGAATGGCCAGAAATGACTGTCGGGCCTTGATGATGTGGCCAGCGCGCCTAAACCTCCATTTCGGAATACGAGCTAGAGCAACACCCCAGCGCAGGACATGCCCGCAGAAAATGAAAAGACTGAGCCCGCCTATCCAGATGATGGCGCTGAGGATCATCATCTGGGGCGACTCCGCGAAAAGCAATAGGTTAATTAGAGAAACAGAAAGGAGATGGAGCTCCGTCGAAAGAAGACTCGTCGTCGTAAGGTACTGTATTGGCGGCAAAAGCGCCTGGTGAAGGAAAAATAGACATGAAATGACTTCTGAAGGAAGCCCATCCGCGGGCACCTTCAGGGGATAAGGTTTCGCGGCGTCGAGGTTCGAAGGGACGTCCGTATGGTCCGATATTATCAGAGGAAGAATTGATATAATCCAATGCTCCATGCTGTAGCCTGTTCCTTGACCAAAGACGGGTATTAACCGGGGCGGCAATGCCGCGAGCGAAAGCACAATATTCGGCAGTAGAATCTTCTCCATCGTGGGGTATAGTGACAACGACACAAGAATCGGTATTACGGCGGGGTATATGAGAGGTGCAGGGTCGAAGGCTGCTGGTATACGTATGCGGTTTTTGAGAGGCGCGTGGCCATCGCGAGGTGACAAGAGTCGCAGGGGGTATGAAAGTATCAGAACCGAATAGACAAGGGCATAGGCAGAAAGTTCTGTAGGATATAATGAGTATGCTGTAGCAACCAGAAGCCCGCGACACAGTATACGCACCTCGGGACCATATCCGCAGCGTCCGCGTTGCTTCGGCGCCGCCCACCACGAGCGCGCCAATTGCGCCCACGAGAATAACCTCGAATCCCCGTCGCAACAGCTCTGCGCGCCTCCTCTTGGCAAACTTCTCTCTCTCCCTCCTAACTTCCTCATCGCTCGGCGAGCTTGCCTCCGAGGCCTTCCTGGTCCCCTTGAAATATCCGCTGCGATTGCTCAGCCTCCTGCTCTCCTCGTCTAGTATGCTTGGCGTAAGCAGAGGACTTTCGCTCCTGAGGCCATCGATGTCGGTCCCTCTCAAGTCCCTCAATCCCTTGTGTGGCCTGATCGGCGGCGCGGGGAGCGCCTTTACGAACGAATAGCCCTCGTCGTCAGCCTCGGTGCCGCTTTCGCTCATGCTCCGCGATGGAACTCGGGAGCCGCTGTCGGCGCCATGAGCTGCCTTTTTCTCCTCTTCAACGTCGGAGCTCCACGATGAACCCGAAGAATGTTCGCTGGGGTTGGGGGAGAGCCCCGCGCGCGCCTCCTTGGACGTGTGCAACTGGATGCTTCGGCGGTGGTAGGGATGGGGGCTCCGGGTCAGCAGCCTTGTGGCTTCGTCATCAGGAGGTAACGATAGTGAGAGAGGCTGCGAATGGGCCGCCGAGTCTTGTGTGTAGTCGTCTTGCGGCGTCGTGCCTGGCATCGGCAACTCGGACCGCGGAGGTGGCTCCTCGTCGGTGGTGGTCATGCTGGTGCTTCGAGTAATTGTTCAAGCGAATGGATCATAGGTGCATCTTGTTCGAGGCCGGGCGGAAGAAGGGGACTTCGGAGTAAACACGGTGTCTTGAAGGAGCGCGAACCAAATGGAGGTGGTGGTCTCATTCTTGGATTCACATGCTCAAGGACCGATCGATGTTCCCTAGGGCTGAAGCTTTGACGTTGAGCGTTGGGGCGCAGGCCGGAGGCGCAGACGTAACCGTCAGCAAATCGGACGCCGCAGAGATATTCCAGAAGAAACAGCCATCCGAATGCAACTTGTCTGCTTACGGGAAGATGGCCGACAGCTACCAGTGTCACAGGGACAGGCTCCTCATTCCGCTCCGTTCCCGGAGTGCAGGAGTCACAAATCCAATCAGATCCCGATCGTCCCGAGTATCCCTGAGACCACCGCAACGTTCGAGAAAGAACACAAATGTTTGACTTCATATACCGAAATGCTAGTATTTACAGCAGCTCGAGATACCCTGCATTATCTTTTTCGTCATCCATGCAAAACTTAAACCCCTTTTTTTTTCTGAGGCCAACCCCAATTCACGCCGCCCAATGCAAAGTTTCGTTTAGAAGTAGCCGTGCTCCTTCAGGAAAGACTTGACATCCTCGCTGTCTCTCTCGATCCAGTTAGACTTGGCGCGGATGGCATCCAAGCTCTGCGCCAAAGACTGGTTGAAGCCCTTGGTGGCGCGCTTGCCAAAGAAATCCTCGATGCGCTGCATCTGCGCCTTGCTCGTGAAGCTGGACGTGCAAATGGTGACGACGGAGCCCAGCATAGTAAGGCCAGGGGGCAGCTTCTTCTCCAGCTCGTCCCAGTTGGACGTCATCCACTGCCAGAGAGCCTCGATACCCTCCTTGTGAGTCCTGAGACCGCCCAGAGGGAGGTAGATGTCCTGGCCCTTAACCTCGTCGCTAAGCGGGAGGGACAACGTCCGCTGGATGAGCTCGGGCTTCTTAGCGCGGCCGATGGCGCGCAGGGCAGTGTTGCGCTCGTCGCTGGTCGAGGCGGTGCGGTATTCGTTGAGAATAGCGTTGTACTCCTCCTCACCACCGTTGCTAAGAACGATGGCATAGACGCTAGCACGAATGTTAGGGTGAATGGCAGAGCGATCGCCCTTCTTGAACTTCTCGAACATCTCAAAGGCCGACTTCTTGACCTTCTCGTCGCCCGCAAGACCAGCAGAGCCGAACAGCAGCGACTTGAACTGCTGCTCAATGTGCCCGTCACTATCCTTGAACTCCCAGCCCAACTGGTGTGCCTTCTCACCAACAAGCTTGAGCTGGAACTTCTTAAGGGCGTCCTTGATCTGCTCGTCCTGGAAGACCCAAGCAGCACGGAGCGAACCAATGCGGGCAGTGATCTCATCCCAGACAACGAACTCAGACTCCGACTTGAAGCCTTCCAGCAGCGAAAGAATGCCAGAAGTCTTCTGGTAACCAGAAGCAGCCAGAGCACCAGCGTCAGCAATCATACCAGCACGGTCCTCGACAGAGAGCAGGCCGTTCTTGGCAGCTTCACCAAGCTTCTTCAGGCGCTCGGGGCTGTAAGAAGTGCGGTAGATACCGGAGTGATCGGCGTTGACCTTGTAGAAATCGACATCCTTGAGCTTGAAGTCCGCCTCACGGCTGTTCAAGGTGACATCCTCATTGATGCCTTCCTTGGTGCGGAGACCCAAGAAGACGGGGTAGAGGGTCTTGTCCTCCTCAGGCTTGACATCAGCGGTGCGCAGGAATCTGTTCTGCTTAACGTGGATGGAGTTGGACTTGGCATCCTCGGTGACGGTGACCACTGGGAAACCGACGTTCTTCGTCCAGATGTCCATGACCTTCTCGACGTCCTTACCGCTAGCATCGCTCAGAGCAGCCCACAAGTCACTCGTTTGAGTGTTTCCGTAAGCGTGCTTCTTAAGGTAGCGACGAATACCCTCCATGAAAGTCTCCTCGCCGAGGTACTTGGAAATCATACGCAGCACGCAAGAACCCTTGGAGTATGAGATGGCATCGAAGATTTGGTTGATCTCGTCGGCACGCTTGACCGGAACTTCAATCGGGTGGCTGGACCGCAGAGAATCGAGAGACAGAGCGCTCTGGAGGTTGTCGGTGACGTATCCCTGCCAGACCTTCCACTCGGGGTAGAACTCGTTGCAAGAGTACCACGACATCCAGGTGGCGAAACCCTCGTTGAGCCAGAGGCCATCCCAGAAGTCCATGGTGACCAGGTTACCGAACCACTGGTGGGCCAGCTCGTGCTGGACGACCTCAGCAACTCTCTGCTTAGTCGAGGCGCCGCTAGTCTTCTCGTCGAACAGAAGGTCAACTACGCGGTAGGTGACAAGACCCCAGTTTTCCATAGCGCCGGCACTGAAGTCAGGAATGGCGACCATGTCCATCTTCGGCAGAGGGAAAGGACTGTTGAACTTTTTCTCGTAGAAGTCCAGAGTCTTGGCGGCAAGGTCAAGGGAGAACTTTCCGTGGTTGATGTCCCTGTCGGGGGTGGCATACACTCTGACGGGCACACGGAAGTCGTTCGACTCGATAACCTTGAGCTCACCCACGATGAAAGCCAACAGGTAGGTGGACATCAACGGGGTTTCGTTAAAAGTAACAGCCTTCTTCTTGCCACCGCTCATCTTAGAGTCTACCTCCTTCGTCGAGGCCTCATCCATGTTGCTCAAGCACGTCAAGTTCTTGTCTGCGACCAGGGTAATGGTGAACTTGGACTTCAGGGCCGGCTCGTCGAAGCAGGGGAACGCCCTCCTAGCATCCGTGGGTTCCATCTGAGTCGTTGCGAGGTACTTGGTCTTGCCGTTTGCGTCATTGTATGACGAGCGGTAGAAACCAGCCATGTTGTTGTTCAGGGTACCGGTGAAGGTCTGCGTCAACTTGGCCTTGCTGCCAGCCGGGATCGTCTCCTTGAAGGAGACCTTGGTCGTCTGAGTGTCTTCATCGTAGGACAGGTCGGGCTTCGAGGTGATGTCGCTGTTTCCGGACGAAACGGTGGTTGAGTGGATGTTGAGGTCGAGCGTGTTCAGGGAAATAGACGTAGTGTCCTCAACAACGTCGAGTCTGCAAGCTTGTCAGCAACAAGCCCGGATTGCGGCAGGCACAGGACTCACTCGATGACGACCTTACCCTCATACTCGAACGTCTCCAAGTTAGGCTCAAGCGTCAGGTCGTAGTGCAGCGGCTTAACATTCTTGGGCAGGACCTCGCGGCCCTTGGTGATGTCCAGGTTGGAGCCGGCTACGTCGTCGTGTCTGCACATTCTGCGGCGATGGGAGCAGTAGCGGACGTGGCGGTGTAGTTTGGAGGGAGTCCGGAGGGTGGTTCTGATGGAGGGGTTGGTGGGGCGTGGCAGAAAGGTGTTGTAGCTCAAGCTTCGGGCGGCGGCGTATGATGCGGGCTTGGTCAGGCGCGCGCCGAAGGCAGGAAAGCGCGTCAACGGCAGGGGCAGCGATCTGAACCCGCAGCGCGTGGCCGTTCCAGACTTGATGAGGCGCATTTATCCTAGAGTACCCCGCCTGGCCACGGTACAGATCGATGCGTGAGATTTTTGGAGGCGGACTGACCGAACAGTAACGCGGCAGCTCGTCCCTTGCAGGCCTTAGCCGATCGGTGCTAGGTAGTGCACGGCCGCCCGCAAGTAGTGTACATCTCTCGCCGCAAAACTCTGCTTCTCTTCTTCTTCTTCTTTTCTCTATACGCAAGCAGTCCGCCGGGCAGCACCTGCCATTGCGGCCATAGGGTGCCCGGCCGGACGACGCCATTCGGCGTCAACCTCTTGCCAGAGAGAAGCATACCGTGCGTTTGAGGAGTCCACGACTATCACCTGAGTGGATATCCATAGGTTAAGCGGTACACGCATACCATGCTGTGAAGGTCGGATGACATGAACGGAGGCCGACAGGAATGTCCGGTGGTGAGTGCATGCGTCCCTTCAGAGACACTCGGATTCATAGATGCACGTGAATGGATTCACCAGTCTCGATGGCCGCATCATTTGCTCAATCTTTGCGCAGGAGAACTCAGGTAGAGAAGCCTCGCCATGTTGGCGACGAGTAAAATGTAAGCAATTTTTTGCTTGTCTAGCTGGTATCACAATATTTGTACATGAAGTTCATTAACCCAGTGTTTGCGCCAAACTCCCTTTTCCTTTCAGTTCTGCCCTAGGTCAAGGCAATCCGAATCCAGGATGCCAGCGCTCGAAGAAATCCATTGTTGGACCAAAATGCTCTCCTGCCGTAGGAGGCAAGCAAGTTCCCCATAATAAGCATGCACCGCAAACGCGGCAGGGAACTTGTACGAATTGAAGATATAGGGAACACCACTTAAATGACAAGAGCGACACCGCCAGCAATCACAAGACCGAATGCTGAGCCGGCGACTTGGTTTACGGCAGCTGCGCCGCTTGAGCTTGCTGCTGCGGCAGAACCGGTGCTAGTAGCAGCGGTGATGGGCGGCGAGATCTTGGTGGAAGTCGGGCCAGAGTGGTGGATCTTGCCGGTGCCGTGGGCAGTGCCGTTCTTGGGGTTCGCAATCACCGTGCCGTTCTTGCCCATCTGGAGCGGTATCGTGCCATTCCAGCTAGAGGAACTGTTAGTTGCTGTACGTCCAGGGTGTTGAGCGGTTCAGAAGCTTACTTGGCGGCAGCACTGGAGACGAAAAGCGCGACGGCGAGGGAGACAACGTTGAACTTCATGGTGACTGGTTGGTTCGAAACGGAATAGGGGGCGGTTCCGGAAAGTGCTTGGAGTTTGTCTGATTGTCTGGGTGGCTCAGCAGGGTGACAGTGTTGTGGATTGTTTGCATTATGCCAAGTGATGGCTGAGCACCGTTAAATAGACACCGTGAGCTCTCCCTAGGTCATCTCCCCGCTCTCGAATGCTTGGTCTGGGAGCACCGGCGCAGGGCTAGTGACCTCTGGGGTCTCGACCATTCGACGCCTTGATGAGCAGCCTGTGGCACTCAGCATGAGGCTTGACAGTGCAGGGGGGCCGGGCCGGTTGGTCTGAGGGAGATTACGACTGTGAGTAAACGGCTATCCCTTGATCAGTGCATGCGAAACATTCAATAGCAATGGACTCTCAGCATTTGGCCATACGAAGTCAAAAGCCCCCTGGACGAGTCGTATGCATAAAAATAGGTCTCCCCAGGAGAGATCCGACGATCCCTATATCGAAGAGGCATAGGAAGGCGGATCTCTACGCACCGAATGATCATTGCTAGGCTTCGGGTAGAGATCTATGGATCTAGGGAAGCATCAGGCAACCTGTTAATCTCTCTACCACGCGTCCCGAACTACGGCAGCCAGCATCCTAACAGGTGAGAATCCCCAATATCTTCGGTGTGCCATAAGCGGTCCACGCCGAGATGCTAGGTTTCACATTAAGAACTAGCAGTCAGGCCGGTGTCGAGAACGTGCTTAGGTTCCGGCCCGCGGGGGCGAAGGAAGCCGGCGGGAGGGCTGCGTAGGCTGGCTTGCGCATGGGCATGGGGGTGGGCACACACGTGAGGCGCTCCTGAATCCGCAGCAGCAACACGAGCTGATTACGAGAGACATGTGGCGCCAATTCGATGCGCACTCAGACACGAAGAGGAAAAGCCAGGACGCGTGGTAAAACGCGGCATGTGCGGCAGAACATTGCGCTCCCTCTCATGGTGAAGAAGAGAGGAACCGCACCCAAGTTCCATCGCTGGAGTCCGTTCTCCACTCAACTGACGGTTTTCGTTTTTCATGGGCGCCTCACACCGTCCATAGACAGCGGGCACCTCAGCCGAAAATGCTTTTATTGTGAGTGTTGGTTTTAAGCGTTTGTTAGAGAAGAAAAAAGGAGCGCGGGCGGTGCGCGGAAGAGTTTTGTTCACTTCTGGACCTGGCGGGCCGATGATTGGCCGACGCGGGCCGTCTATGGTTCCGGATGTCGTGCCGCGTCCCACCTGCCCTCGTCACAGGCGGGGCAGCGCGCGGGCACATGCAACCCGACTTCGGCCCCAAAACCTCCTCCGCCTGAAAACTTCATATCGCACGGAGCCGCCCGGTGCACTGCTCGTTTCTCTGTACACATCCACTCACAATGGCGGAGAACCAGAAGATCGGTACGCCTTCCCCAGCTTCCCCGCCGAGTCCCATGCTAAGTCCCTTGTCACAGCTATCTTGAGCGTTTTTAACAAGACTGTGCGCACCACCCCGCCATCCACCCCCGCCAATTGCTGAATTGACACTCGTCATACAGGGCCTGCTCGATTTGGCAAAGGGCCTGGTCAAGAACAATGTCAGGTAAGGATCTTGCTTTCTGCCGCCTCCAAACAAAGGCGCTCGTTCGTGAAGGAGCTGTCCTGGAGCTCCAATGTGTTTTTGTTTGCTTTCTGTGTCATGACAACTGCGAGATTCAATGGCTTTGTACAAAGTTTGAACACCGCGCAGAAATCATATGCCATTTCATGCATCGGCGGAGAGTGAAACATTATTCACGTCTGCTGTCATCATGTTGTACGACACTTTTCGGATCTACTGTAAATGCTCCATTTGCGGACGCTGAAAGTAAATTCGCGGGTTGTCGTCAGTTATTTCTACTCTTTTCGGCTATTGGCTGCTGCCGCGCAACCTACTCGTTAGCTCTTTACTGGTTCACTAGTTATTTGTCATTGCTACCACTGCCGACATTTTGCTGACAGGAATCCAGGGTTCTGGCTTCTGGCGGTACCGCCAAGATGATCAGGGAGGCCGGTTTCCCGGTTGAGGACATTTCCGCCATTACCAAGGCCCCTGAGATGCTTGGTGGCCGTGTCAAGACTCTCCACCCTGCTGTCCATGGGGGATTGCTCGCCCGGGAGGTCCCGTCCGACCAGCAGGACTTGGCCGACCAGAACATCAAGAAGATTGACTTCTGTATCTGCAACCTGTACCCTTTCCAGGAGACCGTCTCTAAGATCAACGTGACGATTCCCGAGGCCGTCGAGGACATTGACATTGGCGGTGTCACCCTTCTCCGTGCTGCGGCGAAGAACCACAGCCGTGTCACCATTCTCAGCGACCCCGAGGACTACCATGACTTCCTCACTGAGCTTGAGCAGAAGGGCGAGATTTCCGAGCAGAAGCGCCAGCTCTATGCTCTGAAGGCTTTCTCTCACACTGCCGACTACGACACCGCCATCTCGGACTTCTTCCGTAAGCAGTATGCCGGTGACGGTCTCCAGCAGGCCTCCCTCCGCTATGGCACCAACCCCCACCAGAAGCCTGCCGCGGCATTCAACCGCTACGGTCCTCTGCCCTTCAAGGTTCTTGGTGGCGCTCCCGGTTACGTCAACCTTCTGGATGCTCTCAACGCGTGGCCCCTCGTGAAGGAGCTCAAGACTGCCTGTGATCTGCCTGCTGCTGCTTCCTTCAAGCACGTCTCCCCCGCCGGTGCCGCGATCGGTGTACCCCTCTCCGAGGCCGAGCGTAAGGTCTACATGGTCGATGACATTGAGGGCATCGAGAAGTCTGGCCTTGCCCAGGCTTACGCCAGGGCCCGTGGTGCGGACCGCATGTCCAGCTTCGGTGACATGATTGCTGTTTCTGACGTTGTCGACCTCCCCACCGCCAAGATCATCTCTCGTGAGGTGTCTGACGGTATCATTGCCCCCGGCTATGACCAGGATGCGCTTGAGATTCTCAAGAAGAAGAAGGGCGGCAAGTACCTTGTCTTGCAGATGGACCCCGAGTTCGAGCCTCCCGCGATGGAGACGCGCACTGTCTACGGCGTCAACCTGACGCAGCACCGCAACGATGCCAAGATCACGCCCGCCACCTTCGGCACCATCATCACCCCCAAGGACACCACCCTCCCTGAGTCGGCGCTTCGTGACCTCACCGTCGCGACCATCGCCCTCAAGTACACGCAGTCGAACTCGGTCTGCTACGCCCTGAACGGCCAGGTCATTGGTCTGGGTGCGGGCCAGCAGTCGCGCATCCACTGCACGCGTCTGGCGGGCGACAAGGCGGACAACTGGTGGATGCGCTTCCACGAGCGCACGCTCAACCTCAAGTTCAAGAAGGGCACCAAGCGCCCCGAGAAGAGCAACGCCATCGACCTGCTGTGCTCGGGCTCGGTGCCCAAGTCGGGTATTGAGCGTGACGACTTTGACCGCACCTTCGAGGAGGTGCCGCAGATCTTCACGGCCGAGGAGCGCGAGGCCTGGCTCAGCAAGCTGAGCGAGGTTGCCGTCAGCAGCGACGCTTTCGTAAGTTTGGGCTCGGTGATGACATTGACTTCAGCAGCTAACAAATGGATTGCAGTTCCCCTTCATCGACAACGTCTTCCGCGCCAGCCGCTCGGGCGTCAAGTACATTGCGGCGCCGTCGGGCTCGCAGAACGACCCATCCGTCTTCTCGACCGCCGAGAAGCTGGGCATCACGTTCGTCGAGCAGCACATCCGTCTCTTCCACCACTAAAGGCTGGGAGTGCGTGACGAAGCAGAGATGAGGGAAAAGCTCGCGTCTGGCGAGAGCGGGCTCGAGAGTCTTTGGGTTTATAGGGCGTTCTTTTTAACAATTATGGCTACCGTGTGATGAGTCCAACGTATATGATAGGAAAATATGACGATAGGAATAGACGACGACGGCAAATCAACTTTGCTATTACTTTGAGATTTTTTTGGTTTCTGGATATATTATTCTCGTCGTACTGAATTGTGGTGGATGTGGTTGGATGGATCCACAGATCCATGAATGGTCGTCAGCACAAACCCGAGGTTCTCCCATCAGCCCTCAAGTGCAGGTCTCGGCATGTGCCGTTTGCGGCGGACAAGCTCCCGTCCTCTACCTCACATCGCCGCATCGCCGCGTCGTCGTACTCGTCACAAAGCCTTCCGCGGACACGACCAACACCTCCATCTCCACCACCATTACTACCACCGCCGCCGCCGTCGTCGCACACCATTTCTAGCGCTCCCGTGTACGAACGTTTTGTCGCTGCCACCGTTACCACCACCGACCGTATTCCTAACACCGCGCGCGCTGTGTGCCGTGTGCCATTGCTGTTGTCGCTGTCGCTGGCTAGGGCTGGATAAGAGAAGGCGCTTTGGTTGCTACTAGGTGCTATTGCTAGCTGCTGTTGGGCTTGGTGTTGTTTTTAAGCTGGGAACAATTGTGTTGGAGATATGAACGCGCCTGATAGGTAGGTTTGTTGGTTGGGTGTTTGGGTGGTGAAGGGTGTGTTGGGGGAGGGTTTGGGTGGGAGGTGTGAGGTGGGTGAGATGGGATACGCACGGAAGGTGGAAGAGAGAAGAGGAGAGGAGAGAGAGGAGGGCAGGCAGGCTGTCGCAGTCGCAGTTGCAGGCGCGCGCACGTACGGCCGGCTTCGCTGCCTACCTACCTACCTACCCGCCCGGGCGCTCTTAACAGCGCTCTCGCGGAGTAGGTAGTGTGGGGTGAGGTAAGGCGGCGTGCGAGCTGTGTGTGCTACTGCTGCGGTTGCTGGATGCGCCTGCCTTCCGCCTGCCTTCCGCCTGCCTGCCTTCCGCCTGCTTCTTCTTACCTTTCTGCCCCTCTACCTCTCTCTCACACACTCTCTTTCTCTCCGGGACCACCGCCACTTCCTCCTCCACGACGCACCCCTCCGCGACTCACTCACTCACCCATCCTGACCCACCCCACCGCGACACGACATACACGCCGCCGCGAAGATGAAGTCGCACAATCCGGCTGACAACCAGTTCGACAGATTCGAGCTCTTCCTGCTCGGTGACGGCGAGAAGAAAGTCACCTGGAAGTTGGATACGCGTATGTTTGGGATGAGCTCACAACCCACACCCCACACGCACCCCGCTAATGCACGCACCCACCCCGCAGGCGTCCCCAACACAGCCATCTTCACCTTCAACAAAGAAGACCACACAATCGGCAACCTGCTCAGCAAGCGACTGCACAAATACCCGACGGTCAAGTTCGCTGGCTACCAAATCCCGCACCCGCTGTTCGCGACGTTCGACCTGCGCGTCAGCACCGACGGCTCCGTGTCCCCGAAGGAGGCCATTGTCCAGGCCTGCCGCGACGTCGTGCAGGACCTTGAGGTCTTTAGCCGCGAGTTCACCAAGGAGATGGAGCTGAAGAAGATTGCCAAGGCCGGGGGCGAGGCTTGAGCATGGGTGCTTGAGGATGATTGCTTGCTTGAGAGTGGGCATCAGGGATTGGAGGAGCGAAGTCGTCTTTGAGGGCGTTTTGGGGCATGTATGACTCTGGTTATGTTGGCGTTTGGGGCCGCTTTTGCGGTCGGGCTGAAAAGTAAAGACATTGCGGGCGTGGCGTGCTGCTTGGTGCGCAGCGCTGGGGCGAGGGAGGTTGGTTCCGGAGGGCGTAGGATCGCTGCGCAGCTCATGGCCCTAGCCGGACGCAGCATCGGTCTGCAGTTCCTGGCATGGTTGGATCGGTTTCTCGGCTCTCGACTGTGTCTATCAACCAACAACAGACAGACAGGCTGATCGGACTCGCCCCCCATCTATCTCCCTGGGAAACAACAACACGTCCACCACGCCGCCAACAAAGCGCCAGCAGTCGCCCGAATATCTCCCCCAGCTCGGATGATCACTCACTCACTCACTCACCACCACCACCACCACCAACGTACCACGCATTTCCGAAATGAGAAAAGACTGCTATTGCATGCATGCTACCTATTGATTCGATCGACCGAGTACCAAGTATCTGATTACAAGCGAGAGTGATATTACAACCGCATCCAACCCAGCCCATCCCACCCCATCCCATCTGATCCAATCCAACTCATCCTATCCATGAAAAACCAGCCCCAATCTCAATCCCAATCCATCCCAGCCCCAACCCCAACCCCACACACATGACCCAGACGCACATATCCGCGCACGCAATTAATCCCTCCACGCCTTGCCTCTGTTGTCCATCCATGCCTGCCTGCCTGCTTGCCCCCTCTCTCTCTTACCTCTCCCGTTCTCTTGTCGTGCTCGTTCTTCTTCTGCCACCCACACCCACACACACACAAACCGCAACCACAAACCACAAAGCCCCAAGCAGCAATACAGTACAGTACAATACAGTACGCGCCCAACGAATGCATGCAAAAAGTGTCGAAGAAGAAAAAGCAAGGAAAGTGATGAAGGCGTAAGTAAGAGCAAACTGGAGAAAGAGAAAGGAAGGACGGAGAAATGAAAAAGAAAAAGGCATATGCGAAACGAAACGAAACGAACTGAAACGAACCGAACCGCAGAAAAGCTGACGAACAAATGAGATAGACGTGCCAAATGAGTGACTTGAAGAAGAAGCTCACCACAACCCCTACGCAACCACAACCCACCAGCACCACAAACAGCAGCATCGGCATCGGCATCGGCCATATCTACACCCCACTCCTCTCACCAACCCTACCCGCCCAAATCATTCATCTAGAACGCCAAAAACACCGCCCCCAGCCCCAAGCTCAAGACGACGCTGCCAAGCGCCCCCCGCGCAGAAAGCAGCCGCAAGCCATCCGCCGCGGCACCAGTAAACGTCTCGACGCCCTCTGCTGCGCCGCTGTTGTCGGCCGGAGGTGCGCCGCTGCCGTTGTCGTTGTCGCTATCGTTGCCGGTGCCGGCGGGAGGAGTGTCCGCTTCTTCGTCAGCAGACTCGGACGAGGGGAAGTACGGGCTGTATGCGTTGTCGGGAGGGGTGGGAGGGCCACCAGCGCCGGCAGGAGGGCCCCCAGCACCGGCGGGAGCACCCTCCTCGGCGCCGGCTGTCGCGGGCGTGTAGCTCGCGCCTGTGGGCGGGACGTCGGGGTTGCTTTCTGCGGCGGGAGCGCCACCGGGAACGCCAGCGGGAGGTCCCGAGGGAGGGCCGGATGGGGGGCTGGGAGGTGGACCGCCGGCGCTGGGAGGGCCACCGGCGCCAGGAGCACCGCCTGCACTAGGAGGTCCGCCAGCACTAGGAGGGCCACCAGCAGGAGCGCCCTCAGAGGGAGCACCGGGAGCGCCGGCAGGAGGAGCACCAGAGGGATGACCACCAGCACCAGGACCACCAGCACCCGCAGGACCACCCGCCTTCACCGGCGGCGCGCTCGCCCCGCCCTCACAAACATTGAGCGTCTGGCCGGGCTCCAGATTTGCGCACTCGGCATCAATAGCCGGGTTCATGGCGCGCAGCTGCGCGAACGAGAGCCCGTACTCCTGCCCAATGGTGTAGCAGTTGTCGCCGGGTGCGACCGTGTACGGCATGAATACGGGGCAGGAGGCAGTGCCAGCAGCACCGGGATGGGGGCCTTGGCCCTCGGGGCGACCGGCCGGTCTGCCGTGCTCGCCTTGTGGGCCGCTGGTGGGAGGGGCGCCTTCGCCTTGGGGAGCGCCTGGAGCACCACCGTGAGGAGCACCGCCCTGGGGAGGCCCACCCTGAGGAACACCACCCTGAGGAGCACCACCTTGAGGAGCACCGCCCTGGGGAGGACCACCGTGAGGAGGCCCACCGTGAGGAGGCCCACCGTGAGGAGCACCGCCTTGAGGAGGACCACCTTGGGGAGCACCGTCTTGAGGAGGACCACCTTGTGGAGCACCACCGTGAGGAGCACCAGGAGCGCCCTCGCCCTCGGGACGGCCAAAGCTAGGCGGTTGCTGACCACCGGGACGACCGGGGGCGCCGAATTCAGGAGCGCCGAATTCAGGAGCGCCGAATTCGGGAGCACCGCCAGTGGGCGGAGCACCGCCAGTAGGAGGAGAGCCACCAGCAGGAGGAGCGCCCTGGCCCTGGCCCTCAGGACGACCAAAGCCAGGAGCACCCGGAGCACCAGCACCAACACCCTCACCCTCGCCGCGAGGAGGACCGCCAAAGCCAGATGGCGGACCGCCGTGGCCACTTGGACGGCCCTGTTCGCCAGAGGGAGCAGAGCCCTCGGGACCGGAGCCGCCGAAGGGAGGTCTGCCGAAAGGAGGTCTGCCGAAGCCTTGGTGGCCGGTGGGAGACTGTCCTTCGGGACCTTCGGGACCTTCAGGACGGCCGGAGCCCTCAGGACGACCCGACCCTTCAGGACCGCCAGGACCGCCAGGACCACCAAACCCGCCTGGACCACTGGGATGACCGGAGCCTGCAGGACCTTCAGGACGACCCGGGCCGCCAAAGCCACCAGGACCACCAGGACGACCAGGACGACCAGAGCCTTCAGGACCTTCAGCACCTTCAGGACGACCCGGGCCGCCAAACCCACCCGGACCACCAGGACGACCAGAGCCTTCAGGACCTTCTTCAGCCTCAGGACCAAAGCCGGGTCTAGTAGCTCCACAAGGCCCGTGAGGACCGCCACAGGGGGGTTGGCCTTCGGGACCTTCAGGGCCCTCGGGGCCTTCGGGCCCGTTGGGGCCGTGAGGACCGTTAGAGCATGGGTGGCCTGGGGGACAGGGGTGCCCAGTAGGACCGTTAGGGCCTTCAGGTCCTTCGGGACCTTCGGGGCCGTTGGGGCCATTGGAGCAGGGGTGGCCAGGAGGACAACCGCCAGGACCTTCAGGGCCTTCAGGGCCTTCGGGACCGCTAGGACCTTGAGAACAAGGATGCCCGGGGGGGCAGCCGTGAGGACCAGCAGGACCTTCAGGGCCTTCTGGACCGTTAGGACAAGGGTGACCTGGAGGGCAGCCGCCAGGACCTTCTGGACCTTCTTCGGGACCTTCAGGACCAGCAGGACCGTTAGGACAAGGGTGACCTGGAGGACAACCGCCAGGACCTTGGGGACCTTCGGGACCTTCAGGACCAGCAGGACCGTTAGGACAAGGGTGACCTGGAGGACAACCGCCAGGACCTTGAGGACCTTCGGGGCCTTCGGGACCAGCAGGACCACCGAAAGGCGGCCTGCCAAACGGCGGGCCACCTGCACCCGTCTCGACAGGAAAGCCGGGCCTCGGCCTGCCCCCCGGCCCCCGCCGACACCCGCCATCGCCACAAGGCCTCGTAACCGTCGCAACAAGCGGCTCCTCGCCGCAGTGCCGGCACGTCTCCACCGCCTCCTCAAAGCCCTGCGGAATATAGCCCGGGTGGCGCTCAGGCGCGGCGCCACGGCACTCCTCGCGCACCTCGTAGTCCCGCGGCTCCAGCCCCGCCGGCCCCATCGCGTCGTACCGCGTCGTGTACGTGTTCTGCCAGCGGGGAGCGCGGGCGCAGTCGCCGTGGCAGGGCGCGGGGAGGGTGAGGGGGACGGGCTCGTCGCCTTCGCACGCGTCGCAGAGCGCGGAGGTCACGAAGAAGCCCTCGGGGACGAAGTTGGGGTGGCGCGGGGATTCGAGGTCGTTGTCGAGGTTGTCGGCGCAGATGGTGTACACGACTGGGACGAGGCCGTCGCGCCCCAGCGTGAAGAAGACGGTTGTCGTGGTCGTGACGGTGACTTGGTTGGCTGCATTGTCGGCGTTGTCGCCGTTAACGAGGTCCTCGTTGGTGCTGCCGTCGGGATTGGACGACATGACAAGGAGGTTCGTGTAGGTCGAGGTGACGGCGCCCGTCGTGGCAGTCGTTACGAGGGCCGTGACGGGGCGGCCGAGAGCGTCAGTGGTGACGACGGTCCTGACGACGTCGCTGGTGTACGACGACGTCGTCGTGCCCGTCGTCAACGAGGACCGGATAAGTGCGGCCCCGGCGGTGGGCGTCGCCGTCGGCGTGTACGTCGACATCGAGGTGTTGAGGACGATGGCCGTCGGGAGCGTCACGACCTGGGTGGCCAGGCCGGTGGTCGTGGGCGGCGTGGTCGTGGCCGCGGGCTGCTGTTGCGGCGCTGCGTGGACAGCACCCGCCAGCGCGGGCACGAGTAGTTTTTTCCAGCTCATGGATGCGATGCGATGCGATGGGACGAAAAGTATTAAAACTGTGGATTAGGTGTTTGAATGCGAAGTAAAAACGAAAGTGATTATCAGACCGAAAGCCTGAGGTTGGGATTAAACGAAAGTGTGTGAGGATTGCCGGTTGTCGTCGAAGGAAATCTATCGTCGGAAGCCTGGAGACTGCATCTGAGTGCGATGAGGCTCCCCATTTGTATACGGCGCGGCCGGCCACGGAATCCCACATGTGTTTTGCATTCCGTGAGCCTGGTGGGCAAACATCAACATGCTCTGTAGCGGAGTGGGTATGAGGAAATTAGCAATGAGGTCCGGCTCCATGACAGGCACGTGGTGGGCCGTCAACACATCAACAGCATGGGGCTGCCAGAGGAAAGATATGTGCCAATCATGAATGGGTGGAGACAACGCTGTGATTCGAATGGATGTGTGAATCGAGAGAAGTTCTACGAAAACGATTCTTTTTTTCTTGAAAAGCAGAATTGAAATGAACGCTGAGACACAACGAAAAGAAAAAGATGACATAGCAGATCTATAACCGTTACTTGCCTGCAGCTCACAGGCTTCTAGGCCGAGCGCTCGACTGGCAAGAGACCATGGCTGTTTACAATGGCAATGTTTGTACGCAGAGTCTCCACAACAACGAGCTTCAGCAAACATTGGACATATTGGCAATCTCTGGAAATAAGAGGAATGCCAGTTGCTCAAAGATGATGGAGGCGGCCGAAGAATCTAGAATCAGCATTGGGGAGCAGATACGAGCAGCGGCGACCAGATGCCTTTCAAAACTTCGGTGCGATAGCCGTATCCAACAGACGGCTGTGCGATGGAGGAATGCGTCTGGCGGAGATGTTGAATGGATAGGTACATATCCATGACGTGGGACGTGGGGAGAGATGGACGGACAGAGCTTGGACGACAGAGCTTGGGCCGTCTTGACCCTCTCCCAAGCCTTCCTGGCGCGCCTTGTTTGCACCTCGACCACACATCCAAGCCTCCGCACCATCAATTCTTCCATCACAAATTCTGCCATTCTTGGAGCCCACGCCGGCATTCCTGCACATGGATTTCCCACCTACCGTCCACGTTTCTCGCTCTAAATTTGCCGTCCGCCACGCAAGGGGCCGAGTATGCCTGCCATTGGCCGGCGAACCACCGCGCCCATTTTCTGGCAGATATGCGTTTGGTCTCCGTCATTGACAGTATTCGCTTTGGTCGATGCCATCGCGTGGCCCCATTCCTCGACGGGCTAGTAGGTTTTTTTATTTTTTATTTTTATTTTTATTTTTATTTTTATTTTTTTTTCTTTTTTGGAAAAGCTTTGGGTTCAACGGCACTCCTTCACCGTTCCTCCTGACAGCAATGCCTTCTAAGCAATCTGAGGCACTTTGCGTCCACCCCTGGCTACACAAGACCTCTCGCCACGTTCCACTGACACAGCAGCCCACCTTCCAGAACCATTGCATGTTTGGCCGTGTTTGGGCCATTCTCGCCGTCCTCTGCAACCTCACTACATAACTTCCGGCAAAAGCATACCCACGAAGGCGTCTGTCGTTTTTATTCTTTCGACCGATTTACGCAGGGTTTCGGGGGAGGAGTGTGAGGAGCTAACGTAACTGGAGGACGGGGACGAGGTTGTGCTGGACGCGTGCTGGGCTTTGGGGAGTGCCGGGGTGGGATTTGCCTGCGCTGTGGCCGCGTGGATGAATCCTCTACCTAGGTAGGTACCTATCTATCTATATAGAGATGCTGTTCTGTGTGTCTTCTGTCTTACAGCACTATAGCTGCTTCTCCCTACACTCACGCGCTTCTACCGCCCATGCCATGCCATAGCATATACAACAGGGCGGGTAGGCCTCGCTCAAGCTTACTACATACGAACACATATATACACATAAACACAAACAAGCCCCAACACCAAGACGCGAGAAAGAACAAGTATCTCACTTGGCTTCGAGGGGACTGGGTATATATATATAGCTTGATTTAATATGTACAAAGCATTACTCGTAAGGGCAGTACCAAAGACTTACGGTAGGTACGTGACCAACAAGTGGCCCAAGCCCAGAGCCAACGCAACGCCAACGCTGCGCAGCTTATCTACACGATCGCACCGCACCGCACCATCCCACCACCACTGCATAAAAAAGACAAAGACAAAGACAAAGATAGCGATACCTAAGTAGCAGGCAGGCAGGTAGGTGCCTAGTTGATACCTATCTACCTAGGTGGTATATACCTACCTACCGTGGTAAGCCACACAAAACACATGTACACACGCACACACACACACACACACACACACACACACACACACACACACACACACACACACACACACCCCTTCTCTCTCTCTCACACACACACACAAGCACTCAACATAACCTAACCTAAGGTATGAAGCATTTTCATCCATCCATCTAACTACCTACTCATTTACTCATTCCCTCAACTAACTTAGAGCAAAGCAAAGCAAAGAACAGAACAGAAAAGTGGTATCTCGTATCCGTATCTCCAGCTCGGCACGGCGCGGCACGGCGCACACGCCACGCCACGTCCGGCTTATCATATCAGCCGCAGTCAGCCGCGTAGACTTCCATCCTGGTCTAGACTCCCATCCAGGTCTGGACTCCAGATAAGCCAGACCAGCATCGTCGTCAGCTGCAAGCAGCAAGTATGTGGCAGCAGCGACAATGGTTGCGCAAAAAACCGTGGCTGCAGCAGGCCGTGGCTTATACGTAGCTAGCTAGAGCGTAGCAAACGACAGCGACGACAGCAGCACCCGCTACCATAGCAGCCAGCCAGCCAGCAAACAGCCAGCAGACAGCAGGCAGTAAGCAGTAAGCAGCAAAAAAAAAGATCATCAACAACATCGGCAACATGAACAACAACAAGAAGAAGAAAAAGCCTCCACCTCGGCAGCAACCCGTGCGCGCGTACGCAAGCAACTAGCACAAAAACTTCCACGCGCGCTTCCAAGCCGGCCACGTCGCCTGCTCCGCCCTCTCCTCGGCAATCAGCTCAGCGAGATTCATCTCGCGGATACCGGTATGCAGATCCATATCCTTGGCGCGCACAAACGGCGTCTTGTACCAGAACTTGTAGGGGAAGTAGAAGAGCAAGACAATGGGGAAGGCAATGTACGCGGCGAAGAAGCTCTCGACCATCTCGCCCGCGCTCATCTCCGAGTAGCCGATGGGCGCAAAGCCCGTCCAGAACTGCGCGATGAGCACCAGGATGTTGAAGATCAGCCCGCACCACGACCCGATGGTCCCTGGCTGCGAGCGGAACGCTAGCTCGTCGAGTGTGTGGCCCTGCGCTGCCCAGCCGCGTCGGAACCGGATGTGGGCCAGGCAGATGCTGCCCCACGTGAAGATGGACGACAGGCCCGAGATGGCCAGCATCCAGCTCAGCACGTCGCCCTCGGCGGGAGACGATGCCAGGTACGCCAGGAAGCCCAGCGCCGACGAGAAGATGATGCCGACCATCGGACGGCCCTTGCGGTCAATGTAGCCGAAGATGCGCGGCGCCTGGCCCTGGCTCGCCAGACCGGCCAGCGTGCGCGACGACGCGTAGATGGACGAGTTGCCGACCGAGAGCACGGAAATCATGATGACGACGTTGATGACCGACGGCAGGCCGCTGATGCCCGCGTTCTGGATCGCGATGACAAAGGGCGAGGCGGTTGCGTCGGCCGACGAACTGCCGCTCAGCAAACGGTGGTCGTTGTACGGCACCAGCAGGCCGACGAGCGTCAGCGAGACAATGTAAAAGAGCGTGATGCGCCAGAAGACCTGCTTGACGGCCGTGGGCAGCGCCTTGCGCGGGTTGGCCGTCTCGGCCGCGGCCAGACCGACCAGCTCGGTGCCAGCAAACGAGAAGGCGGCTGTGACGAAGACGCTGCACAGGCCTTTGAAGCCGTGGTTGAAGGCGCCTGGGTTGTGCCAGTACCGGCCGCCGATGTAGCCGCCGTGGGGTCCGCCGCCGACGTTGAGGATGATGCCGAGGATGATGAAGCCGATGACGGCTATGACCTTGATGATGGAGAAGACGAACTCGGCCTCGCCGTAGCCCTTGACGCCAAACATGTTGATCGAGATGATGAGGACGAGGAAGATGGTCACCCACGCGCTGTTGTCGATCTCGCCGTGGTTCCAGAAGTTGACAGTGATGGACGCGGCGACGATTTCCAGCGGCAGCACGACCAGCCACTGCATGGCGTAGTTCCAGCCCATGGCGAAGCCCCACGCGGGGTCAATGAAGCGCGTCGAGTAGGCTGAGAAGGAGCCGGCAACGGGAAACAGCACGGCCATCTCGCCCAGGGCGTGGACGGTGCAGTAAAGCATGACGCCGATCAGACCGAAAGCAATGAGCAACGACGCGGGGCCGCCGGCGGCCAGAGCCTTGCCGGAACCGACGAAGAGACCAGTACCTGGAGTAGAGGTCAGTAAAACATCGTGACATATGACGAAGAGACCACTCACCAATAGATCCACCAATGGCAATCATCTGCAAGTGACGACCTTTGAGCTTGCGGGCGAGCGGCGACTCGGCCGTGGCGGCGGCGGCCGTCTCAATGTCAAAGCCCTTGCCACCATTGCCATGCGAGGCAGTGGTGCCGGCGTTGGGGTCGCGGCGAAAGCTGTCAACGAAGCGCGTAGTCCATTTGTCTTTGTGGGCAGCCGACTCGCCGACTGCGGGCGGGACGGGCGACTCAGACGAGTAGGTGTCGTGGACGCCCTTTTCAGTCTCCATTGTGTGAGATGGGAGAGAGGGAGAGAAAGAGGGAACGAGTGGTAGTTGGTGGATGCTGACGTGGGTGATGAAAGCGACGGCCGGGGCGGGCAGGGCGTTTATTAAAGAAAGAAAGAAAGAAAGGCGGCGGGCGGCCGCATTCAGCAACGGCAGGCTGATAAGTGGTTACCTACTGCTACTGTCGCTGTACGGGCGCACACGCTTATCCTGTCTGTTCGCGGCGAGGGCGCGCGAGATAAGCAGCATCCCGGCCTCTACTAGCGAATGTGGGGGGTTAGCGGCACACCCGTCCGGCTCGCCACTGACAAGCTGATAACAATCGGCTGAGCCCGAGTCCGAGTTCTTTCGAGTCCCTCGAGTTCTCCCGCTACCGGTTATCTCTCTGCCTGCCTGTTCGCCTGCCTCCGCCCGCGGGCCAAGCCGCGCCACCGTACCACGGCAGTCAGCCATGATCCTTCTCACCACCTTCCGTCCGTGAGCCGAGGGTGTCGCGGCATCGACGTCGCATCCAGTGGCGTTCCAGCGCGACCGTTCCATTGCGTGCTTTGGATCCCGTGCAGGGAAGACCCTTCCCCCGGCGTCGCGTCGACGACAAGAGGGGCACAGAGCCGCATCGTGTGTGTTGCACGCCCATCTCTCTGCGCAGATGGGTTTCTTCGCGCGTGTGCCGGGACAGCGTGGAGCGCTAGCAGGCGACTGGGTGGGCGTGCTGGACCTGGTGCCGCAACCGGGCGGATGGGCTCGAAGCGCGCGTGCGTGCGAAGCGAAGCGAACGTACCTAGGGAGAGGCACCGCGCTCACGTCACTAGCCACCGCTTGTGCGACCACGCCGTGTGTCGCGTGTGTGTCGTGTGAGGGCTCTTTGTGCGCTCGTGATGCATGGAATGAAGCTGATGATGTTGCCTACGAGTACCTACGTCCATCCACTCGTACGCAGGAACAGGCCCGTCCATCCAACCAGCCGCACCGCAATAAACAAGCAAATAAGCAACGCGCAAATTTTTCTTCTCGGCGCACCTAGAGGACTCTAGAGTGACTCGCCACCGTGTCGCGGCATTCGTTTTTCTCGCCTCCATGCACAACAACCTCCATCATGATCCCTACATCCCCACATCATGCACCCCGCACAACCTAATCCACGCCGTCTGGTTTCCCCGCAAAAAAGAAGACGAGATCAAAGTTGACAGGCGCGCTAACTAGCTCACACGAGAGAAAACCACGGCGCTTGCCCCGCCTGCGCGTTTCTGTGACCTAAGATCGGCGCTGGGGTCGCGCCGCGTCGTGCCGACTGACGTGCCGGGGCTCGGTAGTTGGAGCACTAACTACTAACTGCTCGGTCGAGAACTCCAGCTTCTAACCTTATTATGTTGTCCTTACTTGTAGATACTCGCTCGCGCTGGAGATTTTGGTGCTGGGTTCGTGGGGTACGGTTTTGGTGATGCACTTGCATCGAGGAGGAAGAAGGAGGTTCTGCTTGTGGTAGACGGGTACTTAAAAAGGTACGAGCAGAGACGAGCGTGTGCACTCGCGCATGATGCGCATGCGTGCCTACTTACCTAGGTAGGTAAGCAAGTCGAGTACTACAACTACATCTACATTTACCTCCACCCCCACCTCCACCTCCATCTACATCTACACCTACAACGACCACGCCCTCCTCTCTCCTCTTCCCTCCAATCTATCTCCCTCACCCCAATCACAACCCCACAAATAAACACAAACACAAACACCGCCCTTAGCGCCACGAGCACCACCACCACCACCGCCACGACCGGCGACCCCGACCCCGGCCCTAGCCATCCTCGACCGAGAGCATCAGAGTTAGTCTCCGCTAGGAGTATGGTTACTCGTACGAGAACGGGTAGGCCGCCCGTCCGACGTGAGTCAGCGTCAGCCACGCGACGCCACTGCCATGGCGGGTGTGGGGCGTTGCCTGGGTGATGGGTGATGGCTTGGTGCCGAGGTTGGGTGAGGGAGTTGTCGGCGGGGTGTGTGTGTATGGGCCGAGGCTTTTGTGGTGTCGTGGGGTTTGCGATGTGGGCTGTTTGTTTGTGGGAGTGGGAGTGGGAGTGCGTGTGGGAATGCGTGTGGGAATGTGCGTGGAGGTGATGTGAAGGGAGAAAGGACTTGGTTGGTTGGGTTGGAGTTAGTGGTGGTGAGGTTGTGGGTGGTGATGCGTAGAGCGGGGGTTTCTTTTTTCTCTTAGGAGTAATATTGTACTGCTGCTGCTGTTTGCTCTACCTGTGTGCAGTGAGGTAGGGTGGTGATGATTTTCTTTTTAATATTTGGATGTAGAGTGTGAAAGTACCTATTGTTGGTCAATTGACGCCTGCCCACCGCCAGCCCTGTCGGCAAAAAGCCGGAAGTGCTCCGCGTCACTCCAACTTCCCACCGCGACACGCTCCACCTCGCGCGCATCAGTCAACCGCGCGCGCGCACCACAGAGCCGCCGCAACATCACCAACACACCGCACACCCGCAACCATGGCATCGCCACCATCAGGCGTCGGGCTCCCGAAAAAACGGCCCTCGATCAGCGGCCCGCTGCCCACGAACCCCAGCAAGCGGCGCAAGCCATCAACGGGCCCATCGGGGCTGCGGCAGACGTCGTTCCCGCCCGAGTCGAGCGAGCAGCAGCGCGACTACTCGCGCTCGCCCAGCGTCGACAGCAGCTTCACCACCAACACGAACCAGGGCAAGCGGCGGCGCGGCGGCGGCGGCGGCAAGGGCCGCTTCGACGACGACGTGCGCAGCACCACGGGCACGAGCGTGCGCGGCGGCAAGGCGGGCACGGCGGCTGGTAGCGAGGCCCCGGGCGACAAGGGCGACGATGAGCCCGAGGAGGAGGAGGGCGGCGAGTCGCTTGACGCGGTTATGGAGGCCCAGGGCGAGGCCGACAAGACCCAGGATAAGGAACATATGGCGTGAGTGCTGCTGCTCCCCGGCTGGCCACTTTTGCGCTGGAATCGTGTGCTGCAATGCTAACAGTTGGGGTGTGTATAAAAGCATGTTGACGGGGCGGTTTTCTCGAGACCAGGGCGAGCGGTACGAGCGGTACCGCGCGGTGAAGCTGAAGAAGGAGACGGTGCGCAAGGTACGCGACTCCACTACGCCATCAACGTCCACGCTCTCTACTAACACCACGCCCACCCCCGCAGATCACGAACCAAACGCTCTCGCAATCGGTCCCGCAATCCGTCGTCACGACGATAAACTCGTACACGAAAGTCTTCATCGGCGCGCTGATCGAGCGCGCCCGCACCGTGCAGCAAGAATGGCAAGCCGTCGCCGAACACGCCCCAGTAGACGACCCACGACTACCAGCCAACCAAGCGCCGCCACCGCCGCCGCAGCAGCAACCGCAGCAGCAACAGCAGCCAACGACGCCGCACCCGCAGTACGGCCACCACAACCCCTACGCCCAGCCCTACCAGCACCCCTCGACGCTGCACCCGCCCTACGCGCAAACGCCCTACTCCAACATCCGCATCTCGTACGCGGCGGCGCCGCCGCCGCCGTCGGCGAGCCCGAGCCCCATCGCCGCGTCTACGCCTACCGGAAACAGCAATACCAACATCAACGGCGCCAGCAGCACATCGCAAGACACGACGACCTCGACGGTGCCCCTCTCCTCCCCATCCTCACAACCCCAATCCCAGTCCCAGTCCCAATCCCAACCCCCCACCACAAACACAAACACAACCACCACAAACGACCCCGCCACCCTCCCCCCCACAAGCACAGCCCTCCCACTCTCAACCTCGCTGCCCGACCGCCTCGCCGAGCGCGACCGCGGCCCCCTGACGCCAGACCACTTGCGCGAGGCGCTGCGGCGGTACAAGAAGGACCGCGAGGGCGGGGGCATGGGGTTTTTGGGGCTGAGTCTTGAGGGGCGGGAACGCACGGCTGGGCGGATGGGGGGGAGGCGGCTTTTTAGGTAGTGCGAGGGGGGAGGGGTTGGTGGTGCCTGAGGCACGGCATTTACCTAGGCAGCGTTGCCGTTGCTAGGTTGCTCGGCCGGCAGGGAAACGAATGGAATGCTTAGTTACCTAGTGGTTGGTTTGGTACCTAGTTCGTTAATGCAGCAAGCTAGCTAGCAAGCAAGCGAACAAGAGCTGCCTGCCTACATAGGTAGCTACATCGCTGCTTAGTTACCTAGCTAGCGGGTTCATACCTCTTGGTAGGTACAGTACCTTCCTATGAAACACGCTTGCGCTTACGCTTACGCTTACGCTTATCTGCGTACTTTGTGCGTGTGCATGTGTGTGTGAGTGTGAGAATGCTAGCTAGCTAACTAGCTAACTAGCCAACCAGGCTAGATTGTGTATTGTTGTATTGTGCAGCGCTTTTCTTTCTTCATCTTTGCTTCTTTGCTTCTTCTCGTCGCTCCTTCTCCGGTCGTTCATCATGTTCGTCTTTCGCCTGTTCTGTTCTGTTCTGTTCTGCTCGTCCATACCTCGTACCTCGTACCTCGTACCACCCTCGTTGCCTACCTCCAGCACGCCACGCCTTAAGCTTTCTTTTCCTTTTCTCTGCTCTGCTCGCCCTAACCACGAGCACCGTCACCGGCCAATCCATCTCTCCTACCCACCCACTACAAACTCGCACGCTTCTTAGGCATTCACTCACCCCGGCCCTCTACTCCCGCCCCCCCAACCCAACACCCACCCGAACAACCTCAACATCCAACGTCTCAGCATCAAGCAGAACAATCTCACCAGTGTCGACGAACCGCGGCAGCGCGACGAGGCGCACCGCCTGCGCTTCGGGTCCCTCGATGAGGCTGGTTTCGAAGTGCGGCTGGTTGCCTGCGAAGTAGACGTGTGGGCAGTCGAGGAGGAGGAGGGGGTCGCTGTCTTGGAAGGGGTAGGTCCCTGTTTGTGGTGGTGTTAGTGTGGGGTTTGGGTTTGTTGGTGCGGATGGTGGGGGTAGGGGGTAAAGGTGGTGGGTGAGTGAGTGGAAGAGAGGAAAGGAAAGGTAAGGGGAGACAAACATAGCGTATCCGGCGCCGTGGGCGCGTTGTTCCGCCAGCGCAGCATGCGCTCCATAATGGCCGCCCTGCTCTCCTCGGCCACGTACTTGGCGACATCAGCGACGGGCTGGCCGCCCGAGCCCAGAAAGCGCCAGCCGTCGACCTCGCCCTCCCACGGATTCGTGACCGCATGCATGGGGAAGCCATCGCGCGGCGTATCGGGAGCAGCTTCGCCCGGTGGCGCCGCCCACGCCCTGCTCTTGGGGAACAGCGCCGCGTGCAGCGGCTGCTGCGGGACAGCGACGCTGGCGGGGTCCTGCGCGCCGGGCAGCAGCGTCACGGGCAGGGTTGGCAGCAGCGCGGCCAGGAAGTCGTCGAGCCGCTCCGTCGGCGCCGCGTTGTACGCTGCGGCGTCGTAGCCGTACTTGTGCTTTTGGCCCTTCTTAGCGGCGACGTCTTCGCGGGAGGGGATGGGCGAGGCGTGCGCGAGCGAGTCGCCTGCGATAATGAGGCGCGAGATGCGCTGGGCCGAGGCTTGCGCCGCGCCGCTCTGTGCTTCGCCCGTCAGGTACTCGGCCAGCAGGTCCAGCGCCATGGTGTTGCCGGCCGCGCCGCTGATGCCCAGCCCGCTGACCAGCGCGATCTTGTTGCCTGCGCGCTGTTCTTGCCCTTGCTTGCCTGTGAGCGCCCAGCGCGCGGGCTGTGCGGGCAGGTCCGGCACTTGCGTCGCTATCACCTCGAATACGCCGTCTGCGTTCTCGCTCCCGAGGGCCGCGATGATGCACCCCGTGACCAGCATGTCGGTGTCCAGCGCCGCGCCCGTGAGCCGCAGCCGTCCCGACTCGTCCTCCAGCATCATCTCGTCCTTTCCGTCCGAAGAGCGGTATTTCTCGCGCCGCGGCGGCGCCGCCATCCAGTGCTGCAGTGGGCTATTAGCATTCGACCCTCTTCTTCCCTCACCACCGCAAACTCACCTCCTTCGCAATGTCGTCCAGAATGTTCGGCTTCAGCGCCATCTCGCAGTACACGGTCCCGACGACCCAGGACAGCTCGCCCTGCCTTACGTCCAGCACGCGCTCGACCTGTCTCGCCTTCTGCCCCGATATCTATGCGGCGTGTCAGCAACGCCCCAACTCTCGTTCGCTTCTTCTCCACCCGTGTAAACGCACCTCAAACTCCGCCCAAGCCTCCATCGCCCGCTCCTCTAGCACCGGCTTCAGCTCCGACAGCCGCGCGTAGTACATGTCCGCGTACTGCTGCGCATAGTGGCGGTCCGCGCCCTTGGGGAGCGCAAACGTGTCGCGGGGGACGTAAGCCGGGGGATTCGAGCGCGTCGCCGGCGCAGCAGCAGCGTAGGCGCTTGCTGCATCATTGCTGTGCTACGTTAACTGCGCGCACCGAGATAGGCAGAAAGCAAGCAGAAAGCAGGTAGAGAGTAGAAAGCAGACAGAAGGCAGACAGAAGACAAGTAGCAATCAAGTGAAAGAAACAACAAGCAAAAAGCAACCAAAGCGCAAAAAAACACAAGAAAACGTACTCCAAAGCGCCCATCAGCACCGCGGCGCCCTCGCCCATATCCGTGTCCGTCATAGCGAAGTTGGCGCGCAGTGGCATGTCTTGCTGCGTGGGTGCGCGCGCGTCGTCGTTGGATGATGCGGTAGGTGCGGTGCGGCGGCCGCGGGACCGAGCGAGCGGACGCGACGCGTCGGCGCGCGTTGGGCCACTTTGGTTGCTGCTTTTGGTGTGCCTGGTCACGTGCGCGCTGGGTTGGTAGATATCCATGTTCACCCTAGGTGCTATTCGCATTTAGAGAGAACGTATGAGAGAATGTAAGGGTTTATGGAAATGTGAGAGGGGGGGTGTAGGTATGGTAGATAGTGGACTTTACTAATTGGTTGAGGTGAGAGGAAGTACTATATATAATCATCATTCACACTCATGGAGGTTTCTCAAATAGATATATATGCCACTTCTCACACCTTGTCGCCCCTTCTAGTCCGCCAGACCTTCCACTCACAGCCCGGCAGTTTCTCACAGGGCGCGCCCACGAACCCACAACCACACAATTTAATATGGCGGGGTACGGCGGGCGATGATCTTGCGCGACGTGCCAAAAAGCACGGCAATGCGGCTCGACAACGGAGGAAAACTGTCGGCGGCATTGCGTTGTCTGTTCTTCTTGCGCGTGCGTGTGTATGTGCTGAACGGGAAATATATAATACGGAGCGTGGTTCAGAAACGTCGATTTAACACCTTCGCCGCTTCGCTATGCTTCTGACCAACAACAACAGAAACAGCGTGAGTAGAGTATAATACAAATACATACATACCGGGTCTCCTTTCTTTGTCCACCTCTTACTTAGCTTACGCGGGCGGGTCTGCAATCATATCGGGCTTCTCGGGCTGCTCCTCCATGCCCAAATCCCTGATTTCCCAGTCATCGCCAACAAAGTCCTTCTTCTCGCCCAAGACGGCCAAATGGCCCCTCGGCACGCCCTGGACCAGCCACTTCTCCGCCGCATCCCTGACCTCGTCCCTCGTGACATCGAGCAGCTGCTGCCTGCGCGTCTGCTGCATCTCATGGCTCACGCCACTCAGGAAGCGATGCATGCCCTCCTGGCTAACGCTCTCGGGCGCATCCAGCCCCTGGAACACGCTCAGCTTGGCCTCCTCCAGATCGCGCGGCGTCCAGTCGCGCTCGCGCGCCCACACCCCCGACTCGTTGATGATCTTGAGCGTGTTCTGCGGGTTCGGGTCGCGGTAGCTGTAGAAGCCGAAGATGCCGCCCAGCCCGTTCGCGTACGCCCCGCCGCCGTATGCCCCGCCCTTCTCGCGGATCTCGTGGTGCAGGTGCTTGTGCGTCAGCAGCTGCGCTAGGATCTGCAGCGGCGCGCCTTGCGCCGACGTGTATGGGACCGTGGGGATGGCGAGGCCCGAGTAGTAGACTTGGTATGGGAGGGGGAAGAACGACTTGGCGTTGCGGGGGAAGCTCGTTAGCCGCGAGACTGTGGGCATTGCTGCAGGGCTCTGAGGGATCGAGGACAGGAACTTGTTCAGTGCGGCTTCGTTGGTGGAGGAGCTCTCGGAGCCGCAGGTCAGAGCCACGCGCAGAGACTTGGTATTCGCTATCGCTAGTGACTGGATCGTCTTGAGCTTGTCGATGATGTCGGAAAGAGAGTCCCTGGACGCGAGGTTCGTCGTCAGCTTGACCTGGGTCAAGCCCGTAGTCTGCTCGCGCAACCGTCCAGCGGGCGTCAAGCCTGCCTCGGCGAATCGCCTTGCGTAAGCGTGGCCAGACTCTGCAACAGTGTTGACCGCTCCGCTGGCCGAAGCTTGGAGCAATTGCTTAATGTTCTTCTCCGCTTCAGGACCATCGAAGTTCGTCTCCATGATGATCATCCGAAGCAATTCGTACATATCGGGAATGTTCCGGTCGAGTGCGTAACCGGCAAAGGCCAATCCCTCCTCGTACTCGTTGATTGCAAGTGGGGAGTTGGTAGAGTGGTAACCGACGCTAATGCCGCCAGTCTTGGCCTTGATTAGATCCTCCAGCTCTTCCATCGTCTTGTCCTTGGTACCAAGTCTCATGATGGCGTCGCTGAAGAGGGGAATGAGCTCGCGCAGCTCGTCAGGGAGGTCATTGAAGACGTTGACAGCGCGGAAATAGGTCAGACCATTGGTTGGCGCCTCTCTCCACTGAACCTTGACATCGCCCGTCTTGCTGTCACGGAACTCCTTCTTCTCCTTTTGTCGTGGGATGTCTTTGACATGAACCGTCGGCAAGCAGCTGAGATCCTGTTTCCGACCGCTCTCCTGCTCTTCGAGCAGTTCCACCTCACGCTGTTCCAGGAACTTGTGGGCGTCCTCTTCGGTACCAAAGTTCTTAGTGGTATCCAGAATTTTCTTCGCCAGACGCTCAGTTTCCTCCACCACCAGCTCCTGCGCATAGCTCTCAGATGGCTCCATCGTAAATGTCAGGGTGTTATCGTTGAGCAAATACTTCTCCAAAAGACCCTCGAGGTAGCCTCCCTTCGCGTAGTTTGACTTGAAAGCATCCACGGTTTCTTGCCACGCCAGCGCGTCGAATGGGTCCACGCCGTTGAACCAGCCGGGCTTGAGACGCTGCATAAGGCCCATACCGAAATGGGCAGTCTTGTGCTTGAGACCAAGCTCCAACTGGTGCAAGATACCGTCGACCTTGCTCTTGCTGAAGCCCTTTTCCTTCGCCTCCGCCAAAGTCTTGAAGATGGCTTCCTTGACCTTGGGAATATCCTCTTGCTTGACACCATTGAGACCAACGGAGAAAACGCCAGTCTTGCCAGAACCGTCAAAGCCCGTGTTCGGGCTCCAGTCGGGGCCCAGCCCAGCTTCAATCAGACCACGGTAGAGAGGCGAACCGTAACCATCCAAAAGAAGCGATGACAAGACACCGAGCGAGAAAGTCTCCAGGACGTCCGACGTGTCACACACCAACCATGTTGTGGAAGTCTTGTACTGCATGTCCTGTGGTACCAACGGATCCACCGGCCCCTTCATGGTCACGTTCTTCGGTCCGTCCTTGAGGCTGATTGGCGTCTTGATATCAGTGTCCACCTTGATCTTTTGGAACCTATCCAGCTGCGACCCGATTTCCTTCAAGTGGTCGTCAAGCGGCATATCACCGTACGTAAAGACCTTTGCGTTGCTAGGATGGTAGTGATCGCTGTGGAACTTCTTGAGCTGTTCGTGCGTCAAGTCGGTGATTTTCTGCGGATCTCCTCCCGAGTTGTTGATGTCCGGGAACAGGTGGTCCTGGAACCGGATGTAGTACAGATAGCTCGCGTCCGACATTTGGCCCTTCATCTCGTTATAGACGACGCCCTTGAAAGCCAATTGGTTGTCCGCAGAGGCAGGCTGTAACGGGTTCTCCGGTCCAATTCGCCAGCCTTCTTGAGTGAAGTCATTCGCCTTCAGCAGCGGGTGCAGAGTGGCATCCAGGTACACTGACATCAAGTTCTTGAAGTCTTGGGGGTTGGTCGTGGCGAAAGGGTACGTGGTGTGATCCGAAGAGGTAAAGGCGTTCATGAAATTGGACAGCGAGCGCGGAAGCATCTTGAAGAAGGGATCGCGAACAGGATATCTGAGAGGGTCAGCATTCGTGGTGGGATTACGCGTATGGCTATACAGACTTCTCGCTGCCGCAGAGCGTGGTGTGCTCCAGAATGTGTGGCACACCAGTGTCATCGGGCGGGTTGGTCTTGAAGCCAATGGAGAAGACATTGTTGGAGTCGTCTCTGGCGACATGAAGGTAGTCGGCTCCAGTCTTGTCGTGCTGAAGATGCAGAGCAGTGAGCTCCAGTTCCGGGACGTGCTTGGCGCGCTTCAAGGTGAATCCGTGGAGCTGCGAGCCGGCTGCCGGGTACTTCTTCAGGTCCGTGACTGAGGCAAAGCTACGGATGGATGCGCCAGTGGCAGGCGACGAGCGCAGAAAGGGAGCGCTGGTCCGGGAGGCCCATACTGACGGTCGCGAGGCGCGGAGCATGGCCAGGTGTGCGCGCTGCAAAAAGTTGCTGAAAAAGAGCAGGACGATGATGACGAACAGCATCGCGAGCTACAAGAGTCGGCGGCTGATGAAGTGTGGCGCGGGGCGACGCCACACGCACGCTTAGTCAGGCAGGGTCACGGCCAAAGATGGTGGGCGGGCACGCTGTGTCCCAAAGAGCAGCCGGCGGCTGAAAGGGCTGAATGGCAGGGTAGGGCAAAGGCATCGGAAGATGTTTGGTCGGATGGTCAGATGCTAGATGCGTCGTCGTTGGTGCGTCAGTTGTGAGTCTGCCGGCGCTCGCATGCCTCACGGTCTTCCGTCACCCACTCACTGCCGAAAGCCATTCGACCAGCCGGCGACAGAAACCCGCTTCCTTCTCAAACCCACCGCGCATCTTCGCATCTTCGGCCACCGCCCACCACGCCCCCCGCTCACCCACTCATTGCTATCCGCCCTGGAGCTTCCGCCGACGCATTCGACGAGTCGTAGCTGGCTTCCGCCGCAGAAGTCTCAGCTGCACGCCTGCCTGTTCGCTTCGCCCTCCAGCCTGTAGCCGGTCCGTCGTACCCCGCGAGCCTGCTCTGCGGCCGTCGGTGCGCCTGGTCTATGTAAAGGGCCTCCTCCGACGCCTTTCCACCCTCTTGTTGGCCGAGGGAAAGCGTGGGGCAGATACTTCAAGGCGCGCGCACACTCCGGTGCATGGCAGCTGTGGCGCACCAACCCCAGCCCGCATCCTCCCACGCCCGCCCGTCGCCTGCAGACACCCCAGCTCCCCATTTCCCCAACCATACCATGACCGACGAGGCCCCAGTTCCCATGGCGACCGCACCTCCACCTGCCGGCCCGCCGGCCAAGAAGGCCAAAAGCAAGAAGGGCGCGGACCCGAGGGACGCGTCGGAGCAGATCGCGGCCAAGATTGCGCAGCTGGAGCTGGACGCCGCGGGGGAGAAGGACCAGGACATTGAGATTGAGCGAGAGGTCAAAAAGGCGAACCGCGAACTGTCGCAGCTGCTGTCGTCCATCGAGTCGCCCATGAAGCGCGTGGACGAGGTGCGGAAGAGGTACTCGTCGCTGCTGGCAGACATGAAGCGGACGGAGCGCGAGCACATCAAGTCCAAGAAGCGCGCCGACCAGCTCCAGAAAGAGAAGGACACGGGCAAGACGGATCTGAACAAGATGACGACGCTGAAGGAGCGGCTGGAGAAGATGTCGCGCGACCTGACAAAAGAAAACAAAAAGTTGAAGGTGCGACCTGGGCGCTTCGAGCTTTTGGGAAAGGCATGGTCGCTAACCGCTCTTTCTTTTCTGTAGGAGGAAAACATTCAGCGCGACCAGCAGGAGTCTAGGCACCGCGAGGAGCTGCATGACCGGCTTGAGCGCATGATTCTGGACGTCGAGGAGGCCATAATGCTAAAGGAGAACCCGGAGCCGCAGCCCGTCGACATGGACGCGGACAAACTGTGCGTTTGCTTGAAAGCGCGTCACCAAAGCTAGCCTGACTAACGCAGGTGCAGATTCGAAGAAAAGTTCAAGTCGTTCGTCGATCAATGGGAGTGCCGCGAGAAGCAATTCAAGTCGATTTTGCGCGTCAAGGAGCTGGAGATCATCTACCACCAGGCGAAGCTCGACCAGCAGCGCAAGGCGCAAGAGGTCGAGTCGTCCAAGTCCAACCAGCTGACCCGTCAAGTCACGACCTTCTCCCAAACCGAAGCCGAGCTGCGCAGCCAGCTCAACATCTACGTGGAAAAATTCAAGCAGGTAAGCTTGCATATCTCGCCGCAAGATGTGCTCGCTGCGGCCTCCTCCGTGTGTTGGAAGAGCCTCTCTGATATCAGTCAGGTCGAGGACACCCTGAACAACTCCAACGACCTGTTCCTGACGTTCCGGAGGGAGATGGAGGAAATGTCCAAGAAGACCAAGCGCCTGGAGAAGGAGAACCTGGTGCTCACGCGCAAGCAAGAGGCGACCAACAAGAACATTCTCGAGATGGCCGAGGAGCGGACGCGCACGCAGCAGGAGATGGAGAAGCTGCGCCGGAAGAACGAGAACCTCGAGAAGCTGTGCCGGGGCATGCAGGCGCAGGGGCGCGGGCAGGTGCCGCCCAACGGGCTGGACGCCGACGACGACGGCACCGAGAGCGAGTACCTGGACGACGACGACTACGACGACGAGGGCAGCGAGGAGTATGACGAGGACACGGAAGAGGAGGCCATTGACGTGCGCCCGGGGCCCGAAGCAAAGGTTTACGGCCCGCCGCCCCCGCCGCCGCAGCAGCAGCAGGCCTTGGCCAACGGCGGCAAGGTCAATGGCAGGGTGAACGGCCAGGCCAATGGCGTGAGGCAGTCGTAATTGCTATCTATGGTTGCATGGGCTGTACGCTATCTAGCTTGGGGAAATTCATCGGTAAACACAACAATGCAAATATACAACAGTAGCGGTTGGTGCGGGAGAGAGACGTGACTAGCGATGGAGCCTTGATGGTGGTGTGAACTGAGCTTAGCCCTGCACACAGCAACGTCATGTGTTTACGCCATCGGTGCGACAAGGGTCCAACTTAGCGAGCCGAGGACGAGCTTTGCTTCCCCGCAACTGGCCTTCCCCGGATGTCACGTAACTAGGTATGTAACCGACGACTACTTATATCTACAAAACAACACACTCCTTCAGTTGATCTTTCACTGCAATCCTCTCACACATATACATATTCATTCCTTTTACCCACGCACTCACACCACTCCACCACCATCAAAACAACAACAACAATGGCTTCTCCACCCACAGCCTCCACCCCCACGCTCCACACGCCCCTCTGCACCCTCCTCAAAATACAACACCCCATCCTCCTCGCCGGCATGGCACACACGTCGTCCGCTCCGCTCGCCGCAGCCGTCAGCAACGCGGGCGGCCTCGGCACAGTAGGAGGGCTGGGCTACACGCCCGCGCAACTACGCAGCATCATCCACGAGCTAAAAGCGCAGCTCAAAGCGCCGACGCTGCCCTTCGGCGTCGACCTCGCGCTGCCGCAGCTGGGCGGCACCGCGCGCAAAACAAACCACGACTACACGCGAGGCCAACTCGACGCGCTGATCGACGTCGTGGTCGAGGAGGGCGCGGCGCTGTTCGTGAGCGCGGTGGGCGTGCCGCCTGCGCGCGTCGTGCGCAGACTGCATGACGCGGGCGTCGTGGTCATGAATATGGTGGGCGCGCCACGGCACGCCGTCAAGGCGCTGCAGGCGGGCGTGGACGTGGTGTGCGCGCAGGGCGGCGAGGGCGGGGGCCACACGGGGGAGATTGCGGGGGGGATCCTGGTGCCGGCGGTCGTGGACGTGGCGAGGAGATTCAAGGCGCCGTTGACGGGGCAGCCGGCGCTGGTGGTGGCGGCGGGGGGCGTGAGTGATGGGCGGGGGGTTGCGGCGGCGTTGATGCAGGGCGCGGTGGGCGTGTGGGTGGGGACGAGGTTCGTCGCGAGTGTCGAGGCGGGGTGTTCAAGGGCGCATAAGGACGCTGTGGTGGGGGCTGGGTGGGGCGATACTCTGCGCACGCTTGTCGTTAGTGGTCGCCCGTTGAGGGTCAGGTCGAATGACTATGTGAGGGAATGGGAGGCCAGGCAGGACGAGATTAGGAGGTTGACGGAGGCGGGCGTCGTGCCGTTTGAGAAGGATTTGGAGGAGGGGAAAGATGTCGATATGCCGTTTTTGATGGGCCAGGTTGCGGCGGTTATTGCGGATGTGAGGCCCGCGGGGGATATTGTGCGGGATATGGTTAGGGAGGCGGTCGAGATGTTGAGGCTGGGGCAGACGTATACGGTCGAGAAGAGTAAGTTGTAGGGGGTGGATACCCGGGACATGGATGTATGTACCCTTTCTTTCCTTTCTCGTTTTTTCGACGAGGTCACTCCTTATCTAACTGCGGGGTTAGGTCGTGAGTGTTGCTGGGTAACACGTCTGAAATTGAGTTAGCCTTTTGAGGGTATGTGTTCTGAGTTTATGTCACGAGTCCGCTACTATCAATGCTCACATAGACAGCAGTCTTCTGGCATCACTTAATGTTCAAAAAGAGCTAGTATACCTTCATTCATCTACCTCTCCATAGTAAGTGTCGCCCTTATTACCACCGTTTACCGCCAGGCCATTTCACTTCATCCCTACGAGAAGTGAAGTTACTGACGTTGACACAAAGTTCCGGCTGACATGGTGGTAGGCACGTACCCTTTTCGGACTGGCGTGTTGGGGTATATAAGGGTCACCTCGCCTTCCTTCATTGTTCCTGCTCTTTACAACAACGACAACGACAAAGGTGCTTGCCTGCCAACCACTCAACGCAGCACCATCACCATGCCTTCAAGCGACGTGGAGTAAGTCTTTGTCGAGGTTCTTTGTTTCCGCTAGAGCTCATTGTACTGACTGTCTTTTTTAGAATCTACCAGACGAGCCCATTGCTCACGAAACTCCCTCGTGAGATTCGCGACATGATCTGGGAATATCTCCTTTTCTTCGATGAGCACGATTGTTTACACTTCTGGCTCTACAAATGCTCCTGCTTCGGCGTCATCAAGAGACGCAGCGTCGAGCTCGACCGGAAGAGTCGTAGGTACCGAGTCTCCAATCTTCCTAACGTCTGCAAGTAAATGCGGAGTGAGGCCATGCAAATCCTCTGCCGCATAATGGAGCTCACGCTCTATGCCCCCGACCCTCAAATTCTCGACATAAGCTGAATGTTTTTTCTAAAGGTTTACAATAGATTCTCCCATGCTAATTACAAAATAGTTCAAGCAAAACAGTACTCCTTTTGACTTCACCTGCATCCGCCACTTAAACCTTCACCTACCGCTGCAGATCGAAGAGCCTCCTGTCTTTTATGGAGCCCCAACGAAAGACCTGGAGGTACTCGACAAGCTCGTTCGTAGCCTTCAGGTCCCAGTCTGTGAGATGAACGACTCGCCCTTCTCACTGAGATACACCAATGCGCATGCGACATGCGCCCGCTTGATGCGCTCCAGTGAATCGACGTCCGCAGATCTCGACCTGAATGAGTACGATCTCCAAAGATTAGTCCCAGACAACGCGCTCCGCTTCGCGTGTGAGCACAGCAACTTCACGACCCAGATGAAGTATCTGTTTGATGAGCTTGCAGCCCGCGGCAATATGAAGAGCCTGACTATTCACATCCAGCTTTACCATGATGACTGGAATGAACCCATCTGCGACTCCCGCGGTGTCGACGACTTCTTCGCGCCCATGGCGCAGCTACGCCTTGACAGCGCTGAGATCTGCATCGATTCGTCCCCGTATGGAGATGACTGCGATGGCAGCCGTGATTGTGAATGTATGGATTGTTGCTTTAACATAGTTAGGGGCGTCTGCAATGGTATGTTTGGTTGTTGCTGTAAGAAATGCCTCGTGCGCAAAACTATCCAGGCGGGCGTCTGTACCAATATTAGGGCTAAGGCGGAGAAAGTCGTGGCGCGCATCATGGGCCGCGAGAAGCAAGGCTGCGATGACAGCTTCACTTGTGGCTGTCAGGATTGCTTTCCGCCCATTTCGAAGCCGACACCCTAGGCTCTCGTACCGGATGACCTGATATCCGAGCATCTAGCATGCTACTGTACCATAGACACAGACAATAAGATGCAAGCCTCAGCCTTACCGCATCCTACCACAAAGTACCACATCCTCCCCCAACGGACACCACTGCACATCCCTCAACCGCGCAACTGGAATCCTTCCACCACCCTCATCCCTTCTAATTCCAGGCGCCACGGTTACTGCACCCTCACCCAACCATGTCGGCGCCAGCGTCACGACCACGGCATCCACCAGGCCCGCGTTGCTTGGCTCTAGCAACGCATTAATAACTCCCGCCCCGCCCTCCACCATTACACTACTAATCCCCTCACGCGCTAGCAGAGCTAATATCGCCTTCCACGCAATGCGCCCACCTGGCTCGTTATTCTCTGTCGGGAGCGCAAAGTAGCGCCCTCCACACCGCTCAAGCAGCGCGCGCCGCTTTGGCGGGACAGCCGTCCCTTCACGCACGACAACCCAGGGCGCGCGACCACGGCCATCCAACGCCAACTTCAACACCTTTGCAATCTTCCCCTTTCCCTCACCATCACCATCACCATCATCACCAAAATCCCACCCCGCACTCGGATCCACGACCACCGGTCTCGGCTGCCCGTCCAAGCCCTCCCCACCATAGCCCCCAACACCTTCAGCACGACAATTCAGACTCGGGTCATCGACGCGCGCGGTCCCGGCTCCAACGAGAATGGCCGCGTGGCGCGAGCGCAGGTGGTGCGTCATTGCTTTCGACGCAGGGCCCGAGAGCAGCGTCTGCGTGCCGGGAGCGAGCGCGAGTGCGCTGTCGAGCGACGTGGCGAACGTGAGCGTCGTGTATGGTTTCGTGGGCGTGGATGCGTTGGAGCTAGACGTGGGTGCTGCTGGTGGCAGGTACGGTTCTAGCGCCGTTATGGCCGCCGCGTCGACGTGCAGCGCGTCTCTGGTTTTGGGGACGTGCGCTGCTTCGCTCATGCTTGTTTTGTGGTGGGCGGTGGGTTTGGCGGTCGTGGTAGGTAGTTTAGATGCGGGAATTGCTTTTGAGATTGCTCGGTGTTGTTGATGTTGGTGTTGGTGTTGATGTCGTCGTCGTTGTTGTCGTCGTCGTTGTTGTTGTTGTTGTTGTTGTGGAGAGCTGTTGTTGACAAGCTACAGTAGCTTACAGTACGAAGTAAGCTAGCTGGCTGGTTGTGGGGAAGCTGGCGCACCGCAACCGCCGCTAATTATGTACAATACATATGGCGGGGGACATGTTGCTAGCAACGGACCATACTCTGTCCATTGCGTTTTTTCCTTGTCGGAAAGGAAACCACTACATCATGCATGCAGAATTTAAACTGCAATCGCGCAATCTTCTTCGTAGGGAATTATTCTGCTAGCAATAGCGCACCGCGCTAAAATGCAGCTTGCGGCTTATAATAATATATATATATCATTGAGTAAACCTACCTCTTCTAATCCGTAGAGGCAAGTATGTACCTGGGTAGGAGTCGTATATAAGCTGTTATATTGTATTGCTTTGCATTGCACTGCGTCGTACATAAAAAGTCACAGTCTCAGCCAGGCCTTCCCGCCATATTTAAATTCAACCACCATCTTCGTTACATAACGAAAAACGCTAGCATTCTGCTCAATGGAGGAGTTGAATCATCATTGTCTCGTATTAGATTTCAATCCACTTACCTCGTTGTCTGCGTCTTCTTCCTTGTTGCCCTTCTTTCCCTTCCTTTGGTTTGCCCCTTCTTGGGCTCCGCGTATTCCTTTTCTACCCAATACAGCTCGCGCACGATACAGCTCGCGCATGTTCGACATGTTATGGTTCCGGAACAGCTTCGTCCCGATGGAGGCAACATATGTCACGCGTGTCGGATCACTTCGTGGGGCTGCGCGGCTGCGCCCGAGGGAGGACGAGAGGAGAGGGTTCTTGCTGCCCTGGTGGCGCTGCCGTTTTCGCGGGCTTTAGTTGCTTTATGTTTGATACGAGCTTGCTTGCTTGTGTTGAGTAAACTGCTTTTCCTTTCCTTGGATGGTTTATTTGTCCTTCCTTCCTTCTATCCATTTCCTTTAAACGCCCATAACCCTACTCACCCACCCATGCAGAATAGAAGAGAATAGAACCTTGACTCCGTTTTTCGTTTTCGCCATCGCCATGCTGAAGTAAAGGCTGTAGTTGCAGTTGTGATTGTAGTAGTCGCACCGAAAAGAGTGGGACGACTAGTCTCGCCACTGTTTCGCGCACTTGGTACACTGTTGTTTGTGCGGTTAGACGGTGAAAAGGCAAGGGAAAAGCAGGTGTGTAAACGCACCTTGAAGAACTGTGTCATAGGCTCGTCGGCCGACCTGATCTGGATCTGGTAGAAATAGGCCTTGTCGCCGCCGCAGCCGTCGCGGGGGCATTGCGCTGTGAGAGACAAACAAGCAACATCAGCAGCAGCACTCTTACACCCCATCCACGCACAAACATAAACATACCATCAACCCTATCGACATTATCCCACGCGCCCTTCCCACCCATCACATCCTCAACCTCCTTGCGCTTCATCGCCTTGCGCTCGTAATACCGCCTATCCAGCACATACTGGTACGGACAGCTGCGGCACTCGAAGCGATTCTTGCCGCGCAGGTGGGCGTCGGGCGCGCCGTCAGCGATGGCTGCGTCCGGCACGCGCGACACCGTCAGCGTGTTGCTGCAGGCGGGGCAGACTGTGTGGGAGGGCGTGTTAGCTTGTGCGCGACCGAGGACGGGTGCGAGAGGAGCGAGTGCTGGACCAGCGCATTGCTGCGCGGAAGATCAAACGGGTAAGAATCGCAGAAAAGACTCACAGAGCAGCATCGTGACGTCCTTCTCCTTCTGCCTCTACTTCTGCTTCTACTTCTGCGTCCGGTCCGGTCCGGTCCAGTCCGTGAGCTACCCAAGAAAGTGCGTACGCGCGCGCGTTGTTGTCGAGTGTAGGTGGTGGTGTCGCGGTCGAGAAAAAGAAAGTCGGTGCAGTCATTCCAGAAAGCGCGGGGAGCGGGAGCGGAAAAGCTCCGCGCCAACCTCCATCCAACGGCCAACCGTTGTTCGGATTTACCACGGGACTGGGAGCTGCGCGCTCGCGCCGGGTCGTTATTGTGTGTGCGTGCATGTGGTGTTTTGTGGCCGCGACTGGTGATTGATGTACGATTCCTGAGCACAGGCGACAACTTCTTGTGCTTGGGCTTGTTGAAACTGTGTGCTTTAGTGTGTGCGGGTGTACTGATCGTGGACGATACTTCTACAAGTGCATGGGCAGATAGGTCAACGAGTAGATTAAACTGCCAAAGCTCTGTCTAGAGACCGCCGACTGGCTACTCTCTGCCTGTCTGGCCTCTTTCCCTGCCGTTATACTTGACATAGAGGCAGCTCCTAAGTAGCCACCAAGTCATCCATTTCATTCATTCCGTGCTAAGACGTCTGTCTATCCTGGTGCACGCACGCTGAACCTTTCTTCGCGGGCCAATCCGCCTGCCCGCCTGCCCACCGCCTGCCTGTACATTACACGCGAACCAGAAGAAGCTGCTGAGGAATCATGCATGAATAAATCATAGCTCGTCGTCGACCTCCATGGCGCCGTCTGCCTCGCCGGCCTCCTTGGCTTTGGGCAGGCATGCCTCCTTGTCGATCATCTGCCGCGAGACCGAGACGATGTTGTCTTCGATAAGCTGCTGGCCGACGTCCTCGATGTCTGTTGATTTGTCAGTGGCAATTCACTAGAGGAAGCAGTTAGATGCAACGTACGCTTCTTCGGGTCGACCTTGCCGACGTATCGCGTCTTCAGCTGCTCCTTGGTCAGCTCCGTCTCCTCCTTCACTCGCTTCTCGTAGCCCTCTGCCAGGCTGACGAGCTTCTTCAGCTTCTCGTTATTCCGCTCGCCCTCGTGCTTGAAGTCGGTCATCTCGAGCGCCTCAGTCCAGACGTGCTTGTGCAGGTTCATCAACATGTTCTCCTCCAGGCCCGTCTTCCTGTAGTTGATGCCTATGCTGTAGTAGTGGCGGTTGAGGCCGTGGATGAGCGCCTGGATGGAGGGCTTGTTGAGGTGGCCCAAGTTGGAGGTGGTCTGGCGGGGCTCGTGGCCCATCATGAGAGTCTGGGGGTTGATGAGGCGGAAAGCGTCGATAACGACCTTGCCCTTGACGGACTGGATGGGGTCGACGACGACGGCGACGGCGCGCGGCGTCAGCTGCTCGAACGACTGCTGTGTGTTGATATCGACGCTCGACAACCAGCACCCGAAGCCAGGATGCGAGTGGTACCATCCCACCACCGTCTCCGGCCGTCCCGTTTGCCGCAGCATGTCCATCATCTTCGTCTGGAATACGGGGTCTACCGCCTCAACGCTGACTCCCGTTCCACTCTGCGGCATCGCGAATACGTCTACTACCCGTACCGTGTAGTCGTCCACAAACTCGCCCAGCATCAGTCCCATGACTTCCATGGGCACACCGGCACGGCCGTGCCGCAGCATCTTCAGGAGCGCGAGCGAGGATATGTAGACGGTCTCGGAGTTGTCGATGAGGTTGGTATCCTGAAAAGCAGCTTGTATCAGTATAATGCGTTTGCGGGAGCAACAAGTGACAGGCGGCATTCTGCCGGCGAGGGCGGAAAAGGGTCGCGCTCTCCGGTCATGATTCGCGATGAGAGAGCTCGCGGAGGCGTTGACGACATACTTGAGCTGGGCCGCCTTCTCTCATGCCCTGGGCGGCGGCGAGCATGCGGTTTAGCCTGTCCATGGCGAGGGATGCAATGTGCGCGCTGGTGGCGAAAAAGGCGACAGTTGGTGGTATAGAACGCGAGGACGACGGAGGAGATGGGCGGTCGTGAGTTGAGAGGTGCTGAGGCAGCGGGATAGAGCTTAGGTGCTTCCATAGGTACCGCATCTACTGGCGCCGAAGCTCCGATGCCAAGCCATCTTATCAGATAATGACGAATCCATACAAAACACCATCTTCCCTCGGTCATTCCTTCTTCATCACTGCTCTAAGTCTTTTTCACCTCATCTTCGCTGGGTTCGTCGTCATCGCCGCTCAGTCGGTCCTCTGAGTCTTTGAGGCCTCCTTAAACTCACGTCTATCAATATTACTCACGTACTCGATATCACTATCGTCCCTCTACTTGCTCGTGCTCATGTTTATACCCGTCAATTCCCTCGTCTAGGTCTTTTTTTAACACCCTCACCACTGCGCTTAAGCTTTCGAAACACCTTCCGCTAAGCCGTCTCTTCAATTTTTAGTAGCCAACCGCTGTTCACGTCGCTATGCTTAAAGGCTTTGATCCTCCGCGGTATTGCGACGCAGCTAGTCAGGCAATCAAACAGGTAGGGAGGAAGACAGTAAAGAAAGAGCCCAAAGGAGTCATGGATTTTAAGGAGACTGATCAGCGGTTGGTTGTTGATTCCTGGTTATTTTGTCAGACGTGATGGCTGAGCAGGTGTGTGTGTGAAAACAATACCGCATCTGTTCACTTACAATGCTGTGCCGAGGCGGTATAAATACCTCGCAATTACCATCGAGTCTACAACACACAGCAGACAGCGAGCAAGGAAGCACGCAAGCTACCAAGCACACAGGCTACTGAGCACGCACAAACTGCACACACACACGACGACCGTACACACTCTAACCGCAAACATGACGAACTCCGTCTCCAAGACCACGTCTCCCCCCAACAAGCACACGCACGCCGCTGCCAACCACGGCAACCATGCGCACGCCGATGCTAACGAGCAGCCCGCGGCGCCCGTGGACAGCCGCAACATTCCCTGGCGCTGCTGCCAGTGCGGCTACCGCAACCCCGATACGTGGTACACGCGCTGCAGGGCATGTGGACACGAGGGCGGCGGCTGCTTCGTGTGCTGGGCGGAAGGTTAGGCTCGGGTAAGAGGCCCTGGCTAGCTGCACCGACTGACTTGCACGACAAGCAGTAGAAACTGGTGAGTAGAAGGTGTCCTTTGGGTTTCTGGTGTTTTTTCTTTCCTTTGTTGGGTTCTACTTCAATCCTTTGTAAGATGAGCGGAAGGAGAAGATAAAAGACAAAACACAAAAAAACGTTAAACCTAGGTAACAAAAATGTGGAGGCAAAAAATGGGGAAAATAATAAAAAACAAATTTGTTAAATATTTAGTGATCATATTGTGAACGGGTGGATGCATGAGTGGGAGACTAATTGGTCTCATCTGCTGAGTGGACGACGACGACGCCGCACCAGTACCACTCCCTGCAAGTTTGGTCCTTGGATCCGTCCCACTATGGTGATGTCCGGGGGACGGGAGACGTGTAAGTGGCCGCGTGGGTGTGTGCGGTTGGCGGGATTTGTTAGGTTGTTTGCCTGCCTGTCTGGCTGGCTACTGCTGTCACCTTGAAATCCCACTGCATCGTTTGGGAGTACGTGTGTGTGTGCTCTTCTGTGTGCTCTATTCTAATCATAATTATTTTTATTATTTATTTTCAAAACGCAATATCCTCTGCCGATGTGTTTGCATTCGTCCTGCATAAAACATAAAACATAGGGCATTAAACGTGAAATATTGAGAGAACAAAGAAATGGAGTTGTAGACCTGTAGTCACTAAACGAAACCAAAATAGCTCCCACCACCTACAATAGGCAAGCTTCCCCACAGCCCGCGTCATTCCGCAGCTCCGCCGCCTCCGACCGTTAACTCCGACCACCTACGCCTTACAGCCGCGATAAGCGTACCTGCCTATAACACCCGCCACCAAAAAAACATCCTCCCTACCAGCACCCCCAATGGCACGTCTCTCCGGCCTCCAACGCGACGTCCTCGCCCTGTACCGCCAATGTCTCCGCGCAACGCGGCAAAAGCCCCTCGTAAGCCCTCCCACCAAAATCCAAAGCCCCAAACCACACACTCCAACCCAACCCAACTCAAACCAAACCAAACCAATCAAACGCACGCACGCACAGCGCTGACGCCGCACCAGGAAACGCGGCCGCACTTCCGGGCCTTCGCGAGGTGCGTACACACTACACATACACAGCGCCCACAGCCTTCACGTGAAGAACGAGAAGGCAGTGGTGGTTACCTACCTAATGAAAGAAGCCTTGATATTGACAACGATCACGAGCAGACAGGAATTCGAGAAGAACCTCGCGATCGAAAAGCGCGATTTCGCTGCCATAGAGTACATGCTGCGGCGCGGGCACCGGCAGCTGGAGATCTATGAGGATCCGGGCATTCGCGACGTCCATCGCTAGTTAACTAGATGCCTGAAGTTTGAAGTGCTGGGAGTCGAGGAGGAGTGTATGAGGATGATATGGGCACGTGATGGCGTGGCGATGAATGTGTTGTTGTGAAAAGGTCTCATGCTGCCACCACCGTCCTTGACGATGTGCTCGCGCTTCTGGGAGCTCTTTTCCTTCTACTCCTAAGAATCCGCTTGCCTACACCCACTCGACGGCTATGATCGCGGTAATCGCTAGAAGGTTTCACCAACAGCATCGGCTCCCGAGCCCTCTGCTTTTTCTACCCAAGTCCAACTTTGAAGAAACCCAAGGGCGCCTACAAGCTACACGGCGAGCTCTGGCCATGGCCCAGAAAGGAATACATCAACATCGAACAGGCCGCTACTCTGAGACGGGAGCCAAGCAGTATTTGAGATAGTCTCACCCGCAAACGCTACTACGTCTTCCTACCAAACTTGCGCTCCACCTCCTCGACCGCTCTCCTCTGCCCCTCGTCCCTCTCCCTCTCCAACCGCGCCCTGATATCCCGCTGCAGCGCCTTGGCGTCCTCGACATCCACCCCGTCCTGGATCAGTTCATGCGCAAGCGTCGAGCTGCGCTCGTAGTCCTTGTTGAAGAAAGCCCAGCGCGCCAGCCACATGCGCGCCTTAGACGTCGTAGGCGTGACGCCCACGCCCAGCGGCTCGCTCCCTTCGCCCTGGCTGCTATCCACGCCGTCCGGCTCCGGCCCTTCCTCCTGCGCCAGACAGAGCTCCATGTACGCGGCGCATTCCTCGCGGTCGTCGAGCCGCTCGTACAGCAGCGCGATCTGGTACAGCGTTTCGGGGTCTAGCACGCCGCTGCCCAGGCCCTCTGCACTGCCGAAACTGCTCCCGCCTGCGCCGCCTTCGTAGTAGCTGCCTGCCACGAGAGCGCGCTTGTACGCGCGGATCCCGTTCGCAAGCTTGCCGACTTCACCGAAACATTTGCCCACCGCTTGCCACATCTTTGGGTCGTACGGTCGCAGCGACGCTGCGCGCTGGAAGTAGAATAGCGCGTAGCTGTACATTTCTAGCATCTCGTATGTCTGGCCCAGCCCGTACCAGGCACGATAATCTTTGCGGTTGACGTCAACGGCGCGCCGATAGCTCTCAATCGCCGCGTGCGTGTTCTTCATCTCGACGTATTCGTGTCCCATGAGCGTCCAGGCGGACAAGAAATTCCGGTCAAGAATCAAGGCGCGTCGGAAGTACATGACGGCTTTTTCGTGCTCCGACTTCAACGAGTAGTAATTGCCCACAACGCAGCAGGTCTCTGGGCGGAATTTGTCGGCGGCTGTGGCGATCTGGGCCACAAAGGCGAGCTTGGGTCGTAATGACATGACATATAGGATGTTGGAGTAATTGTCGAGCGCATCGAGGCGGTATGGATCGCTGGTGACCAGGGAGGAGAATATGGATTCGGCTTCTTCAAAATCTTTCGAATGGTAGTATAGAAGAGCGCGCTGCGTCTTGAGGAATGCGCTGTTGGGGAAGATTCCCTGGACTTGCGTGAGTTCGTTATGGATATGGTCGGTTGATTGGTATAGCTCCTGGTTGGTGTAGATGTGAAAGAGAAAGGTCATGAGGTTCTGTGGCAGTTGCTCGGTGATGAGGTTCAGGTCTTCTACCGAACCGATCAGCGAGGCTAACTCCTGCCACGCTCCCCAGTTATACGGGTACAGATGTACACTGCGAATGAACCACTTCTTGGCCATCTCCTCATTCTTGCCTTTTGCCAAGACGATGCCGTAGAGGTACTCTAACCAACCCGTGCCTTCTTTGCCGCTAGCATGCCGTTCTGCGAACCAATCTTCTAGGATCCTCAAAATGCCGTTGAGCTCTTTATTGACTGTCACGCCTCCGTCCGCAGGTCCCAATACCATCTCGCTGTCCTCATCTTTCCGCTTCTCCCCCGCCATGTACTTGGCGTACAATGCCAGGAATAGAGATTTTTGGCTGAGGCCTGAGAACGAACGGCTCACCGGTTTCGGCTCCGAGGCGGCTGTAGCTTTGGTCTTGCCCTTTTGCGACGGCTTACTTCGTTGGGATTGCGAAGACGCTGGTGTCGCTATCGACGCGGCGGAAACCACGCTTGGCGGTATGAAGACAGCTGCGCAACGGTCATACTCGCGGCAGTCAAAGTAGGTTTTTGCAAGAAGGAACTTGTGGAGCTCCTTGGCTTCTAGGTGAGCCTCGACCGGATCAGAAGGGTATTGTTCTTTGGCGGGGAATGTGTCGGAGACGGGCGAATCGGCATCGGTGTCTGAACCATACGTCAGGTCGGTTGTTTGGAAGGAATTCAGCAGCTCGGCGGCCCTGAGCAGTGTGAGGCCTGGCTTGTTTGGGGGAGAAAAGAGAGCGCAGCTTACCACTTGGCCGACTGGTAGAGGCAGCGTTCCGTGCACGCAGTGACGGCAGTTTGTAGGTGGGCCTGCAGCTGCGCCGTGTCGGCCTCGGAAAGACTCGTCATGGCTGCGCGCGCAGGAAGTTGATGGGAGTGCAAGGGTGCGCAAAGAAAGCTCAAGGTAGCTCTGCTGCCTTGGCGTTCATGAGCTGTAAATAAACACAGGTCGCGCCGGCCAAATTCGGTCCTGACGGCAACACTCTGCAGATCCCCGGGAAGCGGAGCGGGGCAAGCGGTCCACTCGGAGAAGTAAAGGAATCTGGGCACGAGTACCACAAACCGACTGTCGAAGATGAGGCAGCGGGAGTTGCAGATCGACAGGTTCCACCGAGCTTCCAGCTTCCCGACGAAGGTGGGTCAGGGCGCGGGGAATAGTGTTTTTAAATAGGAATTAAAAGTGAAAAATATACGTTTTAACAACAAAGCAGTTGGCCTGTAGTGGTAGAGATCAAACTTGCTTAGCCTAAGGTATATGGCAGTAGTCTGCAGCCAGCGCCCATTGTTCGAGCCCATCATTCGATCGACAAACTCTACTATGTTATAGGCCCTCGCTATCCCAGATCCCAAAAGTCCAAGCCCAAGCCAACCCTGACGCCGCGCTAAGAGCAGACCCGCAACCGCGAAGAAGTAAAAACTGCCATTTCTCCACTCCTCCCCATGGCCCTACCCTCTTCACCTCAACCACTTCAGCATCAAATAGCAAAAGACAAAAAACACAACCACCCCTCCCCAAAATATCCACTTATCCTGCTTCGCGCGCCTCTCCACCATGCGAATCGTATCGCCCGACACTCCCAACGTATTCGCTACGCTGTACAGCTTCCGCTGCGTCCCCTTGAGCATCTCGCGCTGGTCCCCCAAGTCGCCCAGCACGGCACGTCCGCGCTCCAGAAACTCGTCCAACTGCGCATTCGTGCTCGACATGAATGACTGCTCGCGGAACGCGTGCGCCTCGCGCGTGTAGTCGCCAGGTCCAGCGCCGAGCGATGAGGGCCCTGCGCCGGAGGAAGGCCGCCAGGGTGAGTTTTGCGCCGCACTGGTAGCAGCATATGGGTTTTCCGGGGTGCTGGTGTGGTGGGGCCGGCGGCCGAGGAGCTCTGCGCGCGTTTGTACCGATTGCCGCTCGTCATTCTCCTGCTTGAGCTTCGTGAACTGCTCGCGGTAATCGGTGAGCTCGCCGCGGAAGTTCTTGATGCGCTCATATGCCTTTTCCTGCTTAGCAGCGACCATCTCCTGCTTCGCGAGACGGTTGTAGTCGTCGATGGTGCGGCTGAACGACGTCAGGGACGCGTTGATCTGCCCTAGGTATGGGTGTGAGCGTGAGCTGCTGTTGCGCCGAATGGGCGCGCGCATGCGGTTTGCGCGCCAGGTCTCGAGCACGGAATTACCTACCTAGGAGGGCAGGCGAAAGAGAGCTGCTTTCGGCGAAGGCATCGAGGTCTTTGCGTATTGACGTGGATTGCCGCAGGGCGGAGTTGAAGAGAGAGTTCTGCGAGGTGTTAGCTAACAGGCATGGCTTGAGGAGGTCGGGGAAGCTGTAGGTTACCATGTTTGCGCGATTACCTAGTCCGCAACTTTTGCAGTGGCAGGTTGTTGCGTTGCGATGGTGGTGATGTGGTGATCTGGCTCAAACGGTAAGTACCTAGGCGCTGGAGCGCCCAAACGACGGGCGGCAGAATGACACCGCCTGCCGCCTTTCCGCCAGCGCGGTCCGGGGCGCTGGTCCCGCGGGCAAATCAACGTTCATCAAAGTCACAACATTAAAGGCGGCGCGCACATTGGGCGAAAGGTTTATATTTGATTCTCCTAACTATGTAGAGGCATTTATATTAAACATCGTATCAGCAAAACTACTGGCGATTGCATAAAGGCACTCCGGGTAACCAAGCTGTGCTATATTCTAGCAGTCTACTTGAGCACTGTGGTATGCTTTGGCTCGCTGCACCTCTCGCCAGGGTAAGGGAAAGGGCAATGCTTTCCCTTGGAGAACGTCGATGTGGTCGGCTCCGGCTTGTGCGTCGTCGAAGTCGGCTTAGGAGTCGTAGTCGGCTGAGGGTTCGAAGTGGACTTAGGAGTCACAGTGGGTGCAGGATCCGAAGCGGGTTTAGGAGTAGAAGTGGGCTTTGGGGTTGAAGTAGGCTTGGGTTCAGGAGGTGGAGCGGGTTTAGGGGTCGAAGTGGGCTTTGGGCTCGACGTGGGTTGAGGGGTCGAAGTAGGCTTAGGAGCCGAAGTGGGAGTGTGCGAAGTCAAGTGAGACGTGATCGGCGTGACCGGCGTAACAGAGGACAGGACAGGCGTGACCGCCTTAACAGGCGTGACCGGCGCAACAGGCGTGACAGGAGTGACGCTACTTGTAGGAAGGGGTGGGGCGACCACCACAGTATGACGAATCGTGCTCGTAAACGTACGCTCCGAGCTCGGGGGAACGGTGACAGTGATGGTACTGGTGACGATACTGACACCGTTTGGCTTAGGTGTAGTAGAATATTCACCATTTTGACGAGGAGCGAGGTGGTACGGCTTCTTGGTCAGGGCGGCGTGGGGAGCAGCCTCAACGACAGCCTGGCCAGCCAGGATCGAGAGGAGGATAGTTGCGGCGTACATGTTGACTTTTGGTGATAGTTGAAAGTTTTGTTGGTAGTGAAGGTGATGGGGTAGTTCGTCTGTGAACGCTGTGAGTCTTGACGAAATAACAGATGTGCCGCTTAAGAATATATAGTTGAGACTTCCAAAGAAACAGAACAATGTCAAAAGCATAGTTGGCAATGCCACATGTAGATATAAAGTCTTTGTATCCAGGTTTCTTTGTGAAGATCAGCCACAGTACTGTATTTAGAGAAGTTAACAATCGAGAACAGCCTAGATGCTCCACCATGGCCACATCCTTTGTCGAACCAAAAGGTTTGTGTTAGGTCTAGACTTATGCGGTTAAGCTTGCCACAGTCAATTGAGATTGTTTACTGAAATGGGCCTTTCAAAACATGTGCGAATATCAAAAGTTGAGTGAATATCAAAAGTTGAGTGAATATCAAAAGTTGAGTGAATATCAAAAGTTGACAGGAGGTTAGACAACTCCGATTCTTGCCGAAACTGTGCATGATTCGTGGTTTCCGTGATTGGCCAGGTAGCCAGTTCAGCTCTCACGCTCAAAACGGTGGCGCATTTCAGCTACTGACGCCAATGGCCCTCATGTAGCTCAAATGCTGGCGTCAAATGCACCTCGGCCGGTCCTGATCGGTATAGGAAACACCGCTGACCCGGGTGCAGGGGTGTGACGGATGGGGTTTGTGGTGACAGGCACCGGAGAGACACGACGAGGCGCTCTGCAGCGTGCAACTTCGCCAGAGCGTGGAGACAGATGCGGGGGAGTTTTCCCGGTGGTTCGACGCAGTCGGCAGTCGGTGGCAGAGCGTGGGGAGTTGACGTTGGGTAGCGGGAAGCTCGAGCAAGCGGCTCGAGTTGGATTTCATAAGGCGATCGTGATTGGCCAGCCAGCTTCAGCGAGATTTCAAACGACCACTCGACTCCATCTCCCCGTAACCCGCAACGCCAACCGCTCCATTGCCTCTCCCCTCCAAACACCCTCTCCTTGCCGGTCCTCGGCCAGCTTCAGATCAAAATGTTGGCTAGATCGAGCCTCCGCTCGGCGCGCACCGTCGGTGCCGCCGCCCGCAACTCTGCCAGCAGAATCGGCGCTGTACGTCCGGCCATCCCATCTGCCTACGCCGCAGCCTGCATCGCGGGGCCATCATCAATTGCTTGCTGCGAGAGCTGTAGCTGACCCTGCGATCCCGTAGCGCCCCGCTTCGACCTCTTCCGGTGCCGCCGAGGAAGCCGCCTCTAGGAAGAACACCCTCGCTGGCTCCGCCGCTACCGCCGTCGCCATCGGTTCCATCGGCTGGTACTACCATCTCTACGGTCGCAATGTGCACGCCATGACTCCGGCGGAGGAAGGGTGAGTCGCGCGGAATAACGGAATTGATGGATGCGGTCCATGGTCGACCTGGACGAGCGGACCTCAGCTCCAGCCGAACAACCGCGAGCAACAACCCGGCTAATGCAACCCACCTCGCAGTCTCCACCCCACTCAGTACCCTTGGGAGCATGCCAAGTGGAACAAGACCTTCGACCACCAGGCGTAAGTCTCTTGCCGTCAAGCTTACATAGCCCCTTGCGATTGACGCTCGCCCAGTCTCCGCCGTGGCTTCCAGGTCTACCGTGAGGTCTGCGCTTCCTGCCACTCCCTCCAGCGTGTGCCTTACCGGGCTCTTGTCGGTACCCTGATGACCACCGACGAGGCCAAGGCCCTTGCCGAGGAGAACGAATACGACACCGAGCCCAACGACCAGGGTGAGATCGAGAAGCGCCCGGGAAAGCTCTCCGACTACATGCCCAGCCCCTACAAGAACGACGAGGCTGCTCGCGCCGCCAACAACGGTGCTCTGCCCCCCGATCTCAGCTTGATGGTCAAGGCCCGCCACGGTGGCTGCAACTACATCTTCAGCCTGTTGACCGGCTACCCTGACGAGCCCCCTGCGGGCGCTGTTGTCCAGGAGGGCCTGAACTTCAACCCCTACTTCCCCGGTACCGGTATTGCCATGGGTCGTGTTCTGTTCGACGGTCTCGTCGAGTACGAGGACGAAACCCCTGCCACGACCTCGCAGATGGCCAAGGACGTTGTTGAGTTCCTCAACTGGACCGCCGAGCCCGAGATGGACGACCGCAAGAAGATGGGCTGGAAGGTTCTGGCGATTGGCACCACGCTCTTCGCTCTGAGCATCTGGGTCAAGAGGTGCGTACAGGACGAGCGAGAGAGAGATGCAGTTACTGACTCGGGTCGAAATCTAGGTACAAGTGGTCCACCATCAAGACCAGGCAGCTTGTCTACAACCCGCCGGTTTCGGCTGCGGCCAAGAACCCGTCCAGCGGCCGTCCCCAGGTCCGGATGAACGAGAGGCAGTAGACGGATCGAGTAATTGGGCGGGGAGGAAAGCGAACGGGGTTGGACGAAGCAGGCGTGTGCACGCCGGATTGTACAGCACCAGAAGACAAATGAGCGATTTTTCTTTTGTTTGCGCGCTACCTAGAGGGGCGGGGGAGCCGCTCCATGTTTTGTTGCCCTGTACTATGAAATGAATTTGGTTACCCGACGTGGTGCGGACGTGCGCAGGGCTGGCGGCACGAGCGAGCGAGGTGGGATTAAGGCCCCGGGTGGTAGAATGAAACGGCACTAGACGAGAGACAGCGGGCGAGGGTTGACGTTTGGTTGCGCCCACAAAGTGACATGCCGATACACGCTGGGACCCGGGGGGCCGGCATGCGCGATGCCGCAGAGCGTATGGATTGCGGATGTGCGACCAGGTTCAGGCGCAGCGAGCCAATGATGAGGCCGGCGGGTCGGTGGGCATTACGAGCGCATGGAGGCAATGACCACGGCTCAGGAGATGCACATCTGAATCTGGATCTGAACAGCAGCATGCCGCCTTTCTGCCCACCGCTAACCGCTTCCTCGCCCCCAGTCTTCGACTGACGCGCAACTTCACCATCGCTGCCGTTCCGCTCTCGCATCCGCAGACTTGACCCCAGCCTGCCGCCCCCGCCGCCTCGCCCAGCCCTCCGGTCCGCCCGCGTATTTTTGGGCCTACATGCTGCGATCTGCTGAAGCGCCAGTGATCTAGGAGCCGCAGAACATATGCCCCCAGTCACTGCCAGAAACCAGGCCGAGCTGCAAGCCCAGAGGACCAAGGTCTGTCGCCCGCAAGCCCCGGCCTCGCTCGCCCACACTGACGCCCTTGACCCGCAGCTCACCAACTCCTACAATGAGCTCCTTGAGTAAGCCGGCACATGTCCACGTCCTCATCCACTCCAGCTCACCTAGCCGCGCAGCGAATTCTCGTCCAAGGACCTCCGCACCGTTGGAAACTACACGCTCGGCCGCCTCATAGGAAAGGGCTCGTTCGGCAAAGTCTATCTCGCGTCCCACAAGCTCACCAATGGATCCAAGGTCCGTACGCCGCCGAATCGCGCCGAATCTGCATACTGAAGGGCTTCCATAGGTCGTCCTCAAGTCCGCCAACAAGAATGACTCCAACCTGGCCCGCGAGATTCACCACCACCGCCAATTTTTGCATCCCCACATTGCCAGGCTCTACGAAGTCATCGTGACCGAGACTCTGGTTTGGCTGGTCCTGGAATACTGTCCTGGTATGCGTGCAATGTCTGACTGCGGCGACGAGAGCTGATGTGTTTTCAGGAGATGAATTGTACAACCACCTTCTGCAGACCGGGCCCATGGAGCCGGCCAAGGTGCAGAAGATTTTTACTCAGCTCGTCGGTGCCGTCACCTACGTCCACGGCAAATCTTGCGTGCATCGCGATCTGAAGCTCGAGAACATTCTGCTGGATAAGCATGGAAACGTGAAATTGGTGGATTTCGGTTTCACGCGCGAGTATGAAGGCAAATCAAACTACCTGCAAACATGGTGTGGAACGGTTTGCTACAGCGCGCCAGAGATGCTCAAAGGAGAGAAATACGGCGGAGAAAAGGTTGACGTCTGGAGCTTGGGTATCATTCTCTATGCGCTGCTGTGCGGAGAGCTGCCCTTCGACGAGGACGATGAGAACGTCACCAAGTCAAGAATCCTCAAAGAGGAGCCGAATTACCCGGATCATATGCCGCAACAAGCAAAAGAACTGATAACGCAGCTTCTGTCGAAGCGACCACTCCTTCGTCCGGCGTTATCCGAAATTCTCCAGCATCCGTTCCTCGCCGAACACGCGCCCAAGCAACAGGAAATCCTCAAGCTTCAACAGCCTGCTGCGTTCTCCACAGACTTGGAGAAAGAGACGCTGGAGCGGATGCGCAGTGCTGGTGTGAACATAGACCAAGTCATTGAGAGTGTGTTGGCTCAGCGTTGTGACAGCTTGGCCGGATGGTGGGCCTTGCTCATAGAAAAAGAAGAGCGTAAAGCGAAGAGGCGCGAACGCAAAAGAAAGGAACGAGAGGCCGAAGCCAAGAGCTTGCGTCGACTAAGTGCAGCTAGCAGCAGACTCGACCGACTTGCACCGACGATTAGGGAAATCGACGAAGGTGAGACGCCCGTGCCTCGTCTCTCCGAACCACCCAGAAGCCGAGGACGAAACATGCACCGACAAGCTTCAAGCTGTAAGACAATCTTTATACTCTGGATGAGAGCTCTTACCACTAACAATAGAGCAGCTGGAGGCGGCTCGGATCTTCCGCTCGTCCCAGAAGCTGCGCGATCGCCGGGGGAGGAGAAGCCTCCTCCGCCGGCAAAGGATAGAGTTAGAAATAGGTCGATCAGCAGGCAGCGCCCACCCCTACCGCCGAAGGAATACTCCCGCTCGCGCAGAAGCAGCAGCATGCTGCACGTCGTCACGACCAATCCCGAACTCCTTGGTCCGAACGGCTTTGTGCCATCAAAGCGACGGAGGAAGTACCAACAGCCGTTCTTGGCTCAGTTGGCAGCGGTCAAACATTGGTTTAAGGAATCTGCAAAGCGTGCTAGATCTAGATCACCAGGTTCGAAAAGCAGCAAATCCCCGAAAGCCAACTCGGGGAAGCTCACCAAGTCAGATGACACCAGGAGGCCATCTGAAGCGAACACGCTGAGCACGACCGCGCTGTCCCCGAAGGAGCGTCCGCAGTCTGAGAATCTCCAAACTTACCCTCAGCGCCCTCGGATCCAAACTAGGGCAAGCACCGGCTCCAACAAACGAACCTCGCTCTCGCCGTCCCCCTTGACGCCGCGCTCGTCGTATCGTCGTAGTTCTGCCGGTCTCCGCGGCCGCAAGTCGACTTCCTCATCCGTATCATCAATCCGTAGCATTCACCACGTACACTCACACTCCAAGGCTAGCTCCACGTCTTCGGCTTCTCTAGTCTCACCTTCCATTCGAAGCAATCACGGCCGCTCACCGCACCAGTCTGTCAAAGTTCTCCCAGCCACGCCTACGGGCTCCACGTTCCCTTCCAACATCCGCCTCGTCCGCGCCACACAAGCCGAGTCCGCTGCAGCTTTTGCGACCCTCCCGCCGCCATCGCCTGGAGTTCTTTTTGCGAAGCGGAAGCGCACGCCGTTCAAGGGCCCAGCGCTCAACATGAACCCCATTCAAGGTAGCCCCAGCAGCAGGGGCAGATCGAGGAGCGATGGTGGTAGCAGGAGCACGAGCATCCAGGGACGACAGAGCGGGGAATTAATAATCGAGGAGGAAGAGGAAGAGGAGGAGATGATCGAGGAGGTCGAGGCGTTCAGCCCTGTACTTGGGCCTAATGAATACATCGAGGAGACGATCAGCGACATCCCTGCGCTGGAGCCTCCTCTGGAGACGCCGACGAAGCTCAAGCACGACGTCTGAGGGGAGCGAGGCAGATTGCACGTTGTCGATAGTCAGCCATTTTGGCGGAGTTTTGGCTTGTGTCTTATTTGGATGCGGGAGGATGATGAAGTCTGAGTCCGTTGTATACCCGTCCTGCTTTCAACATCTGTTTCTTTTGTCAATGTCGGCAGCACCCGGTCTTTTATTCGCGTCCTCTCCACTTTGCGGGTTTGGTCGAATTTTGTAGAGCATCGAGACCAAGTAATTAATGTAATGCAGAGAGTTGCGAGGTGATGCGGGCTTGGCGTCGCTTAGGTGCTGCGCATTGACTTTTTGACGTGGGGCGAAGGTTGTGCAGCGGGTGACTCTGACCTCAAGAAACCTCAAAAGGAATTTCCTACAACCCATTCACCTCTCCGACCGACCGACGCTGCGCAACCCGGCCCCGAGCCTCGCCTTTCAACAAAGTCTGCAGCCCGCCGCCAAGATGGATTCCGACTCGGACGTTCAGCACGATGAGACCCTCCAGCAGGACTCGGAGGTCGAGGAGCAGGTGCAGGAGAAGAAGCCCAAGTCTGCGCTCAAGAAGCCCGCCGCGCCCACAGCGCCTGCGATAGCGAGGCCCGAGCTGCCGCCCCAGCCCAACCCCGAAAACCTCGACGTGTCGACCCTCAACCCTCTGACCGACTACATCATCGCGCGCCAGGCCACCATCAACATTGGCACCATCGGACACGTCGCTCACGGCAAGTCGACCGTCGTCAAGGCCATCTCGGGCGTCCAGACGGTCCGTTTCAAGAACGAGCTCGAGCGCAACATCACCATCAAGCTGGGTTACGCCAACGCCAAGGTCTACAAGTGCGACAACCCGGAATGCCCGCGCCCGACGTGCTACCGGAGTTTCAAGAGCGAGAAGGAGGTCGACCCGCCATGCGAGCGCGACGGCTGCAAGGGTACCTACAGGCTGCTCAGACACGTTTCGTGAGTGCTCAAGAGGCCGTTGAGAGGCGCGGATGCTGACTGGAACAGCTTCGTCGACTGCCCCGGTCACGATATTCTCATGAGCACTATGCTTTCGGGCGCCGCAGTCATGGACGCGGCGCTTCTGCTCATCGCCGGAAATGGTATGTGCTTTGGAGCTGGATATTGAGCAGCGCTGACGAAAGGCCAGAAACTTGCCCTCAGCCCCAGACCTCTGAGCACTTGGCTGCCATCGAGATCATGAAGCTCAACCACATCATCATCCTGCAGAACAAGGTCGATCTCATGAGGGAAGAGGGCGCCGACCAGCACTACCAGTCGATATTGAAGTTCATTCGCGGCACGGTCGCCGACGGCTCTCCCATCATCCCCATTTCCGCCCAGCTCAAGTTCAACATTGACGCCGTCAACGAGTACCTCGTCACCAAGATCCCCGTCCCCGTGCGCGACTTCACGGCGAAGCCTCACATGATTGTCATTCGGTCGTTCGATGTCAACAAGCCCGGTGCGGAGATTGAGGAGCTGAAGGGCGGTGTCGCCGGTGGTTCGATTTTGACTGGTGTGCTCAAGCTCGGCGACGAGATTGAGATCAGGCCCGGTATCGTCACCAAGGATGAGCAGGGCAAGATCCAGGCCAAGCCCATCTTCAGCAGGGTTGTCTCCCTGTTCGCCGAGCACAACGACCTTAAGTTTGCTGTTCCCGGTGGTCTGATTGGTATGTTTGACGCGCGTTCGCGGTACGACCCGTTCAACGCTAACGATTTCACTAGGTGTTGGTACCCGCGTCGACCCCACGCTCTGCCGTGCCGATCGTCTGGTCGGCTTCGTTCTGGGTCTCCGTGGCCACCTGCCCGCCATCTACACGGAGCTCGAGGTCAACTACTTCCTGCTGCGCCGCCTGCTGGGTGTCAAGACGGCCGACGGCAAGCAAGCCAAGGTCGCCAAGCTCGCGAAGAACGAGGTTCTCATGGTCAACATTGGCAGTACCGCGACGGGCGCCAAGGTTGTGGCTGTCAAGGCCGATGCGGCCCGCCTGACCCTGACCAGCCCTGCGTGTACCGAGATCGGCGAAAAGGTCGCACTTTCTCGGAGAATCGAGAAGCACTGGCGTCTTATTGGCTGGGCCAACATTGTGGCCGGCACGACGCTCACGCCCACGGAGGATTAGAGTGCGAGGTGCATGAAGGAGAGGGGGAGCGCAGGGAAGAGTAACTAGGGTTAATGCAAACGGCATGACGAGGCTCCACGATATGATGGGCCATTTCTTTTGCTTTGTCGGGCCAGGGCTAGAGAGTAGAGAGGAGACGATGCAAAAAGTTGGTGTGTTTCGGCAGGCGTTGGCTAGCAGTCTTGACCCTGTCAAAATATGAAATCCACGATATGCGAAGCTGTTGGGCTGCAACGTGAGACGGGATGGAATGATCCGCGAGACAAAGGACATTTGGAGCGTGCGCGATTCGTCGAAGCTCCCTGTCGCTTTCACATGCTCGCCCTCAACAAATGCGGCTTGCGGCTGCTCGTTCCCCACACTCCGCCTTCCAGCCTTCCAGCCTTCCAGCCATCTCCTCTTTGCAAAACTCGTGACGGAAAAGCCAATCCGAGCCCGACGACCCAAGCATAAAAGCCCCGTCACCGCGCCGCCGCCGCACGTGCGGTCTTCCGCCGAGAGTGATCCCGTCGTCATCCGTGGACCTTTACATCACAGCAGCACACGAATACGACGGCCGTGGTTCAAATAGCTGACAGCCTGACCAATCCATCTTTTCACACCTATCACACACCCATACACTACTGTAAACACGACCAACCATCATGTCCGGCAACGACGATTCGCCGCAGATCCTTCGGCCCCTCCCCCGCCGACCCTTCGACCTGAACTTCACCCCCGCATCAGGCAGCGACCACTCGTACTCGCACCCCTCGACGCCCGGGCAAGGACAGCAGCACGCGTACGACGGGCCGGGGCCGAGCCTAGCGGCGCAGCTGGACGCGCGCCTGGCCCGGCAGGGCAGCAGCTCCGCCCTCAGCGACGCCGACGGCCCGCCGCCCTCCCGCTCAAAGAGCATCCTCAACCTCACCTCCGGCGCCCTCTTCGGCATATACCAGGCGACGACGGGGGACGGGGGCCGCGAGTCGGAGCCCGCGACGCCGTGGGGCACGGGGGCGGAGACGCCCGCGCGCAGCGAGCGCGGCGGTGCGGGCGCCGCGGACCTCGATTGGGAGCAGTTGCGCGCGGCGGCGAGCGGGGTTGCAAACGGAGCGAGGGGGCCGGCGGCAGTGGCTGCGAGTGCGGATAAGGGCGAGGAGAGGGCGCGGCCGGGCTCGCTGCTGCGGACGACGAGCACGACTTCGAGCAGCGGGGGAGGGGCGGCGGCGACGGCGCTCCCGCTGGCGGCCCGCGCCGCGGCGCTGTTTGTCTTTGGCGTGGCTTATGGTGTCATTGTGAGCCATTTGCATGATAACCGGCACATTTCGCCGGTGCGGGTCGAGGGCATCCCGCGCGGCCACTGGGGCTACCTCGTCTTCTGGGGCGTGGCGGGCGTGGCGCTGGGCAGCTTGCTGCCCTGGGTCGACGTGATGTGGGAGGGGGCGAGCGAGGAGGCGGCAGCGCAGCAAACGAAGAAGAAGAAGAGGTCAGCGGCGGTGGTGGAGGAGGAGGAACGACGGAAGCGGAAGGCGGGCGAGGCTACCGACGACTGGATTCGGGTGGTCCGGAGCGTGGGTGCGTTCGTCGGCATTGCGTTTGCTATTGTGAGTTGCTTTTTACTTTCACCCCGCATCACACTCTCCTGACCGGCCGTCTCCTGACACCACACCACCCACGCGTCCCGTTCCGTCCCTTTTATCCGTCCGCGAGCTAATTTCTCCCCCAGCGCCGCCTCCCCTGGCAATCCACGCTGCAAGTGTCGCTGACGCTCGCCCTCGTCAACCCCGCCCTGTGGTACCTGCTCGACCGCTCCAAACCGGGCTTCACTCTCTCGACGGCCGTCGGGCTCTCCGGCACAGCCGTAGTGCTCCTTCTAGGCCCTGAGATGTTTGGCGTGCCCAGCCCGCCTATCGTCGAGGCCCTGAATGTGGGCTTGAGGGATAGTGCTGGTGGCGCGGATGCGGGTAGGGGCGGCTGGAGCGCCGAGGCCGGCTATGAGGGGCTGGGCGCCGCAACCTGGTTCGCTAGTGTGCTGTTTTGCAGCACGGTGTGCTTTGGGAATATTGGACGGAAGCTGGCTATTCGGCGGTAGGGGGGAGTGGGTGAGTGTGGGTGTGAGGGGCTGTTGATGAGTGAGGTGCTGTGGTGGTTGTGGGTTTGTTCTGGTTGTTGTGGGCTGGTTGGGCTGGTTGGGCTGGGTAGAGCTGGGCTTTCACTTGATGTCGTGTCGTTAGGTCTAGGTCGGAGCATCGTCTCGTAGGTCTCGTCTCGTTTACTTCATGTCCGCATACCGCAAAAGCTGGCCGTGATGTCTCCGGTAGCCAAATCATTCTGCATGGCGAGCACGCCGTTATGGTATCAAATACATGACTGAGGTTTTCATGATCATTGTGGCTGTTAGCTGTGCTGTCTGTCTGTCTGTGTAAGTGGCTTGAAGGTATCGGTTTTGCTCGTCTGCGGAAGTTCTATTCTGTTATTCGCTGCTTCATTTTGTTAGGAAATACCTCACTGTTTGTTATTCACTGCTTCGCCGTATTTCTAATTGCCGCTATTGCGGACGCGCTGGCCGAGGACCTCTAGAAGGCGAAGCTAGGCTTTGATGCCGCGCAAGTAGGACGACGACAGAGTCGTCGCTGCGGATATGGCCTTGTGCGAGTCCGACGACTCAACTTTTCAGACGAAATTAACGAGCGCTAGAGATCAGCATCGATTGAGATCGACAACACAGATGCATGAACATCACTTGGTGTGTCGTGATGCGTATCCATGTACAACACGCCCCCACTCCTTCCATACAATCGTCGGAGCCCCACCTCACTTCCAAACCACCAGTGACGACAGACAGCGTCGGGCTCGCGGAGCGGGCGGTGCTCGATGCGCAAGGACGGCATGCTCGCACCAGCTTTGTCGAGTTGGAGTGCGAGAGCTTGGGATGTAGAGCTGTGGTTGATGGGGTGAGGTACTGATTAGATGGGTTCTGGTTTGTAGTGAACGGAATTGAGAGACTTGGTGGGTGAAAGCCTTGTGTGTAGGGGGTAAGAGCATGGGCTGGAAAAGTCTTGCTGTGGTACTTTCTGGGGGTTTTGGCCTGCAGGAGAAGGGAAGGGTTTTTTTTTTTTTTTTTTGGCAGTATGTTTTCTGGCAGTTCGCGGTAGAGCTCGAGACACTAGGTAGTTAAGTATGACTGCCACGACAACATTCAAATACGCCACCATCCCATTTAGCAAGCGAGTTCCCAAATCAATGATCAAGTAAAAGCCCACACAACGTCAATTTTCCCAAACGCACGACGCATCGCAGACACAGGCACACTGAGGGACATGCCTTTCAAAGGCTTCCCAGCAGTCCATTGATATATCGCCTGCTAAGACAGCATACTCAAGCAGCAAGACTGCGGGCAATGTGAGCGCCGATAGAGCACGCAAGCACTGACTATAGTCAGTAGCTCATGCCGATGCCAACCATGCAGTTTTAAACTTGATGCGGAACTCCAGCGAGCAGGCTTGAGGGTCTTGATATATGAAAGATAATAATAATTCATTTCAACAACTCAAGAAATGATTATACGTCTAATTAAAGGACAGATACTATAAACGACAGTATCGAGAATAGGCTTGCATTAATCGCCTTCGTGTTTGACATGATGGCTTTGACAGGCCAGTGGACAGCACAATGACATGAACACAAGTCCTGAAGAGGTAAGAACGGGATAGCTTCGCTTTTACTGAGCGTGTCATCTTTTGTGCGGAGGTCATGCTGGCTTTCCCATGCCCAAAGGTGTGCGCTAATCTCGTCTTTTTGTAGAGAAGCCGGCTGCTGTTGTAGACAGTGGTCAGTGCCGCCTCGATGTGTGTGCTTGGGGAGAGTCTGTGTGGTTTCTGTTGTTGAATGATACGTCTTTAGAGAGCGTATACCTGGCCATGCCCAGCCAATCATCCTTTGTTAGGTTTAAACAGAGCAAAACCACGCCCAGTCAGATTGACATGTTTAAAGCCAAGTACTCAACTTGAAGCAGGCGTTACAGGACTACAATGCTCACACCATTGCGGCAACCCAACGAAAATATCATTGCCTGCAGCCATCGCTGCATTACAACAGAACAACATCTTCCATCCACATCTGACATCACAATAGGTGGATGGAAAACCCTACTACTTTTTTCCGCTGCATTCCCTCTCCCGCGATGTCCACAACGCCCAAAAGCGCGTAACTTAAAGTTTGGGTTCACTGCTGCGCTCAAGCTTCACCGTGTGTGGAGTGTGCTGGTCTTCATGATATCGAGTAGACAAACGTCATCACTACCATAATCCCACTAGCAACCACGCACACTTTGGCATCTTCGCTCATAAAACCACTCCTACAGCACGGTATCAACCTCCCAATCATTGCCACCACACTGCAAAGCCTCGACACTGTCAGTGTCCCAACTCTCCGTTGCTAAATCGAAGCACATCAGTAGGAGCCGAAGCAGACAAAGCGTGTGAAACCCAGCACCTTAAACCAAAACGACCAAACACAGACAACGTATGTGAAGCTCTTTAGATAATCAAGTATATACGGGACGAAGACGTCAACACTGAACTATAGCTTCAATGAGGGAGACGGTGTGGAAGGTTAAAGGATAGACCAAAACGAACAATTAGTGTAGATACAGGAATTGACTTTGAGTTTGTTTAGACTGGTGATTACACTGCATCTATTATCAAATTCATAGGCCACGCAGGTGATTTTGCTGCTATTGGCGTTATCATTTCCAGGGGGAAGGAGTCCTTACGTAGAGCTGAATAGTTGGTTTGGGTGTGCAAATGTACGGCAGGGGATGCACTAGAAAGGTTTAGACTTTAGTCTGTAAATGGATGATAAATGGTTTTCTTGTTTATAGAAATAGAAGTCATAATAGCCATTTTTATTTTTATATAGGTATAAATACTTGCTTACCTGCTGCCTTCGTACTCTTAAGCTTTTATAGGAGGAGGCTCTTGCGCTCTTATGTAGTATTATTTCGTGCATAATAAATACTCTTGTATCCTTATATCGTTATACTTTTGTTCCCTCATAAAATTCCCTTTTCTATATGTAAATACTCATATCTTATAATGTTACTGCACCGTCATATCTTTTTGTTGTGCATATCAAGCGACTACCGATCACGATGACAACTCACTCAACTACACGAATACATATTGGCACAGCAGTTCTATTGAATACACGGTTAAGGAGCGAACAAATGTCAAGGACGAGCAAATAGCCAGGCCATTTCAAAGCCAGGTAACCAGAAACGATTCCAGCACCCGGCTAGACATGTACAATGCCTACCAAGCCCTCAATCAACCCACTCCAATATAACACTATCCCACAAAAACCCACGCCAAAGCGTTGTCTGGTCCACGACAAAACTGAGCGTATTCTCGCCCTGCTTCAACAACTCTGGACCATCAAACTCAAACTCATAGAGATGCCACTCGCCAGCCGTAGTCCCAGAGCGATAGAGCGCCGGATCACTGGGGATACGGTTATTCGTCAAGTTGCCAATCTGGTTCTGCAGCCCATTGACATAGATGTTGGAGCTGACGCCCTTGGAGTAGCCCGCCAACGAGACGGACAAGAGCGCCGTGCCGCTCGCAGGCACCTCGTCGACCTCAAACACAATGTCCCAGGTGCCGTTGGCCGACTGCGCGAAATACCACTCCTCGGTCTTGCTGGTGCCGACAGTGAAGGTGAGATTGGCGGGCGAGGACGCCGCGAGCCCGTGCTGGTATGCCGAGCCCCCGTTCTTGAAGCCCAGGGCTTTGCGGTCAAAGTCGCCGACTTGGAAGATCTGCTTGCGGTTTTCGGGAATGGTCCACGTCAGGGTGTCGAGCGAGGTGCTGTCGGATGTCGACACGACGACGTCGTTTTGGAGGAACGTCGACGTCACGTTGGAGAGCAGGCCGCCGTTGGACCATGCTTGTAGCCCGTACGTCCCCGTCCTGACGTGTTCGAATGTGAATGCGCCTGTGTCGTCCGCGTACGTCGCGTAGTTGTAGTACCGCCCTTGGTCCAGCGATGTCTCGTTCGGGTTGTTGTCTCCAAGGAAGACAGCTGCCCCAGCCGCTGGACGTCCGTCAGAAAGAACGATTTTGCCGCTGATGGACTCGACGCGCGACTGGTAGGCGGCGTCTTGGAGCCAGGTATAAGGCCAGGAAGCAAACTCCTTTTCTTGTCGTGCAGCAGCATCCTCCTTGGACCCATCGTTCTGTACGGTGTAAGTATAAATCACAAACCTATTCGGACGAACTCACCAAGTACCAAAGCCAAGGGCCAAATATTTTGCCGTTGGGAAAGGCATCGGCAGACGAGGCCATGAAGTGTGTGCCATGAACGACATTGAGTTGAACGGTATCGCCAGTGGAGGATTCCCGGTGTACCTGAAACGTTAGCTATCATGGTGATTAGAAACGGATAAGACGCATACAATGAGCTCCTGCTTCAGGTGATCACCGTTGAAGTAATCCGTGCCAGGCCTGATGTACCAACTACCAAAGCCCTCTCCATAAACTCCATAGTAATCAATGCTTCGAATGAAGTCACTCCAGTCATATTTAGTGATGAAAGTGCCATCCGCTTTTTCCCACGTCTCATCTTGGACATTTGTCCCGGCCCGAATCTCCGCTAGGGCGGGAAAAGCATCGTCTTTGATGTTGGTCCGGCCATGAGTGAAGGTCTGGTTGTCCAATCGCACCAAAGTCCGGAACACACCAAGGACCGGGAGCGCTCGGTTGACAAAGTACTGATAGGCGCCGGGCAGATCATCAAAAATAACCCAGTGCAATTCCCCTTCTGTAGCATTGAAGCGGACATCAATGTAGTCATCACCCTTGGCAAATATCTCTGCGGACGTAAAGACAAGATTGCTCTCGCCGTCTAGAAGATCAGATTAGACATGATCCGCATACGTGAAACGAGAAGTGTGGGATGAATCGAAGGCGTACTATAACCGGTGTAATGGCCGACGGCATCACCAATCAGGTCCTGTCCTTTGTAGTAGAGTTTCTTGCCGTACGTCGGACCTTGTGTGATATTCCAAAGGTCATTTCCGATGACGTGGTAGGTGTTGTTCAGGGATTTGAGAAAAGGACCCCGGGCGGCGCAAAGCCGCACGAGGGTCAAGAAAAGTCCAACCCAGAAGAAAGCCATTTGACGTGCCTAATCACTCTATCCGCCGTCCGCATTGATTTATATCAGCGGACCTTCGTGATCGCGTATGCGCAAAACCTTGTCATTCGCAACAAAAATCGCGTGCTTGCTCGCTTGTTGTTATCTGCCCATGTCATCATCACGCCTAAGGCGCTTACGGTGTGTTTTCCCGCGAGATGCCCTACAAACCCCACACTTGTGAAGTCAGTCTGCGGAGGCCAGCTTGTGAAGGCTAACCCCCCGAGTTGCCTCGGAAAATTATTCGACAACAGAATTTTGGGGATTTTTGGCGCCTTCGGCGACTCGGCTGCCTCCAGGCTCCTTGCCGTTGTGCCAAAAGAAAACAATCTTGCGGTCCGTGTGTAAATTTCCCGCCGGCTTTTGGAAAGCGACCCGACGGGTTGTCGATGGATGAAGAAAATCAATCCGCGGACCGAGCGAGACGAGACTCCGCGACCGACCCGAAGATCAGCCCGGGGTCCATTCCGTATTGAACGACCCAGGGCTTTCGGATCCAAACCGAACCACCCTGGCGAAGCTTAGGCAAGTAAAAGCAATTTGATTATCCAGATGATCCATAGGCAAGTAAAAGCAACTGTTGATTATCCAGATGATCCAGCAGGCATGGAACATTTTCGAGGGTAACTGCTTGCTGCACAACGCATGTATTGACCTGCTGCTCGTGTAGAATCGACGCAGCGAACCAGTGTTGATTTGTCTTGAACTCTATCCAAACCTGTTGTAAATGTTCCCGTACCAGCCGGGTCGAATTGAATTGACCGGTCAACCAAGTATCCATCCGCGCCTTGACCAAAGAAAGATCGATTGTACTCGAGGTGTTCAACTTAGAAACAATGTGAATATAGGTACACGATACGCCGATCTGTGGTCGAGTTAGCTATAGTCCAACAACTGTTTGCGAGAGAATTACCGGCTAGTATCGGTCGAGGCCGGCTATCCCATCGATGGGATAACATCTGAATAGGCCTCGACGTTTTCTCGGTTCGTACACGTTCTGGTCCAGTCTGGGAACGTCCATCGAGGTCCAACTGGCACTCCGTCCTCAACAGGAACGAACAAAACGTTGTAGCGTGGTTGCCTCGAATCTGTGTCTTGCTGTTCGATTCCGATAAACTTTGTATATCGGGTCGGTACAGTCTGCGGGTCTGGATATGGCTGTTGGAAGTATGTTCCGTTCTGAGGAATGGCCAATGGATCAGGAAGGATCGTAGGATAAGCGCATCCTGAGTCGAAGTCCGCTGGTGGAGTATTGAATGGTTGCCACTGCCCAGTTATGGTGTATGTAGGCTCAGTGGGAAAAGGATAGAGAGAACTTTCGGTCGGCATATGCCACTCCTGAGGGTAGTTGCAAGGATCGGAGTCTAGGCCTCGGCGACCGTTCAACCTGCGACTCCGCCTCTCCCTGAAGTTATTGTTGGCTCTATAGATCAATTTCCAGAGGCACCGTCCTCTCCAAGGTTCGGGTGCTCTGCTGAAAATAGGCCAGAAGCGCCACTCAACATTCCTCACAACCTGTTGAAGGCTGTGCTGATGAGCCCGGTCGGTCTTGCGTAAGAGGGTTTCGCCAAGAATATTCTGCGCTTCGAGCTCATCTTCTATGGCTATGAGGATGTCGTTATACTCTCTCTTTCCAATCCTGAGGCCCGTCTTCAGACGTTCAACGGACCAGTAGGCTTTGTTTGGGTCGTTGGCAATGTCATTCTCATCGTAGAAAGAAGGGTGTGGCGGCGGAAGATAAGGTAATTCTGGAGAGTACATCTCAAAGAAAGACGATAGGACGAAGCAATAGACGAGCAACAGACGAAGCAATAGAACGAGACGAACCAATCTAGAGATAAATCTTGGGAGAGCTAACATATAGCCGTTGAAGTAGTGCGTGCTCATACAGTCAGCGCCGTTACAGCCCTGCATATTTTATGATTACTTTTTTCTGTTTCCACAAGCACGGACGAGCGGGATATTGAGCGATGCGCTCAGCGGTATCCCGAGATATGTCCAATCAGGGTCCCTTGCCAGTCTTTCCGCAGGGTATTGCGTGGACCTTGGCCTGTGTCGCTACCCTGGGCAATAAATCCTGCGCTGACGATGCAGAGTCAGCTCGGGAATACCTACTCCCGCACTGGAGTCAAAGGCAGACAAGAGGATGAACAGTGTACGGAGTATCATCAACGTAGCAAATTCGTCACCGATTTACAGATAGGGGAGAAGTTAAAAGAAAAGAGATGAAGCGGGCAGATCTTTGTGAGCGGTCATACCGATCTCACCAACGCTGTGTTTCCTAGCCGGGGCTGTCCGCATCGAGAACAAGAAACCTTCATCTCACAAGACTTGCAGATTCAGTAACGATCTCGCTTATCTGCCCGTCCTTAGCAGCGGATCCATCGACATCAATCCACGACCAGACCTAGCAGAGTGATATAGACACTTTGGTGCGCTCTTCTGCTCCCACGTAGAAAGCGCCAAGCACTGGATGAGGCCGGGGACGTCAGCCCCCGCAAAGTAGGGCTGGCCAGAACTCGGGATGCTGGAAATTGGCGCGCACAAGGCCAGCGAGTCATCCAGGGAAAATCGCCTTCCAATGCCGGATCGTCGTCGTGAACGCGGGTCCTGCAGGGATGGCTGGCCGGGGTAGGTTCCGATTAGCTTGCCAGGCCGCTTGGCAACGGCGGCGTAGCAGAGGCCAGAAGGAGCCCAGAGGGATGCACATGCTCGTCGACGGGACGGGCGTGGCTGCTCGTACGGGAATTCCGAGGCGAAAGCGGTTTGCGACAGACGCAGGTACAAGAAGGGTCAGCCCATAGGTAGATGAATGTGGAGAAGACGTGGGCGCGTGGGCGTGCCGGCAGCGAGGCGGCAGAACCCCGGTCTGCTCTCCACCACGGTAAATGTCCTTTGACCTCGGAAATTTCTGGCCCCTCCGCCGACCGTGCAAAACCATTGTTCCCGTGTGACCATTGTCTGCGGCTCTGGTAAGCGATGTGATCTGTTGTGACGCTGAAGACATGGGGGATCGGCAGGGAAAAAGGACGTCTGTGAGTGCCCTCAATAGTGATATGCTGGTTGGCTTCCTGTTTCTAGAAGCTCGGAAGCTCCTCGTATGGCCTTGCATTCGTCGCTGCGCCATCATGTCTCGTATCTCTTTGCGTAACCTCTACGTCCTGTCGCATGAGACCTGAAGGAATCTCAGTCGATGAACAGCATATCTTCGCCTGAGTCAAAGTCGGCACACTCCAGGAGCCGACGCTCCCGGTGCATCTCATGCATCAATAATGCATTGACATCCTTGGACTTGCGTAGAACCTTCATCCTTCGCATCTCTTCATCCTAGGCTAAACTCCTGCCATAATTAGACTTTCAACCTTCTACCTTGTTCCCTACTGTTTCAATGTCTTACATTCTCCGGTGCCGTGGAATTCCGACTCTTGCCGCCAGACTTTGAAGACTAATTATTTGCCCTGTCAGACCCCGCATGTATGTCTACATGGTATTGTTTTCATTGTCGCGTTCCGCAGCAAGACAGCCGTCGAACTACGCAACTTTGTGGTAACTACGTTTTACATGAGACTACTCATTTTGGTACTACTTTTGACGTCCACGCGTCGTCCATGTCTACTTGTCGCACTAACAGTAGTGGCGAGAGCTTCGTCCTTTGATGAGGCGGCGATTGTGGCTGAAATGCGCCTTTCCTAATCGGGTAATCTAACACTTCGAAGCCATCAAGGTGATGGGGTCCATCAAGGTGTCTCTGATCTCATAGCTCTGACAGCTGATTGACACTGATTTATTATCAGTCTCGTCTGCCTTATTCTGGAGGTCTTGTCTTTATTCCAAAACCTCTCTTCACAGTCAAATACATCCATCATGGATAACTCTAACAAAACTAGCGATATCACAGTCCACGATGTAATCATCATCGGTGCCGGCCCCTGTGGTTTAGCTGTCGCAGCGCGTCTTTGCGAACACACCCCCTCAGCCATCTTCACCGACGAGGAGCACCAGCGTTACCACTGGATCAAGAAACATGGTGCCCAGACGGCGATCAAGAATAAGAAGATGGGTGCGGTCATGAAACCGCCTTCATGCCAAGGAAGAAGCTACTCGACACTTGTGCTGGACGCCTCGGGCGATGAGTGGATGAGCCGATGGAACAAGCTCTTCAAGACCTTCGAGATTGACCACCTGCGCAGTCCCATGTTCTTCCACGTCGATCCTAGCGACAGGGATGCCTTGCTGGCATACACCCATGAGGTTGATAAGGAAGAAGACTTGGTGGAGATAAGAGAGTGTGTGGGGAAGGAAATTAGCAAACACCACAAGAAGAAGCGGGCCAAGGCTCGAGGACCGAAGTAGGTGTTCCACTCAATGTCTCATATTGAGCTAACGTAGCAGGCCCAACGCCCAGGTTGTAATTGACGAACGAGACCGGAAAGACTACTTCACGCCGTCCCTTCCACTGTTCTCGTCGCACTGCCAATGCATTGTCGACCGGTACGGGCTGCGCAAAGATCTTGTCAAGCAAGAGGAAGTGCAGGACATTGAGTACAGCATCATGCGCGACATCTCGGACGTCGACAAGGTTTTTACACTGCGGACGGACAAGAATGTCCATTATGCCCGAACCGTCGTGCTAGCTGTCGGGCCGGGCAACGCTCCCCGAATCCCAGACCCGGAGCCGCCGATCATCGAACAGGGCTGTCCGCAGATGTGCCATAGCATGCAGATCCAGAAGTTCCCGGATCCGATCGTCTCGAGCAAGATAAAGGCGAAGAAGGAGACGAACGTCATGGTCATAGGTGGTGGTCTGACGTCGGCTCAGTTGTCCGACATGGCAGTCCGTAAGGGCGTGACCAAGGTTTGGCACCTGATGCGCGGGCCATGCAAAGTAAAGCCATTCGATGTCGATCTGGCATGGATGGGCAAGTTTCGTAACATCGAGCAAGCCGTCTTCTGGACTGCGGACACGGACGAAGGTTAGTTGCTGGGTCGTCTTTCTTTTAAGGTCGCCTTTCTTTTAACCGGCTGCTTACATTGGATAGAGCGTCTCGAAAAAATTAAAGCGGCCCGTGGCGGCGGTAGCATCACGCCTCTCTTCCATAAGAAGCTCAAGCTGCACATGGCAAGAGGGAGTGTAGCGTTGCACACAAACACTGCCGTAGTTAGCAAGACGTACGACGCCGAAAGCCGGACGTGGAGCGTGCGGACTCGTCCCGAGATCCCAGAGCTCCCGCCCATGGTCTACATCTACTACGCGACGGGGATCCAGACGGACTTTGCGACGTTACCGTTCCTCAAGTCGATGATGCGCGACTACCCCATCCACGGGCACGGCGGGCTACCATGTCTGAATGACGACCTCATGTGGAGTGACGCCGTGCCGTTGTATGTGACGGGACGGCTGGCGAGCTTGAGGCTCGGGCCCGCGGCGCCGAATCTGGGGGGCGCGCGGGTTGGTGCAGAGAGGGTGGTGTGGAGCATCGAGGACGTGTTGGGTCGAGAGGAGGCGACGAACGAGCGATTGGATTTTGCGAGTGCTCGAGGAAACATGTACCATAGCTTGGGGGTGGAGGAGGAGTAGAGTAGACAGTCGTCCAGCCTCAACACCGAGCCAAGAAGGGTGGCGCTGACGAGGCAAAAGGCGGCCGTGGCACGACCGGCGCACGCCGCTAGCGATTCTCATCCCCCAATCCGCATCCATAACTACCACGAATCCGCACCCGTTGCCCACCCTGCTTCGACGCTTGCCCGCCCTTGCATCTCGTTGCCGCACGTGCACGGGACCAGCCGCCTTCATCACGACCATGTCACCACCACCCACCCATCGCTTCGACCCTGCGCGCTTCCTCACCCCGAAACCCTTGGCGGGGGGAGCGCCCGCCCTCGTCATCCTCAACCAGCCCGTCCCGCGTCTCGACGTCTTTGAGCGCCTGTGGACGCATGCCGCCTACCGGCTATGCGCCGACGGCGGCGCGAACCGGCTGTTCGACATGTGCGACGACCCCAGCAACACCAAGAGCAACGGCCATCATGAGGAAGATGCTGCTGCCGCGGGATGCCGCGAGCGCTTTGTACGTATGCTTTCTTTTTTT